GATTCCTGCCTCGGAATCCTTCGCAGGAGCTCGGATTCCCGCCCAGAGGCATGTCAGAGGCCCACGACTGCGCCTGGTGCGTACGGTCCACACAGGACGTACTTGCACCCATTGCTTGCCGTTACCGCCTCTCTCGCTGTACGTACGTGTGCTGCTGCACTGCACTCATCCGCTGAAGCGGATATACGCAGCGCACACACTGAGCATACTAGCTCTCTCGTTCCTCTCTCGCAGTATGACTCAGCGTTCATACGCTCGCGTTGGATAGAGTCCAGTCTGCGCATCAACACACAGCTGATGGCACACAGCACGTGCTTGCCGCCAGTTGCTTCTTTACACGCCAGAGACGCTCAAGAACCTTTTAGCATCCACTTGCTATTTAGCCATTAGTGCTTGGTTCTTGCTTTCCTGCTATTACGCAGCATTGTTCCCTTTATTGGTACAATAAAGCACCACTCGTGATCTCCTCGTGCTTGTCTGTTACACACACTTGATATTAACTTCGATGCTGACAGTTTTAACAAAAATTATAAATTAATGCATGTACTACTATTCAGAACTTAATAAATACTGTACTCTCATACGATTATTATAAAGCAAGGTGAAAGGACAAATTTGACAACCACAAAATAGCTGCTACACCAGGTCTGATTCTGCTTGCCATTAGCTTGCTGATGAATGGTACCTCGTACCGGTACCGGCGTTACGCAGATCGTGTTTCCTGTTTGATCCGGATTGGCGGATTGATATCTGCTGCTGGAAGAATTCTTTCTCCCGCTTTGACCGATGGCGTCGGGCCGTCGGCTGTATAGTCCAAGAATTTCCCAGTCTTAACTAGTGCCGTATGGTTCCTTGAACTGTCCTGGACGGTTGGGCCGTTCACTTCATAGCGTACTTGTTCGGTAGTGCATTAGCGACGGCGACACAGGAATATCTAGTATGGTAACAATACGACTTCCTTTAAAATTGGTTTTGGTCACCCACTGGACCATTGACGGTGAAAATATTTTTTATGTTCTCTCTACGTACCCTGTCTTCAACCAAAAAATCAGATTTTGGAGGGGGGAGCCTCTGACCGGCCCCTGGTAAGGTAAGTTCACAATTATCAATAACATCCTCGTATAATGGAAAATTTACCTATCCGTTTGAATGCAGCGATGACCTTAAACCACAAATGCAAAGTTTTTCTCTCAAAAGCGGATAAATTGTTTTCATTAGTTTCCGATCTACAGTATTTCTTTGTTTCCAGATCAGTCACCAATCAGTTAGTATTCGTGAGTTGCTGCACAGGGACTCGCTAATTGATTATTATCAGAACTTAATTATATTTATTTCGACAACAGCCAGTATACGAGTACATATCAAAATGCCTGCGCTGATTTACAATGGAAGACAAAATTGTCTTACATTCGGTCCGGGACCGAATGATCAATAAAAATAAATGGCCAGGGCCAAATGACCAATAAACAGAAAACGCGCAAGAACACGAACACTTGTTCCTGGCGCATTTCCCAACGAAAACCATCAAGCGGTATCTCAAACGAAAGACAAGAAAATTTCAAGAATTTCGATACCAAACGGGTCATCCTGTATGAGATCTAGGAGAAAATCGAGCCATTTTAGTTTGTCGTAGACAAAGCACACGATTTCTGTGTGAAAACTGAAACCAAACCGCGGATGCAGATCCTATGCTGTGTCTACGAGAAACTTTAGATGCCTGGATTATCTCTTAGATCTTGTAAAGAACACCTTGTTTGGTATCAAAATTCTTGAAATTTTTTCCTCATTGGTTTGAGATATTGGTCGATGGTTTTCGTTGGGAAATGCGCAAGGTGCAAGTGTAAATGTCAGCAGGCCGATGGCCAGTCAAAAATTTGGCTGTTGGAGTACAGAAAAGTGCTTGGTTGCGCGAGTTTTGTGATTACATAAGTGTAAAGCCCATGTTATACTTCCACATGACGGCCAATATGTCTAGCATACGCTGTCATATATGTGATCGGCATTCATACTTTTATGCTGCACATTTTTTATGCTGAACATAAAAGTATGAATCGTTTGCATAAAAAATGTTAACATGAGCGCATGACGCTCGCATGTTGACTATGCTACATAAAAAATGTCGTAATGAACCTGCTCATTTCGACATATTTTTATGTCAACAATATGCTAGGTAAAAGCTGTCGCCCCATGTAGGTGGCGATATCACCACCACGGGCGGTTAACGGTTTGTTAACATATTTCTGACGAGTTGGTTCATACTTCCGTTTCATTTTACTGGTGATAGCATATTGCCATTTAACATACGGCATAATCATTTTTGGTTTCATGTTTTAAATGTTGAATATGATTATGTCGTATGCTGCTTATGACGCGCCATCATTTTGGCCGTCATATGAAAGTATAACATCGGCTTAAGACAATTTTGGCGTCCATTGTATACTAATAAAAATGATGGAATTTTTATTAGTATAAAAACTTGTTCTCCATTTCTAAATGTAACATGTTGCTCAAAAGCTAGAAATAGTAATCCGCAGTCCGGTGCAGATCGTATACATGAGACTCACCAACAGTGTAACACATAAATATGTACTGGTAATAATAACCTATAATTATGCAGCAGAAACCAATACACGTACAATATACATTACCAATAACGCCTTTCAGTATTTTGTCAATAATGTGAAAATTATGGAGAATGAAGTTACGAACACTACCGATCGCTTCTGGGATAAGTTAAACATTTTCGTTAGACAGCTTAATTATTTCCTACAGCTGTTCGCTAAACGGTAAAAAGAATCTGCTTGCAAATTTGTTAGCAAAAAACTTATCTTTGAATACAGCATAGCATCATTAGCATGTATCTGGTTACTAAAGAGGTGAAATGAGATTTTCTTGTATATAATATCTGGTTTTTTAGCAAACGAATAGTAGCCAGTGTCACTAACCACAGCGTTGTAAGTTAATGCACTGTCTGCGTTTACATAGAAGTGGTTTGATCACTGGTAATCCATAAATATTTTAAATAACCATGCCTTAGATCTTATGTGGAAGGCGTTTAAATATAAAAATTGTCATTATGCTGCGCTTTTGTTTTATGGTTGAGCTTAGCAATTGAACACCTCTACGTGCTACTTATATCATCAGCTGCAGTACTGCACGATTTTTACTCATACATTAATCTCCTTTTAGAAAAATGTGCGGAATTTGGGGATTATTTGGATCACCTCATCCAGACGTTTTCAAATATTTGGAAGCATGTCTACGCATTAAACATCGCGGACCGGATGCATTTCGGATTGAAGGTGACCATCACTTGCCACATTCATGTCTGGCATTCCATCGTTTGTGCATTATGGATGACCTGCTCGGAATGCAGCCACTGCGGTTGCGCAAATTCCCTTATTTGTATCTGATTTACAATGGGGAAATCTACAACTTCCGAGTGGTAATTTTTTTAAAACTGCATATGTTTTTATATAACTGCGTACATAATATATCTGTATTATTACAAATGTGTTAACTTGGATGGCGCAAGTTGCACCTGTGTATTAAAAAGCCTGCTTAACCTTTTTGTATACAGCACACTTCAGTAGCGCACAGATTCTGTTTTCTTGCTGCAGCTCCAGGATGACTTCAAATTCATCTATGAAACTTCCTTAGATGGAGAAGTTCTTCTGCATTTGTACGATAAAGGTGGAATCGAACTGTGTGCCGAACAGCTGGACGGCGAATTCGCCTTTTGTTTGATCGATACACAGAAGAAGAAGATCTTCGTGGGTCGTGACACGTATGGTGTGCGACCGGCATTCAAAATGGTCATCCCGAAGAAAGGCATTCTCGGGGTATCGTCGGAAGCGAAAGGTTAGCGACGATTCTAGTACTATGTACAGCACTTTGAATATGTAAACAGGAAAGAATTCTCATTTTGCGAACGGGTAGGCTAGAAAAAAATTAGCACACACTGTTATTAATTTTTATGGTTTTTATTTAGGTCTGGTGGAATTGGCCAAAAAGGATGAATATGCCGGCTCCCAGATTGAGCCCATAAAGCCCGGACATGTGGAAACGTACAATGTGAACGAGCAAGGATTTATGCATCTGCATGAATCGAAGGCATTTTCGCGGACCGGGGAAATGCCGAAATATCGGACACTCGTGTCAAAACTGAGTAAGCATCACCGGAAAGTGATTCTTGCATTTGTTTTTAAGGAGTTACTTTCATCCGTGATTTCCGGTGACTTATACGGCAATACAAACTTACAAAATCCGTAATGTTATGATGCGCATGGCGTTGTACCTATACCTTCTTTTGATCTTTCAGCGGACGACGTGCTGAAAAACATTCAGAATTTGTTGGTGGCCGCTGTACGGAAACGTCTGATGTCGCATCGTCGTATTGGGTGTTTCTTATCCGGTGGACTGGATTCCAGCTTAGTAGCGGCCATTTTGGTTAAAGAAGCACGGGAAGGAGGTATTTCATATCCCATTCAAACCTTCGCCATTGGCATGGAAGGCAGCACCGATCGTATTGCTGCGCGAAAAGTTAGTACACATCTTCCTGTCAAGTTAGCGGATTTTTTGCTTATAGCTGCCAAATTAAATCCATTAAATTTAAGGCGCATAGCAGTGACTGATTGGTACAGTCTAAGCAATACTGGATATTTAAGGAAGAGTTATTTGAACTAGTGAAGATCGTTGTAATTTAGGTAGCCAAACACATTCAGTCCGAACACCATGAAGTGGTTTTTACACCGAAAGAAGGCACCCGGGCAGTGGACGATGTCATATATCACTTGGAAAGCTACGACATAACAACAGTTCGAGCTTCAGTCGGTATGTTGGTCTTTCGCAAATAGCATCTGTCTTCGAGATTCAGTTCGTAATACACACAAATTAGCAACAAAATTTTGTCTTCGTTAATTTTTTGGAGAAGCGTACTCGTATCTTATGCTGTGCTATAATATGTCCGATAACCTGTCACACGAAATAAAAAGAGAAATCGGTTAAATTTTGCTTTGGGTACAGGAATGTATTTGATATCGAAGTACGTCCGGGAAAAAACCGACACCGTGGTCATGTACTCGGGCGAGGGCTCGGATGAGTTGCGCAGGGCTACATTTACTTCCACAAAGCGCCCACACCGGCAGCCGGTCATGCGGAGAGTATCCGTCTGATGGATGACCTTTACATGTACGATGTATTGCGCGCCGATCGCACCACGGCTGCCCATGGGCTGGAACTGCGTCCGCCCTTTTTGGACCATCAGTTTGCTGCTTACTATTTGTCATTACCGGAAGAACTGCGCGTGCCCAAAGACGGTATAGAAAAGCATCTGCTGCGTAGCGCATTCGACGGCACGGATCTGCTGCCGCATGAAATTCTCTGGCGGCCGAAAGAAGCCTTCAGTGATGGCGTATCCTCCATGACCAAATCGTGGTTCCAGATTCTGCAAGAATTCACCGCTGACTTGGTAAGCTTTGAAAGCTTTACCACAGTTGTGCAATTCATACAATTTATCGTACGCAATTTACGGGTATTACCTGTAACTTTTGACATAGCTAATCTGTAATAGTAAGGTTACAATATTTTGTTTGGTTTATTGTAATTACATGTTATGTTGTGGTCAGTGCGTTTTGTAGCTTGCTTGTGGTATTATGGCCACACTGATGCATTTGCTCGTATTTATTAATTTGAGATTCTTCTTTTGTAAATAACCAGCGAACTTTACCTTGCTGATTAGGTTAGCGACGATGAGTTTGCGCAAAGAGCGAAAATGTTTCCGCATCTGACTCCGACAACAAAGGAAGCTTTCTACTACCGGAAAGTGTTAAACAGACATTATCCTGGGAGAGAGAAATGGATTCCATACTTCTGGATGTCCAAGTGGACGGACGCCACGGATCCATCGGCGAGGACACTGAACAACTACAAGCCGAATTAAATGCTGGTAGCTGACTTCGTATTGTTGTTTTGCGTTTTATTTAGTACAGTTTACTTACCTGTCGTATGAAAGCTGTCCGTTGGTTTCACCATGACGTAGTAATTAAATACGCAAGATTATTCGATGGTTTTGCTACACCACTGACATGTTGCATAATTACGGTATATACTCGCAAGCATAGTGATTCTCTGTATATTTTGACAGTTTCTTTTTTTTAGGTAGGAAGTCCAAAAAACCACAAAGAATCTTTTTGACACAGCGCACCTGCATACTTTATCCGCTCTCTTTTATATGCTGTCTGCCGTCTCTCTCATTCTCTGGATGTCGCGTAACATAACTTGACCGCAAAGTGACAACTGTTCTGTTCATCCTCACCTGCGCCATTTACGTAAGGCGCGATCATATTCATTTGTTCCTCGTCAATCTTATGCCATATACTTAGATCGATTCGTCTCCCTGAAAGCCGCTTAAGTAGATTGCAAATATGCTTCTGTTTTGTAGCATGTTTGGAGGGCTTAAGTATCATCATTATCTCTTGCAATAATTGTGATGTAAGCGCCATCCATATGTATGTGCCGGGACGCCGGTCGGGTATGATTAGCCGTCGGTAAATGCATCCAGCGTCTTCCTTAGACACTGCACACGACCAGTATTTAATCATCAGTTAATCCCTGACAACACGTCAACTGTCTAACGTGTGCCGGCTTTGAATGGCTGCTGGCAGTTTGTCCTTTGTTGCAAGTTTGTCATTGTTTTTGCATTTTGCAAGACTTTCCTCTGCCATAAGTTACGTATATCGGTATATGTCGCGAACAAAAAGGAATCAAATCAATGTAACATTCACTAAAAAGGGGCTCGTAAATGAAAGCGCTATCAAAATAAAATTTATTTCTTTTTGCCGCGCTCGGTTAATTAAACGCAAATAATGCACAGTACCTAGCTAGCTAGATTGTAGAATTGTAGATACGCATTTTTCAGACACAGAACAAATCCATAAATCTCTCCTTTCATGACGTTGCGCTGATCCGCTTCATAAATTCTTGCTTTTCAATTAAAACTAGGTCTATGGGGCGATCACAGCGGGAAAGGGAAGAGGGAATACCATTTTTGCTGTCGACTGTGGATGCTGAAAAGTGAAGTGTTTCGCGAAGTTAAACGCACCAGTGGCATATTGGTCAGTCTCTCTCTGTGCAGTTTGATCAGCGTATCACATGTAATAGCGGGCGTCATAAATTTAAATGAGCTAAGAGGGAGAGCATTGCTAAATTTTCAATGCCCAAATCACCACCTGTCACCAAAGCTTAACAAGGATTTTTGTTCGGCATTTATCCTGAAATCTGCGATGTATACGCTGGTGTCCGGGCGTATTGCTCGGAAATCGGCGTTCCGTTGACATAATCTCTACACTTTCCCTTTATGGGTTCGAATACAATTTTAGATTTTGATAACAATTGCACACGAAAAAGGCAAACTACAACGGTGCTTAGATTTTTATTTATCTTTTACCGATCTTCATTGAGGCGGCCTTTATCCTTTACGGCCGCAATATTTGGTGAACGTGTGTATGTTTATACAGTTTTGCACAATCAGTATAATTATTTAGATTGCGCCGTTACATAAATTGCATTCTTATGTCCGTTGTGCAGCAGATAGCTGCAGTGTGTATATTGTATAAGACACACGAACAATTGTAAAATAAATATTCTCATGCTTTATGCTACTCTTATGGTAATATGGATACCTTTCAGTCGCGGTATATGTATCACTTGATCACGATCCATGAATATCGGCGGTAGGAGGATAGAACTACTAAAAATCAAACGCAATAATTAAGAAGACCAACGGCTTAACGCTATTGCATACGCGTACCAGAGAATTTTGCCCATCATTACAAAATACATGTTTACTGGGACTAATATCGTCCACGGTATTGTTATTATTATTATTACTTACTGTATATTGTATGTTAAAATAGCATGAAAAATAACAAGGGTAAATCGTACCATATTAAAAGCAAAGCAGGCGAGATAGATAAAATTGTACGAACGACTTTATATGTATAAATTCAACTGGTGATTACTAGCTCGGCTAAAGTAATTTTTTCCAAAACGGTGAATTTTTTAAAAGAATCAAACTAGCATAAAGCCTTTATCGTGGTTAAAGTTTTGAAATTATAAAACAGGGTTGCTTACAAATTTTCTGCAGGAATAGCAGTAATCACGCTGTCTACCGAGAGGTCATACAATGATTTGGCAGTATGTCATAAGTCCTAACCGTTAGAATGGCTATCTTTCCGAATTCCATCCAGACTTCCAGACATGTTGCGTAAGATGGCCAGGCGAAGTGGACTATAGTCGGACGGGTTAGTGTTCGGTTAATTTGCATTTTTTCTTTAGTTCCCTTTTGAGCTAACAGACCAAATCCAGTGCGCATCAATGGTTGAGCCGATTAGCGGCAAAGAAGATTACCTTTTCAGGATGCTTTTTGTATGATGTTGAGTGACATTTGCGTAATCGAGCCATGCTGCACTGGACGAGTGCTTCTAACAGTTTCTTCGTAGATTCGTCACCGAATCGGCAGAAGAAAAGCTAACGCGGGAAACAATAGGATCCCCTGCTGAAAAACTTTCAGTCTGATTACGATGCCGTCGACACATTTCACTGCGCACATTAACACACCATTACAAAGAGAGTTATTTAGGTTATTTCGGGTCAGGAAAGTTATATTATACTCGTATATACATGCAATCTCAGACGTGCATGCAATACTTTGTAATATGTTCGTGTGTTTGTAATATTTCGTTCGAAAATTCGAGTTTATGTGGTCTTTTGCCAAACATTACATGCTTAGGTTTTCCTTTTAGAACTTAGTAAAACCTATGCTGTGAAAAGCTAACTTCGAAGGAATGAATGAATTATATGTACCTTACTTTACGATAACATTACGAAACATTTTCGACAGCATAATAAACTGTGTCTCTACAGTTTGTACAATGTACATAACTTGTCAAACCCATTAATTGATTTTAAGTGGATGTCAATTAAAACAATAGGTCGTCAAACTATATTTAACAACGTCTTAAGCACTTAATAAGAGCGTCGATTTAGGCAAAAACTTGACCAGACAGTAAAGAGTATACAGTATACACTCTTGTTAGCCCAGTACTGCCCAAAAGGTATACGCAGGTCGCCCAGGTACGAAAACGCGTAGACATTGTGGCAGACGTCGGCTTAAATTCTTATTAAAGTTGTCAGTTTGTCAGGGTTTGCGTGTACCGGGAGACCTGCGAAACAATGACAAATACGGTATACAGTAGCTGCATCGATTAAAGGAAGTCAAAGAAACTGATTGTCTTAGATTTTGGTCAGAACTATAAAAGTAAATTAAACCCGGTTCGCCAGGTAGCACTTTTTTGACGTGTGTTGTGCAGACCCGAGACGTGACGGCGACAGTATATTTAAGTAGAGTTATCGCGCAATGTTTGACGTTAATTGGTACGTCTGGAGTACGTAGACTACGTAAAATTACAACGAAATTGTTACAATTAAAACGCATCCGTCCTGGCTTCGTATTTTGACGGTGCTCGGCACATCTAATCCATGAACGCCTTTTTACGAAATCAAACCGGGAAAGAAGTCTAACAGATCGTGTCGTGTAAGTTTTTGTTTGAGATGGTACTCACACAATTTTGGTAACTCTGATAATTCGGAGCATGCACACCGGCAGACGATGAAATGATGCGCACCTTTCGGAGAAAGAATGGGTTCAAATTACCTCCCAGGATGGCTAATTATGACCCATTCAGCACAGTTGCGTCATGTTTGGGCATAGTGGGAGGATGAAAAGAATTCAGAACAAAAGGGCTTTTAAGGGCACCGATGCTAATTTTGTGCGCAGCCGAACTTGACCTTATCTTGTTCGCTGGACAGTGCCCATACAAATGTCGCGCCGTTTCTTTGCATTTAAAGCATTTACCGTCTTAAAAGTTCCAAACAAAGCAGTTTTTTTACCGGTTAACGGGCCTTAATATTTGCTATAATTATTACGTTTCTCATAAAATATAATTATGTGTGAACGTGTGAACAAGTAAATCACTTAATTTACCGTTTACCGTACCAATCACTTAATTCACAATTTACCGTACCCCCAAGTACCTTTAAATACCGTACTTTAGGGTTAACCAAATGTATTAAAAATCCAAACCTATTCTGTACACTGGCGATTTTGATTTAAAACATCATAATTATATTATCAAAATACTTTCAAAATATTTGTTTCTTTAATTTTCCACTTCAAATTTGAATTTTGTGCTACATGCGCCTTGTCTGATACTTTTTCTGTGCATATATATAGAGAATGTGTAAAACTAAGAACGCTGTTACAAAGAACGCTCCAAAAGTAAGTTTCCCTATTTTGTATCTCCCGCCCTGAACGCTTTTAGTTCTTCTGAACCATATTTTTAGAAACGGCTTTCATTAACGAACCGAAATAAAATATAACTCTACCTAACTACAATCAAATGGAGTCATGGAGAAGAATTGCCAAGAAAGCCGTTCAAGGTTTTCGGCACTTTGCCACGGGTTTCGCCCTGACAGTTTTTGTACTTTTTCGCAGTCTTCCTGCTCATTTTTTGAAAAGCGCCGAATATCATGGAATTAGGAATTCTTTTCTGTTCTAATTCCAAGTACGAAACAAAATAACTTCTTCGCAGTGCTTTTCCAGAAAAGTAAAAACTCTCGATGACTAGGTGGAAAAACAGTAGAGCTGCACAAGGTGCCAGACGGTAAAAAATCGAAAATTTCTTCTATAACATATTATTGTTGTCCGTACAACTTGAAGTTATTTATGTCCAAGACCCGCATGACTGCGCATCAAATTTCCTTTTTATTGATGATAAGAACTTTTGGATTCATATCAGCAAGGAGGCTGAAAAGGGGGATTCCGGCGTCGTGGAGAAAAAAAATGTTTGCTTTACTCCATAAATTTTTCAAACCATTCTGTTATTGCAGTAATATTAAGAACAGTATTTGTTGCTCGTACTTTAAATTTGCTGTCGAAATCATAACAGGGACGGAAGCGGTAATAAAAAGAATGAGCTTCGAAAAAACTCGAGGAAATTAATGTGTAAGTAGTATGGCTATTCTGTTTTCCGTTTTCCCAGTTCTGCATTGAATCTTTTGATTCTTATTTCCCTAAACAGTTTACATAATTGCTTATACAACAAAAAATATATCACATGTCTATTACTTCAAATGGCAGCCTTTGGCAGGGAGGCAAAATAGGGAAACTTACTTTTGGAGCGTCCTTTGTATATGAACTGACCAGTGATAGTCGCAACTCGCAGATTTATATTAAAACTAAATTAATAACCGAAATTTTATTCTTACGCGTGACGAATTGATTTATTCGTTGTTACAAGTTTTTCAATGAGTGGGGAATAATACGCAGTTCTTGTGGTCAAAATGTATTGTATTTACCGAGCCACATTATGAATAATTATTATGATATAGACACATACAGCTGATCAGATTTTCGTTCTTTTAATGGGCAACATCCAATCCACATATCGGTATGCTTCCGCAGGTTTACACTAATTAAAATGATTAAATTTTAAACATTGAAAAAACACCCATAATCATTATTGGTGGAGGTCAATTACATTTGGGTAAGCGTTGCGCGTCGGGTAACGGGAAAACACGTAAAAAATGTGACGTAACAGCGCGTAACCAAGCAAACATTCTGATTCGCAGTCACAAAATCTGGGATGGGTTTTCAGCTTACTTGTCCGCGTAAGCATTGCGCTTCGACGTCGAAGCGCAACCATTACCCAAACTACGAGTAACTCGTAACTCTCCTGCACAGATTAACAAAATTTGTGTGTGTTTGGACCAAAAGTAAATCCAACGACCCAGAGTCACAATCCAAAACTCATAATTAACTTTTTTGACGTAATACCACATTTACCACATTACAGCATTAAAACGAGTTTTTCAGTTCCACTACGGTGTTCAATTTCTTTCTTGGCACGGAAGCGTACTCGACTCACGATTGGACGATTGTTTTTCTGCTGAGTCATGGCTAATTTTTTACGCGGTTCTCCATTACCCGTCGCGCAACAGTTACCCAAATGTAATTGACCTCCACCATTGTCATTCAAAATCTTATGATGTGCACTCAAGGTACCCGATCAGATTGACTGATCAGATTGATCAGATGATTAATAACTGATCAGATTGATCAGTTACTGAGCGCGATTCACGCATTTACATTAAATTAATTTTGGTTTTGCCTTTGGGGTTTACCACTTTGCCCCTTCCAGGCTTTACAAGTGCACGGTACGTTCTTACGTTCTCACCCTTATTTACAACACTACAGTATTTACATAAGATGATAAGTCCTCGTATCGAAGTGCTGCTATCTGCTATCAGGACTAATTTGTTAGAAATTTAGAATCATGTGTTCTCTTTATTGGCAGCATTTATATTTACGGCGCACAAGTCTGACATGGCTTCGGGCTCGGTTGGTGGAGATGCAGCATCAGTCTTCTATCTTCTAAAATCATCCGGGAAAGTTTTCTCGGTAAAGCGTGGAAATATTACGGATGTCCTGACTTCTGCGATCCAGATCAAGTGCTTGGCATTTGGTGGACAGGCACCCGAAGTACTGTATGGAATTGGAGCTGATCTGAAGGTAGGAAGCGGTTTAGCGCAGCAAGCAGTACGTGTTTCTCCATTTCCGTCACACTATTTCCATGAAAATACTAAGCGCTCTGATCAATTAGACGACTCTTCTGCGCACTGCGTGTTAAGTAGGTTTTTCTTGGTAAGTATGAGTTTTTGTTTGGTAGATGGTGAGCGTCAATCAGCCTGTGTATTTATCTGGATGTTTGACAGGCTTTTGTGTGGGTTAGCGAACCATTAGTGCCAATCTGTCGCACAGTGGAAATCTACGAGAATGAACGGTGGACGCCAGCGCGAGGCTATTCGAATACACTGCTGCCTAAAGACAGGTTCGTTCTCTTCGCTCAACGCACAGCGGCAGAAAAGTGCAGTTTTCCTCGTTTTGTGCAGGTATCAGTGGTCGGATGAGAGCGGAAGAACTGAGCGTGGAAAGGACGATACACAGCTACCGACATCAGATTGGACTTGGGAGACAGCACGCTGGCAGATAGACGAGAATTTCCACGGTGTCCTGCTCGGTCCTGAAGTATGTATTTTCAGTTTCTCCAACACTGACATAACGAAGATAATTATTGTGATCGAGGTTTAATGTCAGTAAATTGTATTGAGGAACTTTGAAGGCGAAATTAACCGTATGCTACTCAAAACATTATGTGAAATCTAGGTGAATATGAATTCAAAGTGGGATTGATACGAATGTTGATTATGTATTGTATGTTACAGTACGAGTACTGTACTGTACTTCCCATTGCGATTTTGTTGTGGCTTCTGACTCGAAACATGAAAAGCCAATGATCTGGCTCAAAAGTCAAAACTGACGTTATTTTACCTATTTAATATTAAAATTTTGATGTTAAAAATAAAAAAAATTTTTATCGTACTGCTCGGGGTTGTTTGTGGATATTAATAATTTACATACAATGGAAATACGACAAAACTATTGAATGTACAATTAAGTTTTAAGAACAGTATCATCACAATATATTAATCTGAATCACCACTGTATGGAGTTGAAAGATAATGGAAAGTGACTGAGAAAAACCCTTTTGCGTTTTTTTCTCAGGGTTGGACATACGCCATTGACTTTCCCTCGACATACTATCCGGAAAAGCGGTGGAATCACTATGTGCGCCGTCGCCGTTGGATGCGCACATGCCGTTACTGTACTACCAACCGCTGGATTCCCTTAACATGGACCGATCTCGCGGATGTCAGCCTGGCCTTGATGGACATTTCCGCTGGAGGATGCGACGCTTCTGCCCACAGCACGCGAAGTATTCTTCCTGTGGGCTGTCACTATCAACGGCCAGGTGATCGTCCGCCGCAACTGCAGTCTCGCCTCCGCTTTCCACGGGGATGCATGGGCATACATCGATCTTCCCGACGGGGTGGAGGCGGCACGAATATCTGTTGGACCCGGTGAGATGGTGTGGGCCGTCACCTCCAACGGGATGGCGTTGATGCGCAGCGGCATCAATCGGGATCGGCCTCACGGAGCGTCGTGGGTGTTGGTGGAAGCGCCTTCGACAACCTCATTATTAACGCAGATTGCCGTGGGAACGGAGAGTGTCTGGGCCGTGGCGAAAGACGGCTCGGTGTGGTTCCGACAAGGCATGCGGACGAGTCAACCCCACGGAACAACGTGGGTGCACATTGCTGGTATGTCGGCGGTTTGCGTGACCATAACGCGCAATGGGGAGGTTTCGCCATCAGCAACGATAATCAGATTTGTTTTTCGACACGGAATCGGATTAGGAGATCCGCATGGAAAAGGTTGGAAGAAAATATCTTTGAAAATAAAAGAAGAATCGCAGAATCAGGAAACTGAAATCCAGGATCCATGGACATGGATTAGCGGGACTGCCGGATTCGTTGATGCGCGCACTACGTCGTTTGACGATGAGAATGCTTGGCGGAAAAATATTCTGGGTTTGTTGTCACTACGGTTTAAGAATGAGATGCAGAATTACGAAAAATTCGAGCCGGCTATTGACCGCGTTGATAACGACGAAGCGAGTGATGCAGGATTTTTGAAAGTGTGGTCTAACAAAATGTCTACCTGGGAGCAATGCTTTTTCCAAGTCCGATATTCCCAGGAAGCCGATCCAGCCGATTGCCCCATTACTGTGGATGGTGGCACCACCAAGCTGCTGATTCCATTTTTCAATATCACGGGAATATGCCTTCATCTCGATACAAAAGGAGACCACCAGCTTGAAATATCGACAGCGTTTCTCACCCGCGCACAAACGCCGTTACGGTTGTCCGGATTGAAATCAGAATTAATGCACTGGAATACTTATATAACAGAAGCGTATCTGACCTTCTTGGATGTACGAGAAATCCTGAAAAGAGACCGCTTGTGGATTCTGGCTGCGGGTGTTAGCTGCCCGTTGGTGAGTTATAAGTATAACACATCGGAAGCGCTGCCATCAGTGAAATGGCTAACGTTAGGAGGCCACTTCCGGTCGATTGAATCAGCATCGGGGATTACGTGGGCGCTGGGATGGATGGGCGAACCTGGGTTTGGACGGGTAGCTATGAAGGTAAAACAGGAATGGAGAAGAAACTTCAGGTGGACACCCATCGTGTAGAGCTGTACGAAAATCAACGATGGAATATACTGATGGGATTTTGCGACAAGTTGTTGCCTACAAGATAGGTGAGTGAAGTAAAACGAGTGTGGACGATTCTTTAAATGCCGCTGTTGTGACTCGTTTGTGGGACTCATTGCTTCGTAATATTTTTCAGCTGGTACAGCAAATTGTTTGTACAATTGATTTGTGAGTTGTTTCTGTATTTCTTTTGAACACTAAAACTAAGCTAAGCGAAAAATTGAGCCGAATGGAGCAATCGCGAAGTGCGGATGTGTTTTTAGCACTGTGTATTTCTAATATACGAGTACGTATAACGAATGCCGTTGTAAAGTTAACGAAGCAGGGAAGGTTTTTTAGAGTATTCCGTGCTGTTTATTGCCTTTCGAATTTTCACATTATAACCAATAATTGTGTTTTTTGCGATCGTAGATATACTTGGTCGGATGAGACCGGAAGAATGCAGTTGTCGATGGATGCATTTCAGTTGCCTTCTGATTTATGGAAATGGGATTCCGAATGGCAGATTGACTGTCGAAACGGTGATGAGAATGGCTGGGTATATGCATTCGATTTCCCATCTTCCTTTCATTCCTCAAAAGGATCGAACGACTACGTGCGTCGACGGCGTTGGCTTCGTCTGATGAAAGTTGATTGTACCGGGCCGTGGTTTCCAGGTCCAACCGGAAAGCGGAGCGAATATTCGACAAGTGGCTGTTGGAGGCGATTCGGTGTGGGCTGTGTGTACCGATGATCAGGTGTATTTTCGCAAAGAATATAGTGCGGCCTTTCCGGAAGGCACAGAATGGGAACTGGTTGCTGATGGTGTGCGGAAGGTCTCCGTTAGTATGGAAGATGACGTTTATGCCATTCTGTACAGCGCTAGCCAGAAATTACCTACTCTAGCCAAAAGAACCGGGATTACCCATGGAAATAAAATGGGCGTTGGATGGGAATATCGACTTCATGCCAAAGATATTTGCTGTCGCAATTTGGAAAAAAGATAGCTGATTTTTATTGTTTGCACAATGTGTTTTGTACTGATTTGTTCTGATTTTTGTTTCTTGTTCCTTAAGTGATAATGATAGTGATAAGTTAATCGTTCTTTCCGTAACGATGTTTTCTTTTTTTTACCTGTTACTAAAAATATCGTAAGTATAACTGTAATTCAGATGCACCACGACGATCCATTAGCAGTATCAAACATACGGATGTTATTTCCTTACTGCTCTAACCCTCAAACTGCCAGCTGTCGAAAAGTGGCGCTGTAAAATAATGCAATAAATAACCGTTATCGTTTTTAATTTTTATAAATTTTGGAGTCAAGGAAAGCCCTTTTACCGAAGTCACACAGACGTGTAAACAATTAGTCATATACTAGTAACTCATGAATTCGTGCAAAACTGTATGGAATTAATTTTGATTTACGATGTACTTCGACACCAACAATGCAAACTTCCGCGTCTTTATTCACAGATTCTACTTGAAATGCACCAAACTTTACACAAAGCCATAAAAACTGTCCAAAAGATGTGACATGATCGCTCAGGTCTCAATCAAATGCGCTATTCAAATCTACTGAAAAAGCAAAAAAAGAATGAAAGCGAAGAAACACCCACCCTGTTTAATGAATCACAATAACGGAAAATCACAACCATTATAGGAAAAATGCCAGAAAAGAGCGCGGTCTCACCGCAAACTGTTTCCATGATTAAACTACAGAATTTGCGGTTCCAGTTCGGTGTACACGGGCTTGTTCTTCTCGGCTGAGATTTCCGGAGCAATGGAAAAAACTTGTACATCGTTGTTGAAAATCCGCTCGCGAATTTGGTATCTAAACCAAGAATCATGCGTCAAAATGAGACTCACAATGCAAAAGTAGTCTTGCAAAGAATTAAACAACTCACAGCTGAAGATTGATGGCACTTTTTGGCGGCGGATAAAAGTCACGGAAAGAAAGAGCCGCAGTTTGCCCACTGTTACTGCTACTGACTTCAGGCTTTTTAGCGGAGAAATAACGTTCTTGTCGACTTAATCCAGAAAAATTGCGCTAGAACAAAAGGAAATGTTATGTGCAGAATAATAAGAGCAGTACTCGAACTGCAGCGTAAAACACCGCCGAACGTTAAAGTCGCTAATTAAAAAGTGATAAACTTACATCAGAATTTGAAAACAAGTGTGCATCGCCACCCAGTTGCAGTTTTTCCATTTCCGCAATCACTGATTTTGTAGTCGGCACTTCTTGAATAGATGTCGGTGGGGCAGGGAGCAAAGGATTAAAGCTGATCGAAAACCCTTTTTCGCTAGCATCTGACAGACCTAAACAAATGTGTGTTCTGTAGTAATAATTACACTATCAGGAAAAAGTGCTGTAAAATAACAGTCTGGTGATGACATCAATAATTATCAACAAGTACTTGTATAAACTCTAAATTCTGCAAAACTTGTCTGACATCCACAACAAAGGCAGCGAACTTTGCACCAACCTGCGGTTGAGTCAGAAGCGGTTTCCCAGCTGCACTCAGATCCGGTTGCGGAATCATGACGGCACCGGTTTCGATCGCGGCTGGCCTTATCTAAAAATAAAAAAATTAAGACAACTGTATGTCGCGGTTACCAAACGACTTCAAATGATTAATTCGAGCATCTTACTCAATTTGACCATACCGCGCGTGAAGAGCGTGCGCATACTGGACTGGAAGTGTCGATGACGCTCCTTCTTATGCAAAGGCAGCATAGCCGTGGCCAGAACCTTATTAATAATTTCCCCCACAGTCCCTGCATCAGCATCCGGCAAACCTGCGCAAGAATGTATTAATCGGTTGATTCAAACGCAAAATGTCTTGATATTATTTATAAAAAATTGCAGCCTGTATTACACTTACAGGCATCAGCTTTGAAGGCTTCAAACAAGTGTAGCCAATGAGACACAGCATACCTGATTTGCTAAAGGTCACATCCGAGGCGTCTTGATATTCCCCGGAATCAGCTGTACTGCTCCGCTGGGAAAAGGATGGCGAATTCTTTCCAGACGATTCGGTCAACGCAGGACTCTTTCCAGACGATTCGGTCAACGCAGGACTCTTTCCAGACGAATCTGTCAACGCAGGGCTAGCTAAACCAACATTGGCCTCGTCAGCAGCCGCAAGAATATCAACAGCTCCTCCAGCAGAACCGTTTTCCGCGGCACCAAGATCAGCTGCAGCATCGACCGTCGCAGTGTTCGTAGAGGCATCCTGCAGGCATGAGCCGAGGCCAGCAAAAACTGATGTGTTATCATATTTGCTGGTTGTCGGTGCTGCAAACGATTGCAAAAGGTCAATAAACCTGCTGTCTGGCCCACTGCATAAACTGACGTATTCACGTAGCCAGAGCAAAAACGAAAACAAAACGGCATACCCTGGACATCGAGATGGATGGTCGCTGTGCTCACGTAATGGATGGTATTCAGAAAACCTTCAGTGGGCTCTGCAACGGATGGCAAGGATATCGGCGCACTGTATGACAGATCCAGAGCTTTATCCAAATCTGCATGGTCAGGCAGTGTAGCGGGTGTTTCCACTGGTGCGTAGACAGGAGACTGAGTGGATGTTCCGGGATGGCGAAAAACAAATGTGTCATCGTAAGCTGTCTGGGCTGCAGACAATTGGAAAAGGTCAATAACCTTGCTGTAATTTTGCCAACTGCATAAGCTGACGCAGCCAGAGCAAACACGAAAACAAAACGGCATACCGTAATTAAAAGAGTAATCGACATAAGAAGAAAAATGCAACTGCGGCAACATAGGGGAGAAGGAATATGCCGGCATAGGGAAAGTTCGAACGACTGAACATGTCTGAACCGATGCAGAATGACCTTTACAGCTGTTTTTTCCATAGTGTGGTTCAGTACCAGAGAATTCCTATATACCTTGGTAACAGTACTCAGTATTGTTCAAAATTTACTCTTACTTTTACATCCAGCATCGTGCAGCTTGTCCAGAAGCAAGATCTGACCGAGGACGCTAGCAACAAAAACGACAGCAAGACCGAATAATCTGAAGAGGATTGCATGGTTGGCCATGGACAAATTATCGAAACTAGCCTTATAAAGTAATCGAAAAATACGGTTGTGATAGAGCCAACGGGACCTTCGGCAAGTGCGCGACAGAAAAACTGTACGCGTGCCTGTGCTCTGATCCAATCCTGCTGGAGGGTTGGGATCTGAGTTATTCACTTAATTCGGTTCATTTTACGCACTTTGCGTCTCGCGCTCAGTAGCAGTGTTTACAGCTGTACACGTCTCGACATCCATTGGAATTTGTGGTTTCTTGGTATGTGTTGCATTCGGTTTTCGCAATCAGGTAATCAATGTTTTAAAAAAGTCATCCAAGTTATCACAATGTTCTTTTTTTGATAAAATTTATGTTTACATCCACTGATATCCGAAAGGTTCCAATTTACCACGGGAAAACTAAAATATAATATGAAATACTGGCACCTGCAGCAATATCGTAAAACAAGTTCCTTATGAAAATTCAGCGACATGGAAACAGTAGCTTGTGGATCTTGAGCCACAAGGTTTCGTAGTTTTGTATTTCTTTGCTGAAAACTACATAAGGAATATTGTTGGACATATTGCTGGAAAGGCTCATTATGATGCTCCCCAGTCCTACAACAGCGGTAGTGAAATCAAGATGATAAAGCACACCTCATTCCATTTGTAATATGCTTCGGCTTGCCAGGACACGTTTGCAAATAGCTAAAATTTTAAGCATAAAACACTGTTAAAAACATATTTTTTTGTCAGCAGAAACTTTTGACAGAACTAAGATGAACACTCGGGTTAAGACTACGCTTAAAACTAAGATCAGTAATTCTGATAATACTCTGATAAAACTATTATTTATACTCAGGTTTTCAAACCTCAGAAAGCTTAGTGTTTGCGAACTCTGGTTATTTCTCCCAAAAACTCAAAAATTCCTCCGTCCACAAAATGTTTTAAACCTAATTGAATTTATTATTATGTTCACCAGTGAAGTTTATTCAGCCAGAAATACACTATAACAGAAGTTAGGCACTATAACAGAACTTCAAATTTAAAAATTCAAATAAAATTTAATGGTATTATACATTTTATTTTGTAATATCTGTTTTTTGGCAAACCAAAGGAATACTAGAAACTGAAAATGACGAAATGACGTAATTGCAAAAAAATATACGACATTACTAATGACGAGGATTTAAAGCCTGAGTTTTGAATTGTTTGCACATTTAATTTTGCGCCGTCATTTTTCACAACAATTTTTCATCCTGCACGTTTGCTAAATCTGTTGTCTTGAAACACTAAATATGCGTTGACCAAACAGTTATATTTCAATTGAGAAAGATTATTAGAGAAAAAAAAGCAGAAAATAAAAAGTTATCTTAGCATACCATTTTTCTGGTTAAATATTTCGAAAAAAAATGTATATTTTTTTGTTTTTAGCTGATGTTGGAAATAAAAGAGGCTAGCGCTACGCTACTATATACTTCCACTGCCGAGTAGCAGAGCGTTTCAAATGTAATGGAAATTGTTGCAAAATTGTTTTAGAACGCATTATAGGTATTATACGCAATTATTCCGTTGGTCTGAAACTTTTGCCAACACTACTATGAGAACTCGGGTTAAGACCATGCTTTGAACTAGTATCACCACTCAAGTTTATACGTTGATCAAAACTAGCATTAGTACTCGGGTTAACACTCTCGTTAAAGCTAACACGAACATCTTTATTTGTACACCAAATATCATTCAATAATTCAGGAATCGTAACTGTTTCGCTACACATAATTATTTTTTGCAAAATGCTTATGAAAAAAAATTTTTCGCGGACGCTTTGGCATGAGAAAAATTTGGTACAAAAACATTTTGCTGAATCGCTACACAGACATTCGGCATGCTACTGTCTTTTTTGTTTACGCTCTAATCAATAATCTCATTAGAATGTTTTCCTAAGTTTTTTTATATTTTACTTGTTTTTGTTAGCTTTTCTTGTGTTTTCTGAATATATTTTCGTGGTGTTCATAAGATTATTAGCTTTTTGGCTGGCTTTAGTTTTTTTTTAATCCAGTATGTTTTTTAACTTTTCAAGCTTTGTTAAAATTGTTTTTAAGCCAAATTGTGCTATGCTAAAATTGGTATATGCGGAAGAGTTTTATGCCCTTATGTTCTTATTCCGAAATGTACGTATATCATGCGGCTTCCCTGCGTAGATGTTACTAAAAGCATTTTCAACGAAAAGGTTGATTTCAGTATTCTTAATGAAAAAAACGAAGATAAAAAAGAAATGAAGACATTTTCAATGCGAAAGTTTATTTGAGTTATAGTTCCGAAGAAGATTTGCAGAAAAGATCGAGAGTCAGTTTGTCGAAAGGGGTTAAGCTAAAGCCGAACAAAACAGTTGATTCGTCTGTTGACCGTATTTTTAACCAGAGTCTTAACCAGAGTGCTGTTTTTAGTTTATAACCGAGTATAAACCTTAGTAATCTTGTTAGTCCAGATCAAAGTCTTAACCCGAGTGCACACATTAGTATCGTCAAAAGTTTTACTTGACTGGAGGTTGTAAGTTGGATTTGGGTTTTCAAGCTCATTTTGGAATTTCTGACTTTTATTTTGTGCGGGCGCGATTTGCAATGTCCGTTTAATTGGTTTGGAAAAGAACCGTCAGGGATAAATTTTGATTGCGTAGCATAACTTTTATAAATACTGTGCGTTAATGTATAAATATAATGGTTGCCTTGTATAAATTGTTTACTCGTGAAATATTATAGCACAGTAATGGTAAAATAAACATTCAATAAACATTTATATGAAGTAGTGCAACAGTGAATGCAAATTTGTGGCTCAGTGTATAAGTTTCGCTGTACACATGAAGGTTCCTCACACTTAAATAAGAACTAATCTGAAAATTCGCATTTACAATTATAATTCAAAAATTTGATTAAGCAGTCGGCGATGCTATTATTTGTTGAGATCCGAAATAAAAAACTTTGATTTTACCTTGTTGCATCACTAACATAGACGCGGCACAGCTACAATTTCCAATGGATTTCATGCGAGAGTGGAATTGTAATTGCTGTACTGAGCACGAGACGTTAAGTGCACAGAATGAACCGAATTAGGTGAATAACTCAGATCCCAACCCTCCAGCAGGATTGGATCAGAGCACAGACACGCGTAAAAACTGTTGACTGTGAGTCTGCGATTTGATGCAGCCAGAAATCAGAGAAATGGCCGGGAAATGCGCGTAGATCATCGAATCCAATACGAATCGGGTATGCTTTGTTTGACTCGACTCCGAGTAGAGGTACTGTACGAGAGCAGAGTCAGCAGACCATACTGAGTACGGTCTGTATGGTCTGCTGTTTACTTAAAATTTTCCTTTACTGTTTACTGTCAGCCCGAAATCTTTGCTTTAACTGTTACTGTTCTCGAAAAACTTTACTGTTTATTTACTGTTTAATAATGATATTAGGCTACTGTTTACTGTTTACTGCCGGTTTACTTACTGTTACTAAGTAAAACAACATTGCCATACTCGTAGGGTATCTGCTCTCGAGTCTCGACTCTCGATCTGTCTCGTCGTGGGCCATGTCTTGTGCAACTTTGAAGGAACTCGGAATCGATCAACGAGTTTCAATTCCCATCCTTAGTCCTGCAGTACTAGTACTGTACTCAAATGCCATAGCGAATAAGTTGTTTTCGATGGTTACGATTGGCTGAAGGAAGATTTCGCAAACAACTGCTTCAATCCATGTTTTCAACAGTTTTACATAATATTATGATAATAATTACTGTTTTTTTTCATACCTGTATTTCGGAAAAATGGACAGTCATGAGTTTCGTATTCCAGATATGGGAAATGCTGTGGAAATGTTGGATGTTCTTCACAAATTGAGCGGCATCTTAGTAGAAACTGGATACAAAGATGATACCGTTGATGAATTTTGGCTGAAGTCGGTCAAGCGTCTGCTCGATCACGCTGATACCAGATCAACGGTACTTGATATCTTCAATCGGTTCCCGTTTATCACGCTCCGGAAGACTTTGTTGAACACACATAATCAGCTGTTTATTGAAACGGGTGTGGCACGGTGTTGGTTGCATACGGAGCCGATACCGAAAGATGGAAACCATACATGGATGTTGTCCGAAAACAGCATGGATTGCAAACTGATTCCGGGTGGATTTGTGCTGTTGCCGCATTGTGTTAAAGTCGAAGTTGTTGTGAATGTACAGCGGAATGTTCTTCCAAAGTAAGTTTAGAGACATTGGTGAATAAATTTATGTTTCTTGCCGATGAATGAGTCGGTGAGACGGTAAGGATTGATAAGTCAAATTGAATAGTTAATCTGTGAATTTGAATGTGATCATGAATATGTACGTGTTAAACAACATATTTAACCACAGCGTTGGATTTTACTAGTTTATTTGTAAACGATGGCAGAGATATCTCATGATTATGTGGCAGTTCCAGGAAGGAAACTGTGATTCAGATGCATGCCGACTTCAGCCGCAACGAAAGTGCTGATTCTGATCACGGGATGACTTTGCCAGGAATTGTATATTTATGGCTTCCTGACGCTTCCTCGTTTCTTGACAGTATTATTGCCAATATAACCTTCACTGATTTTGGCGAAATGCTTCCCTTGCAGTGGAAGCATGTGCTGAAAACGTATGTACTGCGTAATTACTGCGAGCTGTTGATTGTGAATCATGTAATTTTGAATTTGACGTTTTTTTGCAGGCCTACAAGAGGAAGCGCAGCGCACAACATATCCTGCTTACAGCGCAGCGACCTGGGTTCGGTGTGGTCGTCGGATTTGTGTAACACTTCCGTTTTTCTCAGAGAAAACATGGATCTCATTTCGCACGTGCAGTGCCTTTGCAGTCTTTCCAAAACCAGTCGTGAGTAGTTCGAATTATTTATATAAGAGTAATAAGACACATTTTTATGCGCTGTTCTTGTTTACAGATTTTTTTACTCTGAAACTGACCAATTACTCTTCCTAGCAGTCCGATCTGCTGACGGTCCCGTCCGGTACTGATTCAGGAATCATTGTCGCTGTAATTGTGGAGCATCGCTGTTGTTGTGGCTGTTATCGTAGTTGTTGTTTGGTGTTTTCAAAAAAACAAGGTGAGTTGTGACTTGCGGTAGGAGTTACGACTGTCGATGATTTCAGTATTAGCAGCACATTCAAGAAAAGAATTTTCATGCACAACAAACAATTAATACTGCAGTAGAGTTGGTACTCTGATCACTACTGTAGTGGTCATACCTCATAAAACTTTGAAAAAATAATATGTAAGTACCGTATTATGCGTATTAATCATCTGTTTATTTACATTGGCCGTATAATTATGCTAAAATGAATGGGGTCTTTAACTAATGAGATTTAAGCGTTATACCTCGTATGATAACACTTTTGTTAAATTTGTTAAATGAGAGACTTTATATAGATATCTGTATGAGTATCACACGTGATTTTCCACCTGATTTTTAATATACTACTACCACCCACGCAGTATGCAGTAGCAGCAACTATTAAAATCACAGAGTAATATACAGAACCAACACATTTTCCGCATATGTGAAACAACGGAAGTGTATTTCATAGTGAGAAGAAGCGGAATAGAGTTACGTGTGCAGACTGCCAGTTCTCAGTGGACTTTCCAATAAAGTTATCTCTGCTTGCAGATTTTGTCCTGTATGACGGCAGTGAAGAAGCGTACATCCGACTTCGTGCGAGTTCATTTCGGTCTGCCGGAAGTTCCCAGTTCGGAGCATCAGCTGGAGATGTCCATGTTGCCCGAAAACCGTACATCTTCGCAGGCAGCAGCGCATCCGGGTGAAACCGCAGCTTTGATGAATGATGTTGAGCGTCGTCCAGTTGAAGGACATGAAGTGTAAAAGCCGCTTTTTTCCTTTTTCGTTCTACGTTATGCTTTGGTTTCAGTCCTTTCAATCGTTTTAACATTTACGGGAGTTACTTCGGACTGATCTGCCGAATGTGGGGTGGGTGTTTTATTTTGTATCTTGTTACCTGTTTTTTCCTTTTACTCTGTTGTTATTGTTGTTTGTTGCGCAAGTCTTAATGGATCTTTGGGACTGATCAGTGCGCTGACTGCAGTTTTATACCGTAATGAAATATCCTTTTCTTGATCAACACGAGTTATAATGATCTGGTTTCTCGTCGGTTCTATCGATTTCGTTTCCTAACATTGGAATGCGTAATAGTTGTAGCACGGTGCAAAATAATACTGTGCCGCGGTACCGTGGTTGTAGTGGCTTCCTTTTGTAATAAATAAGGAATGACCGTAAGCATTTTATCACCGTCTTACGATATAATTAACCTCCATAATTCTTAAATCAGCCGCATCCTATGCAGAATGGTAAAATCTACGGCATCTTTCCTAAATTGTACTCGTAAATTAATAAGAATACGAATGCTCGAACTAGGAGATTACGAAACATGACAAATTACTGTTGCCACAAGAAAACCATAAACTGCGTTTATTATGGCACAAATTTCTGAATTACACAACACTCTTATTGGATCGCAAATGTCGCATATGAACTTTGTGCACTATAATAGACACTCGGTACATACTGTGACATTTACACACAGTAGAAGTTTATTACAGTATAGCACTGTAATAAACACCGTAGTTTTTGCTGATAACATTTTCAAGTCTATCGGTTTTCCTGAAGATTAGAATTGAGTTTCTCGAGTTCATATTCATGTAAGAAATGATTAAAATTCCATGAAAATAATATTTCTTGCAGTTAACAAGTAAGTAAACATCCAGTTCGTGTGCATAGAGTAGTATCATGGTCCATGGACGGTTGCAAATTTTGCAGTGCGATTCCGGTTTGTGTTGGTGCATGGTGCTCAGCCTAATATATAAATATAATGTTTTATATACAAAGTTACAAACTTCTCTTATTGTGCCACCGCACTTTGCTCACTCCAGCATTTTCGTCGAAAATCGTACGCTAATATTTCCGTTATCGTTGGTTAGCTTATCAACAATCAATCAGATATCAGCAGCGTTTAGATTTTGTTATCTTTGCCATGTAGTGAGGATTTCTCTGATACCATTCCATAAAAATCTTTAATCGGTGGTTAAGGCAGTCGTTGCGACAAGTCGTAAGCCGTGCTGCTTTCAACGTGGTTTCCATTGTTCGGATACTGGTTTGCCATCGTGAGAGCGCGAAACATCATTGTGTTTTTGGTTTTACACGGAGCACCTGGACCTCCGAACCTATAATTGGCGTGTGTGGAGTCTGTGTTCCTCTTGCAGATAATACTCCGAGAGACCTGCTTGAACCGACCGGATTTTTTGGATACAGCGATTTACCTTGGCAGTGAAACGGTGTGAGCTGAAATCAGTAACTTATCATTTGTTTTTGTAAACGTATGCTATAGCATTATCTTGGTCGTTTGGTAATGTGCTTGTTCTGTTTGCAACTTTGCAGTGAAAATCACTTGGTTAAATCTTGATTTTTGCCTTCTTTCGAGCATCCAATACAAATTGTGTACCAGTAGCAGGTAGTTGTAATCTTAGTAATCATGAAACAACTCATTTCTCTGCATAAAACAACAAGACACCGCGATTGAGTTATCCTAAATGAAAATTTAATAAATTAGGTGAGCATTAAGTTGTGATAATTCAGTTTTTTCAGTGTTATGTCATATTGCAGATGTTTCGATTGGTTTGTTTTTCTTTTTATTACTTACGCATTGCCTACTGATCCACCTGTTGATATGATCATGAATTACTTTGTACATATGTTGTCATATTTACTGGCGTTGCATGGTTGAGTGCGTAATTCCAGTTGCGATAAACAAATGCCCTATTTCATATTTTATCGATCTGTTTCAGAATTTCTTCACCACGAGGAACATTAGGAATTTAACATCCGTTTTTTGGAACAGAACAGCATTTTCGCAAACCAGGGAAAGAACAATGGCTAGTCAGCCGGCAAAGGCACCACTAACGAAAGCAGAAACACTAGAACTCCGACAAAAGCATGTCAGGTAAGATTGTTGACTCTGTTATCATAGCGTTTTTCGGCGGTGAATTGTAAGTTTTACTGTGATTAAAATACCAGCTGTCCTTCGTTTGCAGTAATGCGTTGACTTTGTTCTTCCGCGAAAATCCCCTGAAAATTGTCCGCGCCAGTGGACAGTACATGTACGATGAGAACGGGACAGAATTCTTGGACTGCATTAACAATGTCGCTCATGGTAAGTGTTGCAATCAGTGCGAATATTTTGTTACGTATTTTATTACCAGCACTGTCCGCCGGTGTTTGTCTGTCTTGAATATGTTCCATGTTTGCAGTTGGTCACTGTCATCCGCGTGTGGTGCAAGCCACTTCCGCTCAGCTTGCTCTGCAGTGCACAAATTCGCGCTATCTGCACGATAATTTGGTGCTGTGTGCCCAGCGAATTGTGAAGACTATGCCGAAGGAATTGAGCCATGTTTTCTTCGTTAATTCGGGCACGGAAGCCAATGATTTAGCCGTTAGACTGGCACGCCATTACACCAAAAATAAGGACTGTATTATCCTTGACCAGTAAGTCCGCACTACTCACGTTATTGTTGACGTTCGTTGAAAGCTAGCTGTTTGTATTTCAACTTTGTTAAAAAATAAGTTATTTGTGAAGGAATTATTATTTTCATATGGGGTTGGTTAAGTTTTGTCGCACTATTACTGTATTGTAATCCGATATTCACTGCATATTTGCAGCGCTTACCATGGAACATCCGTTACCATTAACGATTTGAGTCCTCACAAATTTCATCACATTAAAAACTACAAGTTGAAGCGCTGGGTGCATGTAGCGAGCCAACCTGATCCCTACCGAGGAATCTATCGTAGTCCGGAGTACACTGATAAACAGCTCGGTCAGCTGTACGCCAAAGAAGTAGCCGAAATAACCCAGCAGATTACGGATTCGGGTCGCGGTGCATGTCTGTTCTTGGCGGAATCCCAACAAAGTTGCGCTGGACAAATTCTTTTGCCGCAGGGATATTTGAAGCCGGTCTACGAGTATGTTACTCTGAACTTTCATGACTGAAAAATTTTGTAATAGAATAAAAATAAGGTGTAATAATAGCTTATAATATTTTCTGTTGGGGTGATAATTATTTTTGTTCAGCATAATATTAGCTGTAATAAAAATGTTGATCAAAAACTAGCAATCGGCGCAGGCTGTCGAAATATCGAAAACAGGTCTTATGCGTGTGTTCATATTTGGTTCGTAGGGCAGTTCGAGCGGCTGGTGGACTGTGTTTGGCCGACGAAGTCCAGACGGGATTCGGACGGATGGGAACGCATTACTGGGCCTTTGAAGAACAGGGTGTAGTGCCCGATTTTGTAACCATCGGTAAATCCATGGGCAATGGATTTCCTGTGGCTGCTTTAGTCACCAGGGCGGAAATTGCTAATGTTTTTCTGGATGCTGGCATCGAATTCTTTAATACGGTGAGGGGATTGTTAACCTTCTACGGCTCATATGTCTGGTTGTGTTTCTATGCCAGCTGGTTTGCAGTACGGAGGTAATGCTGCTGCATGCGCCACTGCTATGGCGGTAATGGATGTCGTGGAAGATGAACGTTTAATGCAGCATGCTAAAGAAGTTGGAGATTACTTGCTAGACAGATTGTCAGTTTTGAAGGAGAAGCACGCCGCTGTGGGAGATGTGAGGTGTGTTTTTATCAGTATTCTTCATATTTTGCTCTCGCGACGTGGAGAGATAAATGATGTTTGTTATGAATGAACTGCATGTATGTGATAATGTGCTGGTAGTAGTTTTACCATTGCAGGCCTTACATATCATAATTAGATTTCAGTTTTAACAATTTTTATCGGTGTACTTGCTTTGGAATCATTTGACGTTCGCTTGCATATACCCTGAACCCTTGCATATAACCTTGAGTTTTTTTGCAGAGGAAAAGGTTTGTTCTTGGGGATTGAGATTGTTAAAGATCGGAAAAACAGAATTCCAGACACCGAAACTGCAAAGATAATTATTTCAGAGTAAGTAGCTTTAATGGGGAATTGATGACTGAAGGAAATTCAAAAGGAAGGAAATTCTTAACATTTTTATTTTGTAGCCTGCGACATAAGAACGTCATTCTGAGTGTGGAAGGTCCGAAGGATAACGTGATTAAAATCAAGCCACCGATGTGTTTTAGTAAAACAGACGCGGACAGATTAATTGCACTTTTAGATGAAAGTCTGGGGAAATTGCCGGCTGTTTGAACATCAACATACTTGTCTGAGTTGGCAATGTTTTTGTGGCTACCGAATGCAGCAGTCATTTGTAAATTGTGAATTTAGTTTAGTGACCAGATTGTATTCGATTATTTTGCTCATTTACAACGGTTGCTCATTTTTTACAAAATGGATTTTCTTAGGTGGTGTTTTTAGGTGGTGTTTTTAGCAGTCATTGTACGTTTAATGAAAAGTGTAACGATGATAATTCACCGTAATTGATTCTGGTATGTCGTTGTAACGGTTTAACAATTAAAATCCGTTATTGCTGCGCTTTATTCATTTTTAGCAGGATTTAGTGATTATAAACCGATATGCACATATTTTCGATTTCCGGTATGTGTCCAGAACTCCAGATTATCGTATCGAAAATTATCGTATTGTACATTTGATGATTTGAACATCAAAAGTGCACCAGTACGATCTGTGCGAGGACAATAGGCACTTGAAGCAGTGAGATTTTAGCAAACATACATACAAAGTACACTCAACACAGTAAAACAATAAAAAACATTTTTACACTTAGTAAAAAACTAACTATGTCCTTAAAATAAACTACCAAAGCTAACGACGTAAGTCAACACAATTAGCGAAGAAGATCCAATACAATCTCTCTGTTTCGCTCTATCTTCAATTTCAGATCATCCATGTCTATCATGTGTTTTATCACTTCGGGAACTTTCAACTGGTGAACCAATGACGAAAACTCTACATCAGCGAATTCGCTATCCGCAAGCACTTTCCTCAGTCTGATCAAACAGATATGCTTGAGACGCTGCACCGGGGAATGAACACACGGCGACTGGTATTTCGCAGCCAGAAAATCAAGAACCCGTTGGCAACTTCCAAGCTTCGTTGCGCACTGCGCAGTATCATTTCCATGAGAACTTCGGCTCCACACAACGCATACGGATGCGGAGCACGAAACGTTTCGCTAAGGAAATTTCCTGTAATATATTCTGGAAAGATCAATGTTGCACCGGAGGTCAAGCACCAGAATTACAGAGAGGCAACCGTGTAAAACGAATTCAAATGCAGGGCAAGCTCGATCTGCATAGGATCCGGTCAAACGTGTGCCGTTGACATGATGAAAATGAGGCAGTGAAAGCGTTCTCCGAGACCTTGCATCATCGCTCTATGTACAGACTTGTCGTACTCTTGAAAGGTAGCTAGCTGTCCGGAGGAATCCGTTGTTTCATAGTTTTGCTTAAAAGAGTTCACAAAGTCAACCACATCATGCTCTGACTGTGCCGCACACCTGCAAAAAAAATCAAAATCGTTATGCGTACGTATTTGAATAATAACGTAATCTGCGAATAAAATTCAAATCAGCGTTACCTATTTCCACTTTTCTAAATTCTTGTTAATTTTTATATGGACGCAGTCAAATGGCGTATGACAACTAACAAACACAAACCAAATTTTGAGACATAATTAAACATCAAATACTGTATTTCCGTATCACATTTTTTTATGCCACAATAAAAAATGTACGCAAAACCAGAAACTGATAAAAAATCTACACTCAAAATCACAGACTTACTCATCTGACAGTGACCCACCAAAAAAATAATGATTTTTTTATAGTAATTACCTAATTTTTAATTATTAGAAATTTTATTTACAGAAGTATCGCTCGAAATTTCCCTTACAAAAAACTACATCCACCAGGGTATCCCGCTCTCAGAGCATCCGGCTGATAGAAAATCAGCGCCCGCGCTGACCAACAGCGTCAAGATCTCCAGATCACGATCTCCAGATCTCCAGATCACGATCACGCACAGAACCACACCAAACCTGGACCATCGATAGCGTTCACGTCCGCCCCACATCGCAACAACATACGGACCATCTGCGCGTTTCCCAGCTGCACCGCCGTCGTCAGACATGTCTCCCCGTCTAAATCGTTGGCGTTAACATAGACGTCGTTGATAGGTGCACCCTTCTCCAAGAGGAATTCCGCTTCGCGCAGCTGGTCATGCAATACCGCCCTGTATAGCGGACTATTGCCGTCGCTGTCTCTGCAGGCAATATCCGCACCGTTCAGCAGCAGGGTATCCAGGACGGCCAGATTGACATCCGTTCCCGTTAATTCTTCGTACTCCAGCGCATCCGGACCAGCAGCCTGTAAGAGCAGGGTATTCAGGCCCTCCGGGGATAAGTGGCCGTATCCCAGTGTATCTAAGTCCATCAATAAATTTCGCAGTCGAATTTCCTGTCACCTAATCGATACAAATAATCTAAATCTTCCCAATAAACCAAATAATCCTTATAATCAGCCACTTTCATTTCGAACTTATTATTATTACTTTATACTTATATTCATTCAAACCTGGAAATCTTTCTTTCTTGAATTCACAGCACGGATAATTCTTATTCTAATCGATATCACTTTAATACAAAGTCACTTACTAGCTAACACTGATGACAGCTTCAAACTCGAAACGGATTAAACTGTCAATTAAAAATGGCAAAATGTATGAAAATTGAAAAATACAGTGAGCGCCTATTTACACTAATCGTCAGCCAAAAATAAAAGTGGATCAACATCGATATTCCGAGTTTAACACACTCACAGTTTAACAGTAAGTTCGGGAAACTTCAACTTATCCATTTGTAGTGCATAGATCTTCACATCGGGAAAATTATTCTCATTAAGCGGAAACGGATATTCTGGAAAATCTGCTGATAGAGGGGCAGGCATGTACGGCAGACGAAACACACTCGGATCAGAATCGAGAACGAAGATGATTTCGGCGTGTTTGATTGGGATTCCTAAGATTCTTAATGTATCCCCAAAGTTGAGAAAATAATCCGGTTTGAAAATGTGTGTATGACTCTGAACCGTAACTTGAAAAAAGCGAATCACTCCTTTCTGCTCATTAAGATGAACCGCATCGAAGCCTCCCTGTTGTTTACTCTTTGGCTTTATCCAGTAAGATTCTCCGCTTTCACCCCATAAATTCTTATTCTCTCCGACATCCTCCAAATCGTATATCCCTCCAAATTCTTCGCAGTCGGCTTTGAAAACTTTACCAGGCAGTTCGTCTTTCAGGATAACGTTGCCAATGGCATCTTTTAGGCGTAGTTGTCCAAATTTAATGCTGGCGAAAAATTTGCACTCAAAAATATATCCTTCAGGCGATGCAAAATAAAAGTCATTCAAGCCGTTATTGAAGTCAAAATTGTATATACAGAAAAGAAGAATGATCACTACAAAAACAAAGCACTTATAGTACTTACCGCGCCCAGAGAGGTGGCCTATATATTTTTGCAGCCTGTCCAACACGGCTGGTCCGCGCTCCATACTTAACACTTCCACGGCATAAGAGCTAACAATCGAACGGAATCCGGAACTGCAATCGAAGACCAGGCGGTTCCGTATATCATCGTTCGTTTTCCCAACTCCCGTGTTTAGATAATCGCAAAGTTCGTCAACGGATTTAACAGAATTCACTGCGCTGGCAATGTCATACTTAATCTGATTCACGCTCCTGTAAAAAGTATAACGCCAGCTGTGGCCTGCAAAGTGCCACTTCTCTTTGACTAGTCGCTTGCCATTTGCCACATTCATCTTTAATTCAAATTTTTCATCCAGATCAATTTCAGGAAATCGCTGATCCATGTCGAAGCGGCGTTGATAATAAAGTAGAGCTCCCTCCTTGGTCACTTTCGCTTTCTCGCTTGGGCGATATTTAAAATCGTCCAGCAGCATGTCCCAAACGGACGCAAGGAACGTTTCCTTTGAAACGGCGGTATTATATTCGTCCAAGGTAGGAGCGAGCAAAGTTAAAGGAAAAAATTCCGCGCGCTCGAATACTTTAGACGCAGCTAATGACGAAGCAACAAGGCAGCGATTATTCTCGTGCGATTCAGTAAACGGAACCAGCGAGTCCATTATAGAATTTAATCCGTCCACCTTATCTGTTAGCCCATCCATGACAATAACTTGGGGTTGGATTTGTATTTGATGTTCCAGAAATTCAACAAAATCTCTCTTGCGAACACGCAGATATAAAACTTTTCCCAGAACGCCTTTTTGAAACTTCACAATGTATACAGGTCCACCAATAGGAAAATGCATCCAAGTGATGTCGTGCTCTGGAATCATCTTTATTGCACTGATTAACGCTGCGGAAGATTTGCCGATCCCTGGTGAACCAGCCAGCAGCAGGGTCCTGTCTGGCCATTCGACGATACGGTCAACAACGCGATTAAAGTAGTCGCTATTGTGGACGTAAACTTCCGTAACATTCGGCAGTTTTCGTAGGTTGTCCAAATGCAAACCAGTTAAATCATAGAGTTCGCGAAGAATGCAGTATGTCATTTCGTCGCTATTATATCGGAGAATTGGATGCGCGAAAGTATGCTGTTTCCAAACACCTACAAATAAATCAAACCGTCGGTGGCGAAATTTATTACTGAATTAGTCAAATGACAAAATATTAACTTGCCTTCCTGAACAGATGAATCTCGATTATTCTCAGTCTTCCTGCTGATATCCGCACCATGTGTCCCCGGTGCAAAGCTTCGTAAGCCACAATGGAAGTGACGGTGCTGGTATGCACTGCGCAATCGATGGCAGGATTCCTTGGAAAAAGGGAGACCGTATCCACGCAGGGTTTTTGGAGGTAGCGGAATTCGTGGAAGAAACACGAAAGTTTTCAAATCGTCAGGGAAGATATCATGCGCCGACGCCGTCGTGCAAGCGAATCTTGCCATTTGGTAGGATGCCCGCCACAGTGCCGTCAAAGAAAACGCCGCTCCATTCCGCAATGATAACATGGTGATCTTAAGCGATACCTAATCCAGTTTTCAGCAAAATGGATAATCAACCGATACTATAAGACAGTTTCAACACAAATATTGATCTTTCATCTAACAATGTAAGAAACACACGATATCACAAAATTCAGAATTTCAAATACTTACTCTAACTCGTATCACAAAATTTAAAATTTTCTATGTTCAAACAACTCTGATATGAGCGACCGCCATGTTACGACAGTCACTTGTCAAGTTTCATTTTTTCGTTTTTGTCTGTTTTCGTTTTTGATTTACGTTTTTAGTTGAAAACGAAAGTGCACTCTATTCAAACTTAAAAGATGATAATACTGGGCAATATGTCGGCGGTTTTTACACCGGCCAACAGCCTTCATATGCTCCGCGGGATGAGAGTACTGCACGTCCTTGCCGTCTTTTCTGATTCGATCAGCTGTTGAAGGCACCCCTAACGAAACCAGAAACACTGGAACTCCGTCAGGTAATTGTACGTTAGCCTTTTTATTACGTATTGCATTTTTTTGGCGATGAATTTTTAATTTTTAACTCTATAAAATACTTTTTGGTTTGCAGTAATGCGTTGACTTACCCTTCCGCGAAATCCCCTGAAAATTGTTCGTACTAGTGGACAGTACATGCACGATGAAAATGGGACAGAATTTTTGGACTGCACTAACAATGTCGCTCATGGTAAATATTGCACTCCGTAGCGTGTTTTGCAACCCTAACTGTCCAGTGTCCAGAAATATTACGTATTTTTGTGTTGTTTAAAAGCGCCCCACTGTTGCAGTTGATCACTGTCATCCGCGTGTGGTGCAGGCCACTTCCGCTCAGTTTGCTCTGCAGTGCACAAATTCGCGTTATCTGCACGATAATTTGGTGCTGTGTGCCCAGCGAATTGTGAAGACTATGCCGAAGGAATTGAGCCATGTTTTCTTCGTTAATTCGGGCACGGAAGCCAATGATTTAGCCGTTAGACTGGCACGCCATTAAATCAAAAATAAGGACTGTATTATCCTTGACCAGTAAGTCCGCACTACTCCCATTTATTGTTGACATTCGTTGAAAGCTAGCTGTACGCAAGGAAGTAGCCGAAATAGCCCAGCGCATTACGGATTCTGGTCGCGGTGCGTGCTTGTTCTTGGCGGAATCCCAACAAAGCTGCGCTGGACAAATTCTTTGCCTCAGGGATATTTGAAGCCGGTCTACGAGTATGTCAATCTGAACTTGATGAAAAACTTGTCATGACTGAAAAAATTTGTATTAGAATAAAAATAAGGTGTAATAATACATAGCTTATTACAGTATTTTCTGTTTGGAATGATAATTATTTTTATGTAGCATAATATTAGCTGTAATAAAAATGTTGATCAAAAACTAGCAATCGGCGCAAGCTGTCGAAATATCGAAAACAGGTCTTATGCGTGTGTTCATATTTGGTTCGTAAGGCAGTTCGAGCGGCTGGTGGACTGTGTTTGGCCGACGAAGTCCAGACGGGATTCGGACGGATGGGAACGCATTACTGGGCCTTTGAAGAACAGGGTGTAGTGCCCGATTTTGTAACCATCGGTAAATCCATGGGCAATGGATTTCCTGTGGCTGCTTTAGTCACCAGGGCGGAAATTGCTAATGTTTTTCTGGATGCTGGCATCGAATTCTTTAATACGGTGAGGGGATTGTTAACCTTCTACGGCTCATATGTCTGGTTGTGTTTCTATGCCAGCTGGTTTGCAGTACGGAGGTAATGCTGCTGCATGCGCCACTGCTATGGCGGTAATGGATGTCGTGGAAGATGAACGTTTAATGCAGCATGCTAAAGAAGTTGGAGATTACTTGCTAGACAGATTGTCAGTTTTGAAGGAGAAGCACGCCGCTGTGGGAGATGTGAGGTGTGTTTTTATCCATATTTTTCATATTCGCTCTCGCGATGAGGAGAGATGAATGATGGTTGTTATGAATAAACTGCATGTATCTCATAATATACTGGCAGTATTTTTACCATTACAGGCCTTATGTACATATCATAATCACATTGCAGTTTTAACAGTTTTTATGGCTGTACTTGTTTTGGAATCAGCTGACGTTGGCTTGCATATACCCTGAATTTTTTTTTGCAGAGGAAAAGGTTTGTTCTTGGGGATTAAGATTGTTAAAGAACGAAAAAACAAAATTCCAGACACCAAAACTGCAAAGATAATTATTTCAGAGTAACTGGCTTGAATGTGGAGTTGATGAGTGAAGGAAATTCGAAAGGAAGGAAATTCTTAACATTTTTATTTTGTAGCCTGCGCCATAAGAACGTCATTTTGAGTGTGGAAGGCCCGAAGGATAACGTGATCAAAATCAAGCCACCGATGTGTTTTAGTAAAACAGACGCGGACAAATTAATTGCACTTTTTGATGAAAGCCTGGGGAAATTGTCGGCTGTTTGAACATCAACATACTTGTCTGAGTTGGCAATGTTTTTGTGGCTACCGAATGCAGCAGTCATTTGTAAATTGTGAATTTAGTTTAGTGACCAGATTGTATTCGATTATTTTGCTCATTTACAACGGTTGCTTATTTTTTACAAAATGGATTTTCTTAGGTGGTGTTTTTTGCAGTCATTGTACGTTTAATGAAAGGTGTAGCGATGGTAATTCATCGTAATTGATTCTGGTATATAGTTTGTAACGGTTCAGCAATTGAAATCCATTTTGATATGCACATATTTTCGGTTACCGGTATTTGTCCAGAACTCCAGATTATCGTATTGAAACTGTACATATGAAGATTTGAACATCACACGGGCAACAGTAAGATCTGTGCGAGCATAATAAGCACTTAAACAGTGAGATTTTAGCAAACATACACTGAACAGTGAACACAGTAAAGAATAAAAATAATTTTTACACTTAATAAAACTATGTACTTAAAACAAGCTACCATAGACCATAGCTAACGGCGTTAGTCAAGAATATCAGCGAAGAAGATCCAGTACAATCTCTCTGTTTCGCTCTATCTTCAGTTTCAGATCGTCCATGTTTATGATGTGTTTCATCGCTTCGGGAACTTTCAACTGGTGAACCAATGACGAAAAGTCTACATCAGCGAATTTGCTATCCGCAAGCACTTTCCTCAGTCTGATCAAACAGATATGCTTGAGACGCTGCACCGGGGTATGAACACACGGCGACTGGCATTTCGCAGCCAAAAAATCAAGAACCCATTGGCAACTTCCATGAGAAGCTTCGTTGCGCAGTATTATTTCCATGAGAACTTCGGCTCCACACAGCGCATACGGATGCGGGGCACGAAAAGTTTCGCTAAGGAAATTTCCTGTAATATATTCTGGAAAGATCACTGTTGCACCGGAGGTCAGGCACCAGAAATACAGAGATGCAACCGTGTAAAACGAATTCAGATGCAGGGCAAGCTCGATCTGCATCGGATCCGGCAAAACATGTGCCGTTGACATGATGAAAATTAGGCAGTGAATTCGTTCTCCGAGACCTTGCATCATCGCTCTATGCACAGATTTGTCGTACTCTTGAAATGCAGCCAGCTGTCCGGAGGAATCAGTTGTTTCATAGTTTTGTTCAAAAGAGTTCACAAAGTCAACCACATCATGCTCTGACTGTGCCGCACACCTGCAAAAACAATCAAAATCGTTATTCGCCCGTGTTTGAATAATGCTAGTTCGTCATCTCCGAATAATTTCAAATCAGCGTTATTTCCACTTTTTTAAAGGCATGTTTATTATTATATGGACGCAGTCAAATGGCGTACGATAACTAATAAACATAAAGCAAATTCAGATACATAATTATATCGTATATTTCGTATTAAATTTTTGACCACAATAAAAATGTACGCAAAAATAAAAAAACGATAAAAAAATCTGCGCTTACTTGTTTGAAAGCCGCCCAAAATAAGAAAAAATTTATATCGCTGGAAATTTCCACTTACAAAAAAACTACATCCACCAGCGTATCTCCAAGAGCATCCGGCTGAAGCAAATTAGCGCCCGCGCTGACCAACAGCGTCAAGATCTCCAGATCACGATGCAAGGCACAGAACCACACCAAACCTGGACCATCGATAGCGTTCACGTCCGCCCCACATCGCAACAACATACGGACCATCTGCGCGTTTCCCAGCTGCACCGCCGTCGTCAGACATGTCTCCCCGTCTAAATCGTTGGCGTTAACATAGACGTCGTTGATAGGTGCACCCTTCTCCAAGAGGAATTCCGCTTCGCGCAGCTGGTCATGCAATACCGCCCTGTATAGCGGACTATTGCCGTCGCTGTCTCTGCAGGCAATATCCGCACCGTTCAGCAGCAGGGTATCCAGGACGGCCAGATTGACATCCGTTCCCGTTAATTCTTCGTACTCCAGCGCATCCGGACCAGCAGCCTGTAAGAGCAGGGTATTCAGGCCCTCCGGGGATAAGTGGCCGTATCCCAGTGTATCCAAATCCAGTGTATCCACGAATGACATTGTGCTGAGCTCGTCTGCCATACGCAGCAAGATGTGCAAGGTTGTGCGTGCATCCATGGACATCTCTGGCAGATGGCGATCTCCAAAAGAATCCATGGCGAAGATGGAAACGCTCACTAGTATGTATGAGAAAGTTAGGTGTAAAGTCAGTAAAAGGAAAATCAAAACCCAGCTTGCTGCCACAAGTTCACCACGTGCTATCGGAGTTATTCCATCCTGTTTTTATTTTAGTAAAATAAAATTATAAAAATTACTTAAGTACCTATTTACCAGTCCATCTGCCGCCCGCAGGGCGCAGCGTACCAATACGTAGGTAGCGGTACAGTGCGGGAGCGATTTAGGAACGAATAGTAATTTTAGGAACGATTACGAAATTATTGCATTTTTTGTTCTCGCCAAATAAGTACAGTACGCGTACGTACTCCGGTACTCGTATTGACAATATTCGGGATAAAGGATTTGGTACGTAGTACACTTCTGCTCTGGCTCTCTTTAATATGCAGTACTGTAATATTTTGCGTGTTTAATACGTCATCCGTGTATCGCTGGCCTGGTGGTCATTGATCATTGAATTGGTAGGTCCAGTACGAGTGATGCATCTAGGCATCCCTGGCGCATTTGTTTGCAGTTTGCAGTTTGCATTTTGTTTCAGCGTCAGATGCATTGCGGTGCAGTTTGCCAGTTTCATGATCATTTCTAGTCTGTTCTTCTTTCAATCCGTGATCCAGACTGCCAGTGTAAAAGTGTTATTTTTATTGTAATTAAGCTTTAAAGCCTGTAATTAGGTCTCTTATTCTTTCTGGAACTTTTTATTATTACCATGGAAGGCGCGTATTACGATGACACATTTGTTTTTCGTCATCCCGGAACATCCACTCAGTCTCCTGTCTACGCATCAGTGGAAACACCCGTTACACTGCCTGACCATGCAGACTTTGATAGAGCTCTGGATCTTTCATACAGTGCGCCGATATCCTTGCCATCCGTTGCAGAGCCCACTGAAGGTTTTCTGAATACCATCCATTACGTTAGCACAGCGACCATCCATCTCGATGTCCACGGTATGCCGTTTTGTTTTCGTTTTTGCTCTGGCTACGTGAGTTTATGCAGTTGGCCAAACAGCAGGGTTATTGACCTTTAGCAATTGTTTGCAGCACCGACAACCAGCAAATATGATAACACATCTGTTTTTGCTGGCCTCGGCTCATGCCTGCAGGATGCATCCACGAACACTGCGACGGTCGATGCTGCAGCTGATCTTGGTGCCGTGGAAAACGGTTCTGCTGGAGGAACTGTTGACCTTCTTGCAGCTGCTGACGACACAAAGGCTGGTTTAGAGAGTCCTGCGTTGACAGATTCGTCTGGAAAGAATTCGCCGTCCTTTTCCCAGCGGAGCAGTACTGCGGATTCCGGGGAATATCAAGACGCCTCGGATGTGACCTTTAGCAAATCAGGTATGCTGTATCTCATTGGCTGCACTTGTTTGAAGCCTTCAAGGCTGATGCTTGTACATGTAATACAGTCTGCAATTTTAAAAAATAATATCAATTCGTTTTGCGTTTGAATCAACCGATTAATACATTCTTGCGCAGGTCTGCCGGATGCTGATGGAGGGACTGTGGGGGAAATTATTAATAAGGTTCTGGCCACGGCTATGCTGCCCATGCATAAGAAGGAACATCTGCCCGATGATCGCGAATCCGACGATGCGGTTGTTCTTAAAAAGCTCATGACTCCGGGTCCGCAATTCCGCTCGCCGCAGACCAAAGGATCGATGGCGGATTCTTCGCCAGCTCGTAGTGCTGTGCGGAAGGGTTCGAGTTCAGCTGAAAAGTTGACGCACTTGCTGAAATTTTACGTCGGTAAGCCGTAAGTTATTCTGGTGAAAGGTGATTAGCATTAGGCAATGGGATAAACAAGCGACTTCAACCTTTTATCTTTCGTGTTTATGTAGCCCACCATCGTCATCGACACTTCCAGTCCAGTATGCGCACGCTCTTCACGCGCGCTATGGTCAAATTGAGTAAGATTCTCGAATTAATCATTTGAAGTCGTTTGGTAACTGCGACATACAGTTGTCTTAGTTTCTTTATTTTTAGATAAGGCCAGCCGCGATCGAAACCGGTGCCGTCATGATTCCGCAACCGGATCTGAGTGCAGCTGGGAAACCGCTTCTGACTCTGCCGCAGGTTGGTGCAAAGTTCGCTGCCTTTGTTGTGAATGTCATTCAAGCTTTGTAGAACTTACAGTTTATATTGATAATTTTAATTGGCAAGAGCCACCCAAATAATAACTGCAAGCATTGGTAACACTACTTAATAGTATAGTTAAAAATTGATAATTGATTTCATCACCAGACTGTTATTAATTTTTACAGCACTTTTTCCTGATAGTGTAATTATTACTACAAAACACAAATTTGTTTAGGTCTGTCAGATGCTAGCGAAAAAGGGTTTTCGATCAGCTTTAATCCTTTGCTCCCTGCCCCACCGACATCCATTCAAGAAGTGCCGACTACAAAAGCAGTGATTGCGGAAATGGAAAAACTACACTTGGGTGGTGATGCACACCTGTTTCCAAATTCTGATGTAATTTTATCACTTTTTTAACTAACGACTTTAACGTGCAGTGATACTTTATGCTGCATTTCGAATATCACTCTTATTATTCAAGTTTTTCTGCTCATGACATTTCCTTTTGTTCTAGCGCAATTTTTCTGGATTAAGTCGACAAGAACGTTATTTCTCCGCTAAAAAGCCTGAAGCCAGTAACAGTGGGCAAACTGCGGCTCTTTCTTTCCGTGACTTTTATCCGCCGCCAAAAAATGCCATCAACCTTCAGCTGTGAGTTAATTCTCTGTAAGACTACTTTTGCATTGTGGGTCTCATTTTGACACATGATTGTTGGTTTAGATACCAAATTCGCGAGCGGATTTTCAACAACGATGTGCAAGTTTTTTCCATCGCTCCGGAAATCGCAGCCGAGAAGAACAAGCCAGAGTACACCGAACTGGAACCGCAAATTCTGTAGTTTAATCATGAAAACAAGTTTGCGGTGAGAGTGCGCTCTTCACTTTTGGCATTTTTCCTGTAATAGTTGTGATTTTCCGTTATTGTGATTCATTAAACAGGGTGGTTGATGTTTCTTTGCTTTCATTCTTTTTTTGCTTTTTCAATAGATTTGAATAGCGCATTTTGACTGAGAACTGAGCGATCGTGTCACATGTTTTGAACAATTTTTATTGCATTGTGTAAAGTTTGGTGCTTTTGAAGTACAATTTTATGAATAAAACGCGGAAGTAAAGATATATGAACAATTGTTTGCACATCGGTGTGACTTCGATAAAAGTGCTTTCCGTGACTCCAAATTTTGTACAAAAAAACGATCACGGTTACTTGATGGATTATTTACAGCGCCACTTTTCTACAGCTGGCAACCTTAAAACAGTAAGGAAATAACTTTTGCATGTGTGATATATCCAGTTGCTAATGGACCGTAATCCGACTACAGATGTACAAATTCGTCTAATGCTGCGGACCTAGCACTGACCAGTCTCTTGTTAGATAATCAAAAGTGTCAATGATAATCGCCACTAACACATTCAGAATCACGAAAGAACACAGAAAATGGAAGGATGTGAAGTATATACGTAAGAGGATCCGATCCACATAAACTGCCCGCTGGTAATAAAACCGGTTCTCGCGTCACAAAAAAACATCCTGACGATTCGCACACGACATCATGATATCCTGTCAGCCTTCGCCACTTGCAGAACGAAACAGCAGGAGCAATGCTCGTGGAAAGTTTTGGAAATGGTTATGGCGGTTAATAGAGCTGGTGTCAGTCAAGGAAATTCTTCGAACACCTAACATAAATACAAAATACATCAGAGATCGGGACCGTCGGAGCTGGTGCATATAAAACGTTTCTAATTAGTAGCCGTTTTTGACACCGTCGACACAGTGGTGCCTTATTTAAGGAACCAACAAAGGAGATCAGAACCGGGGGCTGTACAAAGTGGACATGTCTCATTGAGCAACCGGACGACAACAATATCTACATACATTGTCCGCTGGAGAGACGCCGCAGCATAACACGTCACTGGAATTTGGCAAATCCACCAAAGCAGCCACATGAAATCGATGAAACGGCGAAGCCTTCAGAACTGCCAGAACGACCTAATTGAGCATCAATACGGTTGGAGTTAGTTGCCACTTTCACTTTATACACCTGACCAACACAGCCCGATCCCACAGGAAGTTTTCTTAAGGTTACAGAAAGGATGTTTCGCTTCCAGTTCATTCGTTAAACGCTCTGCAAAATAAATATTTCGATAAATAGATCGATCCTGACCCCACAGTTTGCAGTCAATTCGGTATCTCAGCGAAGCCGCCAGCACAAATGGAAAAGCTGCAACCAGGTGGCAGAGAATGCGGCTGTTTTCGAAGGTTTTATACGCTGGTAAGTTAAACAAACATTTTAAAACTGGATTTGAGAAGCCATTCTACCTGACCGCTTACAATTTATATTGCCTTTGTAAAGTTTGATGCATCTGAACTACAATTATATATAGGATATTTCTCGCATCAGGTTAAAAAAACGGAAAACATCGTTACAGAAAGAACGAATAACTTATCACAATCTAAAGAACAAGAAATAAAAATCAGAACAAATCAATACAAAACACATTGTGCAAACAATAAAAATCAGCTATCTCCTCTCCAAATTACGACAAGAAATATCTTTGGCATGAAGTCCATATTCCCATCCAACGCCCATTTTATTTCCATGGGTAATCCCGGTTCTTTTGGCTAGAATAGGTAATTTCTGGCTAGTGCTGTACAGAATGGCATACACGTCATCTTCCATACTAACGGAGATCTTCCGCACACCATCAGCAACCAGTTCCCATTCTGTGCCTTCCGGAAAGGCCGCACTGTATTCTTTGCGAAAGTACGCCTGATCATCCGTACACACAGCCCATACCGAATCGCCTCCAACAGCCACTTGTCGAATATTCACCACGCTTTCCGGTTTCTCCACCTGAAACCAGTACAGTCCATCGAGCTTGTCCTTAGTCCCGTTTCTCACGTATGCCGTTCCATCCGCCCCGACGCCCCACACACAAAACGGACCAACGGAAATATTTACAAAAGCCACGGGAGAGCGCACGGGAATCCATGTATCACCCAAAGGATTTTTCGTGGACACATGATCTCGCACTAAAACGCTACCGTCGACCGTCACCGCCCATAAAGAAACATAATTCCCAGAAGCGACTCCCGGACAGATAGAGACGGAACGCAATGGAGTATTTGGACCTGGAAACCACGGCCCGGTACAATCAACTTTCATCAGACGAAACCAACGCCGTCGACGCACGTAGTCGTTGGATCCTTTTGAGGAGTGAAAGGAAGATGGGAAATCGAATGCATATTCCCAGCCATTCTCCTCACCGTTTCGATAGTCAATCTGCCATTCGGAATCCCATTTCCATAAATTAGAGGGCAACTGAAATGCATCCATCGACAACTGCATCCTTCCGGTCTCATCTGACCAAGTATATCTACGACCGCAAAAACACAATTAATTCTTATAATAAGAAAATTCGAAAGGCAATAAACAGCACGGAATACTCAGAAAACCTTCCCTGCTTCGTTAACTTTACAGCTGCATTCGTTATAGTAAATTAGAAATGCACAGTAATAAAAACACATCCGCACTTCGCGATTGCTCCATTCGGCACAATTTTTCGCTTTAGCTTAGCTTTAGTATTCAAAAGAAATACAGAAACAACTCACAAATCAATTGTACAAACAATTTGCTGTACCAGCTGAAAAATATTACGAAGCAATGAGTCCCACAAACCAGTCACAACAGCGGCATTTAAAGCATCGTCCACACACCTTTTACTTCGCTCACCTATCTGTAGGCAACAACTTGTCGCAAAACCCCATTAGTATATTCCATCGCTGATTTTCGTACAGCTCCACACGATGTGTCCACCTGAACTTTCTTCTCCATTCCCGTTTTGCCTTCATAGCTGCCCGTCCAAACCCAGGTTCGCCCATCCATCCCCAGCGCCCACGTAATCCCCGATGCTGATTCAACCGACCGGAAGTGGCCTCCTAACGTTAGCCATTTCACCGATGGCAGCGCTTCGGAAGTGTTAAAACTCACCAACGGGCAGCTGACACCCGCAGCCAGAATCCATAAGCGGTCCCTTTTCTGAATTTCTCGTACATCCAAGAAGCTCAGATACGATTCTGCTAAATAAGTATTCCAAAGCATTAATTCTGATTTTAATCCGGACAACCGTAACGGTGTCTGCGCGCGAGTGAGAAACGCTGTCGATATTTGTAGCTGATGGTCTCCTTTTGTATCAAGATGAAGGCATATTCCCGTGATATCGAAAAATGGAATCAGCAGCTTGGTGGTGCCACCATCCACAGTAATGGAGCAATCGGCTGGATCGGCTTCCTGGGAATACCGAACTTGGAAAAAGCACTGCTCCCAGGTAGACATTTTGTTAGACCACACTTTCAAAAATCCTGCATCACTCGCTTCATCGTTATCAACGCGGTCAATAGCCGGCTCCATTTTTTCGTAATTTTGCATCTCATTCTGAAACCGTAGTGACAACAAACCCAGAATATTTTTCCGCCAAGCATTCTCATCGTCAAACGACGTAGTACGCGCATCAACAAATCCGGCAGTCCCGCTAATCCATGTCCATGGGTCCTGGTTTTCAGTTTCCTGATTCTGCGATTCTTCTTTTATTTTCAAAGATATTTTCTTCCAACCTTTTCCATGCGGATCTCCTAATCCGATTCCGTGTCGCCAATAAATCTGATTATCGTTGCTGATGGCGAAAACCTCCCCATTGCGCGTTATGGTCACACAAACCGCCGACATACTAGCAATGTGCACCCACGTTGTTCCATGGGGTTGACTCGTCCGCATGCCTTGCCGAAACCACACCGAGCCGTCTTTCGCCACCGCCCAGACACTCTCCGTTCCCACGGCAATCTGCGTTAATAATGAGGTCGTCGAAGGCGCTTCCACCAACACCCACGACGCTCCGTGAGGCCGATCCCGATTGATGCCGCTGCGCATCAACGCCTTCCGTTGGAGGTGACGGCCCACACCATCTCACCGGGGCCAACGGATATCCTTGCCGCCTCCACCCCATCGGGAAGATCGATGTATGCCCATGCATCCCGTGGAAAGCGGAGGCGAGACTGCAGTGCGGCGGACGATCACCTGGCCGTTGATAGTGACAGCCCATAGGAAGATACTTCGCGTGCTGTGGGCAGACGTGTCGCATCCTCCAGCGGAAATGTCCATCAAGGCCAGGCTGACATCCGCGAGATCGGTCCATGTTAAAGGAATCCAGCGGTTGGTGGCACGGTAACGGCATGTCCGTGTCCAACGGCGACGGCGCACATAGTGATTCCATCGCTTTTCAGGATAGTACGTCGAGGGAAAGTCAATGGCGTATGTCCAACCCTGAGAAAAAAGCGCAAAAGTTTTTCTCAGTCACTCTCCATTTTCTTTCGGCTCCATACAGTGGTAACTAATATACTATGATTTGTGATGATGCTGTTCTTAAAATTAATCTTGTATTTATTTTTTCTATCCTATTTCAATAATAAATTAAAATCCACAAACAAGCACGAGCAATACGAATAAAAAATTTTTAAACTTCTAACATTAAAATTTTAATACTCAACGAGTAAACTAACGTCAGACTGAGAAAGATAACTGGCTTTCCATGTTGGAGTCAGAAACCACAAACAAAATCGCAAATGGAAAGAAAGTACGGTAAGTCGGTAACATACAATAGTACATACTCAACATTCGTATCAACTCCACTTTGAATTCATATTCACCTAGATTTCACAATATTTTTAGAGTAGCATACGGTTAATTCGCCTTCAAATTTCATCAATACACGGTAAAAAATTATTATCAATTTACTGACATTAAACCTCGATCACGATAATTATCTTCGTTGTGTCAGTGTTGGAGAAACACATACTTCAGGACCGAGCAGAACACCGTGGAAATTCTCGTCTATCTGCCAGCGCGCTGTCTCCCAAGTCCAATCTGATGTCGGTAACTGTGTATCGTCCTTTCCACGCTCAGTTCTTCCGCTCTCATCCGACCACTGATACCTGCAGGAAACGAGGAAAACTGCAACTGACTGCCGCTCTGCATTGAGCGAAGAGAACGAACCTGTCTGTAGGCAGCAGTGCATTTGAATAGCCTCTCGCTGGGGTCCACCGTTCATTCTGGTAGATTTCCACCGTGCGACAGATTGGCACTAATGGTTCGCTAACCCATACATAAGCCTATCAAACACCCAGATAAAATACACAGGCCAAATGAAGCTCACGATCTACTAAAATACTCATACTTAAGACTTAAGTCTTCACAAGAAAACCTACTTAATACGCTGGGCGCAGAAGAGTAGTTAAATTCATCAGAGTGCTAAGTATTTTAACAGAAATAATACAACGGAAATCGAGCTGCTTTCAGTTTTCTGCGTTAAACCGCTTCCTACCTTCAGATCAGCTCCAATTCCATACAGTACTTCGGGTGCCTGTCCACCAAATGCCAAGCACTTGATCTGGATCGCAGAAGTCAGGAAACCCGTAGTATTTCCACGCTTCACCGAAAAAACTTTCCCGGATGATTTTAGAAGATAGAAGACCGACGCTGCATCCCCACCAAGGCACCAACCGAGCCCGACGCCATGTCCAACTTGTGCGCCGTAAATACAAATGTTGCCAACAAAGAGAACACATCATGTGCTACACATGATTCCAAATTTGCAGCAAAATCAGTCGTGATAGCTGACAGCAGACAGCACTTCGATACGAGTCACGACTACTGTATGAGTGTGATAGGAGAATGCGCTAAGGAAAACGAGCGATGAAGACCACGAGCGATTAAAAAGCTGAGCCAAGAAAGTTCTTGATCTGAGCTGAGCCAAGAAAGTTAATCACCCGGCCAACGGAGCGATCAAGAAAATTCGCAGATTTTCTTGATCGAGAATTTCTTGATCGGTACAAGCTCGTAGTGATCAAGAAATTTCACAACGAGGTGGCCAATCGTAGCGTTCTCCGATTCGAGCCACTTTCGGTGAGAGTTGAGACTCTTGATCGGTCACAAATCTTGATCGCTCGGAAATCCTTAGCGCATTCCCCTGTGACTGTATGTAAATAAGGGTGAGAATTAATGTTGCCGGAAGTGCTCCAATCTAAAATGAATTTCGAGTATTCGAAATTCAAATACACTACCGTTTGAATTCCGAGTAATCGGAATTGCAATTGCAGGCATTCCAACTCCGAGTAATCGCAATTTAAAAGGACGCAGTTGTAATTTCGAATATTCGGAATTGCAATGCATATCATATGAATTTTAAGTAATCCGTTGTTAAAAGAAATTTTACTTAATATTTTGATTATAATTTATCATCAAACTACGTACTATGGAACTGGAAGTTTTGATGCGATACCTTACATAGAAGTAGTAATACTGATTACGTATTTATGACCGAAATAATTTTATTAATTAAATGACAGCAGAATTTAATTTCGAGCGCTCGGAAAATTTTAGGGCGTGGTCATTAAACGTTGATGTACCTTTATCAGTTCGGCGTACAATAAACTTTCTATAGCAAAAATAACAACAAAAAACAGGTTTCCGTTTAAATTGACATTATTCTGGCTTTCACCGTCGCAAATGAACTGATCCATGCTCATCTAGCGTTGTTGGCTCAAAACTCATCGGTCAGCGTTAGCGCAGTCTACGGCTGCCTGCGAATAGTGCGGCTACTACAGCGCCGACGTGTACAGTAATGATTTGGCCAGCTTTTATTTGGGCATTGGGTGATGACACTAGCACCGGAACACAGGGCATCGGAGTAACTGGCGCCGTTGTTCTTCATAAATTCCGAGTCTCCCCTCCTCACAGAAGGGTGTGTGCGGTAGGGAAGAACGACTTGTTACATTGAATTATGACCTTTACCTGATACAACAGCAACTTAAATACATTAAACACAAATGCACTATCGCTGTACCACATCCGCATTGCTTCTCCTATTTATACATCAGGATGTACATCCCAATGACACACACTGGTCCCTCATGACAGACCCACTTCATTAATTCTAGATTTTGTGCGAGGTTCGAGTTACCAGTGCCACTGATCTCTACCCCTGATCGCGCAAATATGTTCTGCCTAGCTAGTCTGCTTACTCGTAAGTCGTAACAAACACCTTCTTGCTCATTTAACGGTTGCCAAGTCCGCAAAAGTATTGACTGATGAATTTATGGAAAGTGCATGCCTCCTATATATATAAGCCTCCTAAAATGACCACTAACACACCATTTAATTGCCCTTAGCTCTTTACAGGCGTGCGAAAAGTTTTCGTTTTAATAGACCTGGATTTGGGAGAAAAAGTTATAGTACGAGTACTAAAGAATAGTTCTAAAAAAGTGCAGCAATAAAAGCAAAACCGTATATGGAAATAATTGTAATTTATTTTTTGTTTTATAATATACCCAGGACCTCATAAGAACTGCCGGCCGGGGGTACCAACCAGAAACGAATGCGGGATGATATTTAAGCTTTACTTGAGTCACTTTAGATGTGAATTTAGTCAGTAAAATTATAGTACAGATATAACGGATTTCAACAGTTCGCATAATGCAAAACTCGTATATCAATGTATTCTTAAAACTTGTCTATACTGAGCCTGTAAGTAATAAACAGGGTGAAAAGGGGTGCCTATGTGGCTATAATAATTACCTGGTCGCGAGGTGTGCACATACTAGTAACGGTTTCCCTTTTACACCGCCCTCAGTTAGACGTATACAGTAAAATACTTGTACATCTACTGTAAGAATCTCAAGATTCTGCTCTATTCTGTTAGTGTTAAATAAATTTCAAAGAAATCGAAATTCAGAAAAGTCCCGTTCAATTCTGAATATTTGGATTTTATTTTACCGTAGTTTAAATTTCGAATATTCGGAATTCGCATTGCCACATTTTGAATTCCGATTACTCGGAATTCAAAATGTGGCAGTGCGAGTTCCGAGTAATCGGAATTCAAATTACGGTCTTTTAAATTTCGAGTACTGTATTTGGAAATCTAATAAAAAATATTTAGATTGCTCGGAATTGGAAATACCTGAATTTGAATTCCGATTATTCGGAATTGGTATCGAAATTCTTTCACATGCAATTTGGAGCACTTCCGGCAACACTAGTGAGAATGCAACGGGCTCCAGTAAAGCCTGGAAGGGGCAAACTAAGGCCTCGTCCCGAATTCGAAGCGAATCTCGTTGCGATACAGCAACTCCACCTCACGAGGTGGCTTCGCGTACCGTATCTGTAGGCGTGGCCACTGCATACAGCCACCTCGTGCGGTGGAGCAACCGTACCATAGCGAGATTCGCTTCGAATTCGGGACAAGGCCTAAATCAAATGTACTAAATGCTGTGATACGCGCTCCGTATCACTCTGTTTCTTATTAGGGTGCGTCTCCAATTCAAAGCGAATCTAGCTTTGGTATGTTTTATGTTTTTGATCCCGAAATCTGCGTATTATTCCTTTTTGTTTTCGTTTTTGCTCTGGCCACGTCGGTTTATGCCGTTGGCCAAATTACAACAGGTTGACCTTTTGCAATTGTTTGCAGCACCGACAACCAGCAGATATGATAGCGCGTCAATTTTTGCTGGCCTCGGCTCGTGCTTGCAGGATGCATCTACGAACACCGCGACGGTCGATGCTGCAGCTGATCTTGGTGCCGTGGAAAACGGTTCTGCTGGAGGAGCTGTTGACCTTCTTGCAGCTGCTGACGAGGCCAAGACTGGTTTATGGAGTCCTGCATTGACAGAATCGTCTGGAAAGAGTCCTGCGTTGACCGAATCGTCTGGAAAGAATTCGCCGTCCTTTTCCCAGCGGAGCAGTACTGCGGATTCCGGGGAATATCAAGACGCCTCGGATGTGACCTTTAGCAAATCAGGTATGTCGTTCCCATTGGCTACACGTTGTTTTGAAGTCTTCAAGCTATATTGCCGTAAGTGTTCTACAGTCTGCATTTTTTAAAAATAATGTCAAGACGTTTGAATCAACCGATAAACACATTTTTACGCAGGTCTGCCGGATGCTAATCCAGGGACTGTGGGGGAGATTATTACCAAGGTTCTGGCCACGGCTATGCATAAGAAGGAGCATTTGCCCGATGATCGGGACTCCGATGATGCGGTTGTTCATAGAAAGCTCATGACTCCGGGTTCGCACTACCGCTCGCAGCATTCTTCGCCAGGGCGTAGTGGTGTGCGGAAGGGTTCGAGTTCAGCTGAAAAATTGACGCACTTGCTTAAATTTTACGTCGGTAAGCCGTAAGTTATTCTGGAGATGCTTGTTGAAAGGTTGATTAATAGAAGGCACTAGGCAATGGGGTAACCAACTATTTCAGCTTTTCCATCTTTCATGTGTGTAGCCAACCATCGTCATCGACACTTCCAGTCCAGTATGCGCAAGCTCTTCACGCGCGCTATGATAAAATTGAGTAAGATTTTAAAACTTAATGATTTAAAGTGGTTTGGTAACTGCGACGTAGAGTTGTCTTAATTTTTTGCATTTCAGATAAGGCTAGCCGCGATCAAAACCGGTGTCGTCATGATTCCGCAACCGAATCTGAGTGCAGCTGGGAAAGTACTTCTGAATCGTCTGCAGGTTAGTGCAAAGTCCGCTGCCTTTGTTGTCAAACAAGTTTTGTGGAATTTATAGTTTGTATTGATAATTGGTTTCATCATCAGATTGTTATGTTATCCAGCACTTTTCCTGATAGTGTAATTATTACTGTAACAGGAGAGCGCGAGGAGATCACGAGTGATACTTTATTGACAAATAAAGGGAACAAATGCTGCGTAATAGCAGGAAAGCAAGAACAAAGCACTGATGGCTAAGAAGCAAGTGAATGCTAAGTGGGTTCTTGAGCGTCTGTCAAGGCGTGAAAAGAAGCAACTGGCGGCAAGCACGTGCTGTGTGCCATCAGCTGTGTGATGCTGCGCAGACTGGACTCAATCCAACGCGAGCGTATGAACGCTGAGTCATACTGCGAAAGAGGAACGAGAGAGCAAGTGTGGCTCAGTGTATGCGCTGCGTATATCCGCTTCAGCGGATGAGTGCAGTGCAGCAGCACTTGTACGTACAAACGAGAGAGGCGATATGGCAAGCAATGATTGCAAGTACGTCCTGTGTGGATCGTACGCACCAGGCGCAGTCATGGGCCTCTGACATGCCTCTGGGCGGGAATCCGAGCTCCTGCGAAGGATGCTCCGACTCGGTACCGCACCAGTACCGCACAACTCTCCGGTCGGACCCATGTGGGGTCGCTGGTACGCGTCCTCTAGCAGTGGGAGTCCGGTGTCTGGTCGACCGTCCCTTCGTCACTTCCGAACCCATGAATGGAAACCACTCACGGCCGAGAAATCCGGAAGCCGCTCGGGCGTTTCGTTGGACCGGTGATGCGTCTGTTGGCTGGCTTCTTTGCTTCTGTTGGCTTCGGAGAACAATGTGAAAAGAAAATCTAATGAGAGTTTTTATGCAGCGCGAAAGAAAGTATGAAATAAAGTTTAATCACAATTCCAGTGAGCAAAAGTGGTTACAAAACAGATCTGTTAAAGAGATCGAACTAGAAAAATACAATTCCGTTTGTTAGGAGGAAGAAAAAAATGCTTAAAGAAATGCAAAAATCTGTCCGGGGGTCCTATTCCGACTAGGATGACGTCCACGGGGTCTCCTGTCCACTTGTCGTCCGGTGAGTTTGGTCCGGGGCATCGGTTCCCGGGTTACCCGTCGTAACCAGTTACTTTCGCCGAAGTCGGATAAGCACGGTTAAACACTTACTTTCGACTCGTATCCGCCCGTTTGGGAAAGAGAGGCACTGTTGCGGTTGCAAATGCCGAAGCGTCCTCTCTGAATAGGGAATAGGACCGAGGTCGGTTTGACCAAGGTCGGCCTACCGGTAAGTCGACCGGCGGCTGGGGAAATTCGGCTATGTTCCGAATTCTTAAAGTTCAGGTCGGAAAAAGCTGTATGTAAGTCATGCGGCCTGTGTGGTCGTCATGTACAGCAGTTCCGTTCAAAAGTGGTCGGTTACAACCGTTCAATCTGCTACCACGAGCCTGGTTTGGAATAATCTGAGTCGAACTGGCTCGAAGGTCCGATCGGAAATCGTAAGTTTCTTCGATGGAGGTGTCCAGTCGACTTCCATCTGATATGTTCCGTTGTTATCCGACCTTCTGTCGAGGTAGGTCATCCTATCCGTCGGTGGTCGGCTAGGGTTAACCTGCAATAAGATGCCCATGTGGGGCTAAACGTTCCTTCAAGTCGAATTCGTCCACCGCAGACAGCTATCGACCTTCTTCCGTCATATTGACTGAATTTCCGACTTCCGACTTGTGGTCGGTTATAGTCGACTTCGGAAGGTCGGATGAACTGTGTGTTCATCCGTCCGAAGGTTAAATTTCTCCGTTAGGAGGTCGGTTCTCGACTTCCAACTGCCTTTGCCGACTTGTTGTCGCATCCTTCCGACTTCTGTGGGGTTACTTCCGACCTCAACTTGAGGTCGGTTATCCATGCTGATATTACATGAACTCTGGGTCGGATCCGAGCTACTGTTGGCTCATGATACCTCTGGGCGGCCGAGTCCTGTGAGGTGGAAGTTCCTTGGCATCTGTTGGCCGGGTGACTGGCGTTTCATCATGCAATCGCGCTCGCTCACAATGCTAAGGGTCTTTGTGGCCCCGGTTGACAAGCCAAGCTCTTTGGTTTAAACTTCATGCACATGCAAGTCCCTGAGGTCATCAGATCCGATTCTTCCATTTCGTTTTGTCGCGAACCTGAGACGCCTAGCCGCTTCTGTCGGGGGTAGGCAGCTCACGTCCACGAGGAAATTTTTCTTTGCCGCTGACGAAGGCCGACTGGCCGGTACTGTTGCGGGCAGGTGGTCGTCGTCAACGGGGTTGGTTGAAGGGGTGCAGGTCGAGTATTCTAACTCGGTCTGCCTAAGATGTTCCATTGAAGACATGGGGAAGCAGGTCGCGGGGGAGTCGTTGGAGTGGCAGCCAAATCACCGTCGCTGTTCCTCTTCAGGGAATGGCAGCGCGTTCAAAGACGCACGTAGTCGTGGTCACCGGTGAATCGGTTGGTTTATCCGGTATCCTCCGGGGGAGACTGCGGTTGATCTCCAGGTACAGAGCCTGTAGGTCTGGATTCAAACGGAGAATCCGGTCGGATTACCACGTGGCCCCTGCCAGTTTCCATCCATTCTTCATAGTCGGCTTCTGTTGACCGTTATGGTCGACCTGTGTGGTCGACCATGATGTCGACTTCTAGTCGGTCGCAACTTGAAAAACCAATCTCTGTGATCGGCTTGCACAACCGACCTTTGTGGTCGGTTGGTGCAGCAATATCCATTATGTCTCCAAGTTATGGGTACAGTACAAAGTCGACCTTTGTGGTCGGATCCAATACTTGAAGTCAAATCCGAGTCTTCCTGCACTGTTGGCCGCTCGGCCGAGGGATTTCCGCTGTTTGCAATGGTGAAGGCTGCTCGGCTACCCGGTTCCGAAGTTGGCCACCGGTGCTCGGCAAACATGGCGTGGAACGCGCGCAGTGCCGTGTTCCGCGCCATGTTAGCGTAATCCTCTCTGTTTCTTCTCCGGAGTCGGTCGGCCGGAGTAATCTCCATGTAGCGCGGATTGGAGCTTCTGTTAGCTCCAATGGTTGCAGAACGTGGTTGACGATCTGCTATGTTAGCAGACGTTTACGATCTGTTCATGCCATACTGGGGAACTGAGGTCGGTTGCTCAGTTCGATCCAGGGGATTCCTCGGAGGACATACCGGAACGGTGGAAAAGGCCGGCTTGTCAGGTCTAACCACTCATGTCCGGGTCAAACCGAAGAATCCGGCTAACTTGTGTAGTCGGCTCTCTGGCAAAGTCGTCGTTGACGTCCTCCGCGTATGTAGGTGTTCCGAGCGGGGGGATCGAGTTTCAATGTGGGAACTCGATTTTAACTGAGTGGGACTTCGACGGGTTTATCGCCGCCGAAGTAATCTTCCTCATCTTCGTCGTCCGGGCGAGGTCGGTTATGTGGCCGCAAGGCCGGTTCCTTGGGTTTACAAATCGCCGCACCGCCCCGTTGAGACGTGTCGTCAGTCTCATCCGTTTCTTGGCCGGGACGTTCCGCTCTGGTCTTCTTCGTTTCCTCGGCCGCCTGTTTTTGGAGCCTCAACGCGTATGGTCGTGCGCCGGGTGCTATGTCATCCGACATCCAAGGTTCGTAGGGCGACGAGTTGAATCCGCTGGGCAAAGTTTTCTTTTGACGATACCAGCTGATAAACCGGGTTGCGTCGTCGCTGGGATCTACGTGATCCTCACGAAAGGCATACTTTGTCGCATACCGTTCGTGGGTGTACAGCAGGTCGCGCCTCCAGACGGCGAGGATAACACTTCTCATCGGTGTGCCGAGTTGGGCTACGAGGGTTTCCAAAGCCTCTGGTATCTAGTGCCCTGCAACGGAGTAGAAAACTCCGTCCAGTCCGATCCAAACTTAAAAAATTTAATCCGAACCCAGTCCGACTCCGAATTCTAAAAATCGTACTCCGACCAATCCGATCCGAAATATTTTTGGCCAATCCGAACCCACTCCGATCCGATCCGAAAAATTTTCCAGAAGAAAATTAATTTTATTACACATCCGGACATCTTTATATCAACAAAAAATTTTAATTCCATGTTGTCGGCAGCAAAAAGACTTCAAAATTCACCAGTACAATTTTCTTGGGCATAATAAAGGTTACGCTAGAGGATTTACATAAATAAAAATTTTTAAGGAAAATTTAACGTTTCTTAACACTGCAGTGTTGAAGCAATTGGGGAGGCTAGTTAAGTATCCTCATTGTCAGAAATCTATATCAGATCTTTCTGTTGTATACGGTTCAGTACACAGATCACCCACGTATTGGGCAGGGTCAAAAATAGGGAGAGAAAATTAATGGGATGGTTGTTTCTAAACGTCCGCAACTACAGTAAAATAAACGGTAGTTCCATGTATTCCTTAGGTTTAGTTAAACTTATGTATTATTATTGCTATTATCTTAATCACCAATATTAATCCAATTACTAGTGCTGCAAATAAAAATGGGAAGCCGGTGCCTAGTTAAACTGACTGATCCGCACAGCGCATGTAGTCCGTTTGACCGACGTAGTTATACTAACATTATTTGATAAGACGATAACAAATAACGACTTCATAACAATCGTAAAATACTCTAGTATTAAAACTGTCAGGAGAATTAATAAAAAAAGTGAAAGGGAATTAACAACAGTCATTTAAGCAAAAGCAGATACTTCGATGTAAACTAATTTAGCGCAAATGAAGCCTCGTGCGAAGCGCGAAGCTGACGAAGTTTTTTGTTTTGAAGAAGAGGGAAATTCAATAAAAATTAATTAATAATATTTATTTAATTTCGGATTATTCGGAGTTTTTATTGCATCCGAACCCGATCCGATCAGGTGCACATAAACTCCGAAACCACTCCGACCCCGAATTTTCCAGATTGAAATCCGCCCAATCCGGTCCGAAAATCGGAGCGGGTTCGGAGCGGATCGGATTTCCCAGTCCGTTGCAGGGCTCTACTGGTATCATCTCGTTCTGGTACAGTCCGTACAGGGTATAATGGCAAAAGTAATTGCCAAGTCGGACTGCGAAGATGAATCGCAGGAAAGCCGTGACTCCGTCCTGGGCCATGTCGACATCTCCTTCTGGAAGATACTGGGTCAAGTCCAGTGCTTCCCGAGCCGCGGTGATTACGAAAGCTGGGTGGGCGTCCGTGATGACAAACTGGGCAATACTCTCCAACTCATCATGGGGGTATTCCCGAGCTCCTAGTTGGCTCGCAAGTGTTCCGTCCGGGCTATACAGCGGTACGTTCAGTAGGACCGGATCGGTCATCGACGGTAACGCATTCGATCTGGTATATGGGTGTTCAACATTCGGCGCTGTGTGCGCGTTCATGTTGAAGTCAGATTGCCACTGTTGTTGTTCGAATAACGTCTGGTATCCGGATCGGACGAAGAATTGGCGAAGGTTTTCTAACATCCGCCAGACTTGTGATCGGTTCCGTTCCTCGTAATTCATAACGTTAATAATGTGATTCGTTCTTTCGTTCGGATGCGGCATGACGACCTCGATTCCTTGTTGTCGATTCCTTGTTGGATCCTCTCGAGCCGGCACTTCCACTTGTGGTAGTTGTGCCATCTGGTCGGCCACATCGACGTCCATTTGCTCCTGTTGAGCTGCCGGCTCAGCTTGGACTTCAGCCGCTAGTTCCGCCTGATGGGCTTCCGGCTGCTGTTCGGGTGGGACGAAGTTACGTTTCGACTTATTTGTTAAGTCGACCGTAAGTCCTATTCCCGTTTCTCCGGATCCCGTACGTTTTCCGGGTGGATGTCTTGTCGGTTCCTTTCCGACTTCGCGGATAACGGCTCGTTGCGCTTCGATTCAGTCTCGAAGATCAACTGGGCCGATCCTATGTTGAAGATCATGTCCCGCGAGGTTTTTGCTGGGTCGGCGCTGCTGTTGTTGAGCCGCCGGTTGAGTCCGACTTCCGTGTTGGGGAATCTGTTGGGAGACAGTTGGACGAGCCTGTGTGACTACTGGCGTTGCCCTCTGTGGGATTGCCATCAACTGTTCCTGAGTTGCCGCTGTTGGGTTCCGTCCGGCATATTCATCATCATCATTATAGATGTGCCCGTCATCGGTCGGTTCGGATCTCCGACGAAGACATCACGTACGGTGGGGATCAACTCTTCGGTTTTCGGGCGACCCTGTGTGGGTGTCTGTACCCGAATCTTTATTTCCGGTTCGTAATCGGTCGGTGGTGGATGGACTCGCATTGTGGCGATCTGTCTATCGACCTCCTTAATCTTTTTCTGGTCGTCAAGTTGACGCTGCAAGTCCTGCATCTGGCGATACTCGAACAGTCTGTTTGTTAAGACTGGTGGTCGAGTTTCTTCCCATCTCGGGTCGCGAGCTCGTTGTCGCTGGATTGTAGCCAGGTTATCCTGTTCGTAAGACTCCAATTGATTAATCAGGTATTCTCTGCCGGCCAGGTACCGGTATGCGCTCAAGTTGCCAGCGACAACATTAAGGTAAAGTGCCGCCGCCTGAGCTCGGTGTTGCGGTCTGGTGCCGGTAACCCGTTCGTTCGTGAAGGAAACGATGCATAGGGCGCAGGGCAATCTGTTGTTGTCCCTCGTCGCATTATCCATGCACTGTTGGCAGTCCACCGTATAGGCTTCCGTACGAGTCTGTCAAAACAAAAGTAAGCGAACCGTTTCTCGGTTGCATCCTATTAATTACGCCCTATAATTACTACGGTCGGGCCATGTCGGTTCTCGAACTGGTCCAAGACGCCTTTGTGGTCGTCTATGAGGTAGGTCGACTTCTGTTGGTCGATGACGCCTATGTGGTGTCAATGGAGGAAAGGTCGGTTATGCCACTCCTCCGACGTGTTCTACGTCTCCTCATTCCCGTGTGGGTACTTCTGGCGACCCGAGCCGACTTGCTTGGTGCGAGTCGGCCAACTCGGTCGGTTGTGCCGAGGTTGGTCGTTCCTTCGGTAGATGTCCATGTCGGTGGGTTGAGGGGTTTAAGGCAACAAACCGTTGGCCGCCCTGGACCTGGTCGGTGTTCGTGGCGAACCGCTGTTGGTAAAGCGCCTTCGATAGGACGAATTCCAAGTCGTCCTCCAGGGAATATTTCTTTCGTCCGGCGGTCGGATCTGGTTTGGCCTTATATTTGGGGTCGACTAGCTGCGGTTCCGCCGCTTCCATTCGAACTCGAACCGTGCTATAAGTTGGTGGAGTATTTCTCCACGAGTTAGTCCGTCAGGATGCCACGACATTCCCATATACGCTTCGATGGCGTGTATCCATCCGTCATATGTTGAAGGGGCCGGGTCTCTCTGAGCCGGTGGGAACTCGTAATACATTCGCTTTCCGCTGGTGTATGTGCGTATCAACTTCCCTGCATGGTATCCCAAGTCGCAGTAATGTCGTACGTTATTCTGGCTTAGTTGTCGCCAGTCGCCCTTCTCATCTACCATCCAGTGTTGGAGGAGTTTGAAGGCGATCCTCGGTGTGGCAAACTTCGGTCCACGTGTTGCAAGGGCCTTCAGGGCGGCGTAAGTGTACATCCATCCTGCGTCGTATTCGGAGACGGCAGGTTTTGGTGCAGTGCCGACTGTGTAGCTGTTCGAGCTATGTGTAGGAGGTTGGCTGCGTCATCCGACGGTTGTTCGTTGGAATCACTATACTCTTCGGTAGGTTCCGTACCCGCCGGAGGCTTCTCCGTGTTGACGTAAGACATCCGGAGGTTAAATTCACGCCGATGTTGTTCCGGTATGAAGTTAGGCACGGTGTACCGTACAGGCACGTCGCGTTCCGCATTAGTCCTCTGAAGAGTATGTGCGGCGACCAAACCTTCGATTCGACCCTCTATGTGGTCGATAATTTCGTCAATATTGCCCTTCTTGTCCATGTACATAACGTTATATACACGGGCAATTTGGACCAGAGTCGATCCGCGGGGATTCCGAATATATCCAATACACCGTGCAATTCTAGTCAGTGTGTTGTCCGCATTCCTCGCTGCTGCACTTTTAAGTGACTTGATGAGATCCGGTGGGAGCAGTTCGGCCATCCGTCCCCATTGTCGGTGGACGGCTACCGCTAATCCTAAATCCAAAGTACAGGCGACGATCTGCATCATAAGTTGATGCGTCAACCATGTTCCGGTTTCGCCTCCGGCTTGGTTGTTATTAGACAAGTCTCGGACCAGGGACTGGTAGATATCCTTGCCGTTTTCCTTAACGTTCCGGATACTACGGACGACTTCGACGTGTACTCGGACTGTACGAATTACCGTCTCAACCGGATCTTCCGGCTGTTCGTCCGGAAGGCGTTCGCGTACGTCATCTGGGGCTGGCCACTGTGATTCATCAGTGTCGGCTCCATGGTCGAACATTTCCTTCAGGTCGCCTTTAAATCCTTCATAAGGATCACCTTCTCCATTGTCGGAGATTGAGTCCTTTTCTTCGATGTCCGAGATTTTGTCAGACTCCTTATCAGACTGTTGTTTGGATGTGGAAGGCTTAGGTTGTTCGGTTGGAGTGGGCGGTTTCGATGGGTTTCGTAGTCTTGGCCGGCTTTGTGCCTGCTCGCTCCATGACTTCTTGAAATTTTCGTTCAACCGCCTCCTTGTCGTGCGGTTCCTGAGCCTTTTCCTTCTGCTCGGTCCTTTGTGGGCCGGCGTCCGAAATATCCAGGTCGTCAGATGACTTATGCCGCTTAGCCGGGTTGGGCTTCGGCGTCTTAACCGTGGAGTCCGACTTCGGTTTGACCGGCTCCTTGGCTTCCGACTTTACTGGGGGACTTAACGCCGAGAAACGGCATGGTCCAGAATCGACCTGACTGAGAAACAGTCCAGCTGAGAAATAGCACCGTCGAGAAACGACTTCGGAATGGACATTTTTCTTTAGTTCTCTTCACAGGAACCGATTAACCATGTACGCGGCGGATGTCAACGACGCCCTTGCCAGAATGCTGACTACATAAGTCGGCCGGATTCTTCGGTTTGACCCGGATACGAGTGGTTAGACCTGACAAGCCGGCTTTTTCCACCGTTCCGGTACGTCTTCCGAGGAGTCCCCTGGACAGAGCTGGGCAAACCGACCTCAGTTCCCCAGCATGGCATGAACAGATCGTAAACCACGTCTGCTAACATAGCAGATCGTCAACCACGTTCTGCGACCATCGGAGCCGACCGAAGCCCCAATCCGCGTTACATGGAGCCGACCACGAGTTACATGGTACAGACGATGCCATTAACCACAACCGGCTATGAAGATTACTCCGGCCAACCGACTCCGGAGAAGAAACCGAGAAGATTACGCTAACATGGCGCGGAACACGGTACTGCGCGCGATCCACGCCATGTTTGCCGAGCACCCGTGGCCAACTTAAGAACCGGGTAGCCGAGCAGCCTTCACCATTGTAAACAGCGGAAATCCTCGGCCGAGTCGCCAACAGCGCAGGAATACTCGGATTTGACTACGCGTACTTGAGCCGACCACAAAGGTTCACTCTGTACTTCACTCATAACCCGAAGCCATTCTGGACATAGCTGCATCAGCCGACCACATAGGTCGGTAGTGCAAGCCGACTACACAAGTCGGCTTTGGAAACGATAGCCAGATCGATTAACGGGAAATCGACATCATGGCCGACCACACAGGTCGACCATAGCGGCCAACAGGAGTCGACTACAGAGAACGGACGGAAGCTGGCAGTAGTCACGTGGCAATCCAACTGGATTCTCCGTTTGAATCCAGACCTACAGGCTCTGTACCTGGAGATCAACCGCAGTCTCCCCCGGTCGACATCGGGTAAACCAGCCGACTCACCGGTGACCACGACTACGCGCGTCTCGAACGTGCTGCCATTCCCTGAAGAGGAACAGCGACGGTGATTGGGATACTGGTGTACCAACGACTCCGCCGCGACCTGCTTCCCCATGTCTTCAATGGAACATCCTAGGCAGACAGAGTTAGAATACTCGATCTGCACCCCCGTTTAACGAACCCCGATGACGTTGACCACCTGCTCGCAACAGCACCGGCCAGTCAGTCTTCGTCAGCGGCAAAGAAAAATTTCCCCGTGGAGTTGTCTACCCCCAACAGAAGCGGCTAGGCGTCTCAGGTTCGCGGCAAAACAAAATGGAAGAATTGGATCTGACGACCTCAGGGACTTGCATGTGCATGAAGCTTAAAACCAAAGAGTTCGACTCAGCAACCAGGGCCACAAAGACCCTTAGTGTTGTGAGCGAGCACAACTGCATGACGAAAAGCCAGTCACTCGGCCAACAGATGCCAAGGAGAACTACCTCACACGACTTGGCTGCCCGGAGGCATGATCAGCTTACAGTAGCTCGGATCCGACTTAGAGCCCATGTCAGGGAGAAACGGAGTCATGTTGCCGAATGTCTTTCTGCCAGTCCGAACTGACCAAAGGACATCCTGACAACGGAGACCCGGTCGACTGTAGCCGGATGCAGAGAGCTCATCGGATCAAGTCAATTCGACAGGTGCCGCCTAGCCCCACATGGGCGTAACGGTGCAAGTCGTCTAGACCGACTCGGAACGGAAGTCGGAAGTCAGCAAATGGAGGTCGGAAGTAAGCGACAACAGCTCGGAAAACCAACTAGAAGTAGGAGATAGACACAAAGTATCCGACCTGAGGAAGTCGGAAAACAGCCGACCTTGGAACATTGACACGGATAACCGACCTCAAGTCGAGGTCGGAAGCGACCATACAGAAGTCGGAAGGATACGACAACAAGTCGGCAAAGGCATTTGGAAAGTCGAGAACCGACCTCTTAACGGATAAATCCGACCTTCGGACGGATGGAAACACAGTTCATCCGACCTCCCGAAGTCGACTATAACCGACTACAAGTCGGAAGTCGGAACTCCAGTCAACATGACGGAAGAAGATCGACAGCCGTCTGCGGTGGACGAATTCGACTTGAAGGAAGTTGTCTAGACGGATAGCATGACAGAAGGTCGGATAACAATGAAGTATACTGGATGGAAGTCAACTAGACACTTCCATCGCGGAAACCCATGAATTCCCATCGGACCTTCGAGCCAGTCCGACTCGGATTACCCTAAACCAGGCTCGTGGTAGCAGATTGAACGGTTGTAACCGACCACTTTTTGAACGGAACTGCTGTACATGACGACCACACAGGCCGCATGATTTACATACAGCTTTTTCCGACCTGGACTTTAGCAATTCGGGACATAACCGAATTTCCCCTAGCCGCCGGTCGACTTACCGGTAGGCCGCCCTTGGTCAAACCGACCTCGGTCCTATTCCCCATTCAGAGAGGATGTCTCGGCATTTGCAACTGCAACAGTGCCTCTCTATCCCTAATGGAAGGATACGAGTCGGTAGTAAGTGTTTAGCCGTGCTTATCCGACCTCGGCGAATGTAACCGGTTACGACGGGTAACTCGGGAACCGACGCCCCGGACCCAACTTACCGGATGAAGGTGGACAGGAGACCCCGTGGAGACTCAACTGCCCCGTGGACGTCATCCTCGTCGGAATAGGACCCCCGGACAGATTTTTGCATTTTTTAGCATTTTTTCCTAACAAACGGAATTGTACTTTTCTAGTTCGATCTCTTTAACGGATCTGTTTTGTACGTAACCCCTTTTGCTCACTGGAATTGTGATTAAACTTTATTCATATTACCTATCGCGCTGCATAAACTTTCAATACATTTTTCTTTTTTTTTACACTGGTCTCCGAGGCCAACAGAAGCAAGAAGCCAGCCAACAGATGCATCACCGGTCCAACGAAACGCCCGAGCGGCTTCCGGATTTCTCGGCCGTGAGTGGTCTCCACTCATGGGTCTGGAAGTGAAGAAGGGACGGTCAACCAGACTCCGGACTCCCACTGCCCGAGGACGCGTACCAGCGACCCCACATTGGGTCCGACCGGAGAGTTGTGCGGTACTGGTGCGGTACCGAGTCGGAGCATCCTTCGCAGGAGCTCGGATTCCCGCCCAGAGGCATGTCAGAGGCCCACGACTGCGCCTGGTGCGTACGGTCCACACTGGACGTACTTGCACTCATGCTTGCCGTTATCGCCTCTCTCGCTGTAAGTACGTGTGCTGCTGCACTGCACTCATATCCGCTGAAGCGGATATACGCGGCGCACACACTGAGCATACTTGCTCTCTCGTCCCTCTCTCGCAGTATGACTCAGCGTTCATACGCTCGCGTTGGATAGAGTCCAGTCTGCGCATCATCACACAGCTGATGGCACACAGCACGTGCTGCCGCCAGTTGCTTCTTACACGCCTTGACGGACGCTCAAGAGCCTCTTCTAGCATTCACTTGCTTAGCCATCAGTGCTTTGTTCTTGCTTTCCTGCTATTTACGCAGCATTGTTCCCCCTTTATTTGTCAATAAAGTGCACTCGTGATCTCCTCGCGCTTGCCTGTTACATTACTCAACGCATTACCTCACAGTCTCACACACAACTGGTCAACGCGCTAACGCTACCGTTACTAATATTCATACAGTCTTACCGTCCAAAGCGTAATAATTAACTCGTTTTTTATGGATTCGTCGACGCGTGGCCGGTTTAAGTCAAGCCTGGTCTCAAAATAATCCGTATTTCTCAGACAAACTTATCCCAAATTTTAATTCTTTAGAGCGTTCTGTTCAAAAATATTTCCAACTGGTCTTAAGTATAGGAAAACGTATGTAATTATGTATGTTATCCAGGCATTACAGTATAAAGCGCTGAAGTTGCATCCGTTCACGCGATTCCGGTGACGGGTCCCTGGGAAGGCAGCCAGATTAAGTACATAAAGTACAGTAAACGGCGCCGGCAGGCTGTATCATAGTTAAATCAGTAGGGAGCATTCGTGGCAACCGGCGACCGGCCCGAATGCCTGGATAGTAGATCGGATTATCGCGACTGTTTTCCGATCGCCTCCACATACTTTACCAGATTTTTCCGGCAGGCGGTGGGGTTGCCACTGCGACAGAGGGTGTTTAGCACCCGAGACCATATGGCTCTGTTGTGCAGAATTTGTAAGGGTAGTCTTTTTTGTAGAAGCAGTAGTTTAGCCATATGTGTCCTGTCAAGGACGATTTTCGGGTTGAGTGTTTCGATATAAATGAGGCCGCTTTTCAAGTTCTCTGACAAAATGATTTTGGATTGGAAGTTATCGGATGGGGGAGGTAGGTATTTGCTGGTGATTGGTGGTTTTGTGAAGCATAGTGTGCTGTGGGTATATAAAAGGAAATCGGAGTGCGGTGGAAATTTAGTTGGTTAAGGGAAGTTGTGAGAAGTTTGTTGTGTGGATTGTGTTGTAAGATCTTATTTGATAGTTTGATAGTCAAGGTTGTTGTAGTAAGGTGGAGAGTGATTTGGAGTGCCTGGGAAGAGGTGTTTGAAGGGATTTTGGCAGATTTGTAACAAGTAAGGAATATTTGTTTATAGTGAAATTTTTTTTAATTATTGTTACTTTTTTAATGTATTTGGTTTCTTAAGTAAAATAGATTAAGAGATATTAAGGAATAAATAGAGTATCGGTTAGCTTTTGACTTTATGGCAGTGTGGTTTAAAAGGAGAGTTTTAAGGAGGTTAGTGTGAAGAAGGTTAGATTTAAGGAGGTTAGTTAATTTTTTCTTGCAATTTTATACAGTATATCTGTATATTCGGATGTTTGGTGTGTAGTTGCTGTTGAGAGTACGTTTATAAAGTAGGAAAACTAGGTGTGCATTGGCAGACCGGAGCGCAGCAGCTTTTCGCTTGTGTGAAAGATAAATAATTTTTAACGTGCTACCAGTAGCACTTTTAGTATTAACATTATCGATAATTTAACCTACAAATATAACGAGCTAGGAACATTTTCGTAATGACCTTTGGTAACAACCTTTCGTAACGAACACCGATACATTTTTGCATTGGCGCTGAACTTAGAGGACTTTCGGTACGATTTAAGAAAGGGAATTGATTTGATTCTACGAAGGATTTATTTAAATGTTATATCATCATTTAGTTTTAGACTGTCAAAAAAGTTGGAAATGAGTGATTTGGATAGGCGGAAGTTAAAATGAAAATCATCTTAAGGTATAGTGAGTGGATTAATAGGGTGGTAGAAATAATATTTGTGTTAATAAATGATGAAAGATATTATGTAAAGGAAAATATGGAATATATGAAGGAAAATAGAAAATATATTACGGAAAATATGGAAAAGGATACTGTGGTAAAAATATAGAAAGAATAAGTGGCATTATAAGAAATTTATTTGGCATTATGGAGTTATGTTGTGTAGATATTGTAGTTGATAAAATCAAATTGAAGAAAGAAGTGGATGTAGTGTTCCGTATGGTTTATTGTATAGTATATGGTGCGTATAATGTACTGAAAAATTTGGAGAACATGATTTTATGGTTTTTAATAATGAAGTTTTATTTTGATAGACGAAATTCCAGGAAGTGCTATGGATATTGTTGTCACTAACGACAATACAACCGTATTGCAGCCTGAATCCAGCAAACGATCTGTTGGCAAAAATTTAAATATAATTATTAATTTAAAATTTATTTTTTTTAAAATTCATTTATTTACCATTTATTTGTTTATACAGAAACTCCGAAGAAACGAAATAAATGAATGGAATTGCATGAACCGTTGGTTTTACTTTGAGATGGACCAATTGTTTTCATTTTTGTTGTTGTTATTTGAGTGATTCATCAATTTATTACCGCCATTGTACCATTTTTTCTAAGTGCATATATAGCTATCTGTGGTATTATTATCTGATAGTGGTGGTGCAGTATTATTATCTATGTGATGTAATTATGTTGAATTACTCGTTTAATACTTATAAAGTTTGTATCTTAGTATTTTTCTTATATTGAAATACACTATTATTTTGTTACTTTGTATTGGTTTTGTAGTAATTAACTTTTAAAGTTACCAATAAATAAAGGACGAAATAAATAAGCCAATTTCTTTGTTTTCAAGTTTGAGTAGATCATAATATTTTATAAATATGCGACCTACTGAGTTCAAGTAACAACTTACTGGTAGCTGAGAACCTTTAATAATTATCGTGGTACGAGTACAAAATATGCATTAGAACAAAACGGTCTTAACGAAAAGAACAGTTGTATTATGCTATCCTGATCGGGAGTCATACCGATTACAGAAACTGAAAGTCAGCTGATGTGTGGTAACAATAAGCGAAAGTAAAATTAAAAATTAAAATGTGTAAATTTTAAAATATGCGCCCAACTGCGCCCAACCAACAGTTACTGCCAGCTCGCAGGAGGGTGCAGTTAGAGTCAGGTGTGTGTTATAAGTCTGCGCCCAATTGCGCCCAACCAACAGTTACTGCCAGCTCGTAGGAGGGTGCAGTTAGAGTCAGGTGTGTGTTATAAGTATGCGCCCAACTGCGCCCAACCAACACTTACTGCCAGCTCGTAGGAAATAGCATTTAGAGTCAGGTGTATGTTATAAATATGCGCCCAACTGCGCCCAACCGACATTTACAGCCTGCTCGTAGGCGGTAGTATTTAGAATAAAGTGTACGTTATAAATATGCGCACTTCATTTATCTTCTATTGTTAGGATAGGAGATTTACTGTTGAAGCGCACTTCGTTTCCGGAAGTACGATTACGGACGGAAGAATACTAGCATGGTGCTGCTCAGCGTGGCTCTTCCAATTTGTTAGAACATGAAAGGTCATAACGTTTACTAATTGTTTACTAATTTGTGACTAATTTTTGGAAATCGAACCGTCAGGATTTCTGGAATACGACAGGTTGGCTTTTTACAGTTTAAACTTTAAATAAGTCTCTTTCTCATACTGTAAGAAAAATCTTAAAAGTAAGTATCTTTCGACCGGACAGGACCACGTCCGCGCTTTTGTGCGACGTCCTTACTCATTATTGGCAGGAATGACTTAAAAACAGTGGTTTGAACAGAAATTGTTAAGCGATCCGAAATTGTCAGTTCCCCAACCAAGTTCTAGTGTAAAACCCACTGTACAATAATGGCCACTGGTCCACTTGTAACTTATCACTTGCGCTTACGAAATACCAACAAATAAGGAAAAAAATTTAAGTAGCGGAATAAAAACAACTTTTGTTGTCAAATGTCAATGTTAACAGATATGAGTACGCAGGGACTACACTCGGGCTGTGCAGTGTGCAAGTAAATTTACGCAACGAGTGCGCCACAGGCGGACCCATTTCCGCCCCGGCGATGCTTGTGACCAGGTTTATTTCTTTTCACATATCATTTTCTTTTACGGCATTATTCCTGTTGTATCGCCTGCCACTTGGCCGCCTCCCCCGAGGTGGCCGCCCGTTAGGTGTTTGAAGGATCGAAAGATCGGTTCCGCCTGTACAACAATGGGGGTACAATGAATGGCAATGGTTATCATTGTTATATATTAACGTCGAGGCAAATATATATTATAAGATACGGGTTTACGAGCTATAAACCGTAAACACGCTGTTGCCGGATTTCTGATTTTTCAAAGGAAGTTAAGTACCTGAATGTTTTCAGTTATTGTTTGGCCGCGTCGAAATCGGTTCAGCCGTTCGCCCAAACATTGGCTACATTATCAATCGTGTATACGTGGTTACGGATGTAGATAACCATTAAAGAAATGATACATATATATATAGGGCAATGATTTAAAGCATGGCACCAAAATCGTGTACTAACACGAAAATGTATCTTTCGTGCACCCCCGAACACGGTTTTGCATTTTCCACGATATTGTGTATTCCACGATATTGTCTTTGCCAAAAGATTTGTGATTTTGTATGCACTAGCATGAAAACCGCTTGTGGGCGCCACATTGAGTTCGAAAGTTATGGTTGTTGGCTATGCGCAGAAGTGTGTAGAAGTACGCGAAAGCAAAGTTTGGTGATAGTATAAATTTTTAATGACATGCACCGCAGATATCTTCCGTTAATGGTGGCTCATTCAGCGAGCCTTTCAGTTCTCACGATGCGTTCTTATGAATTCTGATATCAAAAAGATTATTGACAGCTGAAGCCTTGACGTTCCATGTTTAATAAAACAAAAATGTTTATTAGGATAATTAATAAGATAACGTTCCATGTTTAATAAGATAATTATTAATGTTTAATACGTTATCAATAGCTGAGACCTGAAAAAAAAATTGGGAAAGTAGGGCAGGGTATTGTGACAACTTGTAGTAAAGCGAAGCAGAGACAAGTCTGTTGTTGAAATCGCATATAAACAATAATTTTATGATAATATATGTAAATTTTACCAAACAAAGGAGCAGCCAAAGATGACCACCGGCAACTACAATCAGTGAACACTAGGAAAGAAATATTGCTGCGAGGGCAACGTATAAGCTTTTTACCGAACATGTGGTTGGCTAATGTTAACTCTGACTTAATTTCCAAGAGGTCGAGATGTTTCATGACTTTGCGAAATTTGGACGCCTCGCTGTATTAGCATATTCGCCAAAACTGACATTTTTGACGAGCAATAGTAGCCAATAAAGATGGTTGCAACAGCCAACACGGTCCATGGCGTGATAAGCAAACCAATAACTGGATCGATGCTCCGACTCGCCGTAATCGGGCACCCGTTTAAAAATTCCTTCCAAGTTACGATGCTCCATGCCACAGGAAACGATAGACCGAAGCAATTTATTACTGCCATAACTTCAAACGACCGGTAGAGTGAAACAAGGGACAAAATGACTCTGCTTAACTGTGCCTTCCCTGCGCCCGGATGCCATTGTTCAATCTTTCTTAATAAAAGCCACTGCAAAATACAAATCGACCAAAGGAGGGTGAGCACAATCCACATAGCTGCCGATATAGTCCAAAGATTCCAGTGAGAGCGGATAGGTTGCGTACTAGAGCTCACATTTTTCTGAAAGTTGGAAAATTGTTTACAGCCAATGAGTTTTTCACGTTACGTATTAAAAATTGAATTGCATAAATAATTGAATTAATAATTTCACTCTGATCGCCTACCGCTGAAGTAACATGCGCGATCAACTTTCCTTGATCAGTTTTCAAAGTTTCGTAAGCTTTCCACGCAAAAGGAACACATTCCAGGATGAATCGCACCGTAGAGAGAACGAAGTGCAGGTACACTTGTTTATATATGGGCTGAATTTTGTGGTATACAAGTTCCTGACAATCCGGATAAGCGCCGCAGCTCTCAGCTATAAACAAAGGGGTACGGAGGCACACAGTACTTATAATTAAATTGTGGTCAAATGTGGCAAGCCAGCTAAACTTACATTTCATACACGATTTGGCCATTTTTTGGTTTGCCTTTTAGCTGAGGAACAACACAGAAGAGGAATACGCTTTCCGAGTGTGATATCAAGCACATCAAAAGAAGCGAGTAAAATGGTTTCTGATAAGTATGGTCTTGATATAAATTGCATCGAACGCAGCAAGGATATGAAAAAAATTTCTTTAAAAGAATATCATGGTTTGGCGCCTTGTAAACTGTACTGACCAGGGAGTGCGAGTGGAACACGTTCCAAAATTTACAAACTCAGTTCCATTTCACAGCAGCACTGAACAATGGCGCCTTATATACAACTGATGGTAATAAAATTCGTTCGCAAGCCGGAAAAGCCTGCCAGATCTCATCTGACCCTCTGAATCTCTGACTATGAAGAGTAGGCCTTTAGCAAGCAGTCCCAGGCACTACGGTCAGAGCATCGTGCTAGCCTGCACTGGTAAGCACTTTAATCCTTCGGAAGCGTGAAAGCGATCGATATTATTAGTTATTAGCACTTCTACAGCTACAGCATGACACACACACTAGTCCCATCCGCGTCCGATCACTTCGGCCGCGCTACATTTCGGCCGCACAGGTTCACTTCGGCCGACGTTCATTTCGGCCGTGGCTCACTTCGGCCAACACTCAGTTCGGCCAACGCTCATTTCGGCAACTGGACGTTTCGGCCATCATAGCTTTTCTTGGGTTTCCTCCATTTTCGAGGTTTTCTTAGGTTTTTTATGTTTTGTTAGGGTTTTAAGGTTTCTTACGTCTTTTGTGATGTTTTGTAGGTTTTCTTAGGTTTCTTAGGTTTTCTGAGGTTTCTTAGGTTTCTTAGGTTCGGTTTGTTTAGTTTTCTTAGGTTTTCTTAGGTTTTCTGTGGTTTTCTTAGATTTGTTATGGGTTTTTAGGCTTCTTAGGTTTCTTAGGTTTCCTTAGTTCTCTTTGGTTTCTTATTATTTCTTAGATTTGTCATGGTTTCTTTTCTTTATATCGATTTTCTTATGTTTTCATAGGCATTCTTAGGTTATCTTTCGGTTCCTTAAGATAATTATGAAGACTGTTTTCGTTTTTTGTGCTTTCTTAGATGTCGTAAAGTTAGGTTTTTAGTAATCTCCCGTGACGGCAGACTTCGTGGCTTCGCGTCATCGGCGTTATGGCGGTCGACGAGGTGTTAGTCAGAACAATCGGGAATATGAGACATGATGGTGACAGTAAAACTTCAAAAACTGCTCAAGCAAATTTTGTGTGCAAAAGTAAATAGAAACTGATCAATTTTTTGCGCGTAAGGACTTAGCTACTCTGTAGTTACACGGTGCATATTAAATGTTTTGGAAAACCCTATTTCCGCCAAAATGTGCTGTGGCCGAAGTAAATTGCGGCCGAAATGAATGACGGCCGAAGTGAATGGCGGCCGAAGTGAGTGCCGGCCGAAAATCTTTGGCGGAAATAAGCGCGGCCGAAATGAAAACGGCCGAAGTGATCGGTAGTCGTTTCCGGCTAGTTTCCATTATGGACATTAAATTGTGTTTTGTCACTACAGTACAAGTTTGTCCGTTACTAGTAATAATGCATCTTTTTCTCTCCATCTGTTTCCATCATCCATCTTTTTAATCCATCTTTTTCTTTCTTTATATGTCCGACTTTTTAACTTTCAGTCCTCGCATTTCCCTGCTTTTTTTTCCTGCACACAGCAGGAAGAAACTTCCATTGCCGATTATCTAACTTCAAAAACCACAGAGACGATAATTCGTTAGAGCACCCAGCGCCATCATTTTTCCCTGGCGGTAGAACAATGGCGCCGTAGCGCTACTTGAAATTTTCTAATTTTTACCCTGGAATATTTTTTCCGGAAGGGTTCAAGGGGATAAACACCCCCCTCCCCCAGTACCCCCCCCTCGGGCACCATCACGGAGAAACGATGTTATCTTAACAAATGGTTTGCAACGGAAGATCGCAACAAACTAATATGTAATGATTACAAAACCAAGAAAAACATGAACCAATGACACGAGTCATGACAATACAAATCTGGGCCACCGTGGTTATCTAATTTGATCTAATACAGCATAAAAATATAAAAAAAACCAGGAAAAGAACAGATACCGGAAAACCGAGATCCGGATATCGACACAGAATCTTCATATACCGGGTGGCCGAGCAAAATGGCCCTCTTCGCTTTTGATTAAGTAATTATTGATTGATTACATAGTTAACTGTTAATTGTGAATAATATTGACATATCTATACTGTGAACTGCGTAGATTTGTTCGATAGACAATTTCATTAGCTACTAAAAACAATAAAATCATTAAAATGTTTTTCGAAAAATTAAATTAAATTTCGAATTCGAATTTCGAAATGCGTTCCTCGTTAACAATTGTGCCAACTGCCAAGTGAAGTCGTATCCAATGTTTTAGTGTCCCAGTTCGCAAAGTTAAAAGTTTCGTCCCCATGCGTAATATTTTAAATTTTTTAATTGTTTTATCTGGAGAAAGTCTTCTTCTTTCAACTCCGAAAAAAATTGTTGGCCTGCTGCATGCGCTGGATAAATAATGCACCAAGCTAACGTTTTGGCTTTTCGAAAAAACTGCTGGTTCTTTACTCTACTTTTTAAGTATTTTAGTTACAATTTTTTGGTTCATGACAGGGTCACGGTTCAACGAAAAAGTCCAGTTCAACTGGTAAATTTAGGTGGGTGGTTGCACTTCCAAACACGAATTTGAACGAGGACTGCTTTCGAATCGGTGGTTTGAAAACTGTAAACTGTATTCAGAAAATCTGATACAGCGTTTCATGAGGATCAAATTTCGGGAGTACACACTCCGTATCAAATCTTTCGCTCTTTGGCCAGATAGGGCCACTAGAATTTCGTTTTTTTTTGCAGTGAAAAAAACTAGGAAAAATCCCTATTTCCAAAACAGTAACTTGATAAACAGCAATACGTCAATATACTTAGTTGAATATCTACTTTTTTAATTTGAAACACGGGAGATTACAATTTTGTTTCCAGGACATCATTCAACTCCGCCCGTTCTTATACAATAATTCAGAAAAAACTGAAATCTTTTTACACAAACTGGTTAATATAACTAGAGACAATAATTATTAGACATTGCTCTTTTGAATAAAACTATTATTATTATCTCAATCAAGCGCTGGACAGATCGACAGACAGACAAGTGCACCCGATACGCGTCCGATACTTCAAATAACTGTTCTCGTAAAATTTAATGCCGCTCCGTGGCTTATTAAACAGTCCCTCTCCATTTCTCCTGATTGTGAACCTCCACCCCTGTAATTAAGATACTCGTAATTACGTGGCGATCAGATTTTTATGGCTGTTTCTGGATGATGATAATCCACTACCATTTCCGGTTCGCACTTATGTATTAATGGTAAGTGCTGAACGGGCGAACTTTGCAGCCGTTTTCCCACCAAAACAGATCTACCGAAGTCTAAACATATTACTTTTCTAACTTTTAATTAAGATACTTCCCATAACACAGCGTACATAAAAGACTGCTTGAAAACCAATTCAGTGGAATTAAAGAAATTAGATGCACAGAAGCAATGTGCGATAAAAAAGTTTTACGGATTTTTTTGCGGACCTTGCACGTCCTTCGTGCGGTTGACGGGTCAGCAGAACCATCGATCCTCTGGCTCTCGAAAACATCTTGTCTTCCAATAGGTGCTTCAGCCGGATGTAATACGTGCAGCCAATAAACAGGAGAATTTAACTTGGCTCCCGTAAAACAGTTGTAGAGGACTCCGTTCCCATGTGGTGATACTTGGGGGCCTTTAGGTCTGCGATGCATGACCGCATGGTTTCCACTTTGGTGAAGGGGGTGGCATCTCCGAAAGGTAGCCCCAACGCGCACGCCGCCTACGACCATCTTTCAATTTTTTTTATTTGGCAAAACTGTTTTTCCACCGCACCTTTCCAGAAAAAGTTTCCATTAAGTACCCAATCGTCATTCGCGAAGGTATGGCATGAGGATTCACTATGATGTCCGGAACTATGCCCTGCGTAGTAAAGGGCAAATCCTACCGTCCCCAAACAAAAAATTTATAACATCAGGCTGTAACAGATATAATTAATGAATATTTTAATCATCTGCTCTGATGACAGCTTAGTGAGCTTGCCTCCACTGGATAACAAAATCCAACTGTGCCCTTTTGTCCATGACTGGTAGTGAATTTGTCACCCATCACCGGTATACGCACGGATCGTATGCGTACTTTACAAAACGGCCGTCCTTCATCGTTTGTATTTCGGAAAGCTGCATCTACAATTCCGGTTTCATGAGTACGAAGAAAGATGCTAGCGTCCTTCTGTACAATTCCGGCTTAGTCTTTTGCTACCTACACATGCCGAATTTTGATTAGACGCCGGGCTGGTGCTACGGTCAACCAGAGTACAAAAATATATATCAAGTATTCCTCTATTTAATAATAATTATACGATTTTTTAAGAATAGTTTGCCATAAAAATACATCCAGGAAAGTCAGCACAAGTCTACTGTCTACGTACGTCCCCGGTATTTCGCATTTCGATGACCTTTCCGATAATACAGTCCGCTCCAGACACTCTTGTTCCCGGTCTAATTATGCCATCGCGATCCAATTTGCTGTACATGGCATCCATCCGCATACCTTCGCACTGAGTGGGCGGAACCTGATTATACTCTGCATGTTTACCGGAGATTTTCTTTTCCTCAGTAGCTTCGTATGTCCAATAAAATGTGTGCTGAGAAAGACCTCTCTGCAACGATGCCGTATTTAATATAAGCGAATCCTCTTGATTGTAGCCGGTGTAGGAAGCAATGGCCAAGATGCAGTTCGCCCCGGCTGGCAGCTTGTCGTTTTTCAGGATCAGCCGTTCGGTCTTCGTGCTGACGATAGGCTGCTGAGGATAATACATAACATGGCAATCATTGTCGTAACGACTGGCATAATTGGTCGCGTAAATACCCAAGGCTTGCTTGGCCATGCCGGCTTGATAGGTGTTCCGAGGAGACTGGTTGTGCTCCGGAAACGGTATGGTCGACGCACACACACCCAAAATCATCGAAGGATGGATCTCGCAGTGCGTGCAATTTCGCGACGCGAAATTCAAATCACTAGGATACATCGCGCTGAGAATCTTTTCCTTTTCCCTGACATCGATGTATTCTATGGCACCGGCTCGAAGAAAATGCTCAAACCTAAAACAGAGATACTAATATGAAATAAAGTTTCGATGTTTTATGCACTATTTTTTCTATTTTTACTCGGGTCCCTGCTGGCATGCAGCCGACCACACTATCGATTAAATTTGATTAGCAAGCCAGTTAATAATTAAAGAAAAAATTTAGCAAACAAGAGAGAGCTCACTGGAATATCCTAATTACTCCCAGTGTAACCGTAAGCATTGTAAACGTACTTCAACCTTCAACGCTTGCAACGCTGCTCTTCCTTTTGTCGCAGTTTAATGATATCAGCAGTTTCTATGGCCAAGATACGCTTTGTGCTGCCGGATTTTACGACGAGAAAGGGCCTATAAACCCTGCCAGATTCCGTATGAATGTAAATATTTCACGCAGGTATATCCCACGTGATGGACACCTAAACTTAAAAGCGAACAACTCAAGCTACCGGAAAACGTGGTCAAAGTATGGTGCGGAATACTATCGCAACAACCACATAATTCAATTTAATGTGCTACGCTTAAGATGCACAAATACTGCAAAAGGCGTACGTAACTGCGCAAGGAAAAGAAACTAGAATCATCCCTCAAATTTAACGCAAATTAACTGAAAAGACAGAGAATGCCAAAAATATATTTCATGTATCACTTTACAAGGTGTTCTTTGATCTGCTTGTCATATTACGAAGGCAGTTCAAAAAATAGTCAGTAAACAATGCGCCTATACTCGCAAAGATAATACTTAACATAACTATGCAGTACTGAACATATGCTAAATTACAAAAATATCTTGAGCTACTGCTTATCTCACAGTACTGATATCGAACTCATGAATGCACCTAAGTAACTTCCAGAAGATACTGTATTCATTTCAGAAAACTTCCGCAGAAATCCAGTTTATCGGTCCCCAGCTGCCTAAGCACTTAAGCCTCGAAACACCACCAAAACTAAGCATAACATAATTACGAACCTCGAAAGAAATGTCTTTTTTTTGCCTTGCTATTCGCATCAGCTGCACGACTTCCTCCGGATCCTCATGGAAACCAAAGAAATCTCCGTTCACAAAAATACGCGCGCCGCTATATAAAAAACAAGATTTAAGTTTGCGATAATTAACATTAATCCTGTCACAGAGCGACCCTACCATTTCCGAGGAGCCGAATCATCTGGGTACAATATACTAGCTGCCATAGCCGGGTCAATCTCTAACAACGGTACCACTTTACAGGCTTCCAGAACGTCGCGCACAACCACAACGTCCGATCCGACACTGACACAAGCCATGAGACTCAAATTATTGATCAAGCCCACCAATTCGGTGGTGTCTAGGAGGGACAGACGATGCCCACTGTGTATTGTGCAGCTGCCGGGGCCGAGCCATCTTGGACGCTGTGGGAAACGGCGTTCGAATTCTTCTCAAATGGGACAGAGTAGCACAGTACGACAACCGACTGAGCACTTGGCTGACGCCAACCCGATTCGTCTGACAACGTCGGGCTTCCCCCCAGTTGCCGGTGGCCAGGGCGTAGCGCATGCCATCCGTGATGATCCGGCTCTTCAGGGCTAATGCGACATTCAGCCCAGTTGTAATATTAGGCTTTCTTTGCAACTCTTTCTCCAGCGTAAGCGTCATTTCCTTCCGCAGTTTTTGAAACTGCTGACGGAAGAGGGTGGCAAATAGCGGACCGACGAGCTCTAGGCGCTTGTTCGCATAATGATCCCGGTCGACACAATCGCACCGTCCCATAGCTGTGCGAATTAGCCGGTCGACCATGTAGCCCAAGAAGAACGCTTTTCGTCGTGAACAATCGGCTCTTGTGCCAACGTGTGGCAAAACATTCTTCTCGAGCATGTCCTTGGCGAATCTAATCCTTTCGGACCTAACGACGGCTGGCTTTGCGCTGCGATTGCCAATGAAATTCAAAGCGTGTTCTTGCGTCTGAATGGCTTGAGCATACATCAGCGACGGCTTCAGCCATTCGTGAATTTCGTTATCCTCCTGGTTCAGGGAGATTAGCTGCACAATTTCTTGATCGGTCTCCAAACCCAGAGCTCGAAAGAGGATTGTAATAGGAATTTCCTGCTTGACAAACGGTCTGATGGTCACAATCGGTTATCCCACTGATAGAACAGTTATGGAATTACACTGCAACAGGTTGATAATACACAACGTATCTACAATACAATTGTACTATATATCGGTATACTAAACTAAACGGAATAAAAGCATGCACATAACGCTAGAGCGCATTTACGGTTTGAGAAAACCAAATAATCGGTGCAGTACTAAACGAAATAAATAAAGAAAAGGAAACGAAATAATCGGTACCGTATGCCGTTAATTGTCTAAAAAATGCTGAATTGCTTAGCAAATATCAGTAATATGCAGAGGTAATACGAAGACGAGTCAGTTCACCTGCAGCGGCTTCGAAATCATGTTTATCCACAACGGAGTTGCGGTCTTGTTCCCGGTTTCCGGGACGGATCGGATCGGATTTCAGCTTTGTACTGGTACTTTGAATTCGTGCGCGCGTGATGCTGAGGTGGTCTTCAGCCATACGCTCTTCGGCAATCACTGCCAAAATGTAAAAAAAATAAGCACAGTAAAACGCACGACCGGTTTGGCCAAACTTTTTAACGAATATTATCTATCTTTTCGGATCCATCGATAATGAAATATCCTCCGGGATCGTGGACGCATTCACCCATCGCGCTAACCACAACCGGGTCATTTTGATTATGCATTTGGCAGTAGTCAGACCGCACCATGATGGACAACCGTCCCATGTAAATCTTTTCAATACTCGATTCATCAGCACATCCATGTTTCTGTATTGTCTCTTTGATATCCACCCACAAGTTACAATCATATGTGAGATCTCTAAGCCTGACTTCCAGAGGATGCAGCACCGAAACCCCAGAATCACTCGTTCGGCCTTCACGAAACGGGGAAGAGATGCCAACGCCTTCGAAGGTGTACCGATAACATATCTATCAGCAGAATAATACCGTATGAATATCTGTCTACTCATTAAGAGATTCCTTCCAACATCATTTTTGCTGACATTATCGAGCCTGAAGAAATGATACAAACAAAAAAAAAATCATACAAAAAAATTTATATCTCAAATCGTTGATACTCTTAGTCTCTTAGCGCTTACCAAGTCTTCAGGGTTCGGTTCTTTCAACCCAAAACTTTCATCCTTTTTTCTTATGACAATCGGTAATGAACTGGTGACAATTTCTGGAAGATCCGTGGAAACGAATTTATTGAACGAATCCAACTGCTGCTGGACCAGGCCTTTGTCGTCAAAAAACGACTGGATAATCAACCAGGCAGCCTCTTCCCAACCGGCACTGCCGAGTGCAGCGTACACATCCTCGTCGATATAATCGGAAAGGCCTGCTTTGGGGATCCCTTCTCGAGTAGTTTCATCGTTTTCTGTCGAAGCATGAACGCAAATTAAAGTACAACATATTGAGGAAAGAAAACAATCATTGAAATATTTAGAAGTATCGTCCTATATGCCGAAGAGAATTCCGTCAAAATGAAACTTCCGCTTACTAACTGGTTTTGGGTCATATAAGTCATATTCTATTTTTTGGAGCGAAAGCACTGGACGATATTTGAAAAAATGCGACCATAATTCTGGGGCAGTTTATTTATGGATTAAATTTTTGAAAATCATTTATAAATTTATACTTTTGACCGAAACAATTAAACCAGCATTACTGATGCCGCACAAATCAGCATGATAGCATCCATGTGAATAAAAACAAAATAAACGTTTTAACTAGAATAGAAATGTTCATTTTTCCAGTACGAGTACTTTTTATCATTACGAGTACATTCGCTGCGTCACTTGCGCCCCTACGAGAGCGTAAAACAAAAGATAACACCGCTTTACCGCTCTAACAAAGTTCCAGTTAACAAAGCTGCATGCCGCTATGCCCCTACATTATAATGGAACTTTGTCATTTGAGTTTGTACGAAAACGCCTTCATCAACGATTACACTATTTCAACAAACATTTTACCTCTTTCGTAGAAAGAACTATGGTCATGGGCGATGAATTCGGCCAAATCATCCGACACGGAGCCCAGCGCTAATTTCTCGTGGTCTTCATCACAGCAATCATCCCTCCACGATGGACTTGGGGGCGCTGCAAAAAAAGAAAATATTAAATGGAAAGTAATCGGCATTGCAAGTCATCTGTGATGCATTTGTGGCGAGTGTAAATCGATAACATACGCGCCACGTAGAGGGGAGGAATATTCTCATCTCCAAAAACTGTCTTATCACTGTCGCCATTTATTAACGACTCCAGCACAGGAACCACTGCATCAGGCTTGGGCGATGGGGATTCGGATAGAAGGAAGACAGAAGAATCATCAGAATCCGATAAACAAATAACTTCCGGTTCGGAAAACGGTTGTTTTTTGGTACTTATATTTTCAAGTGGTGGTAACTGGTAGAAATTGGAAAGGCGTACTACGAGTGCAAGATAACGTTTAAAGTATGTTGCACTCGTACTACTCTAGAATACTAGTAGTGTGTTATCGCTCGCGCTCGGTGCAATCAATGATGATGTGTTATCAAATTATCAACCACCACTAGTATAAAGTACGTACTGCATAATAATAGTACTAATACTATCTATATAATTATGCAATTGGTTGAGGGGAACGGCAATGGCATGATGGACGTACGTCGTGGTCTAAACCGCTAAGAGCGATGCACTGGACCGGCTGAACACAGATTCACAAACCTGGTGCATGGTGCATTCCTAGTTTTTGAGCTGCGAGCTTCCGGATACTCATCGTAGAATCATTATTATTGTAGAGCGGCACTGGCTCATCAGCAGAAAAAAGTTTGTTTCAGAGAGAGGTCAGCTGCTATGCGTGGTGCCAAGTCAATTCCGCACTTTTTCGTATGCTGTAATGGATCGTGATGCGATTGAGAACACGTTTATGCTTCTTATCCTTGGAGGTGCTGCGGTGTTTTTTCTTGTGTTTCATTTATGGATTGTAACTTTCGTGCATGACGCGATTGATCCTGGTATGACCGGAAATAATAGTTAACGTTTTGTCTCGATTTACTTACGCAAAATTTAAATTCCCACGCTAGATGACGATCCTAGCCCTTAATGGGTTACCTGCCTACTTTGCAATAAACAATATCTATTGTATATAAAGTTATAAATAAACGTATCTGTAAGCTATCGCATAACACAAAAATTACAAGACTCAATGCAGAACTAGAGAAATGAAAATCGCTTAGCTTACGTTATTGGGACCGTCGTTATAATTATTTTTCGCCGTGACCTCTCTCATGTTTTCAGGCAAAATTGAAAACGTGAACTTTTGGACGGCATTTTTATATGTAGGGCCTTTCTTGGTGCCCGTATTCGCGCTCTTGACATATTTATACTGGAGAACAACTAGACCAGTTTCAGCACAGGAAACTATTCCACTGAGGAGTGCTGCAGGTGCAGTGACTGCACGCACTTAACACTTCTTCGTCTACTAGCTCGGTTACTCACACTTTTTATTGTAGTGCAGTTTTCAGAATTCAGTGATTCTTTTTTAATGTGTTCTTTTAATCTTTGATGCGGACTATACCATGCAGGACAGAAGTGTTTTTTTAAATCAGTCTTTGGTTATTTTTCTTATTATTACCATGGAAGGCGCGTATTACGATGACACATTTGTTTTTCGCCATCCCGGAACATCCACTCAGTCTCCTGTCTACGCACCAGTGGAAACACCCGTTACACTGCCTGACCATGCAGATTTGGATAAAGCTCTGGATTTGTCATACAGTGCGCCGATATCCTTGCCATCCGTTGCAGAGCCCACTGAAGGTTTTTTGAATACCATCCATTACGTCAGCACAGCGACCATCCATCTCGATGTCCACGGTATGCCGTTTTGTTTTCGTTTTTGCTCTGGCTACGTGAATACAACAGGGCCAAACAGCAGGGTTATTGACCTTTTGCAATTGTTTGCAGCACCGACAACCAGCAAATATGATAACACATCAGTTTTTGCTGGCCTTGAGGATGCATCTACGAACGCTGCGATGGTCGATGCTGCAGCTGATCTTGGCGCCGTGGACGTCGGTTCGGCTGGAGGAGCTGTTGACCTTGCAGCTGCTGACGAGTCCAAGACTGGTTTATGGGGTCCTGCATTGACAGATTCGTCTGGAAAGAGTCCTGCGTTGACCGAATCGTCTGGAAAGAATTCGCCGTCCTTTTCCCAGCGGAGCAGTACTGCGGATTCCGGGGAATATCAAGACGCTTCGGATGTGACCTTTAGCAAATCAGGTATGTGGTATCTCATTGGCTACACTTGTATGAAGCTTTCAACCTATATTGCCTGTAAGTGTTCTTGCCTGTAAGTGTTCTACAGACTGCATTTTTTAAAGATAATGTCAAGACGTTTTGCATTTGAATCAACTGATTTAACACATTTTTACGCAAGTCTGCCGGATGCTGTGGGGGGACTTCCAGGAACTGGGGGAAATTATTACTAAGGTTCTGGCCACGGCTATGCAAAAGAAGGAGCATCTGCCCGATGATCGCGACTCCGATGATGCGGTTGTTCATAAAAAGCTCATGACTCTGGGTCCACACTACCGCTCTCCGCAGACCAAAGGATCGATGGCGCATTCTTTGCCAGGGCGTAGTGCTGCGCGGAAGGGTTCGAGTTCAGCTGAAAAGTTGACGCATTTGCTGAAATTTTACGTCGGTAAGCCGTAAGTTGTTCTGACGATCCTTGTTAAAAGGGTGATTAACAGTAAGCGCTGGGATATTAAACAAGCTATTTTAACCTTTTACGTTTTATCTTTCGTGTCTGTGTAGCCCACCATCGTCATCGACACTTCCAAACCAGTATGCGCAAGCTCTTCGCGCGCGCTATGATAAAATTGAGTAAGATTCTAAAAATTAACAATTTAAAGTCGTTTGGTAACTGCGACAGTGAGTTGTCTTAATTTTTTGCATTTAGGTAAGGCTGGCCGCGATCAAAACCGGTGTCGTCATGATTCCGCAACTGAATCTGAGTGCAGCTGGGAAAGTACTTCTGATTCGGTCGCAGGTTAGTGCAAAGTCCGCTGCCTTTTTTGTGAATGTCAGACAAGTTTTGTAGAATTTATTAGTTTATTTTGATAATTGATCTCATCATCAGACTGTTAGGTAATCCAGCACTTTTCCTGATAGTGCAATTATTAAAGTAAACCACAAATTTGTGTAGGTCTGTCAGAGACTAGCAAAAAAGGGTTTTCGATCAACTTTAATCCTTTGCTCCCTGCCCCACCGACCTTTGTTCAAGAAGTGCCGACTACAAAATCAGTGATTGCGGAAATGGAAAAACTGCACTTGGGTGGCGATGCACATGTGTTTTCAAATGCTGATGTAAGTTTATCACTTTTTTAACTAACGACTTTAACGTTCAGTGGTGTTTTATGCTGCAGTTCGAGTATTAACTTATTCTGCACATAACATTTCCGCGTTCTAGCGCAATTTTTCTGGATTGAGTCGACAAGAACGGTATTTCTCCGCTAAAAAGCCTGAAGCCAGTAACAGTGGGCAAGCTGCGGCTCTTTCTTTCCGTGACTTTTATCCGCCGCCAAAAAACGCCATCAACCTTCAGCTGTGAGTTAATTCTTTGCAAGACTGCTTTTGCATTGTGGGTCTCGTTTTGACACATGGTTCTTGGTTTAGATACCAAATTCGCGAGCGGATTTTTAACAACGATGTACAAGTTTTTTCCATTGCTCCGGAGATCGCAGCCGAGAAGAACAAGCCCGAGTACACTGAACTGGAACCGCAAATTCTGTAGTTTAATCAAGAAAAGAGTTTGCGGCGAGAGTGCGCTCTTTCCTTTTCTGGCATTTTTCCTATAATTGTTGTGATTTTCCGTTATTGTGATTCATTAAACAGGGTGGTTGATGTTTCTTTGCTATCATTTTTTTTTTGCTTTTTCAATAGATTTGAATAGCGCATTTGACTGAGAACTGAGCGATCGTGTCACATGTTTTGAACAATTTTTATTGCATTGTGTAAAGTTTGGTGCTTTTGAAGTACAATTTTATGAATAAAACGCGGAAGTAAAGATATATGAACAATTGTTTGCACATCGGTGTGACTTCGATAAAAGTGCTTTCCGTGACTCCAAATTTTGTACAAAAAAACGATCACGGTTACTTGATGGATTATTTACAGCGCCACTTTTCTACAGCTGGCAACCTTAAAACAGTAAGGAAATAACTTTTGCATGTGTGATATATCCAGTTGCTAATGGACCGTAATCCGACTACAGATGTACAAATTCGTCTAATGCTGCGGACCTAGCACTGACCAGTCTCTTGTTAGATAATCAAAAGTGTCAATGATAATCGCCACTAACACATTCAGAATCACGAAAGAACACAGAAAATGGAAGGATGTGAAGTATATACGTAAGAGGATCCGATCCACATAAACTGCCCGCTGGTAATAAAACCGGTTCTCGCGTCACAAAAAAACATCCTGACGATTCGCACACGACATCATGATATCCTGTCAGCCTTCGCCACTTGCAGAACGAAACAGCAGGAGCAATGCTCGTGGAAAGTTTTGGAAATGGTTATGGCGGTTAATAGAGCTGGTGTCAGTCAAGGAAATTCTTCGAACACCTAACATAAATACAAAATACATCAGAGATCGGGACCGTCGGAGCTGGTGCATATAAAACGTTTCTAATTAGTAGCCGTTTTGACACCGTCGACACAGTGGTGCCTTATTTAAGGAACCAACAAAGGAGATCAGAACCGGGGGCTGTACAAAGTGGACATGTCTCATTGAGCAACCGGACGACAACAATATCTACATACATTGTCCGCTGGAGAGACGCCGCAGCATAACACGTCACTGGAATTTGGCAAATCCACCAAAGCAGCCACATGAAATCGATGAAACGGCGAAGCCTTCAGAACTGCCAGAACGACCTAATTGAGCATCAATACGGTTGGAGTTAGTTGCCACTTTCACTTTATACACCTGACCAACACAGCCCGATCCCACAGGAAGTTTTCTTAAGGTTACAGAAAGGATGTTTCGCTTCCAGTTCATTCGTTAAACGCTCTGCAAAATAAATATTTCGATAAATAGATCGATCCTGACCCCACAGTTTGCAGTCAATTCGGTATCTCAGCGAAGCCGCCAGCACAAATGGAAAAGCTGCAACCAGTTGGCAGAGAATGCGGCTGTTTTCGAAGGTTTTATACGCTGGTAAGTTAAACAAACATTTTAAAACTGGATTTGAGAAGCCATTCTACCTGACCGCTTACAATTTATATTGCCTTTGTAAAGTTTGATGCATCTGAACTACAATTATATATAGGATATTTCTCGCATCAGGTTAAAAAAACGGAAAACATCGTTACAGAAAGAACGAATAACTTATCACAATCTAAAGAACAAGAAATAAAAATCAGAACAAATCAATACAAAACACATTGTGCAAACAATAAAAATCAGCTATCTCCTCTCCAAATTACGACAAGAAATATCTTTGGCATGAAGTCCATATTCCCATCCAACGCCCATTTTATTTCCATGGGTAATCCCGGTTCTTTTGGCTAGAATAGGTAATTTCTGGCTAGTGCTGTACAGAATGGCATACACGTCATCTTCCATACTAACGGAGATCTTCCGCACACCATCAGCAACCAGTTCCCATTCTGTGCCTTCCGGAAAGGCCGCACTGTATTCTTTGCGAAAGTACGCCTGATCATCCGTACACACAGCCCATACCGAATCGCCTCCAACAGCCACTTGTCGAATATTCGCTCCGCTTTCCGGTTTCTCCACCTGAAACCAGTACAGTCCATCCAGCTTATCCTTAGTTCCGTTTCTCACGTATGCCGTTCCATCCGCCCCGACGCCCCACACACAAAACGGACCAACGGAAATGTTTACAAAAGCCACGGGAGAGCGCACGGGAATCCATGTATCACCCAAAGGATTTTTCGTGGACACATGATCTCGCACTAAAACGCTACCGTCGACCGTCACCGCCCATAAAGAAACATAATTCCCAGAAGCGACTCCCGGACAGATCGAGACGGAGCGCAAGGGAGTGTTTGGACCTGGAAACCACGGCCCGGTACAATCAACTTTCATCAGACGAAACCAACGCCGTCGACGCACGTAGTCGTTGGATCCTTTTGAGGAGTGAAAGGAAGATGGGAAATCGAATGCATATTCCCAGCCATTCTCATCACCGTTTCGATAGTCAATCTGCCATTCGGAATCCCATTTCCATAAATTAGAGGGCAACTGAAATGCATCCATCGACAACTGCATCCTTCCGGTCTCATCTGACCAAGTATATCTACGACCGCAAAAAACACAATTAATTCTTATAATAAGAAAATTCGAAAGGCAATAAACAGCACGGAATACTCAGAAAACCTTCCCTGCTTCGTTAACTTTACAGCTGCATTCGTTATAGTAAATTAGAAATGCACAGTAATAAAAACACATCCGCACTTCGCGATTGCTCCATTCGGCACAATTTTTCGCTTTAGCTTAGCTTTAGTATTCAAAAGAAATACAGAAACAACTCACAAATCAATTGTACAAACAATTTGCTGTACCAGCTGAAAAATATTACGAAGCAATGAGTCCCACAAACCAGTCACAACAGCGGCATTTAAAGCATCGTCCACACACCTTTTACTTCGCTCACCTATCTGTAGGCAACAACTTGTCGCAAAACCCCATTAGTATATTCCATCGCTGATTTTCGTACAGCTCCACACGATGTGTGTCCACCTGAACTTTCTTCTCCATTCCCGTTTTGCCTTCATAGCTGCCCGTCCAAACCCAGGTTCGCCCATCCATCCCCAGCGCCCACGTAATCCCCGATGCTGATTCAACCGACCGGAAGTGGCCTCCTAACGTTAGCCATTTCACCGATGGCAGCGCTTCGGAAGTGTTAAAACTCACCAACGGGCAGCTGACACCCGCAGCCAGAATCCATAAGCGGTCCCTTTTCTGAATTTCTCGTACATCCAAGAAGCTCAGATACGATTCTGCTAAATAAGTATTCCAAAGCATTAATTCTGATTTTAATCCGGACAACCGTAACGGTGTCTGCGCGCGAGTGAGAAACGCTGTCGATATTTGTAGCTGATGGTCTCCTTTTGTATCAAGATGAAGGCATATTCCCGTGATATCGAAAAATGGAATCAGCAGCTTGGTGGTGCCACCATCCACAGTAATGGAGCAATCGGCTGGATCGGCTTCCTGGGAATACCGAACTTGGAAAAAGCACTGCTCCCAGGTAGACATTTTGTTAGACCACACTTTCAAAAATCCTGCATCACTCGCTTCATCGTTATCAACGCGGTCAATAGCCGGCTCCATTTTTTCGTAATTTTGCATCTCATTCTGAAACCGTAGTGACAACAAACCCAGAATATTTTTCCGCCAAGCATTCTCATCGTCAAACGACGTAGTACGCGCATCAACAAATCCGGCAGTCCCGCTAATCCATGTCCATGGGTCCTGGTTTTCAGTTTCCTGATTCTGCGATTCTTCTTTTATTTTCAAAGATATTTTCTTCCAACCTTTTCCATGCGGATCTCCTAATCCGATTCCGTGTCGCCAATAAATCTGATTATCGTTGCTGATGGCGAAAACCTCCCCATTGCGCGTTATGGTCACACAAACCGCCGACATACTAGCAATGTGCACCCACGTTGTTCCATGGGGTTGACTCGTCCGCATGCCTTGCCGAAACCACACCGAGCCGTCTTTCGCCACCGCCCAGACACTCTCCGTTCCCACGGCAATCTGCGTTAATAATGAGGTCGTCGAAGGCGCTTCCACCAACACCCACGACGCTCCGTGAGGCCGATCCCGATTGATGCCGCTGCGCATCAACGCCTTCCCGTTGGAGGTGACGGCCCACACCATCTCACCGGGGCCAACGGATATCCTTGCCGCCTCCACCCCGTCGGGAAGATCGATGTATGCCCATGCATCCCCGTGGAAAGCGGAGGCGAGACTGCAGTTGCGGCGGACGATCACCTGGCCGTTGATAGTGACAGCCCATAGGAAGATACTTCGCGTGCTGTGGGCAGACGTGTCGCATCCTCCAGCGGAAATGTCCATCAAGGCCAGGCTGACATCCGCGAGATCGGTCCATGTTAAAGGAATCCAGCGGTTGGTGGCACGGTAACGGCATGTCCGTGTCCAACGGCGACGGCGCACATAGTGATTCCATCGCTTTTCAGGATAGTACGTCGAGGGAAAGTCAATGGCGTATGTCCAACCCTGAGAAAAAAGCGCAAAAAAGTTTTTCTCAGTCACTCTCCATTTTCTTTCGGCTCCATACAGTGGTAACTAATATACTATGATTTGTGATGATGCTGTTCTTAAAATTAATCTTGTATTTATTTTTTCTATCCTATTTCAATAATAAATTAAAATCCACAAACAAGCACGAGCAATACGAATAAAAAATTTTTTAAACTTCTAACATTAAAATTTTAATACTCAACGAGTAAACTAACGTCAGACTGAGAAAGATAACTGGCTTTCCATGTTGGAGTCAGAAACCACAAACAAAATCGCAAATGGAAAGAAAGTACGGTAAGTCGGTAACATACAATAGTACATACTCAACATTCGTATCAACTCCACTTTGAATTCATATTCACCTAGATTTCACAATATTTTTAGAGTAGCATACGGTTAATTCGCCTTCAAATTTCATCAATACACGGTAAAAAATTATTATCAATTTACTGACATTAAACCTCGATCACGATAATTATCTTCGTAATGTCAGTGCTGGAGAAACACATACTTCAGGACCGAGCAGAACACCGTGGAAATTCTCGTCTATCTGCCAGCGCGCTGTCTCCCAAGTCCAATCTGATGTCGGTAACTGTGTATCGTCCTTTCCACGCTCAGTTCTTCCGCTCTCATCCGACCACTGATACCTGCAGGAAACGAGGAAAACTGCAACTGACTGCCGCTCTGCATTGAGCGAAGAGAACGAACCTGTCTGTAGGCAGCAGTGCATTTGAATAGCCTCTCGCTGGGGTCCACCGTTCATTCTGGTAGATTTCCACCGTGCGACAGATTGGCACTAATGGTTCGCTAACCCATACATAAGCCTATCAAACATCCAGATAAATACACAGGCTGATTGACGCTCACCATCTACCAAACAAAAACTCATACTTGGCAAGAAAAACCTAGATAATACGCTGTGCGCAGGAGAGTATTTTAATGGAAATAGTATGACGGAAATGGAGAAACACGTATTGCTTGCTGCGCTAAACCGCTTCCTACCTTCAGATCAGCTCCAATTCCATACAGTACTTCGGGTGCCTGTCCACCAAATGCCAAGCACTTGATCTGGATCGCGGAAGTCAGGACATCCGTAATATTTCCACGCTTTACCGAGAAAACTTTCCCGGATGATTTTAGAAGATAGAAGACTGATGCTGCATCTCCACCAACCGAGCCCGAAGCCATGTCAGACCTGTGCGCCGTAAATATAAATGCTGCCAATAAAGAGAACACATGGTTCTAAATTTCTAACAAAAATAGTCCTGATAGCAGATAGCAGCACTTCGATACGAGTATGTAAATAAGGGTGAGAACGTAACGTGCGCTTGAAAAACCAAAATTAATTTAATGTAAATGTTTGAAACGCGCTCCGTAATTTATCACTCTGATCAACTGTATATGTCTATATCGCACAGTATATGTCTATTTACGGCGCACAGGTCTATAATTATTTATAATGTGGCTCGATAAATTCAATACATTTTGACCATAAGAACTGCGTATTGTTCCCCACTCATTGAAAACATGTAACAAACGAATAAATCAATTCGTCCTGCGTAAGAATAAAATCTCGGTTATTAATTTAGTTTTAATACAAACCTGCGAGTTGCGACTATGTATCACTGGTCAGTTCATACAATATCGTTCTTTGTTTTACACATTCTTTATATCTATATATAGAAGTATGCACAGAAAAGTATCAGACAATTGCAAGCCACATGTACGGCATAAAATTCATATTTGAAGTGGAAAATTAAAGACACAAATATTTACAAGGTATTTTTGATAATATATGATGCTTTAAAATCAAAATCGCCAGTGTACAGAATAGGTTCGGATTTTTAATACATTGGTTAACCCTAAAGCACGATATTTAAACTTTCAAGGTACTTAAGGGGGTACGGTGTTCTCTCAGACTTTGTGGATACTGGATAGCTTTGTAGATGCGGCATGCTGTAAACTTAACCGGAAGCAGTGACGCGTAACCCATCTGATGTTTACCTAAGGCTCTAATGATTTCCACCACTTCTAAGCAGGATCATTTTAAAGAAGAGGAAGGAAACGATCCAATTTCCATTGGAATAGTAATTCAACTGCTTCATGTACGGCCAAAAATTCCAAAAGTGAGATAACATTTCTCGTATAATCCTAAATTTATGAAGGCTTTCATACATGCAGTAGATGAATGAAATCGTCATATTTAAGAGGGCTCTATTATACCAATTTCTTTACGTTGCGCCCTTCGAGAAAAAATCGTTTTATAATATTATTATATTACAGTTGCTTGCGTATCTGTGTGACTTCAATGAAGACGACGTTCATTCTTGACTCGAGAATTTGTAAAACAATCATGGTTTTTTGGTGCATTAATTACAACACAATGAGCACACCTTTTGACCACCGGCAAACTTTAAGATTTCAACAGCTAAAACGTGCATAGTACATACTACAAGTACGCATACTTTTTATGGACACCACACAGTTACGATTAACGAAGCCCAACTTACACATCTGTTAGTCACTGCTGAAGTTAGTTTTAAATGTTTTAAGAGTTGTCATTTGTGATACGGTTAGTTACAATACGAAAGTACTGAACGAGCAGAACATTATACTGCCGAGTGCCGAGTGTCGATCAACCTACTTGAATGAAACGAAAACTTTATTTTTCGACACGGCAAGATAGTGGCAGTTTGCGAGGCTAAAGGTCATTGCTTTACATTTGACCCGTGTAAAGTTTGGGTACTGTACCAGGCGGTAAGTGTGTTTAAAATAAAAGACTATCAGCAGGAATGAATGGAGTTTTGCGACAGAAAGAGCATTTGGCCTGATGGGCATTTAATATGAGACAGAAAAGGCGTAGGTGTACCTTTTCTATGTAGCAAATAACAATGCTCTTTGCACTAATTCAAACGGCATGTGTCTGTATACAATAACAAAGATTCGATGAAAACGAGTAATCAGATTATGCTTCAGTTAATAAGAAAAGGTGATAATCTAGAAAGCGCTCCTATTGCCAAAGGTTCATTGAAGTTTGCTCAACAGGTCACCCTTTACTGCAGATTTACAAATAATTTGCGGAAGATTAAGAAACACCATTCACCGTCCGAGAAAACCATGTAGAGAATTTTGTAGACTTGTCGACTACTTATTTTTCCACGTGCCTACGGAGATCTAAATCTCCTGCTGTTACCTGCTGCGTCTAAATGTACGGTCAATAATTTTCATACGTACCTGTGATAACTGTAACTGTAAGCAAAATTATTGTGTAACTTTGTAGCATAGTTCAGAACGTTGAAAACGCTGAAATCTCGCCTAACTTCACAGCTAAAATGCCGGACTAGCTGCACGAGTACTAATTCCCTTCAATCGATTCCTTATTCTATTATCTTATGCATCTGCAGTAATTACAAATAAAAATCGTTACTCACAGTATGCATCACATTGTGTCATGTTCCTCGGCGTTTCATTTCGTATATAAAATTAATATTTTAATGTACCGTGTTTAAAATCTATGCGGCCACAAAACTACGCTACAGTGCCAAAGCATAATAATATACGCGGCGTTAACAAGAGGGCATGGTTGATCACTGAAGCGGATCGGGCTTGCGCGCCAGAGCACTCTGATTGGACCCCATGCAATGCTTTGCGCTGTGACACCCGGAGTCTTTGTGAAATCTCCTCAACATGGTAAGCGTCGGGGTGGAGTTGCCGCGGACGAACACAGAGCACTGGATGCAATCCCGTTCGTGTGTGCACAATATAGCGTAGCAAGGGAAACAGGCTGAAAAGTCTAACCGGCATCATTGTACTGACGAATCCATGGCTCCTCCTCCGGTTAGAATCCAATAAACCCGGGACGACGCCGCACTGGCAAAGCATTCGCGGGCTGGCCGGGGTATTGTTAGGATTATGCACCTAAATTCCCCACCTTTTACGGCGGATGCTAAATTTTGCTGGGCTTACGAACGACGCGTGCAGTGTGTTAGTCCAAGCCACGCGACCACTTGAGCGATTCCGGTTGGGCTGTATCGATACGTTATAATCAGTGCACCGCTGATTCGTTTTGCCTCACTTGCCTGTTCGCGTGATATTTGACTTATTTTGTGTTATCCGAATTTCAACGGAAACGGTGTTTTATATCTTAATATTCTCGTTATACACCACTCTCCTTACGGTATATAAAGCCGTTTATTGCAACCTGTAACTCCTTGTCGTTTTCCGAAATATGTCGGTAAGTTTGTCAACTCAGTTTTGTAATTATGCGATGCATAATAATTGATATGGGCAATGTCATAGCTAACTTTCTGCGCATAATAATTATATTAAATGAGCACATCATGGTTGTACAAATTTAATTTTTGGCGAAAATTTCACTAAAACGGACAGATGTACAGAATAATTTTATCTTTTAAGTAAGTTGCCAAAAGTTTTCTTTAATCGCTTAAACTCTCAGCCTTGATTGAGTTAAACTAAACTTTAATTATATATGAACTGCAGCTGCATTATTATAAGGGTAAGGGAGAAAAATGGAAAAGTTTTCTTATTGTATGTGAAAGCTTTCGATTAATTGGCTATAACGGAAAAGATAAATCTCCGGCACGTGTGCCGGCACGCACACCCATTGCGAATAGTTCACTTTGCAGCAGCTACACTTGTCCCACCACCACCACATCACACATAATCACTCAGACATCAAGATGGAGCCGATGTCACCGGAAGCCGACATCGTCAAATCAGCAGCGAGCAACGTTTCCGCGACAACAACGAAGTCAACATCAGCGGTCAAGCCCAAACGCTACAGCCGGCCGCGCGGCCGTTGTCGCAGCCCGACCTTTGTGCAGAAACTAAAGAAAACCCGCCGTCTGAAAGCCAATGATCGCGAACGCAACCGGATGCACAGCCTGAACAACGCCCTGGAGCGTCTGCGTCTCATCCTACCACAGAATCCCGATGAGTCGAAATTAACCAAAATTGAGACACTGCGCTTGTCCATCACATACATTGAAAAGTTAACGCAAGTGCTGAAAGCATCGCCGGGTAAGGATGCCGGCGATCAGGATATGTCGTATTCTGCGTATAATACGGAACCCCATCATAGTGTTTACCCGGCGGAGGAAAAAGCTCTGGACGTGCCGCATAATTTCTACCCTGAGAACCTGGAATCGCTTTTGTCGGGAATGTATCCGTGGCCCACTTCCGACTGCAGCCCCAACACATCGTGGTGCAGCAATGAATCCAGTGAAGATAGTGCAATGTACAATGCCGGTTCGAATTTTCAGTTTGACAACAGTGCTAATGTCCAAAATGGATTAAACTGTTTTCAGTTTATGTAACTATTTTATAGGTTTATTGTTTACTGTTCTTTCTTTGTGGTTTACCTTTCCAGTACAAACTGCAGCGCTTGTTTACATAAGCAACGTTTCGAAGCAATTAGCTGTGTAAATCCGGTTCAATGAAACGCCTGAAGTATAAATTTTTCGATGCCGTGAGCGCATTTGTATGGACACAACGCCATTAACACCATAAATAAATATCAATTATAATAATATTGCAGTTCTGTTAGCAAATTATTGCAGCGCCATCTTTATCAATCAAGCGGGAAAAAAATTACTTTTACAAGTCACAACATGATACAAATATTAAGACGCAAAGTATCTGTACGTTGAATTCATACCATAACATTGTAACGCGAGAAGACAAGTGCCAATGTATCGCATTTCTTGCCAACTCAGTCTAAGGAAACTGCAGCTACTGGGCAAATTTATATCTGTAATTTTTTTGTGTTTTCTTTAGTAAAATGGACTAAAACAAGAGCGAGGTATTTAGTTCCTAGGACTTCTATTACTCTTATTTCATCGATTTTCGTATTTACGCATATATGGAACAGAATATGGTTGCGCCTAAGGTAGAGTAATTAAACTAGGATTTACTTTGTCGGATCTACCTGCAAATGAACATTTGGAGTCGCTAAAGTTTCTTCTGTTACAAGCATAATTATTATATCTTTTTTATCTCCAAAACACAAGTCTACCGTCCATATCGGCGAAATCTGGATGAAGGTTGATGCCTATCGCGTGTCGAATGCAGTCGCCTAATCAGTCCAAGATTCTGACTATTCCATCATGCCGATAATTGCAGCATTCATTAGGCCGAAAGTCGCTACTTTTTTCGGCAGAATTTAATGGGATCGATAATGAGTTCATTTCATTCCCGGCGTATGCGCGGTATATATGCTTTTCCGACGATAAAGCCGCAAAAGAACTGATTGCCGACAATGACTGCTTGTTAACATGTCCGCTTGGCGAGAAAAGCCAAACAATTAACAATAGTTAATCGGTCGGAACGTGCATATTTACAGCTAATTTAAACTGTGCTCCTTCATTCCCTCCTCCAGTATCAAATGTCCAGATTTAAATGGGGAAAGATTTTAGACATTGATAAGGATATTTACCGTTGCTACCATAATTCCAGACTGCGGCACGCATATTGACGACAGGTGTTAGCTAGCTATGACAACATAGCGTCATATGGCACTGCTGATACGCGCGTTTAGTTTGAATTATCCCTATATTGTTTCACTGCAAATTTAGAAAGCTGAATTTCTATAGTGCTCTTGTTGTCTCTTATACTGCATAGGGCAAAACTGTTTTTTTAAGAATGTGAAGTATTAACCGCTTTTTCAGTGAGGCTTAAAATCAGGCGCATTTACAACAACTCAATCTACCTTATACACATACCAAAATCATTTGCGACGCGTCACACAGCCCTTAACATTGGTTGAAAACCAGTAGTTTGAATCTTGCATTATCTTGGTATACTTAATATTCAGGAATTACAACCGAAGGTCAACCATACTGTATGAATTATTACTGTGACTACCGGCATTATATATGGCCTCGTCCGCCTAGCGCATGCCGCTGCATGCACCTAATTATAACCGTAAGGTCATCAATTTTCTAGCCACTGTAAGCTAAGTATGGGGGATTTAACGAAGGAAAAGCGATTTCCACTGATGCTTTGTCATTTATTGAATAAACGTTTAATTTTTGAAGTACGTGTACAATTTGTACACAATGACCGCGAAGGCAAATAACTTCGTTCAGTGAACCTGTATCGGCCGGCGTTCTCATTACTGTAAAAATTTTTATGCGATTGCTCAGGCGAGGAAATTGTTCCATCTACTGAAACAAAAGCTCTCCATCGGCTGTGTATAAAAAGCGCGTTCTGTCGTCCACCTGCTTAATAGGTTTATGTACGGGCACTGTGCATTGATTGCCCAAGCCGGTCAATTTATGCGCCTGTTGTCGGCATTGTACCGGCCTTTAGTTCACAGAATAGATAAACATCCACTTTTGTTTCAAAATTATCTGCAAACTCAATATATTCACTCATAACAATTACTATTAAAACAACACTCAAATGAAATGTGTTTATAAGCTCAACAGTACACAACTTGAAACACTGGCAAAACAAAACAAATAAATTACTAACTTAATCGCAAAATCAGTGATCAGTTGGAGCGATCGTATTGCAGCACATCGCATCGTATTGCTGCTGTTTCATTACTTACAAGGTGCATTACGGCATATATAAGTGTATATCTTTTTGCAGTAGGTTACGAATATGTTCAGAACAAAAAAATGTATTTAAAATTTATTTTTGATCCTATCAGTTTGGTCAAGGGGGTTTGGTTTTCTTGATTTCGCTGCTCCATTACCGATTATGAGCATAACGTATTTTGCCTGTCGAATTTAACTCGTTTATGGGGAATGGAATCAAGAGCACCGTGCACGGAACTAAAATGCCCTGCTACGGATTCTCCGATTCAGCAGATTTAAAGCAGCGTGTTCCAGGCAGGTGTTCAGCGAGATGCAGAGCAACATATATTTAGCCATTTTCCTTTTAAAGAGCAAAAATGACGCCCATAAAATATTTAATCCCGTCCACTGCCTCGCTCAAATTAATGTGTCAAAATGCATTAAAACGCTCTTAATAGCCGAATACTTGCCACATATAGTGCGGTGATGCGGTGATGGATCCGGAAAATCAAACAATAGCTTTTACAGCCGCTGACTGAACTGGGCTTTGCCCTCGTATTTGCATAAAGCACGATTATTTTACTAAAGTTTTGTTATGGAAAAATAATTTTATACAGATACTTACTGTACTACGTACAGTAGTGGTCGGCGATGAATATAAATACGTTTGTTTAGTGGATAATATAAATTATGCAATTAAAAGCTGCTGACACGGTTAACGAAAAAACCCCGTAGTATTAATGCAATACTGACTATATTGAAATAATGTTTAACTGCTGATTTACTTGTTCACATGTTTTATAATTATATTTTCTGAGAAACGTAATAATTATAGCAAGTATTAAGGCCCGTTAGCCGGTAAAAAAACTGCTTTGTTTGGAACTTTTGAGACGGTAAATGCTTTAAATGCAAAGAAACGGCGCGACATTTGTATGCGCACTGTACAGCGAACAAGATAAGGTCAAGTTCGGCTACGCACAAATTTAGCATCGGTGCCCTTAAAAGCCCTTTCTCTCTGAATTCTTTTCATCCTCCCACTATGCCCAAACATGACGCAACTGTGCTGAATGGGTCATAATTAGCCATCCTGGGAGGTAATTTGAACCCATTCTTTCTCCGAAAGGTGCGCATCATTTTATCGTCTGCCGGTGTGCATGCTCCGAATTATCAGCGTTACCAAAATTGTGTAAGTACCATCTCAAACAAAAATTTACACGACACGATCTGTTAAACTTCTTTACTTTTATAGTTCTGACCAAAATCTAAGACAATCAGTTCCTTTGATTTCCTTTAATCGATGCAGTTACTGTATACCGTATTTTGTCCATAGTTTCGCAGGCCTCCCGGTACACGCAAAGCCTGACAAACTGACAACTTTAATAAGAATTTAAGCCGACGTCTGCCACAATGTCTACGCATTTTCGTACCTGGGCGACATGCGTATACCTTTTGGGCATTACTGGGCTAACAAGAGTGTATACGCTTTACTGTCTGGTCAAGTTTTTGCCTAAATCGACGCTCTTATTAAGTGCTTAAGACGTTTTTAAATATAGTTTGACAACCTATTGTTTTAATTGACATCCACTTGAAATCAATTAATGGGTTTGACAATTTATGTACATTGTACAAACTGTAGAGACACAGTTAATTATGCTGTCGAAAATGTTTCGTAATGTTATCGTAAAATAAGGTACATATAATTCATCCATTCATTCGGAGTTAGCTTTTTACAGCATAGGTTTTACTAAGTACTAAAAGGAAAACCTAAGCATGTAATGCTTGGCAAAAGACCATATAAACTCGAATTTTCGAACGAAATATTACAGACACACGAACATATTACAAAGTATTGCATGCACGTCTGAGATTTCATGTATATATAATTTTCCTGACCCGAAATAACCTAAATAACTCTCTTTGTAATGGTGTGTTAATGTGCGCAGTGAAATGTGTCGACGGCATCGTAATCAGACTGAAAGTTTTTCAGCAGGGGATCCTATTGTTTCCCGCGTTAGCTTTTCTTCTGCCGATTCGGTAACGAATCTACGAAGAAACTGTTAGAAGCACTCGTCCAGCGCAGCATGGCTCGATTACGCAAATGTCACTCAACATCATACAAAAAGCATCCTGAAAAGGTAATCTTCTTTGCCGCTAATCGGCTCAACCATTGATGCGCACTGGATTTGGTCTGTTAGCTCAAAAGGGAACTACAGAAAAAATGCAAATTAACCGAACACTAACCCGTCCGACTATAGTCCACTTCGCCTGACCATCTTACGCAACATGTCTGGAACTCTGGATGGAATTCGGAAAGATAGCCATTCTAACGGTTAAGACTTATGACATACTGCCAAATCATTGTATGACCTCTCGGTAGACAGCGTGATTACTGCTATTCCTGCAGAAAATTTGTAAGCAACCCTGTTTTATAATTTCAAAACTTTAACCACGACAAAGTCTTTGTGCTAGTTTAATTCTTTTAAAAAATCCACCGTTTTGGAAAAAATTAGTTTAGCCGAGCTAGTAATCACCAGTTTAATTTATACATATGAAGTCGTTCGTACAATTATATATCCCGCCTGCTTTGCTTTTAATGCGGTACGATTTACCCTTGTTATTTTTCATGCTATTTTAACATACCATATGCAATAAGTAATAACAATAATAACAATACCGTGGACGATATTAGTCCCAGTAAACATGTATTTTGTAATGATGGGGCAAAATTCTCTGGTACGCGTATGCAATAGCGTTAAGCCGTTGGTCTTCTTAATTATTGCATTTGATTTTTAATAGTTCTATTCTCCTACCGCCGATATTCATGGATCGTGATCAAGTGATACATATACCGCGACTGAAAGATATCCATATTACCATAAGAGTAGCATAAAGCATCAGAATATTTATTTTACAATTGTTCGTGTCTCTTATACACACTGCAGCTATCTGCTGCACAACGGACATAAGAATACAATTTATGTAACGGCGCAGTCTAAATATAATGATTGTGCAAAACTGTATAAACATACACACGTTCAACAAATATTGCGGCCGTAAAGGATATATGCCGCCTCAATGAAGATCGGTAAAAGATAAATAAAAATCTAAGCAGCGTTGCAGTTTGCCTTTGTCGTGTGCAATTGTTATCAAAATCTGAAATTGTATTCGAGCCCATAAAGGGAAAGTGTAGAGATTATGTCAACGGAACGCCGATTTTCGGGCAATACGCCCGGACGCCAGCGTATATATCGCAGATTCCAGGATAAATGCCGAACAAAAATCCTTGTTAAGCTTTGGTGACAGGTGGTGATTTGGGCATTGAAAATTTAGCAGTGCTCTCCCTCTTAGCTCATTTAAATTTATGACGCCCGCTATTACATGTGATACGCTGATCAAACTGCACAGAGAGAGACTGACCAATATGCCACTGGTGCGTTTAACTTTGCGAAACACTTCACTTTTCAGCATCCACAGTCGACAGCAAAAATGGTATTCCCTCTTCCCTTTCCCGCTGTGATCGCCCCATAGACCTAGTTTTAATTGAAAAGCAAGAATTTATAAAGCGGATCAGCGCAACGTCATGAAAGGAGAGATTTATGGATTTGTTCAGTGTCTGAAAAATGCATATCTACTACAATTCTACAATCTACATAGCTATGTACTGTGCATTATTTGCGTTTAATTAACCGAGCGCGGCAAAAAGAAATAAATTTTATTTTGATAGCGCTTTCATTTACGAGCCCCTTTTTAGTGAATGTTACATTGATTTGATTCCTTTTTGTTCGCGACGTATACCGATATATGTAACTTAAGGCAGAGAAAAGTCTTGCAAAATGCAAAAACAATGACAAACTTGCAACAAAGGACAAACTGCCAGCAGCCATTGAAAGCCGGCACACGTTAGACAGTTGACGTGTTGTCAGGGATTAACTGATGATTAAATACTGGTCGTGTGCAGTGTCTAAGGAAGACGCTGGATGCATTTACCGACGGCTAATCATACCCGACCGGCGTCCCGGCACATACATATGGATGGCGCTTACATCACAATTATTGCAAGAGATAATGATGATACTTAAGCCCTCTAAACATGCTACAAAACAGAAGCATATTTGCAATCTACTTAAGCGGCTTTCAGGGAGACGAATCGATCTAAGTATATGGCATAAGATTGACGAGGAATAAATGAATATGATCGCGCCTTACGTAAATGGCGCAGGTGAGGATGAACAGAACAGTTGTCACTTTGCGGTCAAGTTATGTTACGCGATCATCCAGAGAATGAGAGAGACGGCAGACAGCATATATAAGAGAGAGCGGATAAAGTATGCAGGTGCGCTGTGTCAAAAAGAATCTTTGTGGTTTTTCGGACGGCGCTTCCTTAATCAATGGTCTTCCTACATAAAAAAAAGAAACTGTCAAAATATACAGAGAAATCACTATGCTTGCGAGTGCGAGTATATAGTAATATACCGCAGTTATGCAACACGTCACTGGTATAGCAAAACGCCAAAACCATCGAATAATCTTGCGTATTGAATTACTACGCCATGGTGAAACTAACGATGTTACGGACAACGGACAGCTTTCATATAACAGGTAGGTAAACTGCACTAAATACAACGCATAACAAAAATACGAAGTCAGCTACCAGCATTTAATTTGGCTTGTAGTTGTTCAGTGTCCTCGCCGATGGATCCGTGGCGTCCGTCCACTTGGGCATCCAGAAGTATGGAATCCATTTTTCTCTCCCAGGATAATGTCTGTTAAACACTTTCCGGTAGTAGAAAGCTTCCTTTGTTGCCGGAGTCAGATGCGGAAACATTTTTGCTCTTTGGGCAAACTCATCGTCGCTAACCTAATCAGCAAGGTAAAGTTCGCTGGTTATTTGCAAAAGAGAATCGATAATTAATAAATACGAGCAAATGCATCGATACGACCTTAATACCGCAAGCGAGCTACAAACGCACCGATCACAGCATAATAATTTTCAAAAAATTGTAACCGTACTATTAAAACAATAATAACCCTGTCAAAAGCAACTGATAATAAATAGCGCGCAAAAAAATGGTAAATTGTACGAAATATACAAATGTGGTAAAACTATCAAAGCTTACCAAGTCAGCGGTGAATTCTTGCAGAATCTGAAACCATGATTTGGTCATGGAGGATACGCCATCACTGAAAGCTTCTTTCGGCCGCCAGAGAATTTCATGCGGAAGCAGATCCGTGCCGTCGAATGCGCTGCGCAGCAGATGTTTTTCTATACCATCTTTGGGCACGCGCAGTTCTTCCGGTAGGGACAAATAGTAAGCAGCAAACTGATGGTCCAAGAAGGGCGGACGCAGTTCCAGGCCATGAGCAGCCGTGGTGCGATCGGCGCGCAGTACATCGTACATGTAAAGGTCATCCATCAGACGGATACTCTCTGTATGACCAGCTGCCGGTGTGGGCGCTTTATGGAAGTAAATGTAGCCCTGCGCCACCTCATCCGAGCCTTCGCCCGAGTACATGACCACGGTGTCGGTTTTTTCCCGGACATACTTCGATATCAAATACATTCCTGTACCCAAAACAAAAGTTAACCGATTTCTCTTTCTATTTCGCTTGACATGTTATCGGGCACATTATAGCACAACATACATATGATACGAGTACGCCACCGCAAAAAAATTACTGAAGACAAAATTTTGGTTGCTGCTCTGTGTGCATTACCAACTGAAGCTCGAAAATAGAAACTGTTTACGAAAGACTATCGTACCGACTGAAGCTCGAACTGTTGTTATGTCGTAGCTTTCCAAATGATATATGACATCGTCCACTGCCCGGGTGCCTTCTTCCGGTGTAAAAACCACTTCATGGTGTTCGGACTGAATGTGTTTGGCTACCTAAATTATAACGATCTTCACTAGTTCAAATAACTCTTCCTTAAATATCCAGTATTGCTCAGATTGTATCAATGAGTCACTGCTATGCGCCTTAAATTTAATGGATTTAATTTGGCAGCTATAAGCAAAAAATCCTATAAGCTAACTTGACAGGACGATGTGTACTAACTTTTCGCGCAGCAATAAGATCGGTGCTGCCTTCCATGCCAATGGCGAAGGTTTGAATGGGATATGAAATGCCTCCTTCCCGCGCTTCTTTAACCAGAATGGCCGCCACTAAGCTGGAATCCAGTCCACCGGATAGGAAACACCCAATACGACGATGCGACATCAGACGTTTCCGTACAGCGGCCACCAACAAATTCTGAATGTTTTTCAGCACGTCGTCCGCTGAAAGATCAAAAGAAGGTATAGGTACAACGCCATGCGCATCATAACATTACGGATATTGTAAGTCTGAATTGGCACAAAATTCACCGGAAAGTTTCTAAACGATAATAACTCCACAGAAACAAATGCGGGACTATTTTCCGGTAATGCTTACTCAGTTTTGACACAAGTGTCCGGTATTTCGGCATTTCGCCGGTCCGCGAAAATGCCTTTGATTCATGCAGATGCACAAATCCTTGCTCGTTCACATTGTACGTCTCCACATGTCCGGGCTTTATGGGCTCAATCTGGGAGCCGGCATATTCATCCTTTTTGGCCAATTCCACCAAACCTAAATAAAAACATTCAGCAGTCATATCAGTATGCGCTAGTTTTTTCTAGTCCACCCGTTCGCAAAACTAGAATTCTTTCCTGTTTACATATTCAAAATGCTGTACACAGTACCAGAATCTCCCTAACCTTTCGCTTCCGATGATACCCCGAGAATGCCTTTCTTCGGGATGACCATTTTGAATGCCGGTCGCACACCATACGTGTCGCGACCCACGAAGATCTTTTTCTTCTGTGTATCGATCAGACAGAAGGCAAATTCGCCGTCCAGCTGTTCGGCACACAGTTCGATTCCACCTTTATCGTACAAATGCAAAAGAACTTCTCCGTCTAAGGAAGTTTCATAGATGAATTTGAAGTCATCTTGGAGCTGCAGCGAAAAAAACAGAATCTGTGCGCTACTGAAGTGCATATATGCTGTATACAAAAAGTAAGTAAGCTTTTTAATACACAGGTGCAACTTGCACCATGCAATTTAACACTTTTGTAATACTACAGATATATCACCCTGTACGCAGTTATATAAAACATAAGCAGTTTAATAATAATTACCACTCGGAAGTTGTAGATTTCCCCATTGTAAATCAGATACAAATAAGGGAATTTGCGCAACCGCAGTGGCTGCATCCCGTGCAGGTCATCCATAATGCATAAACGATGGAATGCCAGACATGAATGTGGCAAGTGATGGTCACCTTCAATCCGAAATGCATCTGGTCCGCGATGTTTAATGCGTAGACACGCTTCCAAATACTTGAAAACGTCTGGATGAGGTGATCCAAATAATCCCCAAATTCCGCACATTTTTCTAAAAGGAGATTAATGTATGAGTAAAAATCGTGCAGGACTGCAGCTAATGATATAAGTAGCAGTACGTAGAGGTGTACAATTGCTAAGCTCGACCATAAAACAAAGCGCAGCATAATGACAATTTTTATATTTAAACGCCTTCCACATAAGATCTAAGGCATGGTTATTTGAACTTATTTCAAATATTTATCAATTACCAGTGATCAGACCACTTCTGTGTAAACGCAGACAATGCATTAACTTATACATTATGGCTGCGTGCACGGGTAAACACGGGTGTTGGCTGCGTGCACGGGTGACTTTTTTGGATCCGCACGGGTGTTGGCTCCGTGCACGGAGTTTGAGGACGGGTGTTGGCTGCGTGCACGGGTGACCTTTTTGGGTCCGCTCGGGTGTCGGCTGCGTACACGGGTAACTGGTTTTGTTTTAATTTTTTTATATACAATTTATTTATTTTACGTAATTACTACGAAGTATGGAAACTTGACTCACAGCTTGACTCAAACCATAATTGCTCAACAAAATTCAGTAAAGTTGTACTGTACTACAAATTTTGTTGTACAGTAAAGTAGTACTGTACTACAAAGTCGCAATAAGGAAAATCGAAGATTTGAGAATTTCTGTAATATTTTTTCTGTAATATAATACAAAAATATCTGTAACTTTTCCTAGATTGTGCCACAAGAAAAAACATGTCAGAAAATCTGTAGAAAAGAGTGTTGTGATTCAACAAAACGTGGAAAATATAAGACAAAAAGGTTCAAGAAAACGTAATACTATATAGAACTAAACCGGTCCATAAGTAAACGTAAAACAAATTTAAAATTTAAAACGCCGTGCACACAGCCAACACCCGTGTCCGAACTCCGTGCACACAGCCAACGCTCGTTCAGATACCCGTGCACGCAGCCAAAACCCGTGTTTACCCGTGCACGCAGCATCGACCTAACTTATAACGCTGTGGTTACCATTCGTTTGCTAAAAAACCAAATATTATATACAAGAAAATCTCATTTCATCTCTTTAGTAACCAGGTACATGCTAATGATGCTATGCTGTATTCAAAGATAAGTTTTTTGCTAACAAATTTGCAAGCAGATTCTTTTTACCGTTTAGCGAACAGCTGTAGGAAATAATTAAGCTGTCTAACGAAAATGTTTAACTTATCCCAGAAGCGATCGGTAGTGTTCGTAACTTCATTCTCCATAATTTTCACATTATTGACAAAATACTGAAAGGCGTTATTTTTTGCTACTTTGAGGCACACAGTGAAACTTGAGCAGCACAAATACACCAACCCAACACTGAACAGGCTTTGTTCATGCAATCACAGAATTATAGCTTTGCAATTCATGAAGCTAACAGGCACTAACTTGAAAAATTACAAATTATAAAAATTATTCCAATTTTAAGAATGTTTCGTTGAAATGCGTGTCATTTTCTGCCGCATCTCCATATAATAATTTTTCCCGACATTATCCAACCAGTCACGTTCCACCAAACACAAATCCCGAATGAACGTCTTCGTCGTCTGCACCAGTTCATTGTACACGACACAACCCGGTCTCGTTTTAAACAGACTGGACGACGGATGCAGTGCCACTGTTCTTTTCGTATCAAGCGTCAAGTATGTCCCATCCGGCTGTCTTTCCGCGGCACACATGAACATTCCTTCACATAGTGCCTTTCTCACCGCGGTTGTCGACAATCCACAGGACACCATGGGAATTTCCTGTCGATTCAACACCTCCACCAGTTGCTTGCGAATTTGTTCGGCCTTGATGAGATTCTTCCGGTTTAAATAGTTAGCATGGCACCACATCTGGGCTTGCTTTTCATCTTTAAACCGCCGCCAGACATTCAGCAGGGACAGATGATCACCCTCATTACTCAAAAATTTCTCATGGACGGCGGCAGCTTCTTTGCGCTTATGCATGAGACTAATGAACGGTGAATCTGAGGATAACATGGCGATAATTGTACACACTTCTTCCGTGCATTGATGCACTTGAGCACGTAGGATGCATCGGGAGTACCGCGGATCCAGCGGGAAACCTGCCATAATTTTACCCGCCTCTGTTGTCGCCACCGGTTCCTGACTGCTCTCAATCGCGCCCAACCATCCCAATTGGTCCAGCGCACACTGAATATTCGCCGCTTCGGGGGCGTCGTAAAACGGGAACGCCAAGGGTTTATCCACGCCCATCGAGATCATCTGTAGGAGGATCGTGGACAAATTACACCGGAGAATTTCCGGTACGGGCTGCTCTGGCCATTGACTGAATTCGTCTTCCGTATATAGACGATAACATGTCCCCGGCTGCTCTCGTCCCGCACGACCTGAACGCTGCCAGGCTTGGGCCTGGGCCACGGTCCGCACTTTAAGGAGATCCATGCCCGTGGCGGGAGAAAAGGTTTTACTCTTCACCCGCCCACTATCGATGACATACTTGACGCCGGGAATAGTGACGGACGTCTCGGCAACGTTCGTGGCGAATATCACCTTCCGGTTGCCGGGTGAAGATTTTTTCATAGCTTCCATCTGGACGTCGGTGGGGAGATTGGCGAACAAAGGAAAGAATGCGATATTACGGAGTGTGTCGGGAAGACTCTTCGTCAACTGTTGGCAGCGCGTAATGGACTCTTCAATCTCTTCGCGGCCGGTCAAGAAGACAAGGATTCCGCCCGGCGGCGATGCGCGGTGAATTTGGAAAACGGAAACAATGGCCGCGTGGACGTAATCGTCGATGGACTGTGGTGAGTACATAATCTGCAAATATTTGAAAATGTCGAATTTTGTAAAAAAATCCAACCCTTCATTGTATCCATCCGGCATCCAGAACATCAAACAACACTGTACAACACTACTTCTTCAAAACATTTATTTCGTAAAACATACATAATTTTCATATTTGATCGAACGATACTGACTGATTATACATATTTCAAGATATTTGGTTCAAAAAATTTTTCGCCAGTCGGTAGTTAAATTCGAAGAAAAATTCAGGAAAAAGACGGGTTTTTTCCGTGTAATTACCTCCACTGGAAACGTCCTTCCCGGGATATACAGCACCGGTGCATCTTTCCAAAAGGTCTGCATTTTCTCCGTCTCCATCGTCGCCGACATCACAATCACCTTCAACGGCAGACAACTCTTATCTTGCTGCGCAAATTTCCTCCGCCGCACCTGTGCCTTCCGCACCAGCCCCAACAGCACGTCCGTGGCCAGCGAGCGTTCATGCACTTCGTCGAGAATAATCAGATTATACTGCTTGAACATCCAGTCACCCTGGGCTTCCCGCACCAACATCCCATCCGTCATGTACTTGATCTGCGTCTCCCGACTGCTGCACTCCTCAAAGCGCACCGCATACCCCACCAACTGGCCGACATCGCACTGCATCTCTTTAGCCACACGGGCCGCTACGGATACGGCAGCCACCCGGCGGGGCTGCGTCACGGCCATGCAGCGCGGACGGTGCTGCTGCGGATCGAAGAACCCGTCAAACGCACGGCGCAGCAGCAACTGCGGGATTTGTGTAGTTTTGCCCGAACCCGTATCGCTAACGATAATGACGGTGGAGGCGGCGGCATGCTGGTGCAGGGCTTCGGCTAGATGGTGCTGGTACTGTAGAACCGGGAGAACGGCGGATTCACCGTTGGACTGCGAGCGCACCGGAGAGCTGAGCATTCGCATCGCTCACAGCTCACACTGATGGATCCAGGAGCCAATACAGAATACGGGTCGCCGAGAAACTGTCGTATACAAGAACCGCTATGTCACGAACTAAATCAGTCGGGCAGCCAACACGCTGGGAACAACGCTAAAGAGACGCTTTCGCGGAAATGCGGGAGACAGTGTCGACCGATCAGCGAAGCATGCGACGAACTACAGTGTTTACAACTCCATAATCTTGTTGCTAACTTTCTGTCCTTCAAAATTTTATAACCGCACTGCCACGAAAAAGCTGGAAACTCTAATTTCTAAACAAATAAAAACCAACCAGAAATTTCTTGATGTGGTTAACGTTTAATCTCGCGATTTCTTCCAGTACAGTACCAGAAAAAACTAATCCGCTGAAAGACGCTGCGCCACTTACCAAACAAAGTAGGGCAAATACCAACTGTTGCGTTGCGAACTTGTGGTGCACACCTGCCGCAGCTGACGGTAACAAAAACGCTGGCGAAGTTATAAGTGCACAAAAGCACTTGAGGGATTATTATAGCAAAACTCTGCTTATAATTCTGCAACAAAAGATTAGCTGCAAATATTTTACGGACTTTAGCCAAATAACTAGGTAGCAACAATTTTTAGGTTTGGATTGAAATTTTCACGTTGCCGGTAGAGATTCTGAGAACGGGTTGACTTCTGCATTGGTGCTAACTGTACCAGCGTTAAGCCGACAAGGTCCAACGCTTGCGCAGAGACGTAATTCACGTGGACATTCCCGCTGCGCCGCTAGCAGGCGAGGACGTGGCGGTTTTACGATTTGATGTTTTGATGATTATTTTTACATCGTTTTAAAACCTGTTTTGTAAACGTCGTGTTTTGATCGTTCGAAACTTTGCCTTTTGTCATCGTACTTTTGAACTTCGATGCCGTACAATAATATACCGTTTTATGGCGTATTAATATTATTATAATTATACTCATATTCTATATTATAAAATACGTAGTACAGTACGTACATGAATTTTGGAAGCTTGGTTTTTTGATTTCTGGCAAGAACTGGCTATAGAGCTTATCTTTTTATATGAATAACTAGCTAGGTGTTAATTCCAGGTTTTTATTCGATTTGTTAGTGGGGTTTCAAAAGATGTAAAACAGCAAATACAATTGTTTCGGCTCGTATAATTTATACTGTATACCAGTATACGTACTTAGCTTTTTATCTGGTATCGTACTCGTGCCGTCGGATTTCATTTTAAAGTTTGACATACCTACATATGTATACAGTGAGAACTACATACAATATAGTTATAGAGACTTTAATAGGCAATAGCCGTCAAAGTAACAAGAAGTGCAAGCGCAGGCACACTACGTTACTGTTAAAATTTTAAACATTGAAAAAACAACCAAAATCTCTATCCACCCGTGGGTTAAATGGTAGCGTACTTAAGACAGCCGTAGCTTTTCCCTTAATAACAGCCAAACTGAATATAACTGAATATATAATTATTATCATGATCACTGCCTTTTCTGTATTTATGAAAAATAAAACACCATAGTCCAAATAGCATTTAATGGAATCCTACTGAAGAACTGAAATTTTTTGTGCATAACTGGTATTGTACCTACTTCCGCATCGTCGAATTGGTCTAGCATATGCTGCCCAATTTTCGGCAGTTTAAACTTTGAATGAACTTAATAGCAGTCCACGCTTTAGTTTTAGTACTAGTTGAAAGGTCAAAATCGAGTTTACACACAGTGGGTTTTTTTAGCAGAGAAGCGCGCCCTCGCAACTGTGTTAGCGGTTGCATATATACTCGGCTTTGATCACCTGGTTTGGCTTTCCGTTAATGAGTTTCTAACATTTAAAAGGGAAAAGGGAGCCTCAGTTTTGGGAACAGTGGAAGGAGCAGAAAAGTTAAACGAAGTTTTAATGTTGTAAAATTGTGATGTTTTTTGATTATGTAATAACTCGTTGTACCACAGGGCACAGGTGAATAAAATCCCCTTTAAAAGGGATGTGCAACTGGCTAGCAGCCTAGTTTCAGCATTTGTTGTAAGTAATGTGAGAAGTTTAGAACTTAGATGTACCCTTATTTCCAGCGATCGTCTGCAATACGGTAAATGGTGACGCGCACTACCCTAGAGCGCGGATGGGATCAACTTTTGCTTTTTAATATGAATTGAAATTAAATTTTGATAATACCGTCAATTTGCGTCATCGTTAACGTTGGAAACTTAGCAGTAAGCGGTTCAGTTTGATTTCAGACCACAACTTCAAGAAAAACATACCTATGTGAGTAATATTTCGCGTATATAACGCTTTCATGACTGGCAGCACTTCTCTAGATCTGCAGAAACGATCACAACAATAAAGTTACGACACCTGCCTGCGCAAATCGCAAACGTGTACTGATCATCGGTCGATTGTTATTGACGTAAAGCCATATGTGGTGTTAACATTGCTTATCTCTATGTTTTAATAAGCTACAATTTCCATCAAACAGCACAATCTGTATTTGATATTTGTTATCCGTGTACAACGCGCTGTATGATGCACATCCCAACGTGGAACTAAATATAGCTTGCTTCCGGTGCTACGTTCACAAAACTACTGTGGTTAGTGACGGTCAGGGCCTACAACAGTGATCAGTATCATCAGCACCTCGTTGTTGCACAACTAAAACCCGAGGTTCTCGTTGCTTCGATTAGTGTACGTCTTACACGTGCTTAAAAAGTCACTTATTACCAAAGGGATATTAATAAAATGAGCAACTGGCCGCACAATCCGTACCCGGTAAGTGACGCAAACGTTAGTAAACGTATCATAAACTTTTTATATGAGTAAAATATGCATAATTCTAAGCGTCATATTGCTATTAATTGCACCCAGCATTATTTGTGTAACATAGCGTAGAGAGATGTGTACATGTGTGATGCCTTTAGGGAGGCGTTCCTATGCCAGGAGCTTATCCAACCGCTCCTCCAGGAGCGATGCCGTATCCTGCAGCCCAGGTAAATGATTGTAATTCTGCTTAAACCGTCTAGCAAAAATTCATACATATAGACAAACGTTTTATGGATTAATAAACCGATGACGCTGCGAACATCCTCTGCCCCGGCATACTGTCAGGAAAATGCTTGATTTAAATGATAGTAAGCCGAACGTGGCTCATGAGTAACTGGCTAACTTACTTAGTCCTGCGCCGGTTATTTGCAAATAGCGGTTCTACAAAGTAATTGCAAGACAAAATCCGGTACATATTAATGAGTTTATATATAGAAAATTGTCATTAGTCATTTTATATCCGCTCAGTCAGCATGCAACTCTACTCGTACATACTATTTACTAGAGTAGTTGTTGTGTAACTGCTGATTTAATTTGAAGCAGACTTTACTTACGCTTCCTGCATGTGAGTAAAAAAACGGTAGAAAAGTAGAACCCGCCTATATTTATTGCATGCTCATCGTTCTGAATGTATAGTAGCTGATTCATAAATATAAACAAATTTGAAATGGATATTCCCATGTGCGCCACAAGGTTGCTGACGTGTTTCTGACCACCAAAACTTGTCAGAGTTCGCATTAGATCAGCGTATAAACTGATCGCACCGCTTCTTTGCTAATCATCATCATATCGAGAATGAATGCGCAAAACGAAATATATAAGGTGCGCAAATTCGATCAATATAGCGGTGAACAGTTACAGCGCAAAGTTTTACCTTTCTTAACACCACGTTATCAGGCCAGCGTAAAGATAAGGTACCTCTGACTTTTATTATTTGAATTATCAATTATAATAACCGAAGATCGCACACAGTTAACACCTGGATTTGTTTAACTTGCGCACAAGGTCTCACATTTGCAAGTTATCATATCAAAACTGCTATAACGCAATACGTTTCCAGCCTTATCCACCTGGTCAGCCTGCTTATTACCCACCACCAGGTCAGCCCGCACCCGGTTTCGGCTATCCTCCCCAGCCTGGTTATCCAGCCCACGCCGCACCGGCGCCAGGCGGATATTATCCGGCTGCCGCTCCACCAGCTGCACAATACAACGCTTATCCTCCGCCTGTCCAGCCCGGCTACCAGCAACCACCACCAGCAGCGGCCTATCCGAATCTTCCCCACGCCGCACACGCTCCACCACCGGCAATGGCGCAAGGAATGGTACAGGTGCAAACTGTCCCGGACGAACCCACCGTGCGGGCTTGTAGCAGCTTCAATGCCGAAAGCGATGCAAAGTGTCTTCATACTGCAATGAAGGGTTTCGGTACGTTATTCTATTTGTGTACGCTAAAGTTCAATTTTAAATTTCATTTGTACCTCGTATTAGCGATTTTGTGCACAGCGCCTAGCCAGCGCCGGTATACTTATATGTACGTTGTACGTACCATTATAAAATACTTGAAAATTCTGGTACACCAGCATTCTTTCGGAGTTATGGCGTTATACTGGTTTTGCCGGCTTTTTTCTGCATGTATTAATCAGATTATTTCAATTTGTTTTAAAGGAACGGATGAAAAAGCGGTCATCGACATCCTGGCCAATCGCAGCAATGCCCAGAGACAGCAAATTGGTGTAACGTACAAAACTATGTACGGAAAGGTAATTACTGACGTTAGCAAAAATTAACTAATTAACAATATGGCCATTATGGTATTGTTATCTGTACCAGTGTTATCAGATTACCGGCCGTCACTTCGGAGTGAAACAATATGGCATAGCTAGTACCGAACAATTAGCGCCTCTTGAATCGACGATTTGGTCTCTGATAACGTTATTTACTTAACGAATTCCTGTTATATTGTTTTTGATTAAGAATTCAAGAATTAAAGCGTACTGTGCTTGACATGGACTGATGGACATATTAATGTGTCATTGGTGCAACTTAAAGTAATTTTACTGTTAATTTCTTTGTAACACGATTTTATTCGCCTTACAGGATTTAATAAGCAAACTCAAATCGGAACTTAGTGGAAAACTGGAAGATACTGTTGTGGCGCTCCTTCAGACGCCGGATGTATATGACGCTTACAGTTTACACGATGCTATTGCCGGACTGGGAACAAAAGATGACGCCTTGATCGAAATTATTTGCAGCCGGACAAATGCTGAACTTCAGGCAATTAAACACGCCTATAAAACAAGTAAGTTGAGTAATAAAATTAAAGGTAAAAGAATCAATCTATAAAACAAATAACTCAGATTAAACCATTCGCACAATTTTTATTATTTTGAAGTTCTGTCTAAGGACTGTGTTTGCGAGTGCTTTAAAAGATTGGCTTTGTAAACTTACTTGGATCGTATATCAGTTATCGATTTTGCAGTACTATATAATTATAGTGTACTCTGTCATAAAGCTAATGATAATTGACCGAAAATCTGAAATTTACAGTATTCAAGAAGGAACTGGAAAAGGACGTCAGTGGCGATACATCGGGACATTTTAAGAGGATTCTGGTTGCTTGCTTAACAGTAAGTGAATACCGGGTACATTTCTTTGGACACGAAGTAAAGACTAAATCCAATACGGCGGTATTCTGCACATTATTCCAACATAAAAATAAGATTGTTACGGTATACCATGTGTCGGAATAATTTACATTTGTACAGCACACGTATTATATCTGTACATTATATCTGTACTTTTGGAATAATGAATACATAGACCTAAAGTAAAGAAAATAGACTTAAAGAAATAGGAAATGAGGACCTAAAAAATGAGAAACGATCGCACGCGCGCAAGATCGGTGAAGTATTTAATATTGTACTAACTGATGTTTATAAGCCGAAATTTCTGATCTCCGTAGAACTAAGTACTTATTCTGAACAAACTTAGAAAATCACAAGATTACTTTATTAAAATCATAAGATCTACTTTTACAGTTAAAAGTTTTTGTAGGGAAACAGACAGGAAGGACCTTACGTTGACTTAGCCAAGGCAAAGCAAGATGCCGAGGCCTTATACAAAGCCGGTCCTAAAAAATGGGGTACCGACGAAGCCACCTTCATTGCGGTTTTCGCAATGAGAAGCCACGCGCAATTGGCAGTAACTTTTGAAGAGTTTAAGAAGATTGCCAATACCGACATCGAAAAAGTGATCGCTTCAGAGATGAGCGGAAACTTTGAGAACACATTTCTCGCTCTTGGTCAGATAAATGTTGAAATACTGTTCTCATACGGAAATGTATTCATGAGTGCTTATACGTATTCCACAAATACATTGTTGCTATGTTTTGCTTTTTAGCTAAGCTAGTCAAAAACAAACACGCATATTTTGCGGAGCGGCTATACAAATCCATGAAAGGAGCCGGAACACACGATCGCGTTTTGATTAGATGTGTTGTTTCCCGCTGCGAAAAGGATTTAGGCAACATCAAGCGAGAATTCCAGCGGATGTATGGAAAAACGCTGGAATCGTTTATCGCCGTAGGTCTTTTTGTACAAACAGGCAAAATAACATACTGTTTCGAGTCTAATTAAATATTTTCTTATGTTAACAGGGAGATTGTTCCGGTGACTACAAGAAAATCCTCCTGGCTTTAGTACACTAATTCATATAACTTGCGGTCCATGCCTTTTAGTTGGCGAACGGCACGTCCGACGGACACTTTTGATACGCGGTTTTGTAAACAAAATCTGTTATTTTTCCCTCCATATCTTTTGTAATACAAAAGAAATGTGCATTGTATTCGTGAATCATGACACGCATTGTGATGTTCCGTTTTTTCGTTTAATGTTTCGGAAAGATTTCTGATTAGAATACATGCCGCAATTTTTGGGTGTTTAATGGTTTTGTATTTGTGGATTAAAGGTGAGATTGAAATTATATCGTCAAACTTTCTAACTTGCACAATGCACACTGTATTGCTTTTACAGCCAACGAGTGTAATTTGACTTATAACAAACGTATAGCGGCACTTCGCGAAAATATCATTAAGAGGAAATCTCTAATGCAAACTGAATCAGCATTCTCCAAGCGATGCTGTTTGCGATCAGTTCAGTGATCCGTAGTTTACTGTTACGATCGCACATATATACACCGGCAACTGTTCATGACCACACCCCATTTTTACCTTCGATGTGGACAAACGCCGTACCTGGTTTTTCCGGTTCCTTCTGCGCACGTGCACACATATATACATTAGTTTCGCGGTGACTATATGTGTTATAAAATATGGTCAGAGCTTCCGCCAGTGTTATGAATTGTTGTTGCTCGAGTAGTCTTGATTTGATATACGCAGCAAAATGAAAAAGGCCAACTCTTTCGCCTAGAGGCTATTCAGCTTACGAATACATTCCTGACAAGCTGGAATCTTAAGACAAGCATACATCTTATTTTTTTGCCGGTTATTCATCCTTCAGCAGGTTTTCTCAGTTTTCTTGATCGCATCCTTACCGCTTCAACGTAAGTCAGTTTGTGTTGCCATTAACGCAAATAATTCATTCTGAGAGCTGCGTTATGACAATTTAATTTTCTGGTTAATGTAATTTTGGATTCCATATTAATGAGATACCATCAAATTCTTAAAGCTTTAATTGTATTTTATCTTTGTGAACGTTTAGCGGATAATCTGCAAACATGGTCAGCCGAATGAGGGAGGCTCGCGATGAAATGCGGCGTGATGTTCGCGAAGTGGAGGGAAATATTCGCAATGACACCAACGAATTTCGCCGGGATGCGGCCAGGGAATTAGAAGAACTGCGCAACCGAAAGGCGGTGTCCGGTCAACACGACTTTGGCTCTGGCGTGCGTATAAGACGAGAATTATTTTATTTTTTGCGCAGTGGCACGGATGCTGAGAAATGAATCGAATGTTTCGCATCGCAGAGCGTCCACACTTCGAACAGCCATCATGTCGTTCATCATGCGGGATCGGCGCATGGAGGTGCGAATCCGTTCGATGATCCGCGAAATTATCAGGAAACACCAAACAAATACTCTGTGGCTCCGCGATATTACGAGACCACGAAAGTGGACCCTTATCACACCTACTATGAACCCGTAATTAGAGAGTAAGTCTATGTAATTAAATATTTATATGTGCGCAACGAAACTACCCAAATATACCGGTCAGCATCGGCGTTGTTGAATCGTGTGAAAAGAGTACTGATGAGTTTGAGGAGTGAATAATATATTGCATTATAGTGCGGCATCTTTCAATCCTGAAGAAGATGCAAAAGTTTTGCAAAAGGCCATGAAAGGATTAGGTAAGAATATTTTCGCATTCGTAGCAGTTGGTAGCTACCTATGTAAAATCAAGGTTTTGCAAAACCCATTTTTAGGTACCGACGAAAAAGCAATCATCAACATTCTAACCCGTCGAAGCAATGCACAACGACAAATCATTGCAAGACAGTTTCAGACGATGTATAAAAAGGTGGGAGGATTTACTGAGAATTAAAGATTGACGACATTAAAAAATCATTTCGTGCCACTTAATTTACCTATAATAACGCAAAATTTAATGGATATTGTTATTCAGGATTTGATCAAAGAACTAAAATCGGAATTGAGTGGTAAGCTGGAGGATACCATTATCGGATTAATGCAGACACCGGAAATGTTCGATGCGCACAGCCTGCACAAGGCAATGGCGGTAAAAATGGTTTTTACACAGCGCAAATAACGAGCAAAAACTAATAATAATGATATGCTACAATAGTTGTTGTTCAGGGTTTAGGTACTGATGAGAAAACGTTGATTGAAATCATCGGCAGCCGAAATCCACACGAACTAAGCATTATCAAACGAGACTATAAAGCCGGTAAGTCACTCCAGTGAAGGATTAGTTAAATTAATACTAATGCAAGTTATTTTTTGCTAACAAATTTTTATCGTGATGAATTTACGCTTTTCTCTTGTTTGCAGAATTTAAAAACGATCTGGAAAAGGACATCATTGGAGATACTTCGGGATTCTTTAAGAACTTGTTGCTGGCAAAATTAAGAAATGTATGTTTACAATTATATAATGGCACTAGAACTCTTCTAATGGCATTTGGTGTGGTTTAGAGCGAAAACCGGGCTAAAAATGGGAATGTCTATGAGATCTATCCAAAGCAAGCTTTTCATGAGGGTAAGGGCTTAATTCATTCTTAAATACATCGATGTATCTGTATTAATTTTTTCTTCACGACATTTCTGGTAAAACTGTAATTTGAAATTCCATGTGGCACATAACTACGCTAGAATTTGGTATTCTTTCAGCTCAAGCTTTGTGGGAGACCGGTAAGAATAGTTTTTTATGTCAGCATATGAACGGGTTATCTCGTTATATCACCGCGATATATCTGTATTGCAATTTTAGGACCCAAGCACTGGAAAAAGGATGAACCGTTCTTTGCGCCAATTTTTTCAAACCGTAGCGACGAACATATGCGTCAGGTGTTCCAAGATTACAGGCGCATTGGACATATTGATATCGACAAGGACATTGAAAAAGAATTGAGTGGCGATGAAAAGGATATGCTTCTGGCTTTTGGTAAATCTGAAATACAATAATATAATATCGTCCCATTTGGTTCAGTAAAGTATATATCTTTGCAACAGTCAAGGTGGCGCAAAATCGCCCAGCTTATTTCGCCGAAAGATTGCATGTGGCCATGAAAGGTATCGGAAATGATGCGAAAACGGTCATTCGGATTATCGTTTCCCGAGCGGAAAAGGATCTGGGCAATATCAAACGCGAATACCAACGGATGTACGGAAAATCGCTGGAATCGGTTGTATCGGTAACAAAATTAGCACCACAAAATGCAAATTATTATCAGCGAATACCCGGTAATTCCCTTTTGTTATTAATATAGAGCGAATTTTCTGGGGATGATAAAAAGGTTCTTCTTGGAATTCTGGATCAAACCGGTGCATACAAATAAGCAAACGGCGCTGCAAAAGTCTTTACCATTGCGAAGGAAAATTTCACTGACCCCTATGTTAACATACGGCATTTATGTTTGATGTTATTTTTTGGATAGTGTACTTGTTTGTCTATGATACGCTCACGCGGCAAATGTGCAAAGTGGTCATTTCTAAGGTTTTCTGGAATATAGCGCATTCCGCATACATATATACTACGATATAGGCAAATGTTTAACTGAATGCTGTCTATACAAGCCAGTACGCGTCCGTTCTTTTCCCATATGATATATAAAAGAAATGTTACCTTCGTTTTTGACAATTCATGCTTTATCAATAAAGGTCATCAGTGTTTTTATTAACGCAAACCTTTTATCATTTAATTCCCCTTATGGCATTTAAAGCATACATGATACCCAAACGTACGGGTATCGAAAAGTAATCACTTTAAGAATCTGTGGTAAAAATCGAAGAAAACTGCGATAAAAATGATAGCATAGGCAAATGATAAGTTCTGAATAATAGGTTCTGAATCCACCTGCTCTATATAAAGCTGTTCGTTAAAAATTGTAACTGACAATTACTCGTGCACATGTGCTTCAGTTGGTCACTGCTTAGTTGTAATGTATTCGGCTGAATTTGGTTTTTTTTCACAAAACAATGCCGGTGGACGGCGCACGGTTGTGCCGTGGGTATATGCAACTGCCAACGAAAATGGGATGGTCATTTTTAAAAGTTTGCAGAACGCTCTATATAGCTGACCAGTATATATGTGTGGCATTACCACAATTGTCTTTTATGCTGCACATGGTGATTCATTGTGCTAGAGCGACATGCGTCACGCGAAGGACCGTCGGACCGATGATTGAATGAACAGTGCGGTATTATTGATCGTCGTGATACGTCGTGTTGTTGCAGCCACTTCAGTAAAGAACCGGTTTTATTGTGTTATGATGGTGTACGGACGAAAACTACTGGCAAGATGAAATGAATTTTTCCGTAGTTCTTGCATGCAGGTGTTAGATGATTGAGGTTATATTCATTTTCGGCTCTTCAAACCGATTTCCCACATATTATCGTTATACACCTCCACTTGTTCAGAATACACTGCGCGCAGTTTGTCTCGTCACGCGTTATACTGTACCGTCTGACGATTTTCGACGAAGTTTCTGTTTTGTCAACATGTGATCCCTTTTAACAGGGCATCTGTAAACGACGGCTGGACTTTGATAAACATTCTGCCTTATCTCTTATCATGCTGTGAGTGAGGAACCGCGTACGTACGCCCTAACAATAGTATACAGGTGGAGGCTATATGCCTATATCGCTACACTTTCAGATTTAGCAAGATAGAATAATGTGTCTGTCATTGGTCACTACATATCCGGCTGTTTGTATACTCGTAATGTAAATATCTACTCTACGGTAGGTGTGCTCGTTAAGTAACATTAGCGTATCTGCCGATGAGATGGCACTAGTCATTTGTTTATCGCAGCAGTTTCGTTTTCTTTATAAAGTCACTTCTTTAATTTTCTACTGATTCGATAACTTTCGGCATAGTGATATTCTGCTAATGCATTTGAAACTGTTGCCTGCATTTCGAAGCACGAAGCCGTCGTGCTGCAGTTTCTACTGAAAAGATTTTTTGGCTGCACGAGTTGGTACGTGAACACGGTGGCGCTTTTTCTTGCGTGGCTGTCGTTTTCCAGCATTTTTCAAAATTTTATTTACCTCCTTATTTGTTGGTTCTTCTCCAGCTGGTATGAGAAAAATAATTTCATTCTCCAGAATAATTTTTATTTGCGTACGGCTTGCCGCATTATTACTAGTCTTATAAAAACGGTTTTAGTTATACATAGTTATTGTACCAGATAGACAAAAAAATTGTGTAAAAAAGTATTCTTGTCTTAGTGCATATGGTCGTAATATCCATAATTATCTATCTAACCTGCTTTTTGTTTTTAGCGTAGCATGCGGAGGCTGACTGAACGCTACTAGTCAGGTAGCAAGTGGACCAAGTAAACGCATAAATATACATATATCGGCGTATTAAAAGCCGCAACGGATCTTTGGCCATCGCGGATTCTGGTTCAGTCGGTTAGTCGGTATTGATAAAATAAACATTTACATACTGATTTGTGACTGACATCTCCTTGTTTTTCTTTTAGCTTGTCCAAGGTCTTAGCTTTTATTGTCAAGTGTGGAGTTTGTCCAAATCACGACAGCACACTGCTGTATTCGGCCTGTGTTATTTTGGTGATTAAGTGGATTATAATCTGTTAATCTGGAAATTAATCATGGCGGGCATCGGTAATCGCCAGAGCTTCCTACTGACCCAGGAACAAATTTTAGAGCTGTCGGAACAGTTTGATTCGGTAAGCACACATAGCGCTGCATCAAAAGTGGGTTTGTTTGCATTGCAAAGGTTTTTTTTATAACTTGGAAAACTGAATCGATAAATTTCTAATGTACATGGCGGTACAGGCAATATTGATCATGTGATCTAGATTTGTAAGTTGTTGCGGCATCTTTTACTTTGTGACACCTCCTGCTTATAAATTTTATATCGCTGAATATATCCAATAAATACTGCTGGCGATTTCGCACAAATACTTTATCGTTTACAATTACCACGCCTGAATTATCGGTTGTAATATTTTACTTTTTAATAATTTATTAATATCTTTTTTTGCACTTTGGCTAGTAATTTTATTTCTGATATATTTGCAAGAGTATGTTGTACATTTTCGGTAACATCATTTTATTTTGCATTAAACAAAATATGGTATTTTGTGCTTGGCGAATGTCTGGGATCTGTTGTATCTGTAGTCTGTTTTGGATTGATGATGCAGATTATTATTAGACAAGTAGCGCTTGAGCGCTTAGAAGGTTGCATACTATTGGTAATTAGTTGCGATGTGCCGAAGCATTTTGACTTGATATAAGCAGTAGTTCCTGGGTTGTTGCACTTGATTTGCGGTCTTAAGAGGTTAGATCGTCTACATCAACGCATTGCATTTTCAGTTGCATTGCGCCGAACACCGTGCAGGTAGTATAAACTGTAGACGGCACGGCACATTTGTATTCAATGCGGACAGCAAAAACAAGTCGGGCGCGAATCGTAGAATGGATTTTGCTCCAGTACGGTATAAATATTGTTGTTACGCTTAAAAAATCCACATGTCCAGATAATATACTCGTAATTTCTGAAGTGATTTTACTCGATACCCTAGTGATATTTATACACTAAAACTAAAATATCAGTAACCCTTGTTACCACTCAAAACTTGCTAATATCAATATACCTTGTAATATTACCTATGTGACCGTAAATTTTTACGACGTGCATTAATGAAGAGCGAAACGATCTATACCTCGCGAATGCGCATTTCGAAAACAGCAGTCTCCTTGCGCTATATTCTTTGGGAAAAAAGTTAAAATGTTTTTTCTCTGCTGCTATTGAAATGGTTGCAGTCAATAATCGAAAAATATTTAGCATTTTTTCACGCCAGAATTCACGACCACCCTTTGTTCGTAATGCAGTATTTAAATCGCAGCTGCAAAAGTTTCGCATGATTAATTAGCACTGCGAAGGGATCGTCTATATCATGCTGTACATACCGAAAGTGATTCACATTAATTTTGCGAAATAAACTCGAGGAAACCACGCCTGACCCACATCGTCATTTCAATAATGTGCCATAAAATGTCGCAAATTTGGTGTTTATATATTACCGGTGTCCCCCACCCATACCGGAGTAAACAGCGAGTCAACCTCTCTGATACAAGAAGGTAATCCAAATTCAAACCACCAGAAATTTTAGCCAGGTAAATTTGCTGAATCAAGCAATCTACAGCAGCAATACCGACAACATGTTCGCACTTCTACGGTAAATGTTTGCGATTGCCGGTGGATAATGTGCAAACAAAAGCCTGAGTAATGAAATGAAAAATTGATAAGTGTCCAGCTCTTTCTGAGCGCTAGAGAACGATCTTAGAAGGTTTTGAAGGATAACTGCACTAGCGATGCAAAATGCAGTTTACTAACTTGAGCAATACCTTTCTTATCAGTGCAACATAATCACGGCATAAGCATTAACTTCGTGTATGTGCTGGCACTGTGAATTGTCCCCGGTTTTTCAATAACCACCATACAGTACATGTACATGAAACGTTAATTACTCGTATTTTCCGGACACATATTCTTCTTGGTCACTTGGTGGTTGCAATCCCGTATACACATACATACTGTAATTAAGTGGATAATTCAGTTTTATTGGTTTCGCTGCATTCACACACAGAGGCAGATCGCAATAACGTGGGAAAAACTTGACATCATGGTCCGAACTATTGACGTGGTCACTTCTCTATGGCATCATTAGCTAATAATCTGCCTGCATCATTTGACGTTGCGATATTTTATTGTGGGACAGACGTTCCAGCATTTAAGATAACCTATCACTCAATTATGTTAATCAAATGCATTGTGTAGAACTCGTTTCGTTCAGTTTGGTGGTGTACTGGTAATTTCAAATCGCAAATGTATAACTTATCCGTAACTTGGTCATTTTAAAAATTTGAGTATGGCGATATACCGACATCAAGGTGTCCAGCACTGCAAAACGACTTATGTACTACTCTTTAAGTATGTTTTTGTCCGCTTGATTACCTCTATAATTCAGTCTGCATAAATTTAAAACATCCACGTTCGATTTTTCTAACTAATACAAAACATTAAAAACGTTAGCTTTTTGTTACCTTTACATGAGTAGTTATTTTATGAATTTGCGCTGCAGTTCAGTGCTTATACTACAAAGAAATACACGGGAAACTAAAACAAAGATAAGTAATCGATTCGATAAGTAATCTGCAAGAGTATTTTTTATTACGACTTGCGCCCATGTGTTAATTTTGGAGAATTGATGTGAGTTTTTTGTCTGCAGTAGAAGCAGTAACGTTGTGGAGGTGAACGATGAGCTTTACGATGTACATATAACAGATACGGCCCGTTTACCCCTATAGTTATTTATTGGAACTGAAATTAGTAACTACGACCTACGGCAATTATACGAGCTTTTCGGCGTACGGAACATATTGTATACTCGTATAATATACTGAACGATTATCATAGTTTATTTTTTTAAATTTATTCTGGGATGCGACTTCAATACAATACTGAAATTCTGAGCTCCTCTAGTCTAACTAAATATGTACATTTACAAGTATTTGCGGAAGGGCATACCGGCAGTGATATAAACCATAATTACCTTCGGAAATATGTACTGGAACCTAATGAACGTTGCAATTTCTTTTACAGATTGATGAAAACGGAAATGGTTACATAGAAGCTGCTGAACTGAAAAATGCATTAGATGCTGTCGGCTTCAAGATTCCACAATGGGAAGTGCGGAAAATGATTGAGGATTTCGACAAAAACTCCAAGCAGCCAGTCGGAAAAGGAAAATTGTCTTTTCAAGAATTTCAAGATGTATGAACGTAACTTACAGCAGATTTTGGCGTTGCTTTTGCCTACTTTGCTATTTCGAACAGTTATGTTCAAAACTGAAATCCATGGAAGTTTCCACAACTTTCAAAAAGATGGTCAACAAAAGGGAGAACCTGAAGACGCATGGAGGAATGTCACAGGCATCAGTGGAAGGAACAACCCACTCGGTATATAATTCATGCAGCGATTATAAGCAAAATTTGCATCATCACATATTAGGTTTGATCTGGGGACGTTTGACTTTGTCTAATAAAGCAGTTTTCATCCACCGGTAAAAATAGTGGAAGTTTTCTTGCTGTTGTTTCCTTCGAGTTATTAAAGTGGGGTCACAAACCAAAATTTCCTACTTCATGAATATGTGGTAAATTTATTTTACAATCCTGGTAGTTTGGTTATGCAATTTAAAATCGGTTAAAGGCGGCTTGAATTTGAGAAATGTATGTTACTTTACAGATTCGTGTCGAAGAGCAGCTGGCCTTTTCCGACTGGATTAACTCGTGCGTAGATATTTATACTCTTTGCGCTAGTTAACCAGTTTTGTCTAATTACGAACCTTATGAGTTTTTAGAAATTTGTCAAATGATCCAGATTTAAAGCACATCCTACCAATTGATGCGGAGGGTATCGGATTATACAGCAGCGTTCGCGATGGAATATTGCTATGGTAAGTGAAAAGGAATTACGATATCAGACTACCGTTATATGCATCGGTACCAAACGTGGTGAATGATTTTAGCTTTTGGGGAAATTTGTGAGAACATTAATATTGTAGTAATTAATAGACTAAAACATAACCTTACACTATTATCCGGCTCATAATTTCAACAAGTATTGGTCATACCAGTTGGCAGTTAGACTCATTGACATGGTATAGTTCACTGCGGTTTTGGTGTGTCGTTGGGCCTAAAAGAATTGATTAGCCACACACTAGTGAGTGCATTGTGACCGTGCTTGGCCTCTCGCATCCGGTTAGAGCTTCACACTTAATATCCAATACCAAACAGCATTTTTGTTTGCTACTTTTACGTGACCGTAAATATTATCGGAGAATCGTAATGCAGCCTGCATAACTGTTGCGGTGATTTGTAAAAAGCATGAAAAATGCACTATATCACTCTTGATGATCGGTGACGATGCGGAAATACCCACTATAGCGCAGCCCAGACACGGCATCCGGATGGAAACTGATCATGATGAAGTCTATCTGTACCGGGTGTAAACCGACAAACTGACGAGATAAACATTTTTATTGTCCCACCTTGATTAAAAATTATTTTTTCTGCTAAACCGCAATATATTGATAGGCGCATACTTCATGTATACTAACTCCAAAAAGGCCGCTTTAAGTATAATAATATCATAATACAGTAACACCATGTTTCTCACGTTTTCGTAAAAGAATTTGCCAGTAATATGTATTTACCAAAATTTTGGGACAAGGCGGAACTGCATTATAAGTTCAGCGCGAGGAAGACTGAAAAGCGAAAGAAACGAGGACAAGAAAAATGTACATAACCTTAAGACAGATTTAATCCTTGCCGCCCTAATCTGTGTAATGCTTAACATTGCCGGCGCTGCTGCAGTGATTAGGAGCACTGCCCATAGTTTGTTTTATATGATCAGCATGAGGATTGATTTATTTTAAGAATTATGTACACTAAAAAGATACGGTAGCGCTGTCATACGGCGAATATATGTATTTAACAGGTTAAATCAACCGATCAAGATTAGAGCAGTAATTCATATTGACTTTATTAAACGGGTTGTCTGTGCCGTCTGACTTCCTGCTGTTGAGTCTAATAGGGAATATAGATGTTCGCTGTTGATGAAATGTTTCGACGATAGTGTCTTCGATGTCAGTTAAATATTTCTTGCCCCAAGTTTGTACCAGTTGTGGGTGCTTCACTTTGTTAGAGCGTCGTTAATTGCGCAAATAGGAGTTAGGATTATTCTACCATGGCTTGTCCCAGTGTGTTACGTCGACAAAACCCGATTTACAAACCTTTTGATCGTAAAATTAAAAATTCGGGACGTCTCCGAGAAATCATGTGAGTTTTGCAGAACGTTTCGGGAAGTGGAGCCGTAACAAACTAACAATCCTAATAACTTTATTATTTTGTCGGAGCGTGCCACTATATAGATGATTGTATTGCCGGGGACATTTCTCGATATCCAAAGATATTTTATTTTCTAGTGCGAGAGCCAGCGATTTATTCCTCATTTCGATTGATTACGGTTTATCTTTGCAGTAAAACCATCAACTTAGCATGTCCTGATACGATTGATGAAAGAGTGATGAACAAGAAAAACCTGAACACGTATACCCGCCATGAAAACTTGACCTTAGCACTGAATTCCGCCGAATCCATTGGTTGCAACATTGTCAACATCGATGCCGATGATTTATCAAAAGGCAAACCGCATTTGGTTTTGGGACTTCTATGGCAGATCATTCGGGTGTGTGATAACTGTTTGATTCCCGTCGGGAAAATCCGCATTAAAGGTACGCATTAATATTAAAAATACTTTGATCGTTTTGCAGATTGGTCTGTTCAACCAAATTACCATCGAACACTGTCCGGGATTGGTTCTGCTCCTTAATGATGACGAAAAAATTGAGGATTTATTACGAATGGCCCCTGAGGTTAGCGAAGCGATGCAGATTAATCATAACTCGAAATTATTTTCGAACAAAATTTCTATTATATATGCCACATCAGCACCGAACTGAAGTACTGAATGAACGTCAAGCTTATGCCTTATACGTATGATTACACAGTGTTGCACGTTGTAGACCATCCTACTTCGGTGGGTTAATTACCACCTTAAAAATGCCGGTGTGGACAGAAGAATCAGCAATTTTACCACGGATATTAAAGATTCCTTTATTTACACGCATTTGTTGAACCAAATTGCGCCGAAGGATTCAAGTGTGGATCTGAGACCTTTACAGGTAAGAAAATGCATGTCGTATATCATCTCGTTGGACTCAGAATTATATATGTGCATGTGTTTTGAAGGAGAACGATGCACACCGACGAGCGGAACTAATGCTTAAAAACGCTGGAAAAATTAACTGCCGGTAAGTTTACTTCGCCTATGTACGCGCCGGTCTGAAATTTGGAAAGCTGAAATTTATTGACAACGATATTGTCAAACATTACAGTGCATTCCTAACGGCGAACGATGTTGTTGAGGGCATTTATAAACTGAATCTGGCGTTTGTGGCGAACCTGTTCAATACCCATCCGGCACTAGATAAGCCCGTGGACAGACCGATGGAGGATATCGCTTCGTTTGAGGAAACACGGGAAGAGAAAAGTGAGTATTATGACATTCGTGCTCCGATTTGAAAGTTTCTGTTAAGTGGTAAATGTGGTAAATGCACGCTGTGTAATATTGCCATATCTTTTCAGCTTATCGCAACTGGATGAACAGCATGGGAGTCAACCCGTACGTCAACTATTTGTACGGAGATCTAAGCAGCGGACTGATTATATTTCAGGTAAAATACTTGGTGTAGTGCTGTGTTAACCCCCTTTTAGACCAGCATTTATGATGTTTTTTTGCAGCTGTATGATATTATTAAACCCGGTATTGTGAACTGGAAAAAGGTCATCAAGACATTTAATAAAATGCGAGGATTCATTGAGAAGGTACAGCTAATGCGGGATATATATAGTATAAGAATAGTTTGTTTGTTAATGTCACACGATTGTCTTTAGCTATAATATTTAGTTAATTCTAGAAAGTTTTCATTAACACCTTGCTATCTACACTTTCAGTCGGTAATAAACGTTTGTCTTATTACAGGTTGAAAACTGCAACTACGCGGTTGATCTTGGTCGGCAGTTGAACTTTTCACTGGTTGGAATTGCTGGTCAGGACATTAGCGATGGGTAAGAGCCGACATTTTCAATTAGTCATTGCTAGTACGTAATATGTTATGTTTCGTATTGCAGGAATCCCACGCTTACACTAGGTACACCGAGATTTTCAGATGCTCTCGTTTGCGCATAGTACTCGTTCCTGAAATATATTTTCCTAATTAATTTTCTATCTTTTGTAGCTTTGGTTTGGCAACTTATGCGTGCGTACACGTTAAGCATCTTAACAAAACTGGCAAGATCGGGAAATCCTATTGTTGAAAAAGAAATTGTGCAGTGGGTTAATAAAAAGGTAAAGGTCGAAAATATATTTTTTGTAGCTTTAAAGTTGTTGCGCTTTGATGCTGAATGCATATAATAATTTACCGTCATTTCTGCATATAGCTGGTATCAGCCGGGAAAACATCTTCGATACAAAGTTTCCAAGACTCCAGTGTTTCGGATGCCAAAGTAGTGATAGATTTGATCGATGCAATTAAACCGGGATCCATTAATTACAGCCAACTGCAGGCGGCTTCGACAAAAGAAGTATGTGCTTATAACTTATACATAATACTGTTTTCGTATGTTGCCTGCTGTTAATGTTTTGCGATAACAGGAAAAACTGGCCAACGCCAAGTATGCCATATCAATGGCCCGTAAGATCGGAGCCAGAATATACGCTCTACCGGAGGACATCGTGGAAGTAAAGCCCAAGATGATAATGACAGTGTTTGCTTGTTTGATGGCGCGCGACTACATTCCGGATATGGGCACGGTGCCGGGCAAGGAAGCCAACGGTAATGGTCATCATCTGGACGAAGAGGACATTTCACCCACCGGCACAATGGATTCAGGAAAACATGGGCGCAATTGAGCGGATCTGCCCAGACGGTGAACGGCTGCAGCAATTGTCTGTTGTCCAGTTGATGTCACCTGGTCAGTGGAGATTTTAAGGTTTTGTAAGGTTATGTGTCTGCAGTTGATTGTATCCGGAAACGTCTGCAATCCTTTTTTTGTGAGAAATCATTGTACTGTTATTTTCCTATATTTGAATTTTTATTGATTATTGCTTGTGGCATATATGATGGCTAACGGCCTGGTGGAATATCACACACTGTGTATAGATATTTAAGCCTTTATTATTGTGAACCTATGGTTGCAATTTTTAAATAAATTTAGTGGTTTCACATATTATGATTAAGAGCGTTTACAATCCTTTTTCATGGTTTTTCCCATGCCATGATTTGCGCACTAATTTTGAAAAAAAGTTTACGACACAGAGATTAGTGCCACACACATACGTATGCGCTGCACGGACACAATACCGGTAACGCGTATTAGAAAAAGCATCCGCAAAATTTGAAGTCTCGTCTTTAAGGGCGAAAAATTAAAAAGTGACCACGATGGGAATCGAACCCACAATCTCCTGATTCGTAGTCAGGCGCCTTAACCGTTGGGCCACGCGGCCATCCTTGGCCAACAAATGCCACAGGACGAATGACGATGCAAGTTCGCAAACGATGACCGTGGAAGACAATCGCATATATTGCAAAGGGCATGGTTTAACTGTACGCGTACAGCTGTCTAATCAGCTGATCGGTGTCTACATTGCTTCAGAAAATTTCAATATCGCTAATTCGCTACTTCTGTATACAGTTTTGCACGGTAGAAAAAAGGGGACAATAAATATTATTTATTTTTGAAAACTGGCTTTGGCCTTTTCAATTAAAAAAATCTTCTACCAAAATGTCTGATAAGTTGCGGTGCGTTTGCAGAGCATGGACCTACGACACACACACGTGTGCACTGTGCAGTACTTGCGTCTTACAGTTAATAAGGTACGCGGTTATGATATTCTAATCTGAATGCTGAATGATAAGAACTAGAAACTGTATGATGTAAGCTTTTATTTAAGTAATCAACCGTGTTCGTCCCGATCACACAGCAGTCTTCGATCTTCGTTGATTAACTATCCGAGCGAATGGACGACGACCAACCGGAAGTACTTTCACTTTCTTAACAAAACATTTAATGAAGATAGGTTTTGACCGTTTTGCAGCCTACGGTGAAGCCCTGCATCCATTTTACTCAGAAAATAAAATTTCTGCGTCACCTTCAAATCGAATGTTTTCTGGACCACCTTCTCCTTATGCTTAGATGGAACTGGCAGATACAAATTTGCAAGCAGCATAATAAGTGCACATCAAGTGCGATGTGCGACTGCTGTGAGAAGAGCGGAAAATTATAGAAGCAATCCCAGAACTGTTTCGTAGGCAGTCCGGCATGCTAACGTTCCAAGTTCCAGCTACTTTGAAAAACAGTACCTACACAATGTGAACAGTTTAAACCCGCAGTTACTTCCACATTCTTTGTTCAAACATCGTAATTACTGCGAAATTAAAACGATGACCTGATCGGTAAAACGGTAAAATCAAATATGCAAATGTGTGAAGCCGGAGACCCTGCTGTATATAAGATAAAAAAAACTAACTTCTGCTGTTTTGGAGCGGCAGTAGAAGCTACAGCATCTGGAAGCCTGGATGTGTACCACTGTATCATCGATCCAAATAAAATGCTTTCGTTTCCCCATCGCAACAGTGTACGGTGTATATTTTACGATTTGTCTGACGCTGTATCAAGGTGCCTACTCGTTCGCTGGCGGGAAGCGCGCCGTACTGCATGTTATATAATAAGTCAGCTTAATGTGCTGAGTAGAACGAGATCAATTTTTCTTTTCGATGCATGTATCGGTTTGTGTATCATCAGGAATGATCCATCCAGGGATCGGATGCATCAAGGAGAACGTTTGGCCCTGTAGTACCGAAAACAAAAGCATGCCTTTCAAACACCAGGAATTAACCTTGCAGTGTACGTGTTAGCGTTTCCACCGTCGTGTCAGAAATGACCAGCATGCAGTATATTACAGCCGAAGATTGAAAACTGATTCGGGTAATGTAACATCGCATCTAAGGAAATGCATGCACACTGCCAAATTGCCAATATAAACATTTTGCAATAATACCTGCAAGAAATTTTTGGTGGGTGAATTATTGCGCAAAGTAACATTATTATAAACAACAAATTTTAGTTATTGTAGCAAATTTTAGCACTAACGAAGTCAATTGGCTGGTAAAACGGTTGCAGTTTAACAATGTTGCATATTGTTGAAGAGGTTTAAGAATTTAAGAATTACTGTACGATGTCGACTTCTGTGGACATAACGTAGCATAAGAAGCATGATGATATACATCAATAATATTTTTTGGATAGCAGTGTTCTGCAGTATTTTGAATAACTCACAGCACTGTGGCTACAAAATATAAGACACTTCTTAATTTCAAGGGAGCGCACCCAAACGAGCGTTACAGACAGACGGTATTACAGAGGATACAGATCTAGAGTCTACAGGCGGTATTAGCGCAGGACTCTATGGACAACCTTTCCATAATATTACAATATTATGTCCTTTTCCTTGTGTAAAATTCCGTTTTTAATTCTGGAAGGGCTCTTTGCACGTATACGTCGAAGAAATCTTTCGAAAACAACTCGTGTTCAATCCAAGTGCGAAAGGTATTGACCGTATTTATGTAGCACGTCCAAATTGTAGAGTAGCGCAAATGGGAATTCTATGGGTTGATTCAATGTATTGGCAAATGCGCTTCGAGATCACAAGTCCTTATGATGAAAAAAGTGTTTTTAAAATGCCGGCAATATATGTAAGTATGTACGTATGCAGCCTGACTGGTGCAGCCTACCATGAGGGATAGCAATATTTTTCGTACATACGTTACAGTTGCAAGAATATACGATTTGTATGCAAAATACGTACTTTAATTGCGTAGGATGTTGAAAATGTGAACCAGATTATAGTTCTACTGTGCATGTACAATATTTACTTTATTTTCTATCTTTGGGAATGCAACCGGCCTTCGATTAATTTACTGTAATCACACAAGTATACTGTCCATTGTTTTACAAGGAATTTTTAATTCCACCTATCGCACGATAAGCTGTTGAATGATGCACATCAGATTTACTGCAACTCTTTCTGGAAGCATCTACAAGCTGCGTGAAAATTATAAAGTTATGGATAGCGCGTATTTTTATTACTTATTACATTTATATACATAAATGTCGTATATAACGGTTCTGACAAATCCCTCTTTCTATTGCGCGTTTGTGCGTACATGTGTACTATAAAACACTAAATTTTAAGCAGGATATTATTATGCAAGGCTCCAATATTGACAACATAAAACACGGAAAAATAATTAGTTTTGCGAAACTGCTCTAATTTTAAGCTTTCTTTATTCAGTTTTCACTACGACGACAACAAAACAGACATTGTATATTGTCTGGTGTGTTTCATACTTGCAGAAATATCGTTTTTTTTGCGTTGCATGTGCATTTACGCAGAAACGTAACGGCCATGTTCATAAAACAAGGACAGGCTTACCTAAAAACTGTAAATGCAATAAGAAGCGCTCATATCGTAAATAATAATTTATAATATTGTTCAAATACCGTGTACAATGTGCATTATGCATTTACGCAGGTTTTTCGAGTAATCAATACAAAGCGGTACATACCTGTAGAAATTTTATGTATATTCACTGCAGTACTTTTTTGTAGACTTGAAGTGACCAGGGTTTCTTTCAGTTTATAATATGCACAATGGATGGCGAAGGTCTGCAGATTAACGGGCATTCAATTCAACCGTACTTGGTAATATTGCTCAGTATACGTACGGTGTTACATACGGTACCGCATCTAATGTGTCGTTTTCGCGTATAACTAAACGTAAAACTTGTAGTATAGAACTATACGTATGCAGTAGACGGTACGGTCCTTGTGCTGTCTTTTTAACGAGAACTGTTGAAATTTGTTTCGTAATACCTATGCAGCTAGTGCACCATCGACATGACACACGGCACGTTAAGCACAGGATTTTGTCGCAGGACTCCACTTGCCATGTCTTCTACGAATACAACACCACGTTTTTGCAACTTTAACTTGTATCAATTTAGTCCATGTAATATTTCGTGAATGCAAGCGAATTGGCATATAAACTTTATATGTCCGGGTAGCTAAGGATTGTGACCATCCGCTTAGCAGGTAAGATTTGCAATTGCATGTCAGTGTTCTGCATTTTCCTGCAAAAACACTTGCAAAATTGCTCTTTCGAAATCATCACAATTACTTGGATGATGTGGTTAAATGGATCGAATGTATTTACTTTCCTAGCACATCGGGTGTTTCGTAACCGCTTTGAAAAATCGACAACGAAACAGTCTATAGCCCTATAGCTACAGCTAGACTGCAAACGCAACAGCTGAAGCCGAGCTTGTGCTGCGGATATGTACACGGGCAGTCAACAGCGTTTTAGTGCTCGCGCGCATTACGTATTACGCAATCGCCTGCTACGGTGCGTTTTGCAGCCACATGATAAAGATTTATTTGCAAACTAAAGCTATTTTGTTTTGGAGGCTTAAAATATATCTGTACGCAACTTCTAAACTGTTTTGGTTTTTTGCAAATTTAAAGAATGTTTACTAAACATGATGTTTGCTTTCTTTCGTATATTGCAGTTGCACTTATGATCGACCCAGATGCAGGAAACAGCGAGCAGTAATAATATATAAATTTCCTAAAACTTCTGAGGTTTCATGAGCTTTGTCACAATTTATTCTTTGCGATCATTTATTTTCCTGCAATGTATAACTTTACTACGTTATTTGCATATCTTTTATACAATTTATGCACGGAAACTGTGAAACTGTTTTTCGGAAGGTTTTATACTGAGATGTAACATCCATAAAATTAGATGCAGTTTTACTCAGTTTCAACTTTCGAGTTTTATTTCATGTTCAGCGCGTAATTATACAGTGTGGGCATTTTTGAATTAGTCTGTGCATCCGTATTAAGCACACATGTTATGTCTGTATAAGAATTAATTTACTTTTTGTGGAAATTAAATTTGAATCACTTTTTGCCAAAAGGAATCACTTTTTGCAATATCAGTCAAATGCTACAGAACTATAGTACTTCCGAAAAACTTTCATGGACCTATGTCCGCAACATAGTCTGCAACACCTTTGCGGAATTTTTGCTGACTACAGGGTAAACACTTTATATACATCATGGTATTACTATCCAATGCGAAAGCAAGCGTTAAGCGCGGTTTTATTAGTTAAGTTTTCGAATAAAATTAATATTAAAACTGATTCCCAATGTCCATTATTAAATTTTTCTTCTATCAATCTATGCAGTGAAAACAAAACGTAATGGTAAAAATTAAAACAATACACCTTGTAGCTTATAATTATTCTGCCAGTTCGGATTCGCAAATATGTGTGAAAACTGGGACTGTGTGAAAACGTAATTATGTGTGAAACGTAAATATGTGTGAAAACTTTCTAATTTAAAATTAGAAATTTGTATTATTATGTAACACAAGATAATGCGCCTGTGAGTTAACATATGCCTATATTTTGCTGCTTGTGTTCCGAAATTTCCATGTTATACCATTATGTTTAGTGGAAGATTATGCAAGTTTGAATCTTAAAAACCGGTATAAACTGTCTATCCTATGGAAGAACCTTTTGTAAACTTATATGTAGTTATATGAAGGACGGGAATCTTCCATTCCACCGACAGATCATGTAAGTTTAAATTCTGTACAGGTGAGGAAATTGGAATGAAGTTCATTACAGTTTATTATTTAAAGGTCACAGGTGTGAGATTTCGTTTAAGTCAATTAATAATTAATTGGCAATACTGTATGGTTCTGAAACCCGGAATTTAAAAACACCTTTCGCCTGCTAAAACAGACCGCTGTATGTTTTCGCACTTAAAATATGTTTAAAGAATCCCTTTTTTTAGTACTTTGGTATGATATGAAGTTGATATCAGCTGGCGGCGACATATTCTAATATCAGTCTATCATGAAACTACTACGTAGTATCGTGCTTTTACCAAAGTTTTCTAAAAACGACGGAAGCCATTCACCACCAGTACGTTTTCACATGCCGTTCAGCACCGGCCGGCTGATATGCTATGCGGAATAACAAGCATGTCTCTTATGGATTTACATACAAGTTACAGACGCGGTTCTAGGTCTATAGTCTATACGAGTCAGTAATACGGCAAAGTATACGGATAGAATTGTACAATTATAAGTATAACTAAAATTATTAAAATTATGTTTCTGCATAAGATAACATGACCATCTTCAGCTATATATAGCAAGCACTGGAAGTTTTGTGGACGCACTAACTATCTATATTAATAATATTATCATAACAGCCAGAATGACTTACCTCGTAACCTTGGTATGAGTATTATTGAAAAAGACCGTATGTCAATGGTTTTATAAAATATATTTTATACATCCAGTGTTTTGAAAAGAAATAAGATTAATGTCTTGTCGTAATGTAGGGCTTTGAAATCAACATTTGTGAATTTTTTTACTGGTAACTACAAAATATCACACATACACGATATTGTGAACGTGTATTCATAAAAATTAATTTGACACAGTGGACTGTGTCAAATATAACCGTTAAACCGTCACATTAACCGTTACATTACAAATATAACTTTTATGCTAATGTAACCGTCACACTAGTTTCTCAGCATATAAACTTAACTTTAAAGCGTGCTTGCTGTACGGAAAAAACTAGACCGTTAGTCAGACTTTTGATGACCTTATATTTAAACTCAAGGCTACAGTACATTGTGACGTACTTCGCGCTTGTTTGATGTTCGTATTTAACGACGATGTATACATCGGTCAACGGGTCGCAGCATTTCGGTTGATTTTCATAAAACTCGGTTTTTTTTATTTAAAACAATTTCGCTTACTATGTTAGGTGCTGCAAGCCATGCGGGATCAGGATCTTACAGCATACCGGCAAATCTGTGTTTTGCATGTATGGTATTTTTGCAAAACAGACATCGCGGTATTGTTGAACTTGAAAAGATGTTATTAGTTTTCCAACAGCGTAACAGCAAGTGTTAGAGCGAAGCAACGATATGACCGGCAACAAGCGAACGCCCATAACGGGATAAAAACGTGGTTAATTTTTAGACATCCGCCTCAAATAATCAAGGCCTCACGTGTGCATTTATTGTACGTTTTAACATATGTTATACGCAGTCCACCGTTTGGTATTTGCGAGTCGAAATCCTACAGATGCGTCCAAACGTGATATATTTTGATGGCCTAATATCTGTATATATTAAGCTACTGTATTTTTATACGTTTTAATTGTAAATCTTAACATATGTGCAGTTTCTGTACAAAGGTTTGTTAAGAACGTCAAAAGTAAATCGTGACCTTTAAGCACTTAACTGTTAACACTTGAAAATCTGTTGTTTATATTTATATTTTATGTTGCTTTAAGCATAAGTACTGTAGAACAGTCAGTGGACAGTCAAGTTGCTATCAGTGTAAGAGTACAAGGACGAAGTTTTACTATAATTCTATTAGTATATTTAGAAACTTGAATCATATCTCGGTCGACGAAGACTCAAAAGTACTGTACTCAAACATTGTGATTCTTCCAGTTACTTTGTGGTTTTTATAATAAATTGCCCGTTACTGAGTACTTCTTTTCCCATACTCCTTTGCATGTTCTGCAACAAAAATATGTCTATCAGTTCCTAAATGTTTGATTCCTTCTAATTTTTTTTACTCTGTGGTACGTGGTACAAAATAATTTTATCCATGATCAAAGAATTTTTGTGAAACGTTAAGTGAAAATACTTTGGAATTCGAAGGGAAGTGTGCTCTCCTCTCAGTCGTCTGTGATCTCGTACAAAGATACGAGTACAGTACTATACTATCCTATAGATATAAATCGTACAATACTATACTATCGATATAAAAGTCTATCTATAGATATATGATATTTGTACATCCAACTTCTAGAGTAGAGTAGAAATCGATTTTCTTGTACACTCGGTGTCGAGCTTTGTATCTAATTTAATTTGAAGACTTTGTTTTCCGTGCAGTAGCTGTACAAATGAACTCGCGAACAGAAAATGATATTTTGATTTATGCAGTTACAATAACGATTTTTTAAAAAAATCTGACGGATATTAAATTTTGTCAACTGCGAATTTGATATGTTGCAGAAATTGTATAGAAAAGGTTAACTTACAGTACTACATATTAGAACTTACAAAATCGTGCCATATAGGTTAGCAGTTATAAATCCATGTGATGTGCTATAAGTCCAATTCTGGTATTTTTTCTCAGTCTGCTTTTAACAGTGCTAGGTATAAGTTAGGGAAGCCAGTAGATAATAAGCTTAACAATAAGTAACATAAGCACGGTAATTCATTTGCATATCGGACTGATAATCTTTTTCTAAAAGGTCTGACCACATAGTGAATAAAACAGCATACTCATCTTCATATACTAGTACTCGAACAAATATAAAAAATAACATTTTCAAAACCTTACTGCGTCTGCGTTAGAGGTCAGACGAGGGTAGGTTAGTGGCGAATTACTTTGTTTAACGAATACATATCGGGAAGTGATGTAGTATTAATTTTCTTATCGTTAATTAGATTTACTTCGTATCCTATTGGCAAATATTGTGATTCTGTTATTGTGTTTTTGGTTCCGGTTTTTAATTATTTTGCATCTTTGGCTTCGCGTTGCAGACATCATAGAAATAATGTCGTCGGCATTCATACCGTACCTGTTAAATATGGATGTGAACCATGTAAGAAGAACATTGTAACATCCGGTACGTAAAGCGACCTGGGTAGGGCATGGTGTAAGGGGAATTAAGACCACGCGTTGCACACTGATACCTGATTGTGCTCGTACAACAATAATAACGTTCGATTCGATAGGTACGGTAGTTAGTCATTAGGCCAGTGCGCTCCTGGCCAATGAGCCGATCAAATTAAAAGCGTACCGCCACAAGCGTGGGAATGATTCATACCGTAGGAGTGACGCAACGGCCATTGACTGGCTGGAGACACACACACACACTACGCTCGTATGTAGAGTGTAGACTGTAGACTACGGACAAGCCTCGTCCTACGACTTTTCCAAAATCCTATTCTGACGGTGGAAAATGTAAATAAGTAATCCAATCCTCCATCGTACAACCGGGGATTGTTGTGGTGTCCCATCTGATTGTGTCTATATATTGTCACGTTTCATCGTGAGATAGACTGTATTCCTCCTGTATTCATGGTGCAGGAAGATTCCGTGTGTGTTTCCTACAGGACTCTTCCGAAATATGAGGTATGTGTGAGGCTAGTTCAAGGTCCTGTAGTCGTCAGTGTAAGAGAACTTGTGTGATGTTTTTGAACCCTAGACGCTTAAAGTTCTAGGTCTTCTCTAGATGCTGTTATTTAAGTAATTTAATTACTTGTTGTATCTGGATTTGAAATTCTGTGGGAAACGCTGCAGTGGCGCTACTGATGGCGCTATCAGCAGGTGTTAGTGTTATCCACTTGTTTGATTTTCACGCGTACATTTAGATAACGTTAAAGCCGTAAACCCCGTTTGAAGTGCTCGCCACTATCAGTACCTGTGACATTAAAACCTGAAATTTCTGCGAGGAGACCCTGCAGACTCCGGCCGAGTGTTTGGCCCAGTTCTTCAGTTGCGGGGGAAAAACCGTCGAAGATGCTGTAGCACTGTGCCGCTGTTGGCTAATAATGCTTCTGATTTATGCGAGAAAACGAGTTTTTTGATTTGTTCCAACTCGTTGTCTATCATCTGTCAATAATGCACACGCAAGTCTGTACATGCCCTCTAGCCCCGTTGCATTCGGAATTTTGAAGCTATAGAATCAGGCGATAACTTGATTTTTTTTGGGGTAATTTGGGTACTTGAAATGCAAAAACAAATGCGCCGTATGTAGCGTCAAGTGTGTTGAACAGCCATGGAATATCTGGATTTATTATTATTGCAGAACTCGGATGTGGTCAGGATCAACGTGGAAATGAAGCGTCAAATGCGAGGCGGTGGTGGTGGCGGCGGCGGCGCCGAGTCGGAAGGTGGCTCGCCCAGTCAGGAGTCCGGTGAGCTGGCGCCGACGTCGTCCACCGGCTCCAGTGGTGGCCGGGCCTACACCGTGTCGCATCGACTGCGCACCGGGCCCAGTGTGGACGAGGAGCGCAGTCCGTTGTCGGGCGAGGAATCTCCCGCTCCCAGTACATCGCGTGGGCCGAAGGTGAGATAATACTGGTAATGGGGACGTGTGTGCCGCGTGTGTGTGTTGCGTATGACGGCGCCGCAAGATTAAAAGCTCTTACGTTTGCGTCGGCCCACTCATTGCCACCGCCGCTTGCATGGTTGTGACGGGGACACAAATTATTTATAAGCTGACAGTGCTTGTTACACTACCCATATTCCTGGAAGCATTTGGCGGAGATCTATGTCAATCCTTACGTCGTGTGAATACTAGGAATACGCAGGCGACTACAGCGGTGTAGGCGTGACTTTGCTAAATGGGTTCAGACTAATGTTAAAGGAAATTTAATTTAAGATAATCGTTTATTTTGTGGTTTTGTGTTTTTCCTTGTCTCTCTGAACGGCTTTTAATAAAGCGTAATACATAATGATTAGAGGAAAATTTTATGGAATAGATTCTTGATTATCCTAGTGAAATTCGTTGTGGTAAGAATTGTTTTGGTTTTTTGGTCCGGCTTATACGGTCACTGCATAACGGACAATAATATTTTTCGGGAAGAATCCTTATTGTGTGGTTTTATACTCATCAGTTCCCCGTTATCAATTTTCGTAATTATGTTTTTGTAGTAGATGGATGTTCGAGTACGTTTTTTTCTGGGAAATACAGTGTGACTCTCAGTCTCTCGGCATGACTGATCTCGTGCACACGCACTCAATTATCCTCATTAGCTGAAGTTCGTGTAAACGGCAGGGAAATTAACCTGTGTTGTACAGGCTAAGCGGGTGCGGTACAACGGGTGCGGAACGTGCTGTTAATTGTTTTCTTTTAACCACACGTGACAAGCTTCCCGCTCTCGGTTTGTACCGGCGCACAAGATGCACGTGCATGTTGTGGTGTAATGTTGCTCTGACTTCAAGGCGAGGTAGCTTATTTACATCTGCGTATTCCCTCCCACGAGAACGTCGGTAAATACGGTTTCCGGTTCCTGACAAGATATCACTGATTGTTGACGCCCTTGTTACAGATCCCGGAGAAAAAGCCAAGCATAATCTCCGGCACGACAGACGCGTCACGGAAAGGTAAAGGAACGGTTACCGTCAAGCTTCCCACCGAAACAAAGCCCAAGCCACCGACCAAAGTCAAAAAGCAGCAGCCGGATGTTGTACGCCTAGTGCATGCACTATAAATACTGACGGCTTTTGTTCTTATCCCTGCGTATTAATGCTTCAGGACGTGTCCAAAGAAATATCCAGATGCAAGGAAGAAGGCGCGGAGCGGCTTGATTTGAGTAAATCCAATGTAAGCCCACTACTAAAAATATTCCCCCACAATGGATGTGTCCTGAATTAACGTGGTTTGATTTTATCGGCTTTATTGTTGGTTTTCAGGTGACTGTGGTTCCGGCGTCAATTAAGGAGGTGCGTGAGCGGATTGTTTCGCCCTTAAACTGTGCTTGTGTGCGTACACATCCGTTCAGGCGTGTGACTAGTAGACGTCAATACTTTACCAGGTGACTCAGTTGACTGAACTGTACCTCTACGGGAACAAACTGCTCTCATTACCCAATGAGATTGGCAATCTGCGGAATTTGCAAGTGTTGTTCTTATACGAAAATGCCCTCAGCACCTTACCACCTTCCATGGAAAACATGAAGCAGCTCAAGGTCTTGGATCTGCGCCATAATAAGCTCCAAGAAGTAAGCGTGGCAATGAATAATTGCTGCTGTTTATGAATGAAGTCACTTTCCTGGTACTTCCAGGAAAACCTTAAAGCCTTCCTTGTAATTTTTTATGTTGCAGATTCCAGATGTGATCTATCGCTTGACATCTGTCACACATTTATATTTGCGTTATAACAAAATCCGCTCTGTTAGCGAAGAAATTAAATGGTTAACGGTAAGAATATTTCGCCGATTACCATACTCGGAAAAGCACAATTCTTTTGTTTGTTACACAGAATTTGACGGTGCTGAGCCTGAGAGAAAATAAGCTGAAAATATTCCCCCAGGAGTGTGCGTGTCTCGTTAATCTGACCAAGTTAGACCTCTCATACAATCAACTTGAGCAAATACCATCCGAAGTGGGCAGTTTAGTTCAGTTGACTGCGCTGGATCTGCAGCATAATGAGCTGTTAAGCATTCCTGATAGTATTGGAAATCTGCGATCTCTCGAGCAGTTAGGACTTAGGTAAGAATATAAGTTCTCCCTTTTCGGGCAACTACACCGGTAAATTTAATGATGGACACGGTGCATGCTTTCTATTCTTGTTGCCTTTGACTTTTCTGGCCCTTGTGCCAGTATGTTCGAGAATAAGAAATTAAAGAAATAATAAAAAATAAATTATTATGTACCAGAAGTAAATAGACGTAAACAAAATCTTTCGGTTTGGATAGGTTTATTTGTTACTGTATTTGGAATACTTGCTTTTCCAGATACAATCGCTTAACTTCCATCCCGGAAACCATAAGAGAATGCGGAAATTTGGAAGAATGGAACATCGAGGCCAATAATATCATAGTGCTTCCACAGACTTTACTGGCCAATCTGACGAAGCTCCGTACTGTTAATTTATCGCGAAATAAATTCACAGATTTTCCTGGTGGCGGGCCGGCCCAATTTTGTTCAGTGCAGGTGAGGAATGAAACTTGAATGGATAAAACAGGCTTTTCCTTACTTGTGCTCCTTTTTTCTTCAGACCGTGATAATGGAACACAATCAGATAACGAAGATTCCTTTTGGAATTTTCTCGTGCGCACCGTACCTTACTAAATTAAATATGAAAGAAAATCAGCTAAGGAGCCTACCACTAGGTAATCGGTTTCATTCCAGCGGTGGTTGGTACAGATCCCTTATCGTGTACTGTTTTCAGATATTGGAACATGGAGCAATGTAGTGGAGTAAGCGATTACTGTCCGTACTTTTAACTTTTAAATTTCATGATGTTGTATCTGCTGTACTGATTATCAGGCTTAATTTTGGCACGAATCAGCTGACTATACTTCCGGAAGATATTGGCTTACTGGTCAACTTAGAGGCGCTTATACTGAGCAATAATGCCTTGCCGGTAAGAATTTGACATTATTAATTAACGAATTCATGCGGGTGAGTGTTAATAAGGCAGTAACGGAAGTTAAATTTTATAACTTCAATCATTGTAGTTTCTTCCCACGTCGATCGGCAATCTTGCTAAACTAAGGGTTTTGGATTTGGAAGAAAACCGCCTGGAGCAGCTACCTGTTGAGATCGGTAATTACCATTAATTGCTATTCGCTATTGGTGTGCAGTTTTCGTATTACCCCCACAGTATTTCCATTTATGTTATTAATTTTAAAATACGCTGCTATTAGTGACTGTCACTGACTGATATTTACAGGCCAGTTAAGGGAATTAGAAAGACTAGTTGTGCAGTCCAACCGGTTGAATTCCTTACCACGCGCTATAGGATATCTGTCGAATCTTAAATATATCAGCGCAGGGGAAAATTTGCTCAGCACTCTTCCATCGGAAATAGGTAATGTCGTGCGCGGAATTGTACAGAATGAACGTTTTCTCCGATCCTTATAATTTCACATTACAGGTTACCTAGAAAAATTGGAAAATATTTACTTGAACGACAATCCTTTTCTTCACGGGCTGCCTTTTGAACTGGCTCAGTGCAGCAATCTTCAGATTATGAGCATTGAAAATTGTCCACTGACTCAAATACCCCCTGAAATTGTTGCAGGTAGTTACTGTTGGAGAATTAAAGTGTGGTAGGAATTCATTATTTTGCTTTGCAGGCGGACCTTCGCTAGTCATACAGGTAAATGTCGTACTCCTTGAAAATAAGTTTTCTCGCACAACCGCATTCACTGAATTTCTTTGCAGTATTTAAGATACCAAGGGCCTTCTTCGCAGCCGATATAGATTTCGCATGGTTTATGTTGGTTTAGTTTTTTCCTGCCAACTTTGCTGCCAAACTGTTCCCGGTAACTTTCGTATCTTTCACGGAGCATCTATAAATTTAATTCTTTTTTAGATGTCCTTTTCAGTTTTCATTTCAATAAGACGACTTTGTAAAGCTTCGATGGTTTCGACTTCTTGTATTTTAATTTGTTATGGAGTTTAAAATTTTTTATTCTTTATGTTAGTAGCAGAACGGTTTGTTTAGGTAATGCGCACTGTGCACTTTGAATTGAAGATCAATCAATTAAAACAACGTTGAACGTGTCATACGAATACAACTCCGGGTTCTGTAAACCTAATGTAAGATTGGCTCTCCGAGACACACAGCTTTAATTGAGCTAGCATTAATGACCTCCAGTAATTTTTTTCCAATCTGCTTCATTTATTTACATCACTTGCGCGAAAGCTACATATGTGTAAAATGTGAGCATTTTATCATCCATATGTCGTACTTATCGATACTGTCGTTTCTCTGTAAACTATACAAATTTTATCTTCTAGCGTAGTTAAATTATACAAATACAAAGTATTACTAAAGCCGTGCAAAGCATAAAGATGAGCTGCGTAAATCACAGTCCCTAAATGCCGGCAGCTGACATAAATAAAGAGGTAAAGGCTCGTATAAAAAAACGAATTAAAATATCACGTCAGATCTTCCAGTTCCTCTTTCAGGCGAGCTAAAGAATTCTTAAACGTTTCATGCTTTTGCCCAGCGGTATCCACGAGAGAAAGCAAGATGCGCGCGGCAACTTGCAATTGGACTTGAACTTGAGCCACGTTCACTTCATCGGATACTCGCACCGAAGGAACTGATGCGCAATCTGCAAAACTGGCATTACTAGTACTGTAACATATAAAATAATCAGACCAAGGCACCCTCTTGGAGGCGACATAAGATTTTATTCAATTTAATTAACAACGTAATCCAGCTCAAAATTCGCAATATTCTAAATAAAAAAAAATTCGCAATATTCCTAATCGCCGAAAATATAAATGACAAGAAACTAAGCAAACAGCTGACAGTACTGCTGAATCGAACTATTCTCTGGATTGATTTACCCTAGTTAAAGCAATCAGAATATTCAAAAAGCAGGAGAAAAGTCAAAAGCTTTTGATAAAACTTAGTCTTATTCGATAGTAAGAGGCCACGTCGGGGTCACTATCAATAATTATTACTATTCCCAAATTTATAAAGATTTTCAATCAAATCTTGCGTATAAAGTATACATTTAAAACACTGAATTCTGAATCCTGAGCGATCAACTTTACGGTTAAGTAACAGTTATAACCGTTTTGCTTACCTTCGTCTGTCCGCTTAACTACGGGATCCTGAAACGAGCATTTAGAAATGTCTTCTAAAAGGTTTTGCCAAGTCGGAGGAGCAGGCTCTGTACTCCGTCCCGTGGAATACGTGAGAGATTGCGGCGTAGTCAGAGAGGGAATTTTAGTAGTAGCTTCCGATTCAGGCTGGTCGCCAGCTTCTTTCTGCTGCGACGAGTTTCCTTCGCCGCCGCTATGATTATGCATTTCCGAATTACGCTAGGAATCCATTTCTCAAGATTCCGCAATTATCGGCACCTTCAAAATCAAATCTAAAAGTGTACAACGCATAAAAGTGATAAGTTGATAACACAGTAACATCTGCAACCAAGATCTATGTACGGTACGTGCCATTCAAACTGCAGTGCAAACCATAACAAGCTGCAAAAGTTCGTTTTTCACAAAAAACGATGCCCCCCATTCCGATATCTCAGCGATGGCACTAATCGGTGCTTGATTTGTGAACAGCCCCTTAGCCGTAAGTAACAACACGGTATTCTCAGACGTCAAATATTTCGTAACATTCTTCCCTGACTGATCCCATTTTCCTTCCGATCTCTCATTTCTATAAACAACACATCCCATTTGGGGCAGCGAAGCTACCGTGACAGCCCAGTCCTTGTTTTAAGTGCACTGGATGTTTAAACCTGGTGGCATTTTGCGCTTGGTTTTATCTTTGTCCTTCGCGTCGTAACATCCTGTCAGCTGGTAGCCTCTGGCTGGGCAGCTGTTTGATTAATCTGCCACAGAAAACGGTGAAAACAGAAAAGAACTGGAACAAGTTCGCAGTGAACATCCAGATTTTTTCCCATTTATTTGAAGTGGAATTCTTTTGAAATCTGTGGTATGGGTTAATTTTCCAGGTAAGTTCGGGCATTTATAACTCCGTCCTATAAAAATGCGGTTCTGCAGTCTCTTTGATTTGGACAGGTTGAGATATCGCCAGTTTTATACTTGAATTCGAAATCAAAATGGATTCTGAAATCAGACGACGGAATCAAGATATTTCCACGCCTGGTCAGACGACTACCGTCCGGACGGCGTCTCCGACTCGTAAAGTAAGCAAACTGAAAGTTTTTTAATGCTTTGAAGATCCTTAAAAAACCTAAACAGGGATAGACCGTATAGAAAGCGCTTTGGTGTTCGTAAAAGTGCTTTGTTTTAGTTATTGAGCCGCACAGGAAATATTAAGGTAATTTATCAATTATCAGCTGATGCCAGGGTTCAGGGTTCCATATCCGAATTTCGCCCATTTCTATCGTTCGTAGACAAAAAATCAATAATTTATAAGAACCACACAGTAGCGTATCGCTCCCTTCAGACGCACCGAAGCAGTTAGGACCGGCAAATGTTTTGTTATTGCTTGTTCTGTCTTTTTAGCTTTTGCTGGTTAGCTGGCCTTAGAGTTTATCGATTTTTTCTCTATTAACTTTTACTTCCCTGGCTTTTTGTTGGTTCGCCTTGAACAACAACGTAAAACGGTAAAGGGAACAGGTACATTTGTAGGGCAGGTGGAAATTTTGCAGGCTGCCTTACCGTACAAATAATTTGTGTGGATTGTAAAACACCTATGGTAAAATTATTTTATTTTTGTATTGGTACACCATCGGTACAATTCACGCAGATTTATGCTGCCGTTTTACAGTGCATTTTCTCAATACGTTATTCTTGCTGTTGTGAATTCCATATTATGTATGTGAAATCTTGATGTATTTTGCGATTAATTTTTCGATACTTTATGCGCATACAGTTTTTTCTCTTGCACGATAACCAGCTGCAATTTGAACTATAATTATGGCAAACGCAATACTATTGTCAGCCGCTTGCTGTTGGGCAAAATTAGTGTTGTACGAGTACTGAAACATTTTAATTCTTGAACTCACAAAACCGAAGCCTTGTCTTCTACTGAGATTAACGTTTTGTCGTTGTTTTTTTTATAGAGATAGTAATTTGATGTTAACTGCGACTTGTTTACAGGCAAAGCAGGAAGAAAGCGATGAAGAAAATGTGGAGAGATTTGAAGAGGAACTGGTGGATACCGGGTTGAAAAATCTGTCTGACCCAAAGGATACTGAACTGGAACAAGTTCTTGGAAAACACACAAAACTGCCTCCAAGGTTCGGTGCAAAGGTCTGATTGCAGTTCAAGCGTGCATGTAAATCAAAGCCCTTGTTTTGTTTTCAGATGGAGGAATTGGGTTGTGCGAGGACTGTTCACCCTGTTAATGATCGGCTTTTTTTCCATTCTTGTGTCATTTGGACCGTTTGCAATGATTGCAACAGTAAGCTACAGTAATTAAGTGATTTGTTCTGTCATACGCGTGTAAGGGATGCTGTTACCAGGTCATTCTCATCCAAATACGCTGCTTCCAAGAGATAATCAACATTGGCTATTGTATATACAAGACCCATGATCTCCCGTGGTTCCGCTCTCTCAGCTGGTATTTTCTCATTGCCAGCAATTATTTTTTCTACGGGGAAAATATTATCGATTATTTCGGGCTGATGTTGACAAAAGATGTAAGTTTATCTAACTGACGGCTAATTCGGCTCCACTTGTGCGTTATTGAATTGTTTGATTTCTTGTTTAGGATTTTCTCCAGCCACTCGTGCAGTATCATCGTTTTATCAGTTTCATTCTGTACTGTGCGGGAATCGTTTGGTTTGTTTTAAGCCTGGTGAAGAGCTACTATTTTCGACAGTTTTCCATGGTAAGGAAGCTTCGCTTTGCCTGTGAAATTATCAGCGTACTGAATTCTGCGTCTTAACAGTTCGCCTGGACTCATATCGCTCTGCTGATTGTGAATTCAGCGGCGTATTTCATAATCCAGAATATCTTCCAAGGATTGATTTGGTTTTTGGTGCCAGTGTCAATGATTGTCTGCAATGATATTATGGCATACATGTTCGGTTTCTTCTTTGGCCGAACTCCGCTGATTAAATTATCCCCGAAAAAAACCTGGGAGGGTTTCATTGGAGGAGGATTTTCAACAGTTATTTTTGGCGTTATCGTAAGTATCGTTTCGCTTCTCTCGAAGTACTGTAGTGAATTACAGTAAACGGCCGGATAAAAATTTGGTAGTTATCGTGTGTGCTGTATACTGCATAGTGATTAGTGTATACAGTGTGCATACTGCATAGTCGACCGGCGATAACGAAATCATGATTAGCAAAGCTTTTAACCAGACACTGATTTTTTTATTTGGTATAAATACTATATTCGGTATACGGGTTTGTTCTTCAGATTTCATTGATAATGATCCAGTACCCGTTTTTCATTTGTCCGGTGGAGTGGAATGAGGATGAAGTGCGATTAGCAACTAACTGCACGCCTTCTTATATTTTCCGCTTGCAGAACTATAACTTGCCGATTGCTTTCCGGATGGTAGGAATATGGTTTTTGTTGACAAATTCTACCGCCTATATGCGATAATTCACTGGCGTTTTTTAGCTGGGGTTGAAGCATCTACGGATCTATCCGTTTGTGTGGCACTGCCTGTCTCTCTCCGTTTTCAGCTCGGTCATTGGGCCGTTCGGTGGTTTTTTCGCTAGTGGATTTAAAAGAGCATTCAAAATCAAGGTACCTTTTGCGCTGAACGGCGGTACCAGTCATCGTGGGAGAAAAAATATTTATACTGCACTAATAGCTGACGAAAACTGCATTTTGCTTCTATTTTCAATTTCTGCACTTTGTGACAGGATTTTGGTGATATGATTCCCGGTCATGGTGGTATTATGGACAGATTCGATTGCCAGATTTTGATGGCCGCGTTTGTGAACGTGTACATCAAAACCTTCATTCGGTCAGCCAATCCACAGAAGCTGATGATGCTGACGATGCAGATGAATCCCGATGATCAGATTGCATTATTCAATTCGCTGCGCCAGTATCTCTTGAATTCCGGGTTACTTACTATTGAAACCGCTCATGCTCCTGCTGCGACCTTACCGCCACCCGCCGATGCCCTCTAGTACCATGTGCTCGGCAGAGAAAGAATATGAAATTAATTCTATAAAAGTACTAACCAGTTATCAGTTACTGCTACAACAAAGCATGCATTACAGTGCTTAACGTTATTATTTTACCGGTACAACACTTAGCGTTGCTGTACCATTGAGTAGTATTAAATATATATCTATATAGATATACAGATATTCTTGTACGATGCTTTCGTTTTTTCAGTTACAGACTTTCCAGAGTCTTGAAAGTCACGACTTCTTGTTATACAGAATGTTAAGTCATTATTCTGTATTCTTTGATAGCCACTTTAGTCAGCTATTAAACTTTCCAGAAATTGTGCTACTGTGCTTTTATTTTTGGCTTTCAAAATGCGAAGAGATGTGCAAGTGCTCTTCGTACGATGGCTGTGTGCTGCAAGGAATCGCATACTGTACTCTGTAAGCGTTAAAATCATGGAATTTATAGTGTGCGCGACATTGCGCGTAATTATTGTTACCTTTTAAATGTGAATATTGTGGTGAAAATAGACCGAATTTTTCGTAACGGAAAGGATTTTAAATACAGTTCCGCATGGTGCGATCAGTATTCAGTGACCTGTGGTCATGATCCATTCCCTGTCCAGGAAAAGCTGAGTGGAGAACGAAAACAAATCTGATAGGCATGAATAACGCTCATTAAATTACCTCATTCTTACTTGCATTTTAGTATAAAAATAAAAATTCTTGATAATTGCTAATCAGTTTATAAATTCTTTTCTATTATATACAATAATTATTGTTAAGTAATAAAGTTATGTATCCAGTATCCACTATCTATCCAGCCAGTATTACTGTAACTGCATCGGCATCAGCCGCACTACCGACCGCCCACTCTGTGTCGTTCACATCCTGAGTTGGCTGCGCAGAGTAGGAAACAAAACGAGGAAGAAATTAAGGCCTCGTCCCCTTTCTGTAGCGAATCTAGCTTCCGTATAGTGCACCACCGTCCCAGAACAGCAGGTACGCGATACGGTATGGCAGTTTTCGATTCGCGTACCTGGCTACCAAGGGAAAGATTCGGGACGGAGGTGCGCTCCGTATCCGAGTGCATCCCGTATTCGCAACGGGTAGATACGATGCTTCGCGTACCGTACCTCGTAGCCTGTACTAACCCTGCGTCTCATATCAGGCGAAAATTAAACGCGCCCTTTTTTCGCATACCGTCGAAAACAAAGAAAAACGATACGGTACGCGAAGCCACCTTCAGAGGTGGCTTTCCTTGGTATCCGTCGTTTCTCATGATAATTTTCAAGAAATGTTTTCGCCTAATAATCTTGAACACTTATTAATGGAATTTTTTTAAAAATGGATTATGATGCCGTTTGTTCTGATGACGAGAACGAAAGCGTTACAAAAACTGTTAGTGCAGTATGTATGTCAGTTTCTAGTGCAATTCAGAATTTATTTGGTGGTTTAAAAAACTTGAGTACTAAGGGATATCTATCTCGTGGAGGTAACAAGAACGTTAATCGCCGAGAAATTCGTTTTGCTGCGCAAAACCTTTACAAGCGATATCCTGGGCATTTATTCTTTGAGACGTACCACGTTAATGTGGATGTTTTTCGTGAAATTGTGGAGAAATTACGTCCATATTTTGAAAAGAGTTCGACGAAGAGGCCTTAATTCTACGGGTGCAAAATCGCTGCCTGCCTGCTGGCCATACGGATCATCGGTACGGTCACAGTGCGAACTTCATGGTTTGTCGCGCTCGACGACGAGTAGAGCTTTTCGGACGTTTTTGAATGCCATGAAGAAAGAATACTGGTCGGTTATACAGTTTCCCGACGAAGATGGTATGATGCGTTCGGCCCGTGAGTTTGAAGAAAAAGGACTGCTTTATGGCGCTGATTGGGTACCAAAAATACTGGGAGCAGTGGACGGGACACACATCAACATTAAAGCACCACACTCTCGCCCCGAAAGCTACGTCAACAGGAAAGGGGAATTATCTCTTAACGTGCAGGCTTGTGTCAATTCTTCTATGGAATTTATACATCTATATGTTGGAGCTCCTGGGCGGGTGCATGACCAGAACGTGTACGACAATTCGGGGCTGGAAGGCTTAATTCCAGAGAACTGGATGATTTTGGGTGAGTATACGCACTAAGGAATTTAAAGGAATTTGTTATTTTAGAAATAAACGAGTCTATAGTGCTGAATTAAATTTGTACTGCTGTTAATTTCTCCGATTTTTAATAGCTTTAATATTTTTCTACTAATGTTGTGTAAAAAGGTAAAATTAAGTAGTGTATTTTTTCATTTTCGAGATCAAATTTCAACGAAGTAACGCAATTACAAGTTATTATTGTAATTTGCAGGTGATGGTGGGTACCGTGCGACAAGAAAAGTTTTGACACCGTTTAGAGAGAACGGCCGCCTCTCAGCTAGGCAGGAAGATTTCAATGAAATTCAGTCCAGTTTAAGAAAAGTCGTTGAAAGAGCTTTCGGCGTTCTGAAGCGACGTTTTCGAATTTTGAAGTTCTTGGATTATGACGACATGATTGCAATGAAGCACATTATTATTGTGTGCTGTCTGCTTCATAATATGGACATCAAATCCGTAGATGATTTTACGTTGGAGGGAGACGATCATGTCGAAGCGGTTGATCTGGATGATGAAGAGGATGCTGTTGCCGAAGGAGCATCGGGCGATTTTAAAAACGCTCTAGTTGCGCGGATGCTGCCGAATTCGTTGGGTTAAGAAATCGGTAAGTGTAAAATTTCTGGTAAATTTATTCATGCAGTTTTATTAAGTCAATAGCTATCAAAAATTACAAAAAGTTGCAAACGCGGGCACCATCGTCCGTAGATGCGTAAAGCCCTAAGTATGTTTTCCTTGGCTTTCTATACAAGTACTGTATGCCCGGAAGCGCGCATAAAACCAGTAATTTTACTTAAGTTGGTACAACGGAACTTACGTGCCTGTATGTACTGGTGGGCATTGGGGTTGCATATGCCTTTTAAATCAACTTGTCTCTGTAAACTGAGGTGAGCAAAATCGCCCTTTAATAATGTTATAATACGAGTACATAACGCTTCTGTATGATATATCTGTACACGTGAATATGCACTAGATTCATTCACAATTTTGCATTTGTAATCAGATATGTCGGCTTTTTAAAAATAGCAGATCGTACGTGTGCTGTACTGTTAATTATTCACTCAACCGGCATGTCAAAGTGAACGGCTTATGTACATTACCGCTGCAGTTTGTTTATCGAATTTACGTATATTATTTTATTTTGATTCTATAGCACAGGAAAAAAGTTGTGTTTTTATTTTTATCTCATTTTTATCCATGGAGACGCTTGGCAATCGACACACATGGTTTTGGCCATCATCAATAACTCTTGCATGTTGACAGGGAAGGTGACCTAACGAAGTGGACCTGATGCAAGTGAGAATCTGTTGCTGCGTTATGGAAACACTGTAGAGTGGTGGCTAAATGCCAGTACGGTACAGTATACAATGCGCGTTGAAGTCGTCGTTTATGCTGCGGTTAGCTGTTTAAATGTGGATGAAGTTGAAAATGGATGGACGCACTTGTACCTCGGAGTGGCTGCGCGATCATTATGAAAGCGCTTTACCTTCGGCTCTCATTCTGGACTGTCATCCTCATGCAGAATACAATTATGTCGGCCATTAATGTAAGCTTACCGGCGATTGTGCTGCGCTCACATTTTTTGTAACCTTCGTTGCGATTAAAAAAACTTTGCGATTTGTTGAAGCTAGGTAGTTCACCGGATTGGTTAACTATCCGGATAGGTTTTAACCGAAAACCGCTGTTGAAACGATCCCCGTAAACAGTGGATATTTTTAACAATAGCAAAGTTCTTCTGTTTGGTCCTATTGAAAGATTTTCCTATTAAAAGACAAAATCCCCGCATCTGTATAATTAGTGGCAATTGTCTACATTTGGACACAGTGCCCCATACTGTAGAGGCGGCGTAGACGTACTTTATGCGTAGTCGTGAAAAATGAAAACGCGTTGCCCGGTGGGAATGCCTTGTTAACCATGTTATTGAAAAGGTTAAGGTTTGCGGGGATTGCATTTTATATCATTTCATCCGTATGGGCATGCAGCGTCCTCGAAACTGCAATCCAGCTTACACCACCGCTCTTTTGTCGATGTTTACAGATACAAAATTCGATGTGTAACTTTTGAAAAGACTGCCGCGGCGGGGTTTCCGATGAATGGATGTGTAACTGTGATTAAGATGTATTGCGGTTAACATTCTTGTAATTATTTCTGCTTGTTATAAGGAAAGTAGGTAAACAGTGTGGCGATTATATTTTCTATTGCTGAACTATATTATACTTCTATTGCTCCAAACTAAACAACGCTTCATGTACGAGTGTTTATATACCCAGAAAAAACAAACTAAAATGCATAACACCAGAGTTTTTACGACACCGTTTTATCATAATAATCTCAAGTCAAATTTCGGTTCCGCTTTACTAGTCAAATTTACTCCTCTCCTAAAGCCTGCGGAACTTCATCGTCTCCGAAGTCGACTTCCACGTTGTACTGCCGCTCGAACTTCAATTTTGCAAGCTCAACTTTCATTTTTTCCAGTTTTACCATTTCGGTTAGGGAAGTTCGCATATCATCCATGATAGCAACGGAACGCGTCATGAGTTTAACCGTCTCGCTGGCGGCGCTGCGTTTTTCGCTCTTCTTTGCTTTCTTTGGCTTTTCCGCGCTTCCAGTTGGAGATCCCGCAGGAGTATCCGGTTGCATATCATCGTCGCTAAATAAGCAAAACTTAATATTTCTATTATTTTGCCACATCAATTTCTCAAATTACTAGGGTACAACTGTGCATGATAATATCAAAGATTTTACCTCAAATTAATATCACCGTCCTCGGCACCGATGTCTTCCAAAACGTTGCTCGTGGATCCCGCTCCCAGAGCCACCGAATTAGTTGCAAAAGCAATATCATCCCGATCGCCGTACGTCTTATCGAAGAGTTCAAATAAATGATATTTCACTTCACCGCTTTCCCCGGTGCCATTTTTTCGTTTTTTCTCTGCCTACAAGTAACCGCAAAAAAGTGCAAAAATTAATTTCACAGTTTGCAAAACTATTGTTAGTAATTTAATCACTGTCACTAATGCAGGTAAGTAATTTCTACATATTTTATTTTAAAAACATGTATTATAGCAAAAATTGATTTGACCTTATATTTCTTCCACGCATTTTCGTAAGAGATCTTCAGGTTCTCGCTGGTGCGGTTTCCCAGGGCATCTTTAAAAACCAACTGCATCTCCTGGAACACCTTTGACCAGAATTTCGCTTTACTTGTACAACGTCGAAACTCATCCTCCCGGTCGATGCGAGTAGCGACAAGCCACCTATGCAGAAACAAAATAAACGTGGCTGATAACACAGAGGAGCTCATGCAGCCATCGGTCGTAGACTAAAGATGATGAGAAGCATAGACAGCACTCACTTCATTTTTTTGGGAGACAGAGGAGCAGATTTGGGAGCGCGAGGCATCGTGGCAGTAATTGGTTAGATGATATATGGAGCTGATATAACACGGGGATCAAGAACTTTTATACAATTTTCCCGAACTTTGAAATTAAAAAAGCGAAAACTTTCGTCGTACGAACTGATCGGCGCTCGGACAAATAAAGTTATGCGCGGCAAGATGCGATCGAAGCGATGAGACGCAAGTACAGCGATACGGCGTCAAAGCTAGAGATGCGATACAGGAAACCGATAGCGAGCCCGGTTTCGATATGCGTAGCCTGTACTGTATCTTGGTGGTGCGCACCAAATAGTGTCCCATTTTTATACTGTAACGAAACTAGATACGGTGCTGTATCGCAACACGATACGCTTTAGAAAGGGGACGAGGCCTAAAAGCACCTACTGGTAGTTTTGTCAATTTTGTGTTGGATATCACCAGTGGGTGTATGTGCCTTTGCCTTGGGTTTACATTTCCGTTATTGCATCCAAGTTCAAGAACTTATCGTTAGTTAATATCTTTATTGAAACTTTTAATTTATGCGCTTTCGATCTGCGGCCACCTTACCACGGTGGATGGGGTTTGCCCGGTTTGGTAGAAGTGATGCTTACGGTACGAGTAGCAAAATTAGTGAGCCCCCGCAGCACCACTGACTGCTGCAAGTCTCAAGTGCACCTTTTTCCGTCTCGCACAGCTGTAATTCAGTGATAAACTGATAGAGCTGGAAAAACACCATAATCATTGTTAAGAAAATTGCTATCCCCTTCTAAAGTTTTTTATTCTTTGATCACTGCTTGCTGATAGCCATCGCCATCCCCAAGATCATGCAATGGCTCCTTTTGGGGTACCATATCGCGCCCTGCTGCTGACATCGCGATGGGATATTCGCAACACGGTGGCCGTACTGAGCCGCCATTCTGTGTCATTTGTTATCCCTTCACAGCCTATTCGCGTCATACATGCGAGACGACCCGTTCGCTGTTTGGTCCTGAATGTTCCCTATGATCCGCTGCTGCGTCGTTTCGGTCGCCTGTCATCACTGCAGGCATCCGTCCACCATCTACGATTTTACACTGGTTTTGCTCGCATTTCCGGTCGTCCGAGTCGATGGGAAGAAAAGCAAGGCAATTTAATGCCCATCCTCTTTGCACTTTTTGTATTGGGCCTGGGTATCATGGGTTTCTGTAACGGAGAATAGTGAGTGCATTTTCTTCTTTACCATTGCAGTAAACCATAAAGTTGGGAATTTATCATTTATTATGGACAACAGTTTAACATGTTACGTACATGTCGCTAGTCACGTTCAACTTTGGGGCAATTTGGCTGATTTAATTAATTTTGGGTTATGATTCTGTCCTGCGCAATTGTTTTCCATACTTTAATTTTTATTTTACTGTGTATTGAAATCACTAGTGATGCATTAAGGATTTGTAAGAAAACAATTGCGTTATTTATTCCGGGTTGTCCGGGCCACATAGATATATGTATAAAAACTTTATTCTTTAATCTTTCCATTTGTACAAGCAATGCCAATTAACACTTATGGTTAGACAAAATTTCCATAAACTAGAACAAGTAAAATAATATATATATAGATATATATGTACAATAGCTAGACTCGAAAGGCACTTTAAATGCGTTCTGTACGATACAGAGCCGGAAGTTCTGTAATTTTTCGATCACACCCCCCTACCTCTGATTGGACGGCCGAGTTAAAGTGTTCTGTATCTAAAAGGAACTCTCCTGGCTCCGTTACGATACAGAACTCGCATTCTTGCTAGGCCAAAGTTATTTTTGATGTAGATGCACAGTCCGCTGTACGTCTAAGTCCTATTTTTGATTTTCAAGTTTTGAGGATGTAATTAACGGGAGTTTAATTTTTTCTATCGAATCAGCATTCCAGTTCTGCTTTGTTCACTGATTTTAGCTGCCTCCGACTGTGCATGTTTGAATTTGTATCGTGGCAACAAGCAACTTCGCCATAGCCGTCAGCGCGATGAATACCTCATTGTCAGCGTACTTTACATGCAATATGGCCTTTCGATTTTTCACCAGTCGTTTGATTTCTTAACTTAACAAAACTTCAGATCGCCAGAAAAACAGAAAGGAAACTGGCACAAAATTGTTGTGAAAAATGGATAAATCGTTGACCAATTCAACTACGGTAACTGGGCGCTTTTAGAAACCGTGGTCTCGTTGCTCTGTAACGCTCTATAAGATACAGCGCTGTACCATTGGTAGATTCACTTTTACAGAACTCCCGGCTCTGTATCTTACAGAACACATTTAAAGTCCGTTTCGAGTAGTACTAATGTACGACAAAAAGAGGTTGAACCGATCAGTCGGTCCGCGGTTCAAAATGACCTCGCAACGACACGCCACCACTAAAGCTTGGACGCTTACTCACTACTTTCAGACGCTCGCGCTCCGTGAATATCAAAGTGCAGCTATACTAGTTGCATATCAAAAGGTGTAGAAAAAAATTTTAAACTTTTTGATGTTAAACCTGTGGCTGTTTATGGCGAACAGCACAAATTCTAGCCATTTTGCTTTCCCAAAGACTTAAGCATTGATTGCAAGCCAAACGGTTATGCGCACAGATCCTATGCTGTGCCTACGAGAAAGCAAAATGGCTAGAATTTGTGCTGTTCGCCATAAACAGCCACAGGTTTAGTATCAAAAAGTTTAAAATTTTTTTCTACACCTTTTGATATGCAACTAGTATAGCTGCACTTTGATATTCACGGAGCGCGAGCGTCTGAAAGTAGTGAGTAAGCGTTTTGAACCGCGCGGACCGACTGATCGGTTCAACCACTTTTTGTCGTACATTGTATATCACCTTGTATATATCACAATAATATAATGTAAAAGTTATCTTTGTGGCCCGATTATAAAAGTTATCTATAAATCAATGAAACTCCTACTGATTCGGTAATTATCAGCAAGCCGTCACCGTCATATATACATATCTAATAATATAAGTAATAATTATTATTGCTTATATTATTAGATACGTATATTAATAATATATATATAAGATATGGATAATAAATGACGGTGACGGCTTTGATGATAACTATTGAATTATCAAGAGTTTTATTAATTTATCATTGCATTTTTTTAGAACATCTGGTTCCAGCGCCGTTAGATGCAATGTTTCGATGTTTTTTTTGCAGTTTTCATGCTGAAAAGTTTTCCCCAGTGAAACGTGCAGACGATCTGCAAAGGAAGGAGCAGTTCGATGAAGATGCGTACGTATACGGTGTTGAAAATTTACCTCGGTCATACGTCGCATCATACGAATTGAAATGGGGTAAGGCGCGTCTACCGGACGGAAGACCAATTGTTGGCCCGAAGACTGTGGAAGCGGCAGAGCGTCCCGCGCGTGATGCACATATCAAAGGAACTGTTAACAACGACGCTGATGATGATGTGCACGGCAGCTCCGACGGTTTGGATGCTGAGGAACGCAAGCAGGGCGGCTTCCGCAACCGCAAGGTGGATTTTTTAAGCTTTACGTTGGTATAGGCATATTCATTTGGGAGATAAGAAATTTGACAAACTTTAATTGCTCCTTCCGAATAGGAAATCCGCAATCTTATATTAATAATTGTTTTTTGACATGTTACCGGTAGGTTCTTTTTTAGATCCTGTAAATCGTTTGAAGCCGATGTTTAATTTGAAAATGTCGGTACAGAATGAGATATTTATGCCACACATATGCTGTTCACGTGATGTTTGTTCGCAGATCACGGAGTACGAAAATCGCATCCGAGCCTATTCCACTCCGGACAAAGTATTTCGATTATTCGCGACACTGAAAATCAAAGATCCGGATGCGGATGGCTATGGCATCTATATGACCCCCGATGACTTTGTGCGTGCTATTACTCCAGGGGTACGACAGCCGGAAGGTAAGTGTGCTCAAGTGCCTCGGGTCGTAAATGCATACATGTATTTTTGTGTGGCCGTTCTTCCGTAGGCTGTTCAGTTTCTCTCCGTCCGTGTGTAAATGTTTCTAGGCTATAAACATTCTATTTTTAGGTTTGGGTCTTGATCAGTTCCGATTATTTGATCCTACGGTATGCGTACGTTTTACAACAACAACTTACCTTCGGGCTCTTTTTTTGGATAAGTAATTATTGCTACTTACATCGTGAGCGCGTTATCTAAACTAGTTTGAACAAAGCAGAATATCATAAAAGAGTCTTATTCAACAAAAATAGGTGAAGCGACTGCTGAAAACAAAAGCGCAAAACAAAAAAAACGCCTCCTTAAAAAATTAAAATTGAACGCCGTGTGCGTTTTCTTCCGAAATGTTGATTGCTGAATGTCATGGTCATTTTTGAGCCCCGACTTTGCTGAATAACAAAGTATTAAATATTTTTGTTTTATATTTAAAGCTAAAATTTGGAATTATGGCGCGATCGTAGTTCACGCACGCATTTCACTTTCTTGGTTTCGATTGTTGTGCATGAAAGCATTACTTGTCAGAGTGCCGTGTTATATACAACCTTTCCCGTAGAAAGACAAAATCGAATCCAATATTCCGGAAGACAGCATTTTCCATAAGTTGGGCGAGAGAGGATTGATATCGTTTTCTGATTACCTGTTTTTGATGACCATTTTGGCAAGTGAGTGGGTGATCATCCGTCGTGGGTTGTGCGTGTGGGGTGCATCGTCTCAGTAAAACAGTCTATTGCATCAGTTGAGCTCGTAGTTTCTGCCCGGCATATTGAGATTGCCTTCAAGATCTTCGACGTGAACGGTGATGGCACGGTGGATGCTGATGAGTTTGAGGAGATCCTCAACGTTCTACGCTCGCAGACATCCGTGGGAATTCGTCATCGGGAAGCCAAGTTGATGGGCGGTTCATACGGCGGCACTAAATTTGTGGACTCGGGACTGAAAACCTTCTTTTTTGGCAAGAGTGGCACCGGCAAATTGAAAGTCCAGGATTTCCTGGCGTTCCAGGCTAAGATGAAGGATGAAGTGCTGCGAATGGAGGTACTGATAAAAACTCTTATACCTGTATTGGTCACAATTTGGTCTATTGCAGTATTCGCTTTTCATTAGTGATTTCTGTTTCGTATAATCTAATTCACTTTTATCTTGATTGGCAGTTTGAGCGTATGGAACCAAAAAGTGGCAAGATATCCGAACGAACTTTTGCAAAGATGTTGTTGACCTACGCGGGGATCTCCGAACAAAAACAGAAGCGCATGTTAAAACGTGTGAAAGAGCGCTTCCAAGGCGAAGCTTCGGAGGTACGTGCTAAAGAGCGCGTTTTGTTGTTGTAGGGTAGTTGCAGTTTGCAACTATCTGCATGGGCATTTCCGGTTAATTTGTTGTGTTTACCATAACGTAGAATTTAATTGTTGTATTTCTTTCTGACTGGTTACGCTAACAAGAGGTTATATTTTTGTGCAAGGCAAGTACTAGTGATTTTATTGTTTTTTTAGGGCATTGGTTTTGAACAAGTTCATGGTTTCAGTCAAGTTTTTCGTCATTTAAATGATATCGATACCGCATTGGGATTGTACCATGTCGCCGGCGGCTCAATTGACCACAGCACTTTGAAACGCGTTGTGAAAACCGTTGCTAAAACAGAACTTGATGATCACGTGATTGATGTTGTATTCACACTGTTCGACGATAACGGTAAAACTACTTATTATTTTGTAATACCTATGCTTGTGGCTAATTAGAGTTTCCCCCAGATTCATGTTTTCGATTTGCTTTAGAGGATGGACGGCTAAGTCAGCGGGAATTCATTTCGATTATGAAGACTCGTCAGATGCGCGGAATGGAAAGGCCGAAGGTACGCTAAAACTTGAACAAAGAAGTAAAAAGTTTTTTTTTAAAGCGTACATGTTAAAAATGCACTTCTGGTTGTCCTCCAACATTAGTGTGATAAGGGTACACCATCATGACGCAACAGTACGTTATATTCCGTTCTAAGCTTTGTTGAGCGACCACTGACCAGTAATCCACAGAACTGGCACTTGTTAACGTTCTGCTTTTCGTAGGATATGGGCGTTACCCGGTTACTTGGCGCAGTTTGGAAGTGTACAAAGGAAGAAATTCAGGGATCTCGACATTAGTTACAGCGAATGATTTATATTTCTTCATTTTCGTGTCACATTTTTCAGTACGTGCTTCAAAAGTGCACCTCAGATTTTATTTGTAAACTGTTCACAGCGACTACACAGAGATGGTGGAATTACTGTAATTTAGAACCCAGTGGTGTTTCGGTTCATATTTCCGTTATCCATAGAAAAAGACAAGCAGCGACGTTGTTCAGTTTCTATGAAAATGAATTTCTGCTGAAATTTGATCGTGTATTGTAAATAACCATGAAGTCAGTAATAATAATAATATGTGCGAAAAAAACAATAAAACCTTGAACTGAATACAATCCATGTCAAAAACACTATACTATTCCACCCAAAACTACAAAACAGCCCGCCCAAACCAAACAAAGATGACCCAAGGACGTTAATAGATCCAGGAAAATTTCACGTCGCTAAGGATATGTCACTGGAATGAAAAAAACCAAGACTGAAACTCTGTACCAGCAGTAGTACCAGGCACAGCAGAAAGTTATCGACTGCCGCGCCTTATGTCCTTCCAAAGCATCACCTAAAGCATTCCTGAATAGACGAAAACTTATTTTTACCTGCAGCGAACGGCATATGGCCATGTGGTGGAGGAAGCAGGCTGTTATATCCCTGATTGTGAGATGCGGAACCCAGCGGTTTGAGGTTTTGCTGGAACATTTCTGCAATTAATAGAGAATCTGAAGCTACCTATCTGTGCACATTACGGTTATAGTTTTGGTCACACATGCAAGAGTGGCCACTGGTCAACACGCCAAGACAGAACGATAGGAAAATTCAGGTTACACTGAAATGATTGGGTCTACCAAACGAACAGGACAAAAGTAAAACAATCTTTATTAGTACCCTCAAATTTACTTTCTGTTCGAAACGGAAGTTGCCAATACACAGCTGGCAAAAGCTACAGTCTACAGCTATTGAGAGTAAATGGTCTCAGCTCAAGCAGAACCTACAATTACTTACGGTCAGTGAAAGGCGTCATATCCCCTGCGAACCTGCCACCGGCTTCGAAAGCGTTTGCCGACGCTAAGGACATCATCCCCATCGCGTTATTATTGGGGAAACTATTCCCACCCATCTGCCCCATGGGTGAGCCAAAGTTCCCGTAGGACACCGGGATCTGCTGCGGGGAATCCGATCCATAGCCGACCTCTGGTCGTCCCGCTGGCCGAGTATTCATACCTCCCGTCGTGGGTACGTAGGTGAACGTTGGCTGACCGCGTTGATTGCCTTGAGGCCGAATCTCTTGGCGTGCATTCGGTGGACGGCGGTCCATGTCGCGCCGATTTCCATCATCCCGCCGCTGTCCTCCAGTTCCGCCTCCCCCACCACGACCCCCGCGGCCGCCACCCCCTCCGCCCCGTCCACCCCGTCGTGGTGAGGGACTATGCGTCCGTCGGGCTGGCGGCGGTGGTGGGGCGCGATTTCGTTCGCGATCGCGGTTGGTGCGCAGGCGTTTGGCGTCCACTTCTTCTTCCGTGAAGAGTTCAATGTAACGATGGCCTGCAATTGGAAATACGAGGAGAATGTTCGTTATAGCCAAGCATGAAGAAACATACCCATATTGGTTTTGTGCTTCTTCCGTGCAGCTTCAAAGTCATTTTCGTTTTCGAATTCCACCCAAGCTGAACCGTCGAAAACGTTTGACGATGACATATTTTTGGTTATGTTGCCACACCGGATCGGAGAAAAAAACTGTAAAAAATAATCATCTGAATAAAAAAATACGCAAAAGCGAATTTATAACGTTTAAGCGGAACAGGCTCTACAACACAAATCGACTAAAAAGGAGACCAAAAACCCGTACCTGCTCAATATCTCGTTCCGTGCAAACCCAAGGCAGTCCCCGCATATACAGCCGATAATCACTACCAGCATTATATTGGTCATAATTCTGGTGCCCATTACCCTCCTGCCGGTATCCGCGATCTTCATTGCGATACTCTTCATCAAACCAACCGGATTGTTGCGGCACGGCATGGCCACCGCCGAAATGGCTTTGCCCACGGCGCTGCGGGGGGCCAGGCGGTGGTCCGGAATACCGGTCCTCGCTGTAGCCGCGATATCCCCGACCCGGTGGATCCCGTTCATCCGGATAGAATTCCCGCGCATCCCGAATCTGTGATGAGCTGGCCAAAAAGATTTCTACGTACCTGTGGAGGCGGAGGGTTACCTTACACATTTCAATTTTCAGTGCGTAAAGCGCGCTCGTCAATTGTGATACACATACACGTAAACACACTGAAACCCCACCTTTGACCCAGCTTTTCTTTATGCTTCTGAGCAGCCTGTTCAACGGCTGTTTTATTTTCAAACATCACATAAGCCTCCCCCGTTGGCCGCCCTTCTTGATTTTCAACAATGTATATCCCGTCCAAACCCGAAGCAATATCCAGCCCTGTGGTATATATATTAACAACCCATTTATGACGCGAAATATGTTTTACGAAGCTTTCTGTCCATCCTGCCCAGTGAGAAATTAAAATTTCCGGACAAAACCGCTGTAGAGTACCCAATAAGCCCAAAAAACTACTGACGAAATTCAAAGTTGCACTACCAACGTAGATGCCATCGAGGCGCTCCCATTGTAAGCCTCACCTTGGAAAAAGTCTCGAATATCCTGTTTCGTAACCCTGTATTCTAGGCCGCGAAGTCTCACGGCATAGTCATTGGGCAAACGATAAAAAGGAGAACGTTTCAACGCTGAATCCATTTCATCCGCACCAGTGCGGAAAACTGCAATAACACATTCGATTTACAAAACATATACTAACACTGCTTGATAGCCATATTCTGCACAAGGAAATGAAAATCCAATTTCGAAATGCACAGAGAAGCGCGCACCTGAATATCATTCAAACGAAATTTTTTCCCACCCAAAGAATTTATTAAGCATGCAGTGACAATAATAACAGCAATCAAAGAAAGTAACAAAAAATGCTTTAAATACAAAAATATATCCTCTCCAGTTATTCGTTCTGCATTACTTCTGCGTGAATGAAAAATGATTCATTAAAATTGCTATAAATAATTCATTACAATTATATTCAATAATTGTCTTATAATTGAAGACAAAACAATTGCTTTCCCGGAAACGCAGAATAAAAATAAACTACAAAATCATGAAAAATCCTTAAAATTACAAAGCAGGTTTTCTATAAGCAAAATCTTTAAGATTCGCAATCAGTTTGAAATTTCATCACGTTTATGGCAACCGGAAGCTGCACCTATAACAACTATCTGTATCTGTACGTAATACGTACACTACTTGTTGTGCAGACAACAGAATGATGCTATCATGCTAGAGATAAACTCCCAACCCGTTTACTACCATTTCGTCAAATCGCGCTCGTTTACCGTTCTATGCAAGACAGACTTTGGGGGAAAGAAGAACAGTGCACAGATCTTACTTTCCAAGTAGCGATGATTCATTTGCCCCTCATTGTGCGACAGCGCCGCTTCGACATCCTTTTCGTTTTCCAACTGGATGTACGCATCGCCGGACCACTGCCGTTTGTCGTTGTAGAGAAAATGCACACCCAGAACCCCATTACGAATACGGACGCCTGCGGGAAGAAACATCCATAATTATCATGGGAAATAATTTTAAACAATATCCGCAGTAACCGTCGAATTACGAATACGAGTACAAATCGAACTGCCAAAGCGGGCACTACTCTTTCCGCGTGAAATATTAAATAGTGTGTAATTTCTCGTTTCTGATTTTTCCATCGCGAGACCTACCCCGATCATTGAACCATTTCATGACGGTGTATTCCGACTCCTGAAACGGTATCCCACGAACTCTAACGCAGAAGCCCTGCGAGCTGGAGTTCGCGGATTGATGGTGCACGGCACCGTGATGCTGCAGTAGTGGTTCGCGCACACTGTCACCACGGTAATTGGATTGTATGGGCATTATTGGCTGGCTGGCATTGCCGTGCCATCGCGGCTCGTCATCCATCGGCACATGAATCATTTTCCTCATTAAACCGCTACTACGAGCAGTCATTTATCAGGTAAATAATCATCGAAAAAGAGGCGAAAAACCGAAATCGAACCCGAACACTGGATGACTGAAATACAGTTATACACTGATTCTCTGCCGTACCTGCGCAACCGATCCTTGCGTGAACCACTTGCGCTTCCTACAGACAAACGCTACTGGATAACCGCAAGATCAGTGTGGTGCTAGGGTATTCAACCCTTTAATAATTAAATGCGAAGATGGCAAAGATCGAATGATACAATTCTGGATAGAGAAAAGCTATGGTACATGAAAATTCCCGCTGTAAGCAGTAAGCCTGTATTTGTAAAAACAAAATGCGAATGTGGAAAAGGGCCAAATTTTGCCCGTTTCAAGCGATTTCGTTGACAACACTCAAAACTTTTGGAAGCCAAACAGTAGTACAGGAGCAATGAGCGGTTCATTTCTTCACTTCCCTTAAACCAACGCCGCCTCATGTCAGTTGCCGAAAACGGATATGTCTATTTAACACGTTATTTCGGTAATATTATATTAATTTGTATATCTGTAATGCTTTGTTAAATTAGAATAATTCCGAAGAAAAATTTCCTAGTGTTCTTGTATTTCTTTAAAGGATTCCGAATTTCGATTTTCAGTACCCCTTGGACGCTTGGAGTAATAATTTCCTCTGCAACACCCAATAGTGCAAGCGGAGTCAAGACTGCTACTGTGCTACTAGTCGTTGTTTTAAAAGAGATTTTGGTAAACATTCCCACTCATATATTGCTATCGGGAAGCGTCGGAATCTAATGGGGAAGTTTTTTCTAGCTGGCTTTGGGAAATAGATCATCGATTCGTTTGTGTTTTGATACTCCAGATGGCTTCTTCACATGTTCAGGTGCACTTAGAATCCCTTTGATTGTTGAAGGTGTGATTAATTTTACTGTTTTCAACTATTATTGTAGTCTGTATGAGTACTCAGTACTGTCAGTAGCTATACAAATCCGTCAAATCGGAAAGTAGTTCTTGCGTGGATGTGATTCATGTGAGCTGCAGTGAGCATCTGCATATCGTGCAAACCCAGATGCAGAAGTCGATACTCGAAGGTACAATTTTGTTGTTCTCTGCAGTTGTGTTATTTATCGGATTCATCTGAGATGACTAAATCCTGGTATCAATACAACAAAACATTGGACTCTTTTTTTATACTCGCAGCCTTGCTAGATTAGATCATTAGGATAATGAATTTCTCCGTACAAAGTGAATTCTTCCACTCCGCAGTAGTCCCTGCGAAAAGCTTGAAGGCATAATTACTGTAGCGTTATCAAAGAAATTTGCTGGAACAAAATCAACGATGGAAAATAATTATTGCGTCTTATCTGAATTCTAATTGCAGCGCGTGCAAGTTCATTGTCGCTGGATTGATAACAACCTCCAGCAAAATCATTGGATCGGATATGATTATGGCCGTATGAAAAAGACCTTGAAATCATACTTATCAGTATCACCGTATCATCTGCAGTGTAGCGGAGACAGCGGGTAACTGCCGTTATTTTCTGGCCTTTTGTTATCCTTTTGTGTCCATTATTTTGCGATCACTTTCCTTGTTTCGCTTCCTGGGTTATATTGCGCCAACCGTCAAGAATGGTAGGTTTTTTCACGCCTTGCATTCGTTCTTGTTTGTTTTCTACAATTATTAAAATTTAATCATTTTAATCTATTTTTAATGATAATATTTACTGTAAGAAGCATCCGCAAATTTCATGAGAGTAACATAAAAATGCAATTAGTTCTAGTAAATATTTCTTTAGTTCTAGTAAATATTTCTTTAATTCTTATTTTCCCCGCATGCGCGATCTGTTTTTAGGAGAAATATCTCAACAACTAACAATAAAACATTTTTCTTCAGCCATCTCACTGCTTACTCATTACTGCAAGGCATCAGCGAGAGCGCTTTGCAGCGCTTGTTACATTATGCGATCCATTTCTCTCGAGTGTTACCTTGGGGTTGCAGTGCTGGATTAATTTCACTGCTGTATAATTTTCGATGGCATTTCGTTTTGCAATCAGAATGTGGTAGTAATCATACAATAACCGACTCTAGAGGTTTAAATTCCTGTTAAGCTCAGCCCTATGTAATTTTAGTTTCGACATTTATTTGACTGTGAGGTGACTGAGTTCGAATGATTGTCAATGCGAGCCGTAAAATGCTTGAAGTTTTTGTATGTAATTGTTAGAGATATTATACGGAAGTGTTTTGGCTGTCTTACGCATTTATCGACTTACTCAGAAAACATTACTTACGTACCTACCGATTTAATTGCCGTCATGAATCACTTTTATAAACCAGCTAGCGTTTTTTAGATTTGTCATATCGAAGCACAGAGCTGCGCTACAAAGCGCAGACACAGCACGCCATTCTCAAGGGTCTGATCAGGGTGCATAGCAGCCGGAAATGAGTCACCGTGTGGTTATTACCACTAAACATCACGGCTGATCTAATCCTCCTGGAGGGATTGGATGGGCGCTATTCACGCAATTCGGTTCATTTTATGGACTTGAGCGTCGTGCTCAGTTGCAGCGTTTACACGTCCAATCTGCCACAAAATCCAATGGAAGTTGTTGCTTTTCAGTGCCTAAGCGCAAGCCCAAGCACAAAAATAATTAGTATTTGAAATTAGAAATTTTAGTTTTTATCAAAAGGAAGGCTTAAAAGCAAAGCGCAGAGCGTATCGACCCTGATAACAGGTACCCGATTTTCTGTTATTATGGTTAAGATTTTATTATTGTTATAATCTGACTAGCGTGTGAAACATTTTGTGAATTGTAAAAGGTACCACATATCGACATATACCTCGCTTAAGAAGAAGAATTGAAGATGAATTTCTCTCGCTCGTGCTAACTTTTATTTTGACCAAATAACAAATGAACCTTTTTTCAGATACCTTTCCATATGTTACACTTTCAGACCAGCAATGGAAGCATTACATAACTATTTTTTGTTTAAAATGAAAACAAGGACCGTTTTTGTTCTACCAAAACATGCTTACAAAGAATTCTAAAATATCAATAAATTATCACTTCCACTTAAGGAAAGCCTTTCGACAACACTAACATGAGCACTCGGGTTAAGACTATGGTTAAAACTAAGATCAACAATCAGGTTTTCACTTTGATCAGAACTAACGTTAGCACTCGGGTTAGGGCTCCGGTCAAATTAAGGAAGTGGGCCGGTACAAGGTACCAAATTCGTGTACATGCACGAAAAGTTAACTTTTGCGCACTCTCAAACACATTTTTGGTTTTATTTTATGACATTCTGTTGCCAGATGATTTGTATACACGTTATGGCTGTTTGAAAATTCCAAAAAGTTTACCTGCATTCCGGTGTACCAAAAGTCTCATTATGGACCGATCTACTTCAAATTTTGCACATAAATGCACACGGTCTTTCGTTTTTTCAGCGATCTAGACTTTCGTGATTTGCTTAAATTTTAAAATGAATTTTAGAATTTTTGAAATTCATTTTAAAATTCGAAAAACATGCTAGATCAGTGGATCGGTGTAAAAAACGATATTCATAGCCAGGTGCTCCCGAACCGGATGTTGCGCGCACAAACGGTTTTCACGCCCGTGTATACAAGTCATCCGGCAACAGAATGTCATAAAATAAAACCAAAAATGTGTTTGGGAGTGCGCAAAAGTTAACTTTTCGTGCATGTACACGAATTTGGTACCTTGTACCGGCCCACTTCCTTAATTTGACCGGAGCCCTAACCCGAGTGCTAACGTTAGTTCTGATCAAAGTGAAAACCTGATTGTTGATCTTAGTTTTTAACCATAGTCTTAACCCGAGTGCTCATGTTAGTGTTGTCGAAAGGCTTTCCTTAAGTGGAAGTGATAATTTATTGATATTTTAGAATTCTTTGTAAGCATGTTTTGGTAGAACAAAAACGGTCCTTGTTTTCATTTTAAACAAAAAATAGTTATGTAATGCTTCCATTGCTGGTCTGAAAGTGTAACATATGGAAAGGTATCTGAAAAAAGGTTCATTTGTTATTTGGTCAAAATAAAAGTTAGCACGAGCGAGAGAAATTCATCTTCAATTCTTCTTCTTAAGCGAGGTATATGTCGATATGTGGTACCTTTTACAATTCACAAAATGTTTCACACGCTAGTCAGATTATAACAATAATAAAATCTTAACCATAATAACAGAAAATCGGGTACCTGTTATCAGGGTCGATACGCTCTGCGCTTTGCTTTTAAGCCTTCCTTTTGATAAAAACTAAAATTTCTAATTTCAAATACTAATTATTTTTTGTGCTTGGGCTTGCGCTTAGGCACTGAAAAGCAACAACTTCCATTGGATTTTGTGGCAGATTGGATGTGTAAACGCTGCCACTGAGCATGACGTTCAAGTCCATAAAATGAACCGAATTGCGTGAATAGCGCCCATCCAATCCCTCCAGGAGGATTAGATCAGCCGGGATGTTTAGGTGGTTATTACCCAGTTGTGATGCAGACGGGGCTTTCGGCTGCGCCGCAAGGTTACGGTTTCTGTGATATATGGAAATGCCAACGCTTTTAGCCTTTTACGCAGTATGAAATGGACGATTGCATTTGCATATGTACACTAACTCTCCATGCAGCTGATATGGCAGTGACACCGGGCATTAGCAAGTATTTATTGCACTTTATCTCAATGAGATTATAACTTCCATTATTCGTCGGATGATTTGTAATGTGATTCAAAAATTTGAATCGCTTTCACAGCAGATAGGGACGGTTAACGGTAGCGATCATCGTGTCAGGTTGTTTTTGGACACATTTCAAGGCTAGTCTGGATGAAATCAAAGTGCATCTGCTGCGATAAGGCATTTCGAAGCCGGTATCGAAAATGCTCGCTTAAACCGCACAAACAGCGAATTGCGTACATACGTTCAAGTAGACTATTTAGGTCTAATTGCTATGATGTTATCCTGCTACCGCAGCTGTTTGCGCACTTCCGCAACGTTGAGGGAACTTGCGGGCATGAAAACACTATCCATAATAGGGTGTAGCGCAAATCAGTCCACTTTCTTTTAAATTTCACACTGTTTTGGATAATAGAGACTGTACAGGAGTTGCTTAACAACATTGGTAATTGAGATCGGGTTATTTTCATTCTAAGTGTTACAGTTAACTACTACGTAGAGTTACAGTTTACACTATTACCTGCTTTTTAGTTTTTTTTGACAGTTTCTGCTGGGATTGATTGCATTGTGGATATTTGGCATGATTAATTATGTCGAATTTTTCTGTGTTGTTTTTTTCGTTTGCTGATGAACTTGTGGTAATTGCTGATTATGGGAAAATGAATTTTATTGCAGGAGCGTCCTGAAAGCAACATGCTCCGCAAAAAGGGTCATGGAGCCTCATCCTCGGAGCCAATTGTAGCTTCTCCATTGTCTAATTTTACTGTGCGATTCACCAATCGTGATATTACCGATGAATATGTGGATATCACACAGGATGTGGATGAAAGCGCTATCCCTTATAAACCAAATCCCCCCTCCTCTCTTTCTGGACAAAGTACCCCCGTAAACATCTCAACCGGAAAATTGATCCAGGGGAAAGATCATTCCGGCCCGCCGTCGCCCATTGCCAGTCCGGTGGCGGAGCGGGTGTCCTCGTTTCGAGATAACTTTCATAATTTGAAAGAGCGTTTCACGTCGCATCGCAAGAACTCTGAGGATGATAAAGAAAAACTACTCCCAAGCGTCTCATCAGAATCCGCCTACGGTACTTCGCACAGTTCGGGCTCCCATTCGCCGTCCTTAATTGGGAAATTAGTGCGGAAATTGGAGGAGCGACGTGGCAGTAGCCATAAGGATGCACCCGTTGGATCTCTCTCACCCACAAAAGAGCCCTCCGCCGAGAATGGCGGTGCTCCGGCGATCTTGCCTGTCGTGCAGCCGGTGGGCGAACCAAAGATATTTCATGAAACTGTGGTCAAATCGGGAAGTATGGATAATATTCCGAAGTCTCTAAAATCGGCACACGGCCATGATAATGCCCTAGAAACAGCATCCATTGCGTCGGAACCCGCGGTCCATGAAGTCACTAGTCTGGAATCACAGGAATTCATTGCTCCTGAACCACGGAAAGGGGTGGCGGGTGTCCAGTCGGAGAGGCCGCTTGTTGACACAGAGTCTGCGTCGACGGGTTATACAGAAACCGTTTCTCTCAAAGAGCACGGAGGAAAATTCGGTGGAGTTGTTGGGGCGAATGTCAGAGGGACGGATGAGAAAAGCGGAGATGGACTTTCGTCTATGTCGTCCATTTCGCCACTGTTAATTGTTGCCGGGATTTTAGTTGCGGTGGTGTTGGTTCCGATGCCGTCGTTTATGTCGGGCTTATTGTTTGGCTGTATAATTACCGCGACGGCGAGTATCCGAATCTGGTTTACAGTGTTATTCCCCAATTCCAGAAAGTACGATTCGTACCAGCGCATTATTCCAGGGGCGCCGTCGATCGTGACTGGTACGTTAAACTTTTGTTTGAGATATAATGTTTCCCAGTTTTGGTGTCAGCAATGGCCATAATTTTGTGAATAATTTTATTATGCACGAATGAGGATAATTTTTATTTGACTAGATTTGCTGCAAATTCATCAGAATTTTTACTACTTCTATTTCTATGTATATTGTCAGTGGAGTAAAGTTGGCAGTAAAAATAGCTGCAGTCTGTTGTCTCTAATTTAAATTATGGATTCATCGTTAATGGTTTCTGCTTGTGCCTTTATTTTTGTTGATTAAGATTTGTCGATGCAGGAGATTCTACCGTTCGATCATGCGTAAACGAGAACGCTGGCCGAACATCTACAGAAGCGGAGAGCACATGGATGAACCAGATGGTGGGAGATTTCGATATATCCACTTTCCATGTTAACCAGACCCAGAGTGTTTATGTGACATTAGAGGGAACGGCTTTGCGCATCAGAAAGCCCAAAACACGTGTGGTGGCACGGCGCGCTATGTTTGACGAAGAGCTGCGTAGTGAAACATTCACATTCGTAGAAAGTCGGGTGTACAACATCCAAGGCGCAGCCGTCAGTCTGGCACCGACTGATCTACCTCGGAAACGCCGCTGGTTGTGGAGATTTCCCATCGCTATAAAGCTGGTGGATCCGGCTTCTTTGGCCACATTAATTGATGAGGCGCGGGATTTTGAAGCAAAAAAGGCCGAAAAGGACAAGGAGAAAAGTCGTGATCCCGAGAAAGAAGAAGAAAAATTGGCGCCTGCCAAAGCGGCCGGAGAGAAGAATTATTTCTGTTTGTATTTACTACCGCGAAGCGACAGAGAGAAGGAAGACTGGTTTTGGAAATTGTGTGCCGCTACCGGCCAGTATAAATTCCCATTGTTGCGACCGAATTTGTCACCGAATTTATCCACATTAAACCTGCTGTTCCATCGGATATTTTTTGACGTATTGACTGAGTCCACATGGGCGGCGGTTGTAAAGAAGAAAATCCAGAAGAAGCTTTCCGTGATCTCCCTGCCGTACTACATTGAAGAGCTTCAGATTACCGATATCGATCTCGGTAAACACTTGCCGATTATTAGTGATGTTTCCCAGAAGCCGGGTATTGATTCGCGTGGAGTATGGGTGGAAATGAATTTTGAATACCATGGAACCGTCCAGATGACTTTGTCCACCAAGCTCAATCTGATGAAGCTGAAAAAGGATAAAGACGGGGATCAGGTGAGAACGCGTGTTTACGCTATAAATCCGGTGTCGCTTGAGACTGAGGGCCTGTTGCGTGATCTGCTTTCATAGAGAGTGTTCGCACAAGGAGGGGAAACTGAGAGGGAATGCTAGGCGGAATGAATTATCTACAGTAGACGAGCTCGCACAAATTGCATCTATTTTAAAAACATGAATAATGATATGAAATAAGTACAGCGTAAAATGAGACGAAGATTGGTACACGGAACATTTCACATATGCAGAGTCTAATTAGCTGAAATTGCAACGAAATCGGAATCCGTGCCACTTTGTATAATTGTAGCAGTTCGCAGACAGTAATTATGTGATGCCTGGATCAGCAAGGATGATTTCCGCTCGTCATTTGGCCGGCGCATTCACATAATCTGACGCTGGTTACTGTTTTTCTGTAGGATTACCGCGCTGCGGGAAACGATCACGAGGTGCAGATGGATACGTTAAGTATCGGTAGCGCCAGCAGTGTTGATGCGTATCGACCTCAACACCGTGAACGCGGACAAAGTGATCGTGAGGCCAATATGTACGAGAGTGATGAGGAAGATGAATTTGATGATAGCGCTGCGGTGCCACCGGAAGGCGGCGGTGGTAGTAAAATTATGCGCTACGTGGAGCGGATCACCGAGTCAAAAGCCTTTCAGAAGCTGACAGACGTGAAGATTGTCCGACGGGCTATGGAAAATGTTAGCGAAACTGATCTCACATTGACTGTGGTGGTAGAACGGTTGGCCGGTCGGCTAGCACTCAATGTTCCGCATCCGCCTAGTGATAAATTATGGTATGGATTTGTTGCCAAACCCGACTTACACTTACGGGCTTTCCCCAAGTTTGGCGAGCGGGAGGTGACGTTCGATCAGGTTACCAACTGGATTGAACGCAAACTGACGACAGAGTTCCATCGGCTGATTACGGTAAGTCCCGATAATTTCCTAAAACTATCATCCGCATTAAATCCCCAATTTTCTGCTTAATTTGATGGTGTCTTTCATATTAACGGTCAGACAAAGGTTTATCCGTCTTTAGAGGCATAATAAAAGTTAAGAGAAGCAAGCATAGCACTTATTGTAATCAGGTGTTGTCCGCATTGAAGATTTTGTCCGAATGAATAAGAAAGCTTGTGTTTTTATGGATTTTCACAGCCGGTTTTTACATTTTTTTATCGAAAATGCAGTATTCGATTTGGTTTTCCTAGAGGCTACGTTATTTGACACTTCTTTGAGTATAAAAATGTATGTTTCCAGGTACCGAATATGGATGACCTTACTGTTCCTGTTATGAATAGCGGCTTGGATGATCATGAATTCAGAATGTCCAAATTGTCGGACTTAATTTTGAAATAAGTGTAGTTTTATTTTGTATCTGCATGATAATTTGTGCTTCGGCTGCCTCAGTTGAATATTTCGCTGTGGACGGAAGTTGTGGACAATAATGGGTAATTTTGTTATAATTACCACATGACTGGCTGCGATTTGTCTGCAACTTCATTTTTATACAGTATACTTGTTTTTTTAATGGTTTTGTCTCCTGGTTTTATTCGGTTGGTTTTGTTATGGCTCTACCGTGCTTATCTGCCTGTGTAATTAGGAAATTTGGATAGATCCAGGTTTGCTTTGGTTCGCCTGAACTTTGTGCTTCCTTTGTAATTTTCTGGTCAGCAGGACGGAACAAGTTTTCAGTTAAAGTAAAACATCTGCGCATAATTTGTTCTGACATGGGTGGTAAAATTAACGCGCATTTTCACTGCTACATACATTGGCGAATATTTTTACGCACTTGTTTAGAATTAATGTTGCACTTTAGGAGTACACTGAAAAACCAGCTAACCAAGACCAAAAGGTGCACGAATTGTGAAAGGCACTGGGTTCACCATCAGCCTTTTTTTGAGTGTTTAAACTTGGAAGTTGCTGACTCGACAACAGCATGTCACTGCGGTCACTTTAAGAATTACTGCTTTCCTTTTACAGCTACGTTTAAATTTCTTATTCAAATAGTACAAATATAGTTATAAACAGCATCACACCAGCATTGCACAAGATACAGTACCGTCAGTACGTACTATGAAAACAAATAAAAACAGTTAAACAACCATTAATGTGAATCAAGCATTTGTTTCCGGGTCGCGCACAAAAGATAAGAAGCACCAAACAATTGTTTTTGCAGTTTTACATATCTCTAGAAAATTTCAGTGCAGGACAGGTACATATCACCTAATCTCTGCTTTGCCCAAATTCATATCAATCCGCATATGTATCCAAGTTGCCTGTTTACTGGATGTTTCGTGATTGGCCGACGTATCACCGCTTTTGACGCTCTCAAAGACCGTAGGTGATGATTCGCGAAAATCGTAGCGTATGTTGAAGGACAGCTGAATCAATGCAAGCAAGATTAAAAACAACAGAAAGTCGTACAGAGATAAAGGCACAATAATTATGAATAATATAAGTACACCACTAACCCAGTTATCGCGCTCATGCGACAGCGGGATAAAGGAACAGCGCACTCCAACGCTGTAAAGTTTTCGGAAGGCTATGACGCTGTAACAACAACAGGTAAATTGTCAATTTAATCTCATTTTGAGAAGTTGCTGGTACATGTGCTTTAAGAAACTGTGCAACTGCCGTAAATAAATACTTGGAATCATCATCTGCTGAAGTTTTCGATGTCTCTTTTCCCTTTTCGTCGATCCCAGCCGCATAGCTACGGCTCAACAAGGTCACTTCCGACGATGGCAGCGTCACGTTTGAGACGAGCAGACCGGTGATCCATTTCGGCAGCGGTTCCTCGGGATTCGGGAGGGAGAAGCCCATGGTTAGTTCATGATTCAGAGGATTACTGATGGGGATCACAAAATCGCATAGCTTTCCAACAATCATGTTGGGTTTGCAGGGCTTAATTGTAGGCACCAACAAAGGAGCTGAGCTGATGATCTTGAACTTCACAGAATGAGCTAAAATTATAAAAGTTTTGATATACTTCTACTGCTACAAGCTAATCTTCGAAACATTGTGATAAAAAACGATGTAAACCATCCCTAACTCTCAAATACATTTTACAGAGTTTTACAAGGACTCAATGACGAACTGTGTCAGAACGTACCAGAAAAGTCGTTTTTCGTTAAAACATGCTGGCACGCTTTACATCGCCAAGTCCGTTTGCAAGAGAGCGGGCGATTCTTCGGTAGCAGATTAAATTTACTCTGTGGTTGATCCCCCGGGAAACGCAATTGTTGCTGCATGCTCAAGCGATTTTCTCCTGTTTTTACATTCCCAATGTCCAACAGATCGTTCTCTGACATTTCCGAGCAGGATTCCATAAACTTCATTTCTGGTGCTTTCTGTTTGAGGACATCCAAATCGGGGACAACGCCAGTCACGCCGCTAATGCGTTTCTGAGCCACCGACACCAGTCGATACTTATCCGCCGATAGCGAATTATAGCCCAATCGCCGTCGTCCGGGCTTCTCCTTGGTCTTCGTAACGCCCGAATCTCTCTCGGATATGCTCAGTGCACTGTAGTAGTTGGACAGCGACACCACACTTTCCGCGGGATCAACATGACCTTCCTGGACGAATTTCCAGGGAGCGGAAATTGACGGCGGTCGAATGGCGTCGGGAATGCCGGCGCCCCGGCTGTTCCAGCGACAGCACTGACACACCAGATGGTATCGTCTGTAATACATAAGTATGCAAATTTGTCACGATTACCAGAGACTATCGATTAAACGATTAAACCGGTTTTTCAACACAACTGGCCTATGCTGATGGCAAGTTTTATTTTGCTAATTAACAGTAATTATAATTTTTGTTAGTATTGTTATCCTCATTATTATTTCATGTTTATTTTGCTAGCTTTTAACAAATTTTCAACTTTCACTCCGTTACAAACAATCCAGTTTTCAATTTTTGTTGTAACGTTGTTCGTAAAATCTTCATAAAGAGAATTTATGATTACCGTCCAAGATTAATGATTACCGTCCAAGATTAAACCAAAATCAACAAATTTAAAAAATCATATTTCTATTGCAACGAAGACAAAAATTATTAATGGCTGCAATGCAGTCAAAAATACCACGCTACTATGCGTGGCGATAATCCTAATTTAAATTTTCGCAAGCTCACTTTTCCGACGCTGTTGACTGAGCGCCATCAGTTTTCGCTGGAGAAGTGGACGGTGCTGTTGTAGCACGGATAACCAGAGTCTGCGAACACAATGGGCATTCGAAACACTGCGGACATCTAAAACATACAGAGACAACTTTGGAACTAGAAGTCTTGGAAGTCACGGAATCGCCTCTCTTTCCTCCGCTAACAAAAAATACATACCCCATTTCTCGGTCGCTGTTTTCGGAGCTGGTGAAAGTTTCCGTACAACTTGTACAGCGTTTTATTTCAATCTCACAGGTCATATTACTGTAATCGCACAGATGCTTGCAGAAGCGACAGAAATACAGCCACTGTAAAGATCCATGCTGATTTCCATCGGAATAGATAACTTGTCCACTGTTTTGCAGATACTGTGGCAGCAAGTGGTTCTCGATAGGAAGTGACATTCCCGTTAGCGTGATATGCGATTTCCGCGTTCCTCGCGTCACAATCGCAGGGAAGCGTTGGCAGAGTCTCCAAGAATATAAACCAAGAAAAAACTTCCTACACACTTGTTATTTCTGTTGTAAACTCAGTAAAACAAAAAGTCATACAGCTTTCGACTTTTTCGACTGTGAGGTTTGGGGAGACTGGGAGAGGGATGCAGTGGATGTTAGTCAGCTAAAACTGATTAACGTAACTGTAAGACGTGGAGTTGACTATTGCAACAAGTGCGATTCTCCCCAGTGTCAACAATCTGCCAACATCTGTTACATTACAGTAATGTTTGGGAATTCTGCTTCTGTGTGTCCCTTTACAAATTAATAAGATTTTGAAGTCTGCAACATTACTGGTTGTTCTTTTTCTTCCTTAAGTATTCCCCCGGATTAACCACATTCTGGTGCCATTTTGCATGCAGGTTATCTGATAACAGGTTAGTTCTCAGAAGGCAGTGTTAGTGGAATGCACCCTATGTATGCATGGCATGGTACATACAGTTATTTTCACGGGTTCGTTGTGTTAGCTTCGTGGTCGCCCTTTAGCTTGTAGTGCCTTGTGAGGAACCACAGTGCAGTGTTTTCATCCTTTCCTAGACCACAACAATGGGGGGTGGCATGCCAAAAGTGCCGGATTACCGGATTTACAAATGGGAGCGAGTGCCAGAACTGGTGGAGCTAAATAATAAATTGGCTAAACATGGACTAAAAGACCCCTGGATCAGGTACGCTTTTGACAATGATTTTTTTAAAGTTAAAGATTCAGCCTCTGGTTACAATGAAAAGCGCTGCATGTTTGATTAAGCATGAAATTTCAGTAACGTAGCGATTTTCATCTTTTTTGTACCTTTGTGCGTTTCCGGTGTTTAAACTGTGTCGAAGAAATGATTGCATTGAATATTTTTATAATATAATTTATGTTAAGAATTGGTATTTCACCGAGTATAATCCATTTTCACTTCTTTGGCAAGTCGCAGACAGCATGATTTCGAAACGAAGAAAGCCATGCCATTAGGCTAAATAAGCTAGAATATGTTGGGAATCATTGTACTGGTTTTGTTTGAAATTTTCCGACAGTACTGACACTAATCATGGTTCAAAACTGTATTCGGTGATTGTTTGCATTGTATCAGTTATACTTACCTATACTGGATATTTTCTCTTTATGTATCCTAATATAATTGATGATGACACGGTAATAATTTGTGAAATTCTTTTGTTAATGGAATCATGGTGTAAGTTATGAAGGTGATAATGACCTGGTAAATTAGTGTCCGCCATAATGCTAATTTTGAAAATGGTGTGCGTTGAAATGATTAGCCGGAATATTCCTAGAAACGAAGTTTGGCGCTGGCATCCGGCGTGGGGAACGGCAAAAGGTCGAACATGGGGTCTTTTGACAAGAGGCTTGCTTACTGGCTTTATCTTGGCGGCGGTCAGTTATGGCGCGCGACGATGGTACGTTAGCGCCCATCCAGATGCTGAACACTGGGTGGATCCCCTTGTCCCGCCGCGTCATCACGATGACCACGGACATGGTCACGGTGGACATGGACACGGTGGACACCATTAACCCGTGAGTGGGGTGGACTGTGTGTATTTTACTAACTTTGCATTGGCATATTTCTGTAATATTTTCGAAATCGCGCATGGCCATTTTTTTCGTCGATCGCACTTTGATTTTGAATCATATTCGGTGTGCTGTGTACGGATATTTGTGTTCCCGCGGGATTGCTTTGACCGGAACTTCGTGTACAGAGCCAACAGATGAGCCATTTGCTTTCAATTAAAAAGATGCAAAGTTTCACGTTTATCTTGCCGAAATTGTTAATCACGCAAGGCATAATTTTGCTCAATTTGTAGGCACAGTTGACTGCTGATTACAGAAACAAATAAACACAAATAAAAACAATATTCCAACATTAAGCCAAGCATTAGCATACTTTTTACATTTTACATCATCGGATCAGCAGCAGCTATGCTGTCAAGAGGAAATTCGCAAACAATTTGGCACAGTAAGAGATTACGGCACGTGTAGTAAAAAACGTGGAGATTACTGTACTTTGGAGAAAATAAGAGAACGGGACCCAAGTCACCCAACCATTCTAAATTTATCGTATTGCACAAAGCGTATCATCCGACTGTTTCACCAATCCACCGATACCGATGATGTGTCGTCCAGAGGGAGCAATGCGTCATAGCCTCAGTAATGCCGACGGCTCAAAGTTTTAGCGCCTCCTTTTCCTTGAAAGCAATGGCACCACTCAACTCCAGAAATTTCCAAATCGCTGTTCTTATCGCAAAACTCTAAAAGCGGATTTATACAGCGCTCATATTTGTCCGCTTCCAGGTCAAACAATTCTCGCAGGCTCAAGCTGTTGTCCTGCAACACGTACGCGTGAATAGCGTTCCTTAAACTGCCGGACTTAACTTCGTTGACCCTTAAAAATCATTTAACACTACAACAATATCTGGCACCTTTTTACCTATAAAGAATAAATATGCTCTAGCATTTCAATCCTGGCTTATACGAAAATTGTCAACAGATGATGAGCAAAAATATCACTACAGATGTACCAGCAAGGTTGCAGCTACAAACTGCTATACTTGCGGCTACCTAAGTTTCTCCCACATACCTACTTCTGTTCTATCGCAATTAAAACCAACAACGCCAAACACATGCGTACCTTATTATCATCGAAATAAAGAAAAATCCAGCTCAGAACGGCATGATGCGGTCCATTTTGACAAACTGGATTTTGTACGAAATCTTCAGGGCTTCCTACAAAGGTAACTGGCTTTAATAAACCGCTGCATAATTAGATCACATCATTGTTTGACTGCCGTTTGAAGGATTGCATCTCCAAACCTTCTTCGACTTTTTGCCGGAACACTGTATAAAACCACTCGTTTAATCGAAAACGCAGTTCCTTCATTTCTTTTTTGGAGCAGACGCTGCTGGACAACTTTGTCTTAGCTGGTTTATGAACGTTGATATCGTTTTCTCGTCCACCACTGGGATCATCCAACCAACCCTCGTTCCTCATCTCCGTCTTTTTCAGCGGCTCGGGTGCCGGCATAGTAACGTGACCGACGGCATCATTGAAATCTGGAACGAACAGACGATACACACTGCCAGGATATAAAGAAAATAAATCCAATGTTTATTTTACCTGTGGATTTGCATGGGCAACGTCCTTGACATACCACTTTAACGTCAGTCTTGTCCACACAATTCTTATACTGTAGCCGACACTCGGATGAGTACGTAACGTTAAGCCTCGCGAGGTGGAGTTGCTGTATCGCAACGAGATTCGCTTCGAATTCGGGACAAGGCCTTAATTGAATTACAACGATTACAATTACATAACACAAAACACGGAAGAGTTCGCATAGCCAGCGTTGTTCCGCGGCAAATGCAATGGAAATGCCGAATACTGTATTTAACAATAAATTATATGAGTAACATGCAATAATTCTTGTCTAGCAAATAATTCGCATAACTTACTTTGAGCAATTTCGTCGTGGTGATAAATGGAGATGGCCGAACGTTTTGCATAATCCACAGCATCCTGTCCAAACACCGAGTTTGCAGAAATATAAATATTTTGTTATGCACTGATGCATACCGAAAAACGTCGCATTCTCATCGAATGAATCATGCGATCCATGATGCAGATGTAACAATGTAACATGAAATTGACATTTTCTCCAAATATCTGCTATTATTATGGCGAGCTTTGGAAGTTTTTTATCAGTCTAAACGTCTTCAAGTTTTATCATACCATTCATATGAATCAGATTTTAAACTAGCCATCAGCATATGGCCAACATAAGAACAGTCTACACTCTACAGATAAGCACATACGTCGAACTTTGACCAGCGTACCTTGTTGCCAACACCTTTATCTTTGTCGCGCGCTTCCGTCAGTCCCAGTCCCACCAACAAGATTGCGAAGATTCGCATTTTCAACAACCAAAAGGGAAAACAACCTATAAACGTTTGGAAGTGCAGCGGAGTTTTGGAAAACGAAAATGTGACAAGAAAACCGGAAAAATGCTGTCTGGATCAAGGTGAGCTCTCTCTCGTATAAATCACTGCAAGCAGCTAGACTCTTACCTTCAGCAGATTCCACAAGGTAAAACAATGAAACTAAAATAATTTTGTATCTTCATATGTTTTGCTAATTAAACAACGCTCGAGAGGAACATCGGATCTCAGATTCGAAGTGAGATCACAAATCTGCTGCAGCTTTCGAACTTTATGACAGCACCACTTGTTGAGCTGCCCATTTGTAAACCAGACTGGACAAACATGCTGTGGTGTCGCAGCGTGTACACACTCGCAGCTCGCAAGTGCAATACGATGCTCGTATAGAAGTGTGCTTCGTAGACGAGTACTTAGTACCACCGTGGTAGTACAGTGGCTGAGCTGTATTGTGTCACTATAAATCACCCTACCGTTTTAAATTAATGGTAAGTATAGAACTGTTAACATTTACCTACTTTCTTAATTCTTATACGCATTATTGAAATCATCGTTTAAAAAAGTTCATTACAAAATTGAGGATCTTTTGTCTAACAATAGGTATTAAATTACAGTATTGTACTATATAGCGATTTAAGCAAAAATGTGTATTTCATTATACCACGATTTAATATGCTGTGTTTGCCGGTTATAATACGTAAGCTGCACACACTTATTCGTATTGGCGATATTGATGACAAGTTTTAACCAAACTATTAAGTTTTTTTCTGTAATTTGAATTTTACGATTCGTTCTTACGTTGATCAATCATTACATACTAGTATTAATTCCGATTACGTACTAGTGTTAATTTTGTTTTTTCAGGTTTTATATCAATTTATTATTGCGCTTGTACAGCAGATTACCCACAGTTATTCCGCCCCTGCTCTTCATTAAACTAGACTGCATGAACGGTTTAAAAGAAGAAATTAATTAGAATAGGTACCGATTGTACTGCTTTGATGGCTTATGTATTTACACATTTACAATTAAAACATACCATTAGCTTAATTTTAACGATAAGTATTGCACGCACAGTGACGCACTTGTATTAATGGTCGTGCAATACATAGACTGGCTTCTTACATCGGTATGCGTTCCTGCATGCGCTAGGGTAGGTCAGCATCATAAAGTGGCCCTGTGGAAATGATTCAACAGGGTTTGGCAAAAGAGAAAACGTAATTGTGATTACTTAGGGATGCGCATAAAATACAACGGCATTTTTCGGTGGAATAATTAAGTAGCATACCTTTGTGAACGGACAATGGTTTTCCAAGACGTTCGTTAAATTTTATTAAACTTTGTACAATTTTCACAGGTAATAAAATTTGATTCTTTCCATTTTCGCCAAATAGTACACTGCGGGACCGGGACATAAATTAGGAACTTATTTTTATAAATCAAAATACCCATCACGCTCGCTGTCCAAAATCGCAACTGTTGCAAAGGCTAATTCAACGTGCATATTTTTGCATTTTGTATTTTGCAGTGACAAGATCAGTTGAATTGCTATCCTTGAGGAAGGATGATCACGTCCAGTACAACGTTCTCTCTACACGTCCGTTTCAGCATTCTCCCGATCGGGAAGAAGCTGGGTTGAATTGCGAAAGAGAGGCTTTCTTATGCCGCAATTCTCTTCGTCGTTAATATCACAGTTATCTGCATCCCGATCACCGGTATCTGTCAGCTGCGTGATGTCTTCTTTAGCCGCATTGGCTTCCGCTTCTTCGGCTTCCGCTTTGGGTGCATCTTCGAATATAAACTGCATTTGCTCTTGATCGGTATCTCCTGCAATAACAAGTGTAATTAAGCGATTAAGTCGCACCATTATAACTTCTGCTGCATGATAAATACGATAATTAAAGAACATGTGCTGTGCATATAAAATTAGTGAACTTAACTAACGGTAAATAGAATAGCTACAGTACAGATATATAGGAAAAATACACGGCAAAAAGTGTGCACCATGACAGACTGCATCTTAATACTTTGTATGTATGATATAAATGATGCAATAATATTACTGATATTCAATGATAAAAAAATTATCTTAGGTTTTATTCAATTTTCATATAAAACATTAATAATTTTTAAAGTAGTAGTGACGATACGTACCGATAAACGATTAACTAAATGCAAGAAATCTTAGCTTTGCTGCTTGTCTTACTGCACCGTTTTTCTCTGTAGTTTTTTCGAATTAACATGCTAAATTTAAATTGTCCGGTATGCCGGCAAAGACTATTTTTATCCCGCATCGAGTGGTGTCGTGGCAATCCGCCCACAGTTGTAACTCATAGCGACAGGATGTAATCAAAGTACACTATTTACGCAATTCATTATGCAAAACTCGTGTTGACTCAAAATGTTTTGTCCCCCTTAAAAAACGGTAATTTCACTCTAAAAGGCGAGCGCGCGGCGGCGGCACCGTCAACATTTGTATCCCCCTGCTGTCACTGGTAAAATGAAAAGACATCCGGGATGTAGGAGTCCATATATCGGGAATACTGGACCGCCTCCATTCGGTTACAATGGCTACCGGCTAATGCGATGGCAGTGGCGTATGTGCCGTGTGTATGTGTATGAACGTTGCATGCCGATGGCTAAGTTGTTGACTCTTTAGAATAACGACAGTTAATTCAATCCCTGTAATGATGGCTACGGAGCCGACATGAGCGAAAACCCAGGGAGAAGGAAAAACAAACGTCATCCGTCATTCTTGGTCACGGTTCTGTGCCCGCGCGCGCATGGCACTAACACAGTCGGAGCAGCAAATGGCAGTAATATCACATTAAATCGGCTGCGTTTACTGCACTATGCATGCGGCATAAGTTGCCCACATTTGCCCGTGTCGGAATACTTGCACTAGGGGTAGTCCATGTTCTCCGCGACAGCATTTCGGAATGGAGAAAAATTCTGACATGCGTGGACATTTCAGTAAAATTTGCTGCCGACTAATGAACCGCGATGATGGTATTATTTTAGGGTTAAAACAACATTAAACTTCCGGCGTGCTTTCCTGTGTGCCCAAGGATTTTGTTCGGTGAACGTTAACTGATCCTGTGTATGTATCTACTCCGCACTATGTATGCGTAAACATCATGTCACATCGTCTTATGGGATTATTAACATATTTTAACCAATCCCCTGATCCGCCTCATTAGGAGCCGGCAAAAATCACATTTGCACATACTTGTCATTACGCTCATCACGTAAATCACGCGTCGCTGGCATACATTATACCGCAGTGAAGTTATGCATAAAATGGTTCATGTTCCGTTAATATTAATCTTTCAACTGCAATCATAGCCTAATCCATAAAATTCGGGTAATGCTGTCGATATACGCATCCTCCCCGCATTACGTTACTGTTTTGTCAACACACATTTTACATAGTCAAGAATGTCAACCAAAAATAAAAGTATGAATGCACGAGCGTACACAGTAGGCAATTGTTGTTTTCCGCATTCTGATTCATTCGATGCAAAAACTCGTTAGCAATTTATAGGATGACGTTATCACACGTAAAGCTGTCTTCGTCAGTTACTGCCGTGTTAGCCTACGCTTCGGTAAAAGGGACTATTTATATACTGATCTACGTCGTTGCTTTTGTACAATCCGTAAATGCCAGTTTCTACGATATAAAACTGCTAAATTTACTGATATCCGCAGGCTTACTGTGATAGAAATAGTTGAAATTGGAAACAATAACGGGAACAGGCAGCGCAATGGTAAGGACACCGCTGATAGCGCAAAGAGATCCGACAATTTTCCCAAAAAATCCAACTGGTCGCATATCACCGTAGCCGACAGTTGTCATTGTCACCACTGAAAGGAAAACAGTTTAAAACGCTTGAGTCATTACGTATTTAGGTAATTAAATTAAAGTAACATTTTAAACTATGCGCAAAAGAAATAAGGATATGTCATTGTATGTATAAATTTATAAGAGTAAAGCAGCCTATGTAGTATAACTCAAAACTTTATATGCAATTGTAAATTATATTTACACCTAGAAATAATTTACTAACAGCGTAATTGTATAAATGTGCAAGCAGCAAAGTGCCAGATGAAGGTCACATCGCTTCCGATTACATTGCCCATAATGATTTTCTATTTTGTAGTCGTAAATATCCAGTAACCTTTACAGAATGATTCGCTAACCGGAAAGTGCCGTGCTGACAATGAACAGTACAAACTCACCTGCCCACCAAAACGCATCCGGAATGCTTTTGAAGTCAGATTCTTTATTATCCGCTTCGGCAAAATACACCGCACTGCTGAACAGCACAACACCAATAAGCAAGAAAAATATGAGCAATCCCAGTTCGCGCATAGATGCGCGTAATGTGCGGCCCAGGATCTGCAATCCCTTTGAATGGCGCGACAATTTAAATATCCGAAATACTCTAACAAGGCGAATAACTCGCAGTATTGCCAGCGACATGGCTTGATTTTGTTGTTTTTGTTCGGTTTGACCTTCCGCCGCTAGAGTTGTCCCCAGTGTAACGAAATACGGGATGATGGCCATCTATGAACAATAACACACTTGGTGACGTCATTGGTAACAATCAGGACTATAATCGTATTTGACTGCGCTACATGCATGTTGACACAATCGAGTTTTTCTGCCAAAAAAACGCCGTGCGTGAGCCTGCCAGCTGAACTATAGCTCGAAATTTTTAGTCCAAATAACTAGTACAACGCAAACCCGCATTATCCAAGTTAAGCGCATTAAAGGGATTGTTTGACACACAAAATTTTTTCTGGCTGCACTCAATAATGATCGATATATAATAAACTTAAACGTAAACCCATGCAACCAAAATGGGAACACAATATTCATAATAGATAAACGCAAGAAAACTTGCAGAAATGCACCTTAACACTTTTCCGGTAAAATTCGAGCGAATCAAAAATTTAGGAACAATAAATCTGTAACCTCATAAAGGAATTTTTATGCTTGCGCTGCACTGGACACCGGGATCCATTTACGAATCAGACTGAGACATCTAACAATTAAGAAACACAGAGCGTTTCAGTGTTACTCAAAATTAAATGCGAGTGCAATACTATTATATTATTTCAAAGAAAGCCGAAAATATTTTATAGTACGCATATGGTAATTGGTTAAAAATAGTAAATTCAATATTACACATGGCTAAAGGGATCGCACCGTGAGCACATGACCCAGCGGAAATTTGTTAAGCGTTGACCTTTAATAGTCGTGGCACATTCTTAGCATATTTGCTATCTTTACAAGAAGGCAGATTACATTACGCACTTCCCTAGCCACGGCAACATTTGCACAGGCGAACAAATTGCTGGCGTTTAAAGGAAAACAGACGGTTCGGTTGAGGGATATTTTTTGAAGACTCAGCCCAGGCCACGCAGCAGCAGTCGAACGCGCGCGCGCCACTGCTACATCAACCTTTATCTTATGCCTAATTATAACCGTTTCTGTACGTTCTAACAAGACATCTGCGATGGGCCGCGCTAGAGAAGAGCGGCTCTTAGAGTTTTAGCTGCCAAAGTGCGTGAGAGCGTCGGGGCTTCTCTCTTGATTTAAATTTCAAATTACCTACCAGATCGATAATGTTCATGACGGTGAGGAAAAATACCCTCTTCTGTGGGCAGGATGCAAATCGGACTAAAAGCTCGAAACAAAACCAGATAACACCTGCAAATGATAATACCGGATGCTAGAATTAAGCGTCATAAACATGGCAATGACAATGCATTATATGTGATTTTCTAGCAGTAAATAAATCAATACACTGCGTATAATTGCTAAATAAATTAATAAACAGCCTATATATAATCGATGTATAATAATCAATAACTACTCTGCACAGTTTTCCTTACAGGCAGTTTCTATCACAAAAAACGGCTCGGAAAAATTTGCAATCTGGTCTTCCTCAATTTTTGTTCCATTGGGCCCTTCGGTTATGCGGTAATGTTTAAATTGAGGAAGTGTCTCCAGACAGAAGGTGATAATCGAGAGCATTATGACAATAACGCTTATCGATGCGATGGCCTTGGCCCATTTGGAACTTTCTGGTACTTCAAAGAGAAGCCAAATCTTCTTTTGTAATTCATTGGAGGGCAGTATGCGCTCTTCCTCTTTAACGAATCCTTCATCCTCACGGAATTTATTTAGAGCCTGTAGATCGATAAAAGTAAGGACAGGTAAGCATAGAGCATGATGCACACACCAGATATACACAAGTTGTTGCTGTGCATGGAAATATACGCCGTATGCCGGCGTAGTGCACTAAGCAGCCGGAAGTGTCAAGTGCTCAGCTCAAACACAGCACCATCTGCGTGCGCTCCCTGAGCCCCTTCACTCGATCTGACTTACCTCATCACCCAGATCGAAAAATTTGAGTTCTTCAGCAAATACATCTAAGGGAACGTTGACGGGACGGCGTAGGCGACCTCCGCTTTGGTAATAATACAATATGGCTGCAAATACAGTTTCAATTACACAAGACAGCCGTACACAGCGTCTCACACACACATGCGTATGCACCGCATAAACATTGCGGCGACATTAGAGATCGCTATTTGCATTATTCAGCCAATTTCTTGCACGCATTAATTTTACGTTTGCCAACAAAACTACGTCACTGGCAAAGAAATCATTTTGTTATATATCGATTCGGCCGTAATCTTCCTTATATGTCCAATGTGTACGACAACGATTTTAATGAATATCTAACTCGCAAAGAAATCAAGTGAATGAACTATATGATTATATCAGTTCACTTTTACCAGAAGCTAAGGTTTCCTTATGGCTCATGTATCGATAGCTTTATACATACTCCTTTCAGTTTTCCGTAAAATACTATTCTAATATCAAGAAAATTAACGGATTTATCTGCAATAAGCTTGGCCAGCTCATTTTTGTTTTTTTAACTGAGGTGACTATGCCGCCTACGTACGCTATATACTACTGTAACGATGGGGATGGTAAAAACCAACCCTGTAAAGCACTTGTAATCCCTCTGTACATGTAACCATACAGCGCCATCAAAAGGAAAACGAAGAAACATGCCACTCACAATTCGGCTGAATTCTCGTTCAATAATTTAATCAATCGAAACAGATTGAAGTATTGTGGCGCGTGTTATGAAAAATGCTTATCCTACATGGGATCTTGGGGCTCTTGTGAATACCGCCACCGACGTCACTGGGAACATGTCGACACAGTGCGCATGCTGGTGCAAAATTTTTAAGTTGCATGGCAGTTTTATGCATACAGATAGATACGAGTGCATGTGCCAAACGCTTAATTGACATATAATTGACTGCAAGAATTATTGTAAATGCATGCTTATGGCTAATAATAAATTTACTATCACTTAATTGATCATATAAATGGTTAGCGATGCTATGCTAAATAGTAAGCAGTGTGCATTGTGCAGGCGAATTTAGACTGCAAATGAGCGAATAAAGAAACCTTGTCGGCAAACTGAAAATGTGACAGACTGTGTCCATAATAAACCTTTCAGCCCGGTCACCGAACAAACAGATTTAATTTGGGTTTTTTCTGTTTGCTGATTCGTATTCGTGCCTTGTTGGGAGATAATCATTTTAATTCCATATCATACGCTTAACTAAATGTTGCGCTTGGCTGACCGATCTGGAAACGTCTGCGGACGGGCATTGTATTTGTAATCAATAGTCTTCATTGAACAATTCCCTGGTTTTCGATCGGTTTGCTCCCTTCTATGAAACTGGATTCATACCGCCTCAAGTGATTGTCTAGTATGACCCTTACAAGACCAATCATTTACATCCCTGGTAAAAAAATAACACAAAAAATAAAAATGAATATGTAAATTGTAAGACAATAAGCAGTGCATATATATTGTACACTGGTCGGCGTAATGCAGCTCAGTCATGCAGCGTAATATTTAAATGATGAGCACGTTGTAAACGTTTATCGAAATTTTATATTCGCTTCTATTGATATTTGGTTGGAATTCAAACGGCAATAAATAACGCATGGACAGGAAGCTATTGGCCCGATAATGGTTTTATGAAGTTACGCACTGTTTATCCCGTAGAAATTCGTCTTAATAATAGAGTATACGATCCCCTTGCGTGCACCAATTAATCATTTAGCAGAGTTTGTGTTGACTGTGAGCTGATCATAAAAATACTGGCATATATCCTCGATCCTGTCGCTGCCGTCGTCAGCTGACAGCCATATATAACTTACGGTATTTAAACTCGAATTATTTTTTTGAAACCATACTGGATTTTTCTAAAAAAAAGCATTACGACATTTTCCTTACCGTCAAAGCAATTCCGGTTGCGGTCAAAGAAGTACTCATTCCGCAGTGGATCGAAGTAGCGCATGCGCTTCAAAGGATTCCCAAGGAGTGTATCGGGATATTTGCTGAGCGTTTTTAATTGAGTTTCAAATTTCAATCCACTGACATTCACCACAATCCGCTGGTCGGGCGTGGTGGTGCAGGTGGCATTGGCAAAGTAGCGCCCGGTCTCCAGATCCAGACCCGCGGTATTGACAGCATTAACACTGTCCCCGAAGAGATCCTGCGGTGAATTGTCGGCGGCATTGGCCGCTTTATGGGCCGCCGCGGCGGAGTTGAATCTGGAAGAAGCTTGCAATAGAGCGGCTGGTGCCATACGGGCTAAATAGCGACTGGTCATCGGGCCCAGACCACCGGGCGGTCCGAAGCCCGGACCGCCGGCGCCCTCCAGACCGGCCATGGCCACCTCCATCTTGTTATCATCAGAGCAACTGCTAGCGGAGCGTCCAGTAAAGTCAAAATATAAATCCGCACCACCACTCTCCCCACTGCCGCGCGGACAGTGTGAGACGGAGCGCGATAACACTTGCTTGTTGGCCGCGCCCGCAGTCAAGCCCCGGGCCTCAGCCGCGGCTGAACCGGATGCTCGTAGTACGGCGGTACTGCCGGATAAGGATGTCGTGGAGACGCTGCCGGTCTGCCCAACTGGACTTAGACACTCTCGGCTAATGTGGACTGACAGTGAGCCACTCGGCTCATTGGATAAACCACTGATGGCAATACAATTTCCAGTTGGACTTAATTTATTCTCACTGGAGCGGGATACTGTGTTCGACTGCTGCAGCACTGGTAAGAAGCTGCTGTTGTGTCCGCTGTTGGCTGAGGCAGTTGTTGAATGATTATGCCGATCTCTGGCGGTATTCGCGTGACTACCCGTTACACGTACACTCTGCGCCCTTTTGAACGATCTTTGCTGATTGGGACGAAACGCTGGGGTCACATGCGAAACGGGGCTTAACCCCCAGCGTTCAATAAATTCTAGTTTCGACGTTGTGCTGCTGGCTGGTGAACGTGATCAGCTGCAGGGCCGGCACAAACGGCGCCCTGCATGTATATACGGCCTGAATGCCGTGCGCACACCGCGCGGACACACAGCGCCCAGGAAAACCGCTGATTTCAGCAGGCAACAAATGAATATAACCCGCGATGTACGCTATAATCGCGTACGGATTACACACACACCATGTAGCAGAGAGATCCCTGTCCCTAACCGGCACACGGCGCATAAGGACGAACCCGAGTTGCCACACACACATACACACGATGCGGAGTGTACTGCAAACTAAACAACAGCCGACATGTATCCGTGTATTCCTGGCTGCATATGCCGGATGTACAATATGATATCCTATACAGCATCACACAGACGTCGTAACACCATAACCGAATCCCACCGCAACATTTTCTCCACCATCAAGACCGCTTCATGACGCTGCATGTACAAGTGCCGGCAATCTTGACAGTTATGGATTGTGCGCGCAATATGGCAAATAACATAGGTACCCCGGTATTATTATATATGCGTTTCCTAACCGGATCTCTGCCCGGCCCCCGACGACGTCGGCAGAATGGGAGCGAGAGATAGCCGTGGCAGAGGAATGACACACTTCGCACCACGTAGCGGCGAGAACTAATCTTTCCTCCAGAAATTCAGCAGAAGAACGTCGGCGTATACAGGCCGCACACGCACACACCGTTAATGCCGTTCCGAATTGGAGTATGATTATGGGAACGGTTGCAATCGCTGCTGCCTTAACATTTACCACTTGTCAATATGTCGTTAAGCTGGACATCCGCACATATGGGCCCAATGTAACGCGCATTAAGCAAATCGGCATATAATTTTCAAGTATGCTCCGCGCGTTTGCGCGCGCGATCTGCATATATCGTCGCGACAAGGGATTATTAGTATCCAAACATTTTAAGCCCCGTCACACGGCAGCTATTTTTATATATGATGTAAAATAGTCAGCCCGCCAAACATAGAATCGGTTGCGGGAAGCATCAACGCGAACTTAGTCACTTGCACGCTTCAGCGCAGCAGAAGTCATCCAGATCAACCATAAAATCATAAATTTCCAGCCAATTGATACAAGTATAAAACAATCACTGCATATATAATCCCCTGGAACACATATTGCCCGCTAGCGGAAGCACACTTATCCTGATTGATCATACGTATGTATCAGTTACAAAAATACGTATCGGTTATCGCCGCAAAATGTGAGCAATATATAACGACAGTGACGAAAATGCAATCACAGCCGACAAGATGATTGTGGAGAGAAAAAAACATTCCTTGTCGGAACAACGATATATACGAAGTATCGATATAATCCGGTGTCTGTGTGTAAATCGGTTTGTAAATAAAAGCCACTACGAGGCAGCTGCCGCAGCCACACAAGACCAGAATAATGATGCTATCTTGACAAACTGATTGCGGTGCTTCAGTCCCCCCAGTAACGTCAGCATATGCCAGACTGAAAACTGGATAATCTCAGCAAGGAACCAGTCATTAGCGGGAAGAGTTGTATGGGATTGTTCGATCATTCATGATCACTGCTTTAAGTTATACGCTAACGGCATAACAGTCGGCACACATCGCAACTGTGCCGGTGTATACACCGCTCACACACACAAAAGTGACACACACTCTCACAGTCTGACTCGGTACACAATACTGCACACAAGAGGATGCAGATGTATGTACACTCTGTGTACATGAAGCAGCATTATTTCCAGGCGGCAAATGTTGTCTCGTGCATTTAGAGACCGAGCCCAGGAGTGGGTTCGTTTTGTGTACCATGCACTAGAAATACATGCCGAAATGTGCTGAGAAGCGGAAAGGGACTCTTCGAGTAAAATTTGTGAGAGCCGCTCTATGCTTAAGCAGTATACGTATGTGTGTGATGTGTCTGTATGTACGTCCGAATGCAATGTTTCTCAAAGTTGACGTTTTGAAGTAATCGGCCAACTGCTAAGTCGGTATTACAAGCAATATTATAATTGGAAGCCCGCCGGATAACGTCATCCGTTTCCCGGCATCCATATTTCAAGCTCCAACTCCTTGCGCTGTCGACTCGATATGCAGTGATGCACCGGACCGAACGTGTTAACAGTTGACGTACAGAAAACATAATTACATAGCCTGTTGGGTTATGTGTACTCGCTTTCTCCCCGCTTAACGAGCTTTGTCATGCTGTGGCGGCCATGCCGATTTCCTCCCGTTATTTTTCTCCTCAACAAGCTGTCGTGCTCATATATGCGCTTTCTGTCCCAAATCACGGCAAATGTATCTAATTCACGACGCGCACGCCCTCGTGCTCCTGTGCGCGGCATTCGTCCCGTACGGTTGCCGGTTCACCAGTATATATGAAGAGCGCGCGCACATCCTCCTTCTAAATGTAGTGACAGGAGGAACTGATAGCCCGTGTACAAGGAGGAGATTCGGGTAACATGCAACTTGTGTTTGTGCTCGCGTCAATAGGAATACTATATCGACGACTTTTGATACAATTCGGTTTCATGTTACCATGGCCATTGCCGCGGCATGTGCAGCCCATTGGGATGGAGTTCACTCAAAGAAATCCCTGGAGGGTCACCTTATTTACTAGTCACACTGTGTATCAGTTCGGCTCGGTCTGGCGTTGGCAGCTTCATACCCCGCAAGTGGCTTTGTATACATACATCCATGAAATCTATTTGAGATATGTTTACGCCTTCATTGGGGCTCGGGATTCATTTCTTACAGTTTAGTAATAAGCAATAGCTGCATTATGCCATAAATTCCCACAACGTTCTCCAGCATTACATAAGCGAATACTACGAGTATTATATCAAGGACCGTTGAGCAGCATAATTAATGATAGCATTAACACTGCGCAAACAAAACTGAACTCATAATTACTGAAATCAATGCCTGTAATGTACATTATTACGGAAGCAAAAACCAAGAAATTATACCCTCCACAACAATAGTCAAACGCTAACTGCAGTTTGCAAAATCAAAACAACTGACTTTTATTTACGGAGCCAGTTGTAAATCTTGAAAATTATAATTATTTATAAATTAAAATAATCGTGTATCTATCACACAAGAATCTAAAACTTTTATTCTCTTTGGTGTCCAGTAAATTTTAAATTAAAAATCGTAGAAAATAAATATCAAATGCGGTACGTTGTTAAGTTATTGCGCGAGTAAAATATTGAATGCTCGTAGGCTGTAGACTACAGAGCTAGAGTAGTTCTGTTTAATATGCATGTGCGATACCAAATGTTTTCTGGTTCAGCCAACGTATTTACTTTAATGAATGAAGTTTACCGTATCCAACATGGAAAAACGCTTTCAGTTTTTAACCTGGTCTTGTGTCAAGGCACATAAAAAACTTCTGCGAAATGTACAAATATCAGTGTTGCCTCTGCAGCTGCTCTTGCAAGAAAATATGCAACAAAATTCGACGTATATTTATTTTATCGAAAACAGTTTTGTACCTCTGTTGAACATACAGCTGCTGTAGAGTTGCTGTAACAGTAACGCCTTACAACTGCTAGAGAGTAGAGAGATAACAATTAAATTAAACCGGAATAGTTGTTTCCACGTGCACGGAATCAAATGTCTTTAATTTTCCAGCAAAGCTATAATTGCCGGATGCAATAATGGATAATACAGGTATGTATTATATAGATATATGCTACTACATCCACGTCGTGTATCTGCAGTCTGCAGGAAGATGATTGTGCTATGCATTTAAATCAGTAAGTTTATTCATACATCATATTGTATAATATTCAGTCATTAGCAGACAAATTGCAAAATAGCTGTACTGATTTCGTTTGATTCTTAACATAATGTGTTCTTTTCTTTGTAAACTTTAACCTACCGGCTTGTATTTTTTTACAAGACGTACCTGCGACAGCGGTCTGAAATTATAACGATTATCACCGACGAGCATTCAGGCGGCGTTTGCTATACTATAAGCAATGTTTTGTACTGTATATGATTTTTTTACATATTTTTATATAGATATGTATATATTCGGGCAACGTAGTACTTTTTATACTAGCGGTTCATACAAAACATCTTTAGCCTTAAAAAGGTCGGCTGAAAGCCACAAACTTCTGCAGGCAAACATAAAAAAATAAAAAGTATCGAAAATTGACTGTAAATAAATCAAAATGTTGCAGACGTTTGCCGTATGTAACCGAAGAGTAAAAACGCAATTTCAGGCACTATAAGATAAAAACAAAATTTAAAACGTAACTTACATAATATAGTAATAATTATCGTCCTACATTGGCTGCATGGGAACCGTCTAATTATGTACAGACGTACGTATTGCATAGAAGGCATGTAGAGATCTCCAGTTCCAATAGCCGCCTCTAGCGATTACAGACGATTGTTGTTGCTCGTGTATACAATGTGAGCTCGTGACCTGGATGCGGCGTTTTTACTCCCGCCTTCCCGTATAACTTCCCGTTTCTGCCACCGTATCGTCTTACCAGTAAATCTTATAGCATTAGCTAATAATTTCTTCGATAGAAAAATTACTAAAGTTTAACATAACCGAGCTGGAAGTGAGGGATGAAAGCGCCACACTGTAAAACGCAAATAATCATAAATTCTAAATTAAATCGATTGCGTAGGCGTACAGAATACAGTGCAAGGCTTTAAATACCGTCTCTCGCGTACAGAAAAATGCAAAATTCTTGACACCTCTATTATTTTACTGCCGTAATCTCTGATATTAAAGATTTAGCGCTGGTAAAAGCCGAAACAGCACAAGAAACTAAGAGATGTATATGCGTATAAATGGTTAATTTTGCCGAACCGGAAAATGTATACACATGCTTATAGGTGCCATACATCCTAATATACAAATATATATATAGTATTCTGGAATGGTACCAGAGCAATACAACAAGTTACAGTATAACTCATAGAAAACTGTAAGTGTTTATTAAAAACATGAATCAAATCTCATGGATCTGTCCGCAAAACTAGAAATCGTTCGCGAAAATTGGTTTTATCGTTAACGCCACAACGAAAAAGTTCAACAATATAGATTGAAAAACTAAGTTTCTGCTAGACTTTCCATCGGATGATCGATTTGCACAAGGAATGAGAGACAAACAAAACAAAATTCCAGTTCAAAGAAATTTTTCTGATTATGCTGGCTGGATTTTAATTAACAATACGTAATCAGTGTACGCAGTTTAAGCGCTGCAGGAAGCCGACTGATAGAAATGTAGAAGCTGATCGATAAGCCGTATCATGATAGAAATGTTTTATGATGTGGAATTTTCTGAACTAATAAGTTTTAAGACACATTCTACCATGCTGTAAAGTATCCGTCTGTTCATGCAGTTTAATATGGTAGTTTTTTTGGATAAATACTTGCTACATGAAAAAAACCACAGGCATCACTCCGCTGACTACCGGCTGCAACCAAATCATTGATCACAATGAAAATTTTTATCTATAAAAATGTCTATTTGAAACATAACAACAACTCAGCTTTTAGATTCTTCGATACGAACACCTGGTTTAGGTGCGAACTGTTACATTCTATCCGCAGCTTTTGCAAGAGACAAAAGATCATCGCAAAACAATTGCAACCGTTTCACATTTACAGCTTCCAACAGCGTTTGTGATTTAGATATTTTTTCCCTATGCGTCATATTGTAAACAACACATCCCTGCTAAAGGTCAGAGAGCGACTGAAGACTAGTTGAATACATAAATATTTATGTTTCTTTGGCTTTCTTCAGCGAGAATGTCTGCCAACGGGGGCTGACAAACATATGTATACGATTAAGCTCCGCAATCTATTCATGTAGTAAACTACGGAACAATCGTACGAACAATACTACTCTCTCTAATTAAACGGTACCAGATATTTATCCTTCACAAGTTCTGCAATAACAAATTTTGTATTGCTCTTGCTTGTATTAGCAGAGAAAAAATAACGATACTGATAAGCGATAAGTATCGTTAGTGATGCTGTAAGTAAAAACTATGTAACTACGCCTTACCGTAGCTGTTCTAACCTTCGACGGAATGATACCGTGTATCCAAACATTTTAAAGGCATCAAAAATATGGTGATCGCCGGCAACAGCGCAACACGTTGTGTACACAATCGATATACAAGTATTGTTTTACACTGTCCACACTACTGCGACAAGCAACGCAGCTTACGACAGGTGACCCCTTAACTCCATGATCCCAGCGCACTGTAGATTTGTAGCGGCTATACTTGCTCTTCAATAATACACGCTGTAAGATTATGCGCTGGGTCTACTAAAATGCCCGTAGGATGTTCCAAAAAGACATCTGCAGTTCCGTCTCTTCCGTGACATATTCCAGTATAACGCGGTATTGGGGATGCGCAACCGATACTCAAAAAGTGCTGATCATGCACTAGTGAACTGTTACTGATAAAGTGTACTTTGGTAAACGTACTATAATTAAATTCAGCAAGTTATTTAATTCCCCTAACGCCCCTCAAGACGAATCGACGTGTTGAGCATGTATCGCCTGCGCCACACTACAATAATATATCAGACTATATCGTGTCTAGCACGCAAGCACGGAAAAACGGGGAGAGACTTTTTCTGTCCCGCAGCAACGGGCCGTGTCTCTTAGTGTAGGGGAACATAGGGTGACAACCATATCAAAAAGGAATTGTTGGGGTCCAAAATATTTGATTAGCTCGCATATAAAATGTACGTCACTCATGTCAAAACTAATTTCATGCTGGTCATATCGTGTTTGTGTTAGATATATCTACACACTTATATGTACCACTGTCACAGAGAACTGTAGTGTGTCTGTGTAATATCATCGCGCGCGCACTAACCTCCAATTGCTGGATACCGATCCGTAATGAGAAGGAGCGAGTGGCAGTTCAGGATAATAGGACTCATTCAAAGTTCCCAACACAGTGCCATTGAGTTGCGGACTGGGACTGCGAGTTATTATCTGTAGACTCCGTCGCCGGCCTACACTTGTCCGCTGATGGCGCAGTTCGTCATGTTTAAGTAAAACATTCTCTATAGTGACCTTCTCCGGGTTCAAGCGCAAAACACTCGACGCTGTACCGCAGCCTAACATGATGTCGCGTTAACACCCATGCATGCGCAAACATATTCAAAAAAACTTTTTCAAGATTATTTTGACTACATGGTTGAATTTGGCTATATGCTGGTCGGGATACGGATACCTTGGCGTTACATGTTGGGAGCATTAATGAGCGGATTAGCGCCCCATGTGTATGTATATATGTACGCAGAGGGCACGCGCCTATATATGCAGCAACTTGAGCTTCTTCCGTTGCACATGTTAATCCAAGCAAGAGCTGGTGCGCGCGGGCTCACATTTACCGGAAATGTACAACACCGTTAATTCTATACAGTTTTTCACCTTTAGACAGCATGACGTCTAGGAATACCAGCGGAGTTTATAAAGAGCGGAGTACTGCCCGGCTAACGATTGTTTTCCTTATAAATCAACTGCCTCGTAGGCGCCCCGTATGATTATTCAATTATCCCGTGTATACGGAGTTCCTGAGCCGATAATGACCTCTCGATCAGTTTGATAACGTGCCGATAGTCTCACGTTGACGAAACAGCACAATACAAAATCGGTTTATTTGTTTGTGGCATTAAAATTTTTTACATTTTATCCACTTACCAAAAAGCTTATTGTTTATTGATTTATAACTACAGGTTAAGCCAAACTGTATATAAGAGTATGTATTTTTCTGATACTGTACAAGCATTCACCGAATGGTGACGTCAGCGGCGGCTATGTTGTCCGGATGCAGCTCTGGCATTAGACAGCACATCCCGGTGATCAAAGCGTTAACAAATGGCTCGGTCTTCTTTCCGCGTATAAATTGGAAGGACCTTATACCGTTAACTACAATACATCGCTAGAATAAAAGGCCGTAAGAGTCATTCGATGTCGCATCGCTAATATGCAGCCAAGTGGATGCGTTTAGGGTGCCAGACTGTTGTATTCACCACCACCCACACAAATGCCGGTTCATATTCACAGCGTCCATTTCAAAAGGCACATGTGGGCATATCAGTCTCAGTTTTATATTCAATAAAAGCACACCACGTTTATTGCGGAAAATTTCTTTTAACAAATGGTCATCCTCAGTGCTAGTATTCGATTGACTTGTTGAGGCATATAAAAATTCTAAACGCTTTATAAAAGCTTGAAGGTTGAAAGCGTGAGGTGTAAGTCGCATATATACCGATGTATATAGTAAACCCGACCACAAGACAAAGCAAAACTGATACCAGACTATGATGTGTGCTTACGCGCTTATTAGAAAGGTCATTCCCACAAAAATGACAATGCATCGTAGAGCTACTTGGAAATACCGCCGTATAAGTTCATGTTTCCTGTTGATTTGGATGTGTGGGTTCCTTACGGTTAGCCCAGCTCGAAACAAATAATACGGCATGCTTGTACGCTAATGGTGGGTTGGATTTGCTTGATCTTGACCGGGTGTAACGTTTACGTTTCTCGACACACAAGCTCAATCGTAGCCAATCAATGCCTTCAAGCACATGCAATAAGTACTGTAACTTTTGTTTCTGTTGAATTTTAATATGTAACGTAAACTATTAGGTTACTCTTGAAAGATGAAAACGTGAATTTATATTGTATTCCAAACAAAGAGCATATTATGAACATCGAGGTCAAAATTTAGGTTTAATCTGTGCTTTCCCTTTTGCTCCTTTTTCTTTTAATGGCTTTAATTAAAAAATTTTTAAATTTAAAAATAGTTGAATAACCTGCTGTTGACGGTTTTGAGTGTGAAGGTCGAGAGATCAAGCGAAGTAATGAATAACACAATAAAGGAATAATTTGTACAGCAATGTCTGCACAACTAAGCACTGCACTATTTGGCTGTGTTTGTAATTTTTCGTACAAACGTATAGGGAATCTGTGATGCAGTATGCGCCAAGCAAGCACGTTAACCTGAAACGGTACTAAAGGTTGCATTCTTTTTATATTATCCTGTCGGCCGCAAACCGTACAGTACTGGATACAAAAACCGTTACAGGAAATCGAAGATAGGATAACACACATTGTCCGTAAGGATACTCTCATGCAGGTTTCGGGATATTTGACCTTCGTCTCATAATTTCAGTCTTCTGACTTCGTTTTTGCTCGGTTTTTGGTTATCACATTTAATTTAAATCACAATTCAAAAGGTTTCTTGGGGCGATGACGTAATCATTTGTCAAACGAATATTCTTCCTGCCGCCTGTTGCAGTCATTGTTTCATGCGCACATACTGTAGTTCTTCTATCAGAGAAACCATTTGGATATGCCATTACTGCGTTCCGACAGATTCAATTTGCAAAAAAAAACTCTTGTTTCGAAATGTACGAAGTGATCTGTATGCTGATCAACATGCAGCACTGCAGCTGGTGATGCGTATTTATACTACTACGAATTTACAACAACACATTAATATGAAAAAGCCATAGCTTTTTTTACCTGTTGTAACTCCAATTAATGAAACGGGAATGGCACATCAATCCATCATGGGGAAATGTGGTGTCTTTGGTCATCCCGCCAAAATTCAATGTGATCCGCATCAGCCTGCCGGAGCTGACTCGCCTCCACTAATGGATTATTTAGTCGCTCAACGGCATCTCCTGATTGTGCAATCACACATTTAATTTATCCGGATTGTCGCCTATATCACTTATATCGCAACTATTTTGAAAATAAACCTATTAATTGCGCACTGTTTATCAGCTCAGGAATATTGCGACATAAAATTAATTTCGCACTTCCGCGGTCAACCACACGCTCCGTTTATGCATACTAGCATATATAAGCATCACAAGTAACGTACGCGTCTAACCTTTATTCATGCATACAAGACGTCAAAGCGGAAATAACCATACCTGGAACCAGTTACACACCGGCAAAATAAATGACGTATTTTCAAACTGGACGGAGTGCAATTGTGCGTAATCCAGATCAAACGCATGGACGCAAAGGATCGCCGTTGCTAATAATGGGTAGCATTCGGGAATTATTGTGAAACAGGAGTGTATGCATAATATTGCAATACCAACTTGGCCAATTAAACGGGAAAACACTCAGCCTACTTTCGGCGTATTGAAGGCTTGTCTTCCTTATAAGACATCAAAATAACACGGTACATTGAACGAAACGTGTTACTGGAGAAAAACTGCACAGATCCATTCAATAAAACATTGCCTCACGGACATAATTAACAATTACACTAAGCGAAAGCTCCATCATCCGGCAGTTTATGGGTGAGTAATGATGGCCTACGGTCGAAGATGCCCATCCGTACTTTGAAGGATAATTAACATTTATGCATAGATAATCTTTCCGCAAGAAAACCAAACTGTCAGAATTTTTTCTTTATAAAGCCGTAAAACCAAAGTGCACAACTTTCAGGAAACAATCGTATAAATCTTGATTAAACGTGGAAAATGCGTAATTACTGTCAGGAAAAGAGTTCGTGCGTGCCATATCGCCCTGTGGACGCACGGAGTGTATATGTGTGTGTGCACCATGATGACACTTAACGGGACGACGGCAACGTGGTGTGCATTAGGATTACGCATGGTGAAAACAGGCGCACTATGCGCGGATCCGTTCCCAGCACGAACAAAGCGCGAGAATCAAAAAAGGATTTCTCAACGAGGCTATTTTCTATCATCTGCAACACCCGTGGAAAATAGAGTAAGTACAATTAGCAAATGTACGTCGTGCTGTGATAAATATTACACCCCGAAGATGCTGATGGATGCTACCATTCTTTTGGATACCATGGTTAAAATCGCCACAGCTTGCGCTGCGACTGCGTTTTAAGATGGGAAAGTGTCTGCATTCCATTACGGTTTGTTCTTTCTGCGTTGCATCCTTGTTTTTATTGATCTTTGACACTTCGTGTTGTGGCTGCTTGGCTGAAACTGATGAAGCGCACTTAACCGGTTTCTTTTAGGAAATTCGGCGAAAGCATCTTTTTGCAAATTTTATGGCCCCATCCATATTTTTTTACGCCTGTTCGCACCCAAACGGTCAGTGCATGCTATACTTAGGTGATAATAACCGCGGTTGTTTTCTTACGCTTATGTAGATGCTTCATTTAATAATACAGTAAAGCAGCATCGAAAAGGTCATGATAACAACAATCAAAAATCAGTAAAGCTAAGTATGTACATTTACCAATGCACGTACGTACCATACCTGCAGATATGTATGATCATAATTATGTATTATGCGTAAGAAAACAAAATACTGCAGAAATACAGTGGGTACTGCAGTACACAGATTTGCTACTTTAATAAACCACCAATTTTACGAGCGCATGCGCGTTTGAACACTGGGTTGCATCATAGCGCCTTTGGATTCATTGTGTTTTGTTTTGTGTTTCATAAGCACAAGGCAAAGCCCTGACACACTGCGTTAATTAATGCACAATCCCGACATGTATACTTCTATATATATTTTTTTTTACTATAAAAAATATTTTATATTTTTTTTACAGAAAATATAAAAGTCATCGTATGTAATGGCAATAGCGGTGACCCAAAAGCAGTACCGGAATACATACAACTGATAGCTATAGTTTCCTATTTTTCCACACAAATCAAAGCTACAAATCAATGCAGATACGGAGCAGCTTCTGCGTTCTGTCTATTCCAGTGAATCAACAACTCTTTTCTTGTTCCTTGGCCTGGAGTGCCTATGTTGGCGTTTACGACCCTTTTTTGCTGGTGCCGGACTCCGGTCAATCAGTGGTCGCAGCAGTCCACCAGTGATCTCTAAGATGTGCATCAAAGCTTGGATGTATTGAATAGCCGAACGTAAAGTAGCGATTTTGGACAGCCGCTGATGTTCGGCCAGATTTGATCGGGGAACTACCTTTAGTAAAGGTCAAAACGAAAAGTAACACGTACGGAAGCTGATATAGTGCCATTACATACATTCACAATTTCTCCTTGTTATGATCGACAAAGTATAATTTAATAGCGATAACGGAGTATGTTGTAAAACGCTGGTACAATATGATATTAATCACATAAAATAATACTTACGAGTTACGATTCGCGCATAAGTAACTAAGCATTAAGAAAACTGAGGTCCATCTCTTAGTTAAGCTCAACATCGCAGCGTTAAAACCGAAAGCGTATATGACGGAAGGCGGATTTAACGGTATTTTGTAGTTACTTTGTACTTACTGCGCGTAATTTATCAAACGCATGGTTAATGGCATGCATCCTTGACCTTTCCCGTGCAGTTGCACCGCCAGCAAAAGAAGTATCATGCGAAGTCCAAATGTCTCCAAAATCATCATGATCCTGTTGTGCAATTCGCGGCATTATACGTAAATAAAATGCGCATACTATTTTTCAAATCTCCCACTTTTAATATCTTCATAGATAATTCGGTGCCAGGCCGGAGGCGTAACGAATTCAGTGGCGTAACGAGATAAATAAAATTGTACGAACGTCTATAGCAAGCTTGAAACCATGGTTGGCAAATAGCTAATATTAAAATGTGTATTTGCTAGCTGCAGCACCGTCAGATAATAATTTAATGCTCCGAAACCGTGTTCATCTCGATGATATTCCATACAGATAAACATATGTACATAACTGTGTGCACACTGCAAGCTGAACCTAGGACATCTCAAAATACATTTCCCTTCGAATTCGATGGAATCTCAAACGAGATTAGATCCCCGTTCTGCATAATGACAGCCATGGCCGATTTATGTGCGCTGCGTTTAATTATCACAAGTCGAATAATATGGGGAAGGAAGACTTAAAATGAGAAGTTAAGTACACCGCAAATACCGTTTATGAAAAAATTCAGCGGTTTTATTATGTGTGTGTACTCATCACATGCGATGTAATCATATGAAAATATCAAATAATATAACAAATGCGTCCAAAATTTGGGGGTTACCCCCGTACATTACATACATCGTGTCATTACTACTAAAATTTCAGTGCCGCAGTTCTCGGGATCGATCGCTTGCTGTTGTTTTTTTGGATAAGTATAGGGCTAAGAGCGCGTCGGAGACGGTAACCCTGATTATAAACAATACGGTGCTGCAACACGGTTGACTATTTTTTAGCAAACTTTGCGGCACGTAACCACAGACAGTTGAAATCGGTTAATTCTGTTCAGCCATTACAATACTCATTTACCACAAGATCTACTGCAGGGTAGAAGTACAGAACTAGCATGCAATACGTAACAACGTATGCGCGCCATTTCGGATCGCATTACCATTTTGGATGACTGGACCACCGGCATTCAGATCGGATCGCTCATAATCTGTTCGCCTTCCGGTTTCACGGATAAGACAAGGACGATATGAATGAGGATGTTCCCGCGAATGAACCAACATCCATGCTTAAGACGATCAGTGGTTTGGGACCAAAATATTCTTACTCGCAGTCACGCCTATATATAAGTACAGTACCTTTTTTCTCAACCCATTTGTAAGATAAGATTCTCCTTTGTGCATTACTAATTGATGTGTACAAGTAGTAACAAAACTAACAATCAAGTGATGACAAGTTCTAAGTAATAAAAAATAACAAAGAAATAAACTGAATAATCATTACGAAAAAGTAATTTTACATACTGTAAGAATTGCACAACGACAGGTCACGATACTTCTCAGTGTGAAATGACTCGATTCGTGGCAATACTGATTATACTGTAATGCTTTATTAAACGTTTTAAACCTCAGAATATCAAAGCAATGTTTCGGCATCGCACTTTTCGTACCATAATATTAAACTAACCAAAAATGAGGGCTGAACTAACCCACTGAAGAGATTCGCTACAAAATACTCTAAAAAAAGAAGCATAAAACTTGTCAAGGCAAGATTCTCATAGAATAATGCTGGATTATGCCCTGTATACCGCAAGTATAATAATACACAGGTCTTTGACGACATCACAGGAAAAGCTAAACTGGTCCCAGCCAACTACAGGTAAATAAAAACGATCGCAACAAAGCCCCAGCTGAGAAAAAAAGGGCCACTACTTGAGCTTGCGCAGTTCCGCCTCCATCCGGTCAATTTCCGCTTTAGCGAGAGCATTTTCCTAAAAACAATTCCGATATTGTCCATTCTCAATCGAAAAGAAGGTGTACACAGAAATCAAAAAGGTAACCTCTTTCATCTTGACATTTTCCACAGCATAAAACGTAGATCGTCGCAAATTTTGGCTCGGGTTCTTGTGGCCAACTTGCTCTCCATATTGTTTGGCAACCGACAAAACGCTTTCATGGAAGGATTGTCCTGGCTTATGAATGTTCAGCAAAGCGATGACAGCTGTTTTCTTGCTATTCAGGTATTCATGCATGTGATTACGCCCTTCTTGAAAAGACTGTAGTTCAGACAACATTTTGGATTCCTTTGCCTTGATATGAGAACGGTTCCTAAAATTCAGCATGTCATAGTTAGCGATCAGTTAAACATTCTCCTATTCAATTAACAAAGGTTAATGATTAATAGAGAAATCAAAAACTTACTCTTGAACTGCTTTCAATCGATAATTCAATCCCTGACTGTCCTGTTGCAGCCTAAAATATTCGATGTTTGTACAAAAGATCATAACTATACCTCATACAATCTTTGATCAAGACGAATGATGGCACAAATCGGTGGCGGAAAGATTGGTGAAATGATACGATTTAAAATCATATTACTTATTTCTGCAATATTACCGGCGGCGTTCAACTTCCAAACCACTTTTGCGTTTCTCAGCGTCACCAATTTTCGCCAGCAATGTTCCCATTTCCTTTGTCAGTCCTTTCGATTTCACATTTAGCGGAACCAGAACGTTTTTCAGATTCTCCTTCTCTTTCTTCCTCTCATCGGCATGCTGAGCTTTCACGTAAACTAAGGACTTCAGGCGAGCAACTTTTTCTGTTAAGCTGTCGCAGTAGAACGTTGCACTGTCGATCTGCTGACCAACTGTCGATGTTTTGTCGTCCATGTATTTTCCAAACGAAGCAGCAAACCATTTCAGTTTCTCCATTTCCTTTAAAATACAGGCTGATTCCGTATTTTTCGATTCCGAAGCCGCGCGCAGCTCTGTAATTTCTTCATTCAGATCTTGTTCGCGTCGTTGAAGTTCCCCTTTCAAAGCTGCACAATCAGCCCGCAGAACATTGCTGTTATTCTTTTCCATTTCCAGATCAGCCTTTAATTCAACAGTTTTCCGCGTTAATTCACTTTCCCGACTGAGGAAATTTTGTTCCGAAACTATATGATCTTGTTCGCGTCGTTGAAGTTCCCCTTTTAAAGTTGCCAGTTCAGCACACTCAGCCCGCAAAACATTGCTGTTATTCTTTTCCACTTCCAGATCAGCCTGCAGTTCAACAATTTTCCGCGTCAACTCACTTTCGCGCTTGAGGAAATTTAGTTCAAACTCTTTCAGTTTCTCCATTTCCTTCAAAATACAGGCTGATTCCGTATTTTTCAATTCCGAAGCCGCGCGCAGCTCTGTAATTTCTTCGTTCAGATTTTGTTCGCGTCGTTGAAGTTCTCCTTTCAAAGCTGCCAGTTCAGCACAATCAGCCCGCAGAACATTGCTATTATTCTTTTCCATTTCCAGATCAGCCTGTAGTTCAACAATTTTCCGCGTTAACTCACTTTCGCGAGTGAGGAAATTTTGTTCAAACCCTTTCAGTTTCTCCAATTCTTTCAAAATACAGGCTGATTCCGTATTTTTCAATTCCGAAGCCGCGCGCAGCTGAGTGATTTCTTCATTCAGATCTTGTTCGCGTCGTTGAAGTTCCCCTTTCAAAGCTGCCAGTTCAGCACAATCAGCCCGCAGAACACTGCTATTATTCTTTTCCACTTCCAGATCAGCCTGTAGCTCAACAGTTTTCCGCGTTAATTCACTTTCCCGACTGAGGAAATTTTGTTCCGAAACTATAAGATTTTGTTCGCGTCGTTGAAGTTCTCCTTTCAAAGCTGCCAGTTCAGCACAATCAGCCCGCAGAACATTGCTATTATTCTTTTCCATTTCCAGATCAGCCTGTAGTTCAGCGATTTTCCGTGTTAACTCACTTTCGCGACTGAGAAAATTTAGTTCAAGCCCTTTCAGTTTCTCCATTTCTTTCAGAATACAGGCTGATTCCGTATTTTTCGATTCCGAAGCTGCGCGCAGCTGAGTGATTTCTTCATTCAGATCTTGTTCGCGTCGTTGAAGTTCCCCTTTCAAAGCTGCCAGTTCAGCACAATCAGCCCGCAGAACACTGCTATTATTCTTTTCAATTTCCAGATCAGCTTGTAGTTCACTAATTTTCCGCGTCATCTCACTTTCGCGAGTGAGGAAATTTTGTTCAAGCCCTTTTAGTTTCTCCATTTCTTTCAAAATACAGGCTGATTCCTGATTTTTCGATTCCGAAGCAGCGCGCAGCTCTGTAAATTCTTCATTCAGATTTTGTTCGCGTCGTTGAAGTTCTCCTTTCAAAGCTGCCAGTTCAGCACAATCAGCCCGCAGAACATTGCTATTATTCTTTTCCATTTCCAGATCAGCCTGTAGTTCAACAATTTTCCGCGTCAACTCACTTTCGCGACTGAGGAAATTTTGTTCCAAAACCATCAGGTCCCGTTCGTGCTGATTTCCATCTCGGTTGGAAGCTTTTTCTTTACTGTTATCCACCGCAAATGACAGCTTTGCAGGTCCTTGAGGCTTATGAAACTGCTTACAAAGCCTTGTTGTGGCCTTTTTATTCGATTCTTTGTGATTATGATGATTATCTAAAGAATTTCAGTTCACATTCATAATCGCGGATAGGTATGTTTTTACGTAAATCTACTAGATTTTGAGGGCACAAAAAGGTACAAGATACCACTTACCTTTTGACATGGGTGTCAGATAGATGGACTCATTGGAGAAGGAAACGTCGCGCGGGGTTTTCGCGAACGAAGACATTCGAGCAACATGATCGGGATTGCTGGGGTTGTAGTGACCGGGTCCAGGATAATCTTTTCCCACTGAAAACAAAGAAATTCTTCTGTTACCGCTTGAAAAGACTAATCGACATTCGTTCTTTAACCTTCAAAGAAATTCCTATAAAAATAAAATAAATTGCATTCGTTAACGTACCCACAAAATCGAAACAGCGCTTTACTTCCGCTTTGGGAAAAGATGTCATTGTTGTTTCGTATTGTATGTAGGAAAAAATTCGTGGGATAATTCTGAAAAACAAATAGAAGACTAGAGGACCATTAAAAGAGTACAACTACTGTAAAATTAAAACATAAGACGAAGAAAATCGTTTGAGTTTTGACTATCTAAAGAACCAAATGACAAATGCACAAAATTTAGTTTCAGTTTCACGATGCAGTAGTCACTTTTGTCGGTTAGAGCAACAACCTGCAACGGCCTGTTAGAGCACATTTTTGATTGGTCGTCTTGTAACCATCAGCCAATAAAATCCCTGAAACGATACACCATCCAAAATCGCACACAGTTGATTGGATCCCTCCGTTTCTAGTGTCTATCGGTATTAGTTGCTGGTTTGTTGCTGTTTTAACAATGTAATAAATAATAATAAGTGTTTTATTAAAGGGTTCGGGGTTGTACTGTTTTGCCGCAAACATTCGGCTTTGCAAAACAACGGGAGAGCACAAAAATCAGCCTGTTACAGTCCATTAGAGTTCACACCGACAAGCACGAGCCGGTACAGTACAGAATGTGCTTGACAAAAAAAGAACGTTCTTACAATTAGCTACGACGGTTCACCAAAACATCGCAATAAAATAAAGAAACAAGATACCTATCAGAAAAAATCATCAAAATCATTTTCAAATCGCGCGTCCAGATCAGCGACTTGAGCCTTATTACTCGTACTCGGAATCGTCTCAATATCCTCGTCCGCGGCTTTCCGGCTTATCGGAATGACATCGTCGGAATTTTTCGAAGTGCTGCTGCCGGATTTTGACTTTTTTAAGCTCACACTCCCATCCTTTCCAGCGTTTTCCGTCTTCTTACGCTTCCGCTTTTCTTGCCGTTCTTCAGCGCGTTTGACCCGTCTGTCGTCGATGTGCTCCATCATTGTTCCAAGCTGCTTATAGACGGCCGCATTGTTGCGGAAGAGAAGCCGCACATCTTCCGGATTGATGCTTTTGCGTTTTGCATGCCTACTCACGAGTCAGAATCAGTGATTGACGATTGTAATCAGAATAAGACAATCTGATAACCTAAGTCTCTGTTTACTGCGGAAGTCTTTACATATAAGTTTCTTTCCTAACATGTAAACCCTATCACTCTGATCACGGGTCCATGAAAAGTTCCAAAATAAATCGTTACGACAAAATTTGGAAATAAAATCGCTACGACATATTATCCATTATGTGAACGATAATTAATTGAGCGCTGTTTAAATTGTTAAATCAATTATTTCAATCCCGATAAGTCAACTTAAAAGTGAAATCCAGCGAACAAAATGCTGTCGACAACTTACTTCGCAAACAATTCCAGGTCTCGTCCCCAGGCAGGAATTGTCTAAAACCAGAATTGCTGTGAAATTATAGAATACATGCATGACAATGATGACATTTTTATATATCTATACTCGTGCAGACTATATTCACTAATTTATACCATAATTTGCCATTCAACAACAAAATTACGTAAATGACTTAATTAAGTCTTTAAGACTTTAACTCTAGCTCAAAATTCGTAAAACTACAAAACCTTCTATCATGATATCATTGTACATATCATTCTGCATTTATTACAGTGCCACGTACATAGTAGAATCGTTAGAGTTTCAACTTTTAACAGACCTGAAAAACGTTATCTGCGACAGTGGCTACAACCGATTTGGAAAACTCCATGTTGAAATGTCGCCCACAGTCTTGGGACATTTTGTATACCGTATAATGCACGGCATGCTTGAGCAGCTAGAACAACAGATTGAAACAGTACTGCAAAATAAGTCAATAACTACGTATGTAATATGTATCGCATGAAAATGGTAATATACGAATACATACACTTTTTTTTTAAAACCTTTAACTGCATTGTACAAACGGCTTTTTCAAACATACGGTCTCGTCGTCAAGATCTTGGTTTCTATCTTCGACGTCTTCGTCCACATCTTTCGAAGCCATTGGCCTGCGAATAAAATTTGAGCAACAATCAGAAAACAATTAAGATCGCGAACCGATGATTTTAATAATAAATAATAAATAAGTATTTCTCACTCTGAGACGAGTCTCACTCATTCTATGCAGATTTTAAAAATATTAAGATTTAGTGAGTCTGATTTAGCCAGTAGGCAGTAGGCACTGTTCTAACTAGAGCCCTGCAACGGATTGGTAAATCCGAACCGCTCCGAATCCACTCCGATTTTCGGAGCGGATTGGACGGATTTGTTTTAAAAAAATTCGGATCGGAGTGGTTTCGGAGTTTAGGCTTGCCTGAATGGATCGGATTCGGATGTAATTAGGAATCCGAATTATCCGAAATAAAATTGTATTTTCAAATAATTTTTATAGAATTTCTATAATTTTTAGGACAAAATGCATCGTCAGCTTCGCGCTCCGCGCGAGGCTTTAGTGTGACTCAGTAAAGCACTGAACATAGCTACTTCTATTACGTTAACTTCAGTTACTGTGCCATTTGTTAGAGGCGAAGCTTGTTCAATCAAAAAAAAGAAACCTGAATTAGGTACAACTTTATGAGTTTTTTTGTTGAGAACTAAAGGAGATGCCACTAACACGTGAAAGCAACTGTGGTTTTTGCGATGGCAAAATTACCGAAATTTTCGGAACTCGCAACTCGAAAAACGCCCAGGTATGAGCAATCTATGGCTAAAACGACGCAAAATTTATACGGAGAATGGAGATTACATAAAAATTAAATAAACGTTCTGAAGATTTTGAAAATTGAAAATTTTGATGACAACTTGGCGTGCGCTATCTTTAATTGTTGCAGCGGATATTATAGGTATGTATTATAGATTTTTCTGGAATGGGACAAAAAATAAATATGACAAAAATTTTCGGAGCGGATCGGACTGGATTCGGATTTGTAAAAAATATTTACGGATCGGAGTGGTCGGAGTATGATTTTGAAAATTCGGAGTCGGACTGGGTTCGGAGAAAAATTTATTAGTTCGGATCGGACTGGACGAAGTTTTCGACTCCGTTGCAGGGCACTAGTTCTAACTTCTGATGGAGGAACGAGATTCCTTTACATTGTACGAGTCGCTACGGCAACCTGCTGCGTGTGGACGTATGGATATTTTTATGGGTTTCTGACTTCACAGTCCACAGTCACAATGATTTGCTGCTGTTTCAGTGTTTCCCGAGAAAAACTGACAAGAACCAATTTGGTTCACCGTGTGGCGTTTTGTACCTTTAAAAAAATAGTTTGAAAGAAATAAGTCTTGAAACTTTCATTGCACTATCTTGGTACCGCCTTGTTGTGACTGCGATTTTCTTATCCTTTTATTAATTTATTGGCATGGCGGAGGATAAGTCAGCCCAGTTCGACGGGATGCTGTTTGCCATGGCTCAGCAGCATCCTGGCGGGGTTCCTGAGGTAACTATTTATCATGATCGTAAATCAGAGTTCCTTCGGTGAACTTCTGAATTTCGTTAGCTCGAATGGGTTATGGTTTTCTTCGTAGCTTTTGGATACGATTTTCGGGTTTTTAGCCCGAAAAACTGATTTCTACACAGGCGGAGGTCCTGGAGCCGCGGAGAAGGTTTGCCCCCTGATGAAACCCCTTTCCGATCCTTTTCTGTTATAGTAAACTGCATTTTACTATTAGCTGGTACTTGGTGCCTTTCGGAAACATGAGAAATCAGCTGTTGGCGTGAAGGAGGCTGCGCAAAAAGATCGCGAAACACGACAAAAGAAGCAAGAGGAGAAGAAAGCCAAGGAACGCGAACAGGACGCCAAAACGGCCATGCAGGCTAATGAACCGCGCATTCAAGAATTAACGGACGAGGAAGCTGAAAAGCTGCAGAAAGAAATTGATGCGGAAAAGAACAAGCCGTCCGGGACACCTGTTTCGCCGGTAGCGAACGACCAAGCCAAAGGAGATGCAACCAAAGTAAGCCTCATCGTTACGGGTTATAGCGAAATTTACGATACATCGAAATTTTGTACTTATCGGACATTGCAAATTTTGGGTAAAATTACGCAAAGGAAAACGAGCTCAGCGCACTGGCTTGTTTGGATCGTATACTGAAAAATTAGTAATGAATTGCTTTTTTATTCGTATTGAGAAGTGTATAACAGTGATGAGTGATGGTTTAAGTTTACTGCTGCCATGCTGCGGCAACCCTGACGATGACGTAGCGTTTTTACCGTCATACCGTAGCTTTGTTTTGTTTTGTAGTGGAATTTCTTTTGCAATAGAAAGAGGTTAATAATTAAAATTTGTAAGAAAGATAGTGCGTTTTGGGCCGATTCAGACTATATTTTCTGTAATAGGATTAGATTATTTGTGCTACGAGTAGTAGTCACTGGTGTATTGACGTCTGCTGATGGAATTTAGAACCGTTTTGCAAAAGCGGCGTGCGAGTTGAATATTAATACAATGATTACAATCCCCTGACAAATTGCGAATTACCGTTTTTAAAGATCGATAATGTGATGCATTGGATGCATTGAATTTTTATCTGTGTAGACAGAGGAAGAAGAGGATGAGGACGCCAAAGGAAAGGTTCCTCCTAATGCCGCAAACGGCTGCGACTTACCGAATTATCGTTGGGGACAATCACTTTCCGAAATTGAGGTAGGTGGATACTAAAAACTGAGTTGTAGTGCGGACTCTTCGAAAGATCTGGCTTTACCGCATGCCGATGGATATGGGTCATATGATTCACTTTCTGGTTTGTTTTTAGTTGGATGTTCCTTTGAAAGTTGCCCCTAACCTCCGACTGAAAAGCAGTGATATTGTGGTTGTATTCGAGCAGCAGGTAGTCAACAGCAGCCATATAGCGTTGCCATTGTTCCATTGTTTGTTTGCGTGGACATATTCTTACTTGTTGCAGCATCTCCGTGTTGGCGTGAAAGGCCAGACACCGATCATTGACGGTGATCTTCCGCATCGAGTAAAAGTGGAAGAATGTACGTGGTTTCTTGAAGGCAAAAGCGGCATCCATTTGACACTCGAAAAAATTAACAAGATGGAATGGTGGGACCAGCTTGTCACCAGTGATCCCCTGATTAACACCAAAAAAGTCAGTCCCGAGCCGTCCAAACTGGGCGATCTGGATGCGGATACGAGGCCTTTTGTTGAAAAAATGATGTATGACCAGCGCCAGAAAGAACTCGGTTTGCCGACATCGGAAGACCAGAAAAAGCAGGATCTTTTGAAGAAGTGAGTGTTGTTTGCGTTTTTTGCTTGGATCATCGGGTTTAATTCATAGTGGTCTGATAATTCAATTATTTTGGTTTGCGATTGCGTGATTTATGTTGTGTACGACGTTGTAGGTTCATGGAGCAACACCCCGAAATGGATTTTTCGAAAGCCAAGTTTTCCTAAAACCTGAATTCCGTTGTGGAATTTCTCGTGCCAGAGCTGTGGCTTTAATTAGGTGTTTTGTACTTTCCTGATATTTTCTCATTCTTATTAAATAGCAGTCCATCCTTTTTGGTCGGGAGATTATCCGCATGAGTCGTCTGCGGTGTTGCTGCGGAAGTTAGTGCATAAAGTGATATCTCCGTTAACGGAATTTGGTGCGGTCCGGATCTTACTTTTAAAATCGGACGTTCTATTGATAAGAAATTGTAGGGTTCGTTAATTGGTACAGAGGTTCACAAAGTCACAATCGAGGCGTAAACAAGAATTCAGATTGACAAGATCCGCTTCTGGTGAAAGCCTCGCATCTTGTATACTAAGCATGGTGATTCTTCCTTTTGTTTACTCGGATATGTGCGTTGGCGGCTCATTTACTGACTAGTGAATTTGCGCAGCATTTCTGAATTCCGCTTATTGCGGTATACAGTTGATTAGGGAAGCTCTGATAGGCCCCTTTATTAATCTAAAAATGTACTTTCGCTGTTTACCTGTCTCGGAATGCAAATGACGCAACCGGAACAGAATTCAATAATTCGTAACACTTTATTAGTTTTAAACGGACGACTAAACGGGGCGGAAGCCCATTGGGGGCCGGCCTGTGACGTAAGGACATTCATCCAATCGGGTCGCTATAACCATGGTTACCGATGGATGCGTCATCCGGTTATGAATCGTTCTTCGTCTGGCGTATGACATTCCCAATGGTTTTCGTTGAAATGTTATAAACGGTGGTCGCAAGAGATTGCGCGTTCCATTTAATGATCTTCCTTGGCTTTAAAAATTCGGACTAGGCTGTAGCTGAGAAGTGAATATCAGCGCCGATTCTGATTGCACATCTTCTATCGCTTGTCAGGTTGTCTTCTTATACCATCACTCGGAAGCCTTGTTACCGTGAGGAATATCTTCCACTATCTTTCCCGTGAGGAATATTCCCCCTTGATAAAATCTGAACGCTTTAGAGCGCTTTAGGAGACGATCCGTTACCTTCCCGTTAATTCCGTTTAGTTTTTCGTTGGTTGTGTGAACCGTTCTGTTATACGACGGAATGGTAATGGCAGGCACAGAAAGCACTTTAGACGAGATGATGGAAAATGCGCGCATATCGAAGGGGACGAAGAGGAAGGAACTGAGTAAACAGGGCTCAACGGGCTCCATGGATTCTGACATTTCTGAAGATTCTTCAGCGTCCAGCAACTCATGGTCGGGTGATTCTGGTGATCCCACCAGCCAGCTGTTGGTTGCCCACATGGATCCCGCTATCTTCTGTGATCGCGATTTGATGGTACGTTTCTGCTAATCAGCTAATGTCGACTTCCGTCAATTTTTGGAAATCGAGCATAGTTTCGGAGCCCGTATCGTACAGTCGTAGACTCGTAGTAATTTCGTATACAAGTGACAAAGTCGACTCTAATCTGTTTTACTGAAATTGTAACGATCGTTAATTGGTAATAATAAATGTAAGTAACGGCAGAATTTGTCATTATGGTTCAGAATAACTTCAATAACAAGAGGTTTGTCTATATTTTTTTAAATTTATCTATACTGCACAGTGTGCAGTGAAAGTTTGACGGTAATGGTTTTCCACAAACACAGCCGTACTTTGCGATTGCTTTATTCGGCTAGTTGTTTAGAATGATATCTTTCTGTCTGCAATCATATTACGAATTGTTGACAATGAAACAAGTGTCGGTCAAAAATTCAACACGAAACATTTAGGACGAAATCAATTTTGGGTTATTGTAACATATTGTTAAGATAGAATGTTTTTTTTTTCCGGGCGACGTGTTAGCTTTTTAATTGTTCCATAGTCTTTACACAAAATTACAAGGAGTTACCACTGTAACCTTCCATCATGGGGAGCGTCTGGTATCAGCTTGCCCTTCCCATCACTGAGGCTCATCGTGAGAAAATATGCGTATAAAATTGTCGTTTAGCGGAAGTTTGGGACGTGAACCGATAACGAGCCTGGTTTCCGTTTACAGAAGAACGTAAACAGTGCGGCGTCACAAGAAGCGCACTTACTGGTGTTTTGTCGTCACACTGATGCACATGTAGGCATCGTTACATGTGTTGTGGGCGATTGGCAGCGTTTACGGTTACATGTCCCAGTAGATGTGTCTGCGCTCTTCCTGTTCCCTGGGGTGAAATTCGATTAATCCCTTCATGTACGGGACGAAACAACATCCGGTTGGGCATAATTAAATGGTGTAAATGAATTGCTTAAGGTGCGGTCAATTAATTTTGGCCGTGTGACCAGTTTTGCGTAGAAGAGTTTAAGATTCTGCGTAGGGAATTAACTGTTTTCAGACCGTTATTCCCTTGCTAGCAACGCTGAAAATACCGCTGATGTAAACACTAACAGCGTAAAAAAGTAGGACTGGTTGATCAGAATTAAAATTCTCATGTTGTATTTGGTGGCTCATACTGAATTGTTCCTGCCGTAATTACTATTAGTAGGGTGGTAGTTTGAGCGGTTAAACATTGAAAATTCTGGGTATGCTTAATCATATTATAAAAGGGAAATGTTGTTTAGTTAATAGTTTTATAATGTGCCTTTCTTGGTGTCTATTTAATGAGTATTATTTGTAGGATCTGTTTGAGAACGAAATTCGAAAATATGACCCGGAAGCCAAAATTTATTATTTCAAAAACTTCTGCCGAGCGCGAATCGACATGGATTCTGTTGCTACTGCCTGCGTAGCAAAACAAGAACTTCATGATCGTCACTTTGGAAGCCGAACTTTGAAATGCTATTATTTCAGGGTAAGAGGTGACATGTCTAGACTGAACGTTGTGATCGTATGCATAACGTGTTGATGTGTTTTCCAGGATTTGTTACTTGGCCGTCGTAACTCTGACCACCTCGAGTTGCCACCACTAGACAAACAGTTTCTAATTAGTCCACCTGCTTCACCGCCGGTTGGATGGGAGCCTGTCCATGAAGGCGAACCAATTATTGACTATGATTTGTTGGCAGCCTTGGCATCGTTGCAACCAGGTTAGATAAACTAATTAAATGTTTTCAGTTCTCTTAATTATTTTGCGACTTCGAAACTGAAAATCCATGAGGATTTCTAGGACGATAACATAGAGGCTGATAGAGCATTTGCACAACATTTTCATTTCGTATACCGAAAAGTTTGTTCGTTTCCGATTACCGGCCAGTTTATTATTTAACACTGAAGCTCTGAACAGGTTGCTTAATGTAGGATGTATCCAATAAACTTGACACATTTAACGCTGTTTTTCTGGAACATTCTCAATTCTGACAGGGTATAATATTGGACTGATGCGTTCTTTGCTGCGTTATGTTTCCGTCAGAGTCGGTGTCGATTGAGTTTTTGTTTTTCAATTGCGTTATTATGTTAATTTTGCTGCCGTGCGTGTGAGTGACCGGTTTCGTGGCCTCGTTTGAGCGATTACTAATTATCCTGACGTAAATTCTTTTCAACCAGCGCAGCGTGATTTCATTTCTGTATGCGCACTATGGAATTGATTGAGCTAGAGTAGCTTTAATCGGAGGCATGCGAGGATATTATTACGGCAGAGCTAACTCGGTTATCTAATGAAAGCAATTTCATTATTAGGCGAAAGTCATGAGCTGCATCCGGGCGCCCAGGAACGCAACATACCAGCCATTATCTTGCAGCCGTGTGACGAGATTGAAGACGATTTGAAGACCGCATCATTTTCCCCGATGGATCTGAGTGATGAGGATGATGATGACGGAGAAAACCAACCTGTGCATCAAAAGAAATTTAAGCCACGTATAACACAAACGCGCCGGCCTCCGCTACAGTAACGGAAAATAAAGGGTAGGCGTATTTATGGATGAATTGTCGGAACTAATACGGAAACACGCTGGTAAAAGTTCTTCCCGTTTATTTTGTCGAATACTCCTGTACGCTTTCTTACTTTGTGTGGAAATTTGTGTTAGATAGATTTGTCATACGTTATGGTGTATAGCGGACGAGCGTTTGTCTTGCATTCTTTGCTTTTGCTCCTCGTCGTTTATATGATTTTTTCATGAGCTGTTGGGAGTTCATTGTACTGTGGCCTGAATATGCAGCTTTATGTACAAAATGTATAATATCTCACAAATTTATGAACATATCTACACCGCTGACCCTGACCATATGAGCGTACTATTTTTAATAATGTCCAAAATATCCTGAAAAAACTGCAGTCACTCAGGGCTTCAAATCACACTCTCTTCCGTAATCCTCTCCAGTAATTTAGACCTCGTCCCGAATTCAAAGCGAATCTCGTTGCGATACAGCAACTCCACTCGTGAGGTGGCTTCGCACCGTATCTGTAGGCGCGGCCACTGCATACAGCCACCTCGTGGTTGAGCAACCGTACCATAGAGATTCGCTTAACCGACAAGGCCTTAATGTACACTGAGATACCGCCAAACAATCAAAGTAAAACATCAACATCACATCGAAATAAAACTTTTCAAACGGAAACTAAACATCACATCGCCACGTCCATTCAACAAACAATATATGCTTCAACATCTGGCGCTTTGCGTAATATGCTTTTCCATCAAGTACGCTTCCTGGTAGACCTATGGAGAAAAACCGACACCATTAAATGTCTGTCCTTGCAATCTGCTAACAACATATAAGAGATAATCAAATATGTGTGGCAATGTGCGTTCTGGGTCGACCACTGACACTTCAAAATGTTGTTAGTTATTAGGGGTTGATCTAATTTGTAAGAAACCTTACCGGTTCATCCTCGCTGCAGTCGGCCATAATACGAGAGCACACTTCTTTAAGCAAGACAACATCGCTATCTCGAATCAGATAAAATCCGTCCTCCCATTCCTTCAGGTCTGTGTCAGATGCGCAAAAGAACTTGACGCCAGAGTCAACGGAAATAATTTTAACATCAAGGAGACTAACGAGAAACCGGGAAATAAGTTTCATGGAACTTTGCAGACCAAAATCATCCGCAACATTCGTACCTAAAAGCATTCAAAACAGCGCTGATTGTGAAATTTCCACCACATTAACGACGGGAATTCCTAACCAGAAAACGCGGAAATCCATACAACAAAACAAAACATAGCTGACCACTCACCGTCCAAAACAGATCCAACGCCATCATGATTCCACCATCCAACAACGACGTACACGATTAATTCCAATAATTCATCATCCGTTTTTGCGAAAGACAAAAATCTATTTAAATATTTCAAGATTCCCTCGTTGCAGTCACGAGCGGAATCCGAGTGAAGGCAAGAAAAGGCGACAATCAAGGCGATAAACTGCTCCTTGAGCCGGGAAAACGCTGCAGTTTTTAGACACTCCAACTTTGGCACGAACTGTTCGAAAAACGCACTGCTATCTGGGAATACTTCATCTGTCCATCCTGAAGTGCAAAACAAAATTACTGCAGTTAATCGTAAATTTCACTTTTCAAAAATTATGTTGAATTAAAATAAAGTAACAATTTAATGCTGAATTAGATAAAAATCCACACTGAAGTAAGAGACTTAATTCAACAAAAAAAGACTGGAAGCGGATCGGGGAAAATCATGAAATCGAAAGTTGGACACTTTCAGAGAAAAATATCTCCAAGACTCAAACATATTGTTGCTCTGGTAAATAACATCAGCATTACTAATCATTTCTGCGATAGATTCACGACGTCCCATATCGTCGACGTATTCCTCTGCTTTACACGGAACCCTGAACTTTTCGCCCTAGTTATCTGACATTGAACGTACGGTCATCAGGGAATTCGGGTCTGAAAGTGGGATCCTTTGTCAGATGAGAGACGACATAAGTTGTCAGTTTCATCCATTTCCCAACAGTCTCCAACACTCCACATCATGGACAACGTTCGACGTCCCAGATGTCAACACTTTCTTGCAAATTCGAAATAAACAAGAACGAATCACTTCATTTGTGCAGATTACATCCAGTGCATAAGTGTGTATTGAAATGGAATGCAATAAGATATCACAGATGTCGTCAAATGAGGCCAAGTAGGAAGTGGTGTGAGAGTATTCATTGTTCTGGAAAAAAAGCCGAATGCACTTCGTTATACAGCCGTCAACCGTGGTCACCTTGTAATGGTCATTCAAACCTGCAGCAACCATAACAATTCATCCGCTAAAACGGTGATGACTTTGAATTCATCCGCATAACCAGAGCCGGGATATTCTATGACTTCATGGAGAATCCGAGGATTTCCCAGGTTCTGCATGATAATACCAATGGACGAATAGCAGCGATAAAATTCCACGTAAAAATGTAATTACGAAAACACTAAAAAAATTCCATAAACACGCACAAACGTAAAATCCACACAAACACACACCCCAAACAAAATGCAAAAAAAAACCAAACATAAAATTTTGAAAACCTCAGTGTGCTCCACAGTAAAAATAAAACGGTGCACATGCTCGGGAAAAATCGATACGAACAAGCACCAACAAAATCTGCGAATTTCAAGTATGTACCATGCACTATGCAGTATGTACCTTATTATGACAGTAAAAACCTGTTAAATGGATCACCTAGTATCTGATTGTGAATTTTGAGAATGTGATGCATACCTCGCACTTACAAAATTGTCCTGAGTCGCTGCAGCAAACTGGCGGCATTCTCATGAAGCTCGACATTTTCCTCCGCGGAATATTTTCCACCCGGCCACATTCGCTCGAAATTATCGGAACCCTGACGAAAACCCACAAGCCGATCTATCATTTTCACCGATGTCCGGTAGTCGATACATTCTTTCGCTCTTTTCGCATCCTGCCAAAACCACAATAATGATTATCAACCACTAAAAACGAGACAAAACTGTTCACGTTTTTGAGTAGATGTGATCATGTGCAACTCACTAAAGCTTTTTGACCATCTTTAACGTCCATCTGAAGTTGCTGCAGCATAAAAAAATCATGAAATTTTAATATGGATTTGGCATCTTTTGTCCGCAGTTACAGCAAATTTCACATACCCGAAGAATTCCCATGTCGATGATGCCTTGAGTTTTCGCGAGGAAATCAGAGAGGCTTTCCATAACACAGGTCGCAGCTTTTACGCAGTCCAGATAAGAGATGTCCAACTTGCCTCTCAGCGCATCCACAATTTCTGAGCCCAGATGCTGCATGGCGACGGATGAAGATTGAAGAATACAGTATAAAGCAATCAGCGAGTAACGGAAGTTATTTACTAATCACTAATGGTTGCGTTAGAATTCAAAACCAGTAAAACCACTAAACGTCTGTAAGTCCCGGCCACCCCCTGGCGCATTCCTTGCAAATCAGTACAGTACTTCGATAAAACTTCAGTCATTATTTCCAAGCTTTGGACTTTTGGTGGAAAATTACAATCGCATCATTTTTATCAATAGGGCCATAGGCAGGCATTTTATATTGAACTCTTCTTGGGATGAAAAAGCTAAACAACTTGTGAATCCAGTTTCAGTAAAAGCTTAGAGCAATGAAACTGACATCCCTGGGTGGGTAGTTACTTGCTAGCTTTTTCGATTCTCAGTCAATGATTTCCCGTTTCCGGTCACTGTTTCTAGGATCTGAACAAGAAGAATTGGTTATATGAGCATAAAGTGAAAGTTTCTCGAACCCGCATTGTAACGGTGTTAAACAAAAGACTCGACAGGAAACCGGCGAAGAATGAGCCACGAAGATTACGGAATATCTCCGTCAGCGGATCCGCATCGAGACCCAACGAGGCAATGCGGCATCTGGAGAAGTACGAGTATCCTTGGAACGCAAAAAGCTTAAATCGTCAACATCTCGTTTCCGTGAAACAATTTTACTTGTAAACTCTTTATTTTTATTCTTTGATTTTTTTTCTGTATTTTTTGAGTTATCGCATAAGCGGACTGGATGAAATCGAACACGCTCGTATAACACGGAACCTGCAGGGGTTGCGCGCTACCATAATATTACTAAACCTTAAGGTTTAGTAATATCACACCAGACCAGACCAGAGATGCGAAAACAGTCAAGTCTACTTACCTGGTTAGTGGCATAAGTATCACATTAATAATTTAATAGGCATCTGTTTAATAAGTATGCTGCATTATGCATTACTCTGTATAATATTTAGACCGGCCGTACGGCGTACGTCGGTTTATTTACTAACTTATAGAATTTAATAAGTATTTAAATTCTGGTCTATACGAAATATGCATACTGTAGAGGAGGTATACGTAGCAAGTGCCCAGTAGTGCAGCGACTACGGTATAAGTACGGGTACTTTAATTAAAGTTTAATTAAAGCACCCGTTTCAGTTAAAGTACCCGTGAAATTAAATTTTTAAGTTTTAGTACTACGTACAAATGTACGTACAATAAACTCACACCGGCAGTTTAAAAGAAAACCCTAGCGGGGCGTCCCCGTGGGGACTGTTCCGAAGGACGGGTTTTATTACATAATAACTGCAAAAAACTTCTGTTGTGGAGTTGTTTACTGGGAAGATTGCCTGAGTGCAAGCTGGACGGCTATTTTAGCGAAATAGTCTGCGGCAAGTGCAACCACCTCGCGTACGCGCATACGTGTACAGTATTAGTCTCGACTTTGGGTACCTGATTCCGACTGCCACTATCTCCAAAACTTGCAGCATCAGTTTTTCGTTGTCACTTTAACGAACCTTCCCAGTTAATGTTTCAGAATAGAGAATAAAATTTTAGAATTTTTTGATATTTTGAAAGTAGGTTTTTATGGAGAACCAAGAAAGTTAATTTTGTTTTGGTTTCTCGTAGACTTAGCATAGGTCCGTCCGTTGGAGGCGTTGCTTGCACCCTATGCTATATCTACGAGAAACCAAAACAAGCATAACTTTCTTGGTTCCCCACCACAAAAAAACACTTATCAGAGATCAAAAAAGCGTCAAATTTTTCTTTCTATCTTCTGAGATGTTGGTTAGGAAGTTTTATGGAAAGGTAAACGAAAAACTAGTGCTTGAAACTTTGGATCAACTGACGATGACATTCAGTGCGTTCTTTCACTGTTCACATACATGCTCCACCTCTGCCTCTGCATCTCTGCCCATCCTGAGTTACAGCATTTCTGTCTCTTGAGTTTACAGTAAATTTCTCTCTATTGTCAGTAAACGTTCTGTCTGTCCTCAGTTACAAGCTCAGTTTTTCCCTATCCTGTGTTACAAACTTACAAGTTACAATAGGATTCGACATGGATCCATACCTACAGGTATATATATACATACATATATATATATACCCGTGGACGTATGCAGCGCTACGTCCTTCGGAAAAGCTTCGCGAAAGCGGCGGTGCAGCGACAAGCCGACAACCAATACGGGTGCCGAAAATTAGCACTTGGATGAACCAGACACACCCATTACCATTTACTACTCAGAAGTCAAGCCCGTCGGTTCTCTGGTCCAAATTCAACGAGTTTTGCAGATGTTAGGTGGGTGAATTTCAGTCGCGTTTAGATTCGTTGGGCTTTCTGTTTTCTCGGTCTTTCGTAAATTACGTTGTTTCCTTTTGGTTTGAATTTGAGATATTATTTTGTTTGACCTTACAGTTAGCAGTGTTCAGTGGTCAACTTTTGACTTCAAAATTTCGACACTTGTCATTATAAAATGGTTTGTCAAGCCAGTACAGCGCGTACAGGTAAGCAACCGACGAGTGATGGAATTATGCCGTATTACGGAAACGTCATCTTTGCTTGTTATTTTTTTGGTAAATTAGGTTTCTCAGAATCATAAAGACATAGGATTGTTTACGACTGTACCAGATCGAATTTCTTGATTTGTAATTTGAATACGTACTTACATACCAGTCTAACGGAATTATCTGTTTAGAAATTATCCAGAGCGAGAAGGAGCTGCGAAGCAAAGGCAAACGGAAAGACGCCAGTACCACGCGTATGCAGGTAAGCGCAATGCACAGATCGCCTGATTTTTAAACATTTCTGGTTTAAAACTGCAGCATTTGTATAGCTTGACCTTTTCGGATCAGTTCTTTAATTTTGCAACGTGAAAACAATGTCAAAATGAAAAAGCATTTAAAACGTTTAGCATTATAAGTAAAAGCTTGAAGTTTTGAACTAAATTAAGTATACTTCGTACTGTATTTACGTTCCTGTTATATGCTGGACGATGCTGAATTTACGCTGTCGCGAATGTCTCTGGTACTTGCTTTTTGCAACTCATTTTCGAAGTTGTCAGTAGTGGAAGGCTGGAAGCTACAGCAGTAAGTAAATCTTAACGGCACAGAATAATTTCGATCATGTAGTGACCTTTAGCAGATTGAAGTGCGTGGTATACTCTTTAAAACTGGATACTTATTGTTTTCTGAAGCACAGTAGAAAGCTTGTGTGATTTAGTGGCTAGTACTACTTTGTAAATAGAATAAGTACTGCTGTTAATGGAATAATTTCGCCCATGCAGTGACCTTTTATAAACTTGGCGTGCATGTGCATGGTAAACTCGATAAAAATTGAACGTGAATTCGAATTATTTTTCTATAAAGCGCAGTTGAATTTTTGAAATATGTGTTAAGTAATTTCTTTCTGTCGTACTTATTTGTAACCAATTAAATATTATATAACCGAAGAAAAAAAGATCGCTGTTTGTCTTGGAATGCGTTAAACTTTATTAATTAAATATCATACGTTAATTTTTAAAATACAGTACTAAATTTATAGTATTTTGAACTGGCGAATCGAATAGAATATGACTGCCGCATACGGCGGATGGAGGCATCAGCATTAGACCATTAGTTGAGATCCGTACGAAGTAATCGTAGTCGTATGGAAAATGCCGAAATGGGATAGCCCGCATAGAGCAAGTCGGTATGCTCAAAGCTAACAAGTAGCGTAAAGTATGCTTTCATTCAGTCGATCTGTATCGTAGGCAGCTGTAATTTACGTTCGTTTGCTAGAGTAGAAAGTGTTTCAGGACTCTGCATATCGTAGTACTCCAATAACGTGGTAGTAAACACTAAACAGCACGTTGAACCTGTTACGGTGGTATTGTCGAGCCACCGCATAACTTCGCTGTTCGTGAAAAAGGACCACCACTCACTGTACGAGTGCGGAGTGAGCCACAGATTTTTGCGCATAACAGTCGTATGTTTATAATGGTGTTCTGTGGTAAGACTGGTCGACGCTAAGGTTTTGTGCCCCGTGTCCCGAAGATCTGTAAATCGATGCTTCAGTCTTTATGCAGCAGCTCCCATTTGATTGATTATCTGAAGTTTCTTTAAAGAAAGCACTCTTTCCAGTTCGCCGAGTTTGGTTTTTGCTGTACAGCGACAGGAAAACGTAAACGGTCGCGGGATGTTCTGAAGTTCTCAGTGCGTGTTTCTGATTTGAGTTGTTCAAGTTTCAAAAAATGGCCGACAAAGCTCCGGAAATTGCTTCCAGTACGGATGAGGTAAATCAGTAAATGGCAGATTTTGGTGGCGGTGTACGGGCGCTGTTCAGAGAGTTTAACCGTACTTTTAGTAAGTTTTACTTAGAATTTTGCGAGATTTTATTCTGAAATCTAAATTATGCATGAGCGTGTAGAAGGAATTTAGATAAGTATATTTTTAGCGTGTTGTGTGATATCAAAAGCTTCTTCTGATTAAAGAAATCGCTTTTTATTTTGAGGTTGTTTTAGCTGGTTCTGGTACTGTAATAACTTGAGTTCATCGATTTTTATAGGTATTGCCTATTCATTTTGCACCAAATCAGTTATATTCACATTCACCTTAATTTTGGTTTTATTATTATTACCTTAATTTTGGTTTTAATTATTATTATACTACGCATAATAAAAAATATGTTATAATAGTAGGGCAATAGAAAATCTGTCTGAAAGTTCTTTAAAATCTGAACTTCCTTTTCCATAATTATGAAGTTATCGCGACTTCTCGGGTTTCGACTGATGCAAAATTCAGTACGACTGCACGAGTTAAAGTTGTAACTTGTAAGTACTTGGATTTCTGTTTGACTGGTTGAAACATGTTATGTCGTGTTTGGTGTTGCTGAATGCCGCTCAGATATTTAGCATTGCCGTTTATTGCGAGTTATTACGCGTACTGCTTTTGGTTAGTGCGTACCGCTTTTGTGATGTTGCGTTAGCAGCAGAAATTTAGGCTGATACATATATATAGTACCCATCAAAGTTGAAGTTCAGTATAGTCGAAGGTGCTGCGAATTTCGATCGTATTACGAATTTACGAGTACTGTATTGATAAGCGCGACATACAGTAGCGAAGCGTTTAACAACAATTACATAAAGCTTACCCGTAGGTGGTGTGCAAATTTACCACGCTTTTCTTATCAGCTGACGCTAAACTGATTTGGGTTGAGGGTCTGCTGCACTGTTCTTCGAATTTTGTTTGATAGCAGCCCGTCACGAAGAGCAGTCTGAATGCGCCCAATCCCGGTGCTCCCGAAAGCGAGAAGCCTGTGACTACTGACGTTCCGCTTGAGTCCGGCAGCGCCGTCAGTTCCACCGCGGAGCACGTCGCTCAGAAGGGCAAATCTCCAAGTCCGACGCATTCCGCTGGATCGAATCGTAAGTCCGCTTCACCAACGAGAAACGAAAAGGACGTGAAGGGAAGCAAGAGTGTGGATAGGGAGCCTGCAAGTTCTACCGGAAACGATATCAGTGAAAGCGTAAGCGGCTTTTGTCGCTTTGTAGCTACTCTACAGTAAATTCACCTCTTTTAAATCGTTTTTCCTTTTACCTTCTAGAGCGATAACATGGGTTCGTCGAAAGATCAAAACTCGTCTGTTGGCGACAAACCGGCTCCCCCAGTTAAGAGCGGTACGATGATCGCCACTGCTAAGGTACATTGTAACTGTTACTTCGCTAAATGCTAACCTTATTGTTTGCATACTCCTATTTGTTAATTTTTTCCACAACGAACATATGTTTAACCTTGTAATCGTGCAGACTGAGTCGTACTTCTCTTCTATAACATTTTTTATTTTAGTTAGAACTGTTGACATTTCGCTAATCTGCTTGTGTTATTAGGAAGGTGAAGCTTTTTTGAATAATAAGCGCTTGGGCAACTCGCGTTCCGACACGAAACAAATGAAGCAGGCAACTGATACTTCCGCGGAAAGCTTACCCAAGAAGGCTCCAGTCAGAAAGGACCACAGCATGAAGGCTACTGCTTCGGAAGGTAAAAACACAAACTTCGATTTTTTCTCTATAGTCCATGGTTAGTTTGTGATGTATCATGTAATGTACTTGCTCCATATAGGTAAGTCGACTTTCGAACGTGTTGGGGTGCCTATACAGTAAGTAGGTTTTTAGCGAATTATTGATATTAATTTCTTTCTGCAGCGGAGGTCATTACTGGGGCACCAATTGATGTGTCGGAAAAACGGACTTTGAGGTCTGAGAAGCGAAAAGCTGAAGAGCCACCTAAACCGACTCGAGATAACACGATGAAGCGAACAGCAAAGGTATACGCTTGTGCACTAATGATGATGCTGCTGATTTAGTAAGAACTTAAAACATGATCAATCACCATACTACTTTGTAGTTAGCGTAATAACTGTTGTGTGCCTTCGTTTTCTGAAATTGTTTTTTTTGCAGGAGGGAAATGCCGTGTTGGGAGACGGTGCTCCGACAAAGCGTACGCGTGGAGGAAAGTGAAAACATTTGGCCTATGCAGCTGCCTTTGGGGAACCAAATCCTAGTATTATTATCTACCTTGTCTACTTTTTGTTATGTATATGTGCGTGTAGTCATTCATATATTTCTATATTTCGTTTAAAACTTGTCGAACACATTTTGTGCAGTCGTTTATTGTCTTGCACGGTGAAGAAAATTCGCAGGATTTTTGACATGTATGTACTTTAAAATGCAGTTGATGGTTATTTTGTCAGCTCGTAATTTCAGCATTTTACTTCCTCTATCGATATTTTTCAGCATGAGGCACTATTATTGTTAGCAGTACTTTATATTTTGTTTTTGGCCTATCGTGTGCCGATTGGACCGGATTGGTATTGTTGAGATGTATACTGTTACAGTCGAAAGTATTAAAATGAGACGCAGATCAAATCTTTCGTTCGCGTGTACGAACTTTCAGCTGACAAATGAAGTACCGTATTTTGTTATAACAGTGAGAACCAGTGAGATTACAGTATGGCCTGACCAGTGAGTATGGGTACGATTACAATGCAGTACAGTGCTTATCTGAATATATACAATCTGTTTCAACTGTAAAAGTCGGTAATCATAAGTACTGTATAATTATGTTATGAACAAAACTAAACATACGCCGAATTAGTAATCTGCGGACAATGTCCACGCAGCAGACATCGTTCTCGGTTGACGGATTCCGTGTTGTCCCTTCACTCTGCTGGAAGTTATCCACTGAACACGGCCGAACGAAAATTCTCGGTGGAAGAAAGTATCGTTAACGTTCTTCTAAAACCCAACGTCACCGAATATCCCGCAATGTCGTGAACATAATTCATATCCGCAAAGAAATGTATGTCCAGGAGTATTATGAAAATTTACGAGTCAATTCAGTAGTTTGCTATCGCTCTACGAAAGACATTTCTCGATTATTGCTGGGCGATGCGTTTGTGTACAGTACTTACCAAATTTTCTTACAACTATAGCATTTGTAGGGGCACATTCGTAAGAATTCTCCCACTTCCTCATTTTTTTTATTTTCAAGCAAACCAACCATGTTCGTACGTTTCTGCAATTTTTTGTATGTTTTTACCATCGGTTAATCATACTACGATTCAAGCGGTATCTACACTGGAAGAATGCGGTGCTTCCGGTAAATGGTTATGGCCTATGGGCAATTAGGCTGTAGGAGTATCCAATGTCCACACCGTTTGCAGGCAATATTAAAGACCGGTCTGATTCCCTATCTCACGACGCCCACTTATCACAGGGTTTTACACTCCTCCCACTTGTCGTCCGGATAATAATGGAAGGAATTTCTGCCGGCCAAAAGAGAAACAGAGTGCAAACTTCTTACAAGAGAAGCAGCAAACTGAACGCTTTGTCGTGCTTTGGCATCATCGCCGATCGCAGTCTGTCAGAGTAAACGCCCGATGCAGTTCATGCGCTCAGCGGGAAGTGACCATTCCCAGTGACAGAAGAAGCGTTAAATTGTTACAGCTGCCCTGGCTTTTGGTTGTGTTTTTAGCACAAGTATTCCTTTATTTATGTGAAGTTGCTAACCATTTTTAAAATGGATGTCATCAAAATTGTGATGGTTCTTGCGATTATAATGGGATTACAATGTTGCGGAATTCACTGCACAAAACTGTCCACCGATCGTCCAGTGTACAAGGCGAATATGTACAGCGCCATCGAAGCGGATCAGACTGATAATGCAGATGAAGATTCTCCGAGATTATTAATCGGTACCGGTCAAGCCATCACCCGTAACACACGCCAAATCAGTGATCTGCGGACAATGTCCACGCAGCAGAACATTTTCGTTTACTGGAACATGACACCGTTGTCGGTTGACGGATTTCCCTGTTGTCCCTTTACACTGTTGGAAGTGTATCCGCTAAACGCGGCCGGACGAAAAATTCCCGGTGAAAGTATCGTTCTCCTAAAGCCCAACGTCACCGAGTATCCCGTGAACATCTCGCATATCCGCAAAGAACTGCAGGTCCAAGAGTACATGATCTGCGTCCGCTTGTGGCATCGTTTTGCCGGGAAAGAACGGAAACTGGATGAAGACTGTGTTAAAACACGTGCAGTGGTGGTGGAGAAGGGCGATAATACGGTGCTGATTGTGTTTGGCATCGTTTTGGGAGTGAATGCGGTGCTGTTGCTGGGTGCGGTGGTCTTGATTATCATCAAGCGTCGACGCCGTACGTCCAGTTTCACTATGAAAAAATGGTGGCATGACGTGTCGGAAATTCTTCAATCGCAACCATCCCGCGCGTCACTGGAAAGCCGCTTGACCATGTCCACATCGCAGCGGCGACCGAGCGGACTGTCGGCCGGTTCGTTGAATAACGGCATATCCGTTCCCGCCAGTCCCAGTATCAGTCATTCACGGCTGGCCATCTCCACGGTCTCCGGACCGGTTATGCCGATCGGCACGTGCGCCATCGGAAACGAGTACACCTACGCGCGCTGTTTGAATAATCAGGTGTATGATTTATTTCTGCAGCGGCAGCAACATCACTACTGTCCGGCGTCCAGGTCAACAAATGAAATTTGCACGGTGCGAAACGGGTTATTTAATGACCCAGCCAGTGTTGTTATTGTTTAACTCAGTATTTTGCAAATGTAGATTTCAGCTGGCGCTTTGCTCTGATTTTCTACGCACTTAAGTACAGTAGTATCAATTTTTGTGATAATCGCATTTTCGTTTACCTGCTTTTTTTGCTAATGTACAGATAGCAGCAGATAGCGTGTTCCAACCAAGAAAATATTCTTTGCCTCTTGGCTCAGTGCTGTAATTTGATGCAGCTGTTAATCTAATTTATCCCGCCATTTGACCATTAAAACAACAAAAAGTGCACGGAATTTCGCTTAATGATTAACAAATTTCGCAGGCATTTCGACACATAATAGGAAATTCTTCCGTTTTTAGTCAGCGGCAAGCGATAGGCCCTCACAATGAAAACCTTATACAATTTTCATATATGCACTTTTTTCAACCGGTGATCCGGTATAAAGGGCAACGTCGGTGATACGCTAAATCACGCATTTTCATCAAGCTTATCCGAAAAACATTTTATCGTGACGCTTTCGTATCTATTGTACAAATACGATTCATGACGCTTATGTACCATTAGGCTGGCGACAGAAGCGCAAGCTTATTAGCCAGCCCTTTGTGATATTTTCTTGTGCGTTTTCCCATGAAATCAAGAAATTCTTTCGCTTTGTGTATTGTTTGAAGCAGGGAGCAAAGAGACCGGACCGGCAGTAAGCTAAATGTTACACGTTGTTAAGAATGATTAATCAATGAAGGGAAGAATGAATTCCTGAGAGGTCCATTATCTCAGTGGTCAGTCTGACAAGTGGCCGTGGCGCCGTAATAAAGTTCTCTCTCCCAGTTAAATCCCTCGAGATAATAATGCCCTGATCTTTCTCTGCGATATAACTGACACAGTCCAGTTGCGGTATTCTGTCTGCCATCGGAAAAGATTTAGTCAACAATATCAACGATCGCAAAGTCCCGACCACTTGTGTTTACACAGACAATCCATACCGTTTTTCTACAACTACGTCATTCTTCGTCAGAATTCGCTGGATTTATGTAACTGGCGCAAATTGTCAACGTATTTAATTACACATGTATTACAAACACTAAACCACACCAATATTCAACATGTGAAAACGCCCATTCCATGACCCACCAACTGCAGTGAAAAATTTGCTACTGCGCTTCAGAAACTCTGCAACCAAAAAAATTTCTGGTAACGGCAGATAAATTCCCATTCAAGTTAATGTAACTGAAGATCCGAAGAAAAAAAACATCATTCTGAAGTTGCAAATGGTAATGAACAATAGTGGTGCTTAACAAAAACAAGGAAAAAACAAACAACGCCCTAGTATCCCAGTGATTTTCGCGGACGACCGCGACCTCGACTACTCGTCATCGTATTCACACCCTGCACGATAATCGGCCTCGTGGATGGTGTCTGCGCCGTCGCCGTGGGCACATTCGTGGTGCTGACGATTCTCCATACTACGCCATTGTTTGGTGCCGCGGCGACCGGTGGCGCCGTAACGGGCACGGCGGGGCGCGGTGCTACACGTCCACGCGGACTGATCGTACGAATTGCCGGCGGCGCCACCGCAATGGCCCGCGGTGGCGCTACGGTCGCCGGCCGCCCCGGATCGACGGCGAGACGACGGTCTTCACGGGCTGCGGATTGTAAGATGTCGCATACACCACCGCGGCGCCGGTGCCAGCTGTGGTATTTCTTCCGGCACTCCTCCCCGTCCTCCGCGGATGGCAAAACCAGGCTTGCCTCCAGCCGTCTGGTTCCGGCTGGTACGTGCGGATTTGTTGGGCAGGAATTCCTCCGATCCATCCGAAGCATTATCCTCCTCCCCATCGATCCCGTCGTACATGGGCTGACCGCGGGCGGTTGAACTACGGCCACTGCGGCGGAGCGGAGTGCTAGGAATCTCCACAACCTCGGCTTCCATAGAATCGTCACTTTCTACTTTAATCGCGCGCGCCGGTGGGGCAGCCGCGACACCACCACGGCCCCTGGGACGACCGCGGCCGCGTACCGCCGTGGCTGTCGGTAGAGGACCTGGCATAGTGGGTGAGACAGGCTCTTGTTTGATGGCTGGGATAGCGCCGTTTCCAGATGTCTTGGTATTCTTTACCGTCATTTTGATCGGCGGGCGGGCAAGAACTTCCGCATGATGGGAGACAAACTGATCCTCTTCCTCCTGAGATCGATGCTCGATATGGTAGAGGGCCATATCGCCGGCGGCTTCATCGGGATTAATACCTTCCTTTCCGACGATAAACTCGCGCACGCGACCTTTCTCCCAGTCGTAAGCATCAGGAATGGCTTGCTTGTCGTCCTATACAACGAGATTTCATTAAACGTCCAAATTCTGCTCAACATATGCATCGCTCGCTGTCACCAGTCGTTAGAAATAAAATAATATAATTACAGAGACACTTACTTTGTCCAGAAGAAACTCAATAGCTTTCATCATGATTTTCGGGTGTAAAACACCAAATTCTCCCTCTTTTTCCTGCTGTTGCAAATTTTGCAGAAAGAAATCTACAACAAAAACATTATTTTCGATTCCGCAGTAAAGGCTTCTTCGCAGAGCACCCACCATCAATTGTCGGCGGCCCGACATCAAGCAATGATTCCAATACACCATGGCGTGTACCATTCAATTCCGCTGTCCCATTCAGTTCCGTGGTGCCATTTGTCAATCCATTCACATGTTTCGCCTTTTTGAACACAATCTTGAACATATTTTTCGGGTTGGCCACCACTCCCGCAAATTCCTGACCCAGTTTGATGGGATTAACAAAATACTCTCCGGTAATCTCCACGTTCATCTGCATAACCGGTGGCCACGGCATCTGCGGATTTCCTTCGCGCTCCAATCCAGCTTTCTCCAAGGCTGTATTAACCGCGGTTTTTACGGTCTCAATTAAACTTTTTTCCGAGGTGCCTGCTTCCTGATCGCCAGCAGCGGCTGGCACTTCCCAGCTCAAATGCTCCAGAATCATCGGTCGAACGGTTTTCAACGGTACAGCCTGTAAACGCGACTGCTTCCCGCAGATCTCCACAATGAGTGCGTGCTTGGTCGGCACTTCATCCGGTGAGAGATTAACCCGGACGGTACTGCCCGGCTGGATATAGCGGAATCCGAGCGGATGCTGTTGGATTTCCGTCAGGCTTTCGTGCTCCCGCCCACAGATCACCAGATCCATCCAGGGTTCGATAATGCGGGTAATGGGTTCCGTGGGCTTCTGGCTGCGCTTCATGGCGCGATCCTGATGTACGGCAAACAAATTAAACCACGTCTCCTCGACATTGTCCAGCGGTCGAGAGAAGCTGATGTTTTTCTCCTTGATCAGTCGTTCCAACAGTTCCTCTCGAACGGCCCCCAGAGTGTACAAACAGAGCAGAGATTCTCCCTTGCGCAGCAAAAGCGGTGGAATGTGCACGGAGTCTAGAGGCACCAGGAAGCAAGGTTAATAATGCGAAGTCAAAAACAGTAATCACAAAGCAAATAGTAGTTTCAAAAATGAAGACTGTTGTAGAAAGAAAGTTTGTACACGCAGATACTTATGCGCGGCATTATGTATCTAATTTCCAATAAACCATAAGCAATTATCAGAATTCTAGAGTTCGAAAGAGCCGTTGATATATTTGTCAAGAACAGGTTAACGCAAGTCGCAAAGTGTTTACTAAGTCAACTGAAAATTGCAGCAAAATCATTTTGAATTTCAAAGTGCGCTTGCTAATTGTAAGGCTTCAGCAACTAACAAAAACAATAAGTCCGCAACATAAAATTCTGAGCGAAAACAGAAAAATAGTACAGTAAAAGAAAAAACTTAGAAGATTTTGTTCTCAAGTATTCGACACGGAATATTATAAAACAATATATCATTAAATATAAAATAAAGTTTATCCTGCTTTTAGTTTACAACAATACACGCTTTGATTTATAACGTTTTGATTTTTTGATTTCTACTTCTCGCGAAACACGATTTACCAGAGCTCGTGACTTTTCCACAGAAATCAATCAAGCCCGCTCGATCCAGAACATCCAATTCCGACAGATTCCCTAATCCCGACAGATCATCGCTGAACCCATTAATGGCCAGCACAGGCATCTCCACGTTGATGTTGGGATCGAGAAAGTTGGGCGCGTGCAACAGTACACTGCCGTCTTTCTGGGGCTTAGACCAGTCGTTCAGGCACTCCACACTGACGGGTGCGTTGCCCCAACAGTTGTTGCGCAGCGCATTCATGGTCGCGTGCACGGCCCATCTGGATGGGTTTGATTCATTAAACAAATCCCCTGCAAAAAACCAATTTTAAGTTAAAAAACGAAAATATTCAATTCAATCTGCTCCGAGTTCACCGAAGCTGAAATACGAAATCATCACTTTTACAGCTATTTGCCACGCACCAGTTATGAGGATCAAATCCACCGACTGCGATTTGGCAGTCCGTAAAATTTCCTGTAGGGTGTTAACTGCATCCTGCATACGCTCGGGTTCCCTCTCAGCGTACCCAATATGCAGGTTCGATGTGACCAGAATCCTGAACGTGTTCTCAGGTTGAAACATTTCCTTTCAGCGTCTCCACCTCCTCTAATTCAAATTAAAACCCGAAGACGATCTGTAATTCGGCGGCTACGATCATAGAGAATATCTCGTCCTCTCGATAGGGGACGAAATTTTAGATTACAAAAACAACCACCGTTGCAGCTTGCTCAAAAATCAAACAGGAATGCAGTGTTCAATGCACAAAGGCAAAGCGATGCCATGGTCGATCGATAAACGCTGAAGGCTAACGCAAAATGGCCGGTCCAGTTTCGTTTCGACTAGCGTTTGGTACAGGGAATTTAGTATATCGGCCTATCTGGTTATACCGTGACTCTGTGAGCACAACTGTAAATTAAAATTAATGCTTTGGTTGCATTGTTCTTCGTTGTTTTCCTTGGTTTTTTTCTTTATTTAGAAAAACTAGAAGGTTAGTCCTGGTTGGAACCAAAGTAAACAAAAGCTCTGCGTAAACGCACGCGATAAATTTAAAATAATACTTTAAATGCACATGCATAACACACAACGCAAACCAAACAATGCCTCACTCACCATGGTCAGTTCACTGCATATTGTAAACGTGCGTTTTAACTTGAACTGCAAATTTCACCTGCAATTGGCGAACAAAATAGGTATGCAACATTTCATATTATTACAGCATTCAAACAGTGTACGAAATCCGAAGTGGTCATTGCTGCGCGCAGCAATTTAAACAGAATTTTCATATCAATCTTTTCTCATTTTGTTGACTACGATAAAATTACTTTCACCAGACACACCGATCTTCGTAACTCCATTAAATTATAAATCATTAATCATGTACTGAATTTATAAGCGCATCGCTTTTCCGATTTACAAAAAAGGTCTAAAAATTTTACTGGCTTTCCGAAAATCCATCTACAATAAATGTCACAAATAAGGAACACGAATGTGAATAAGGCCAACGCAGAGACCAACGCAATCAGACCGGAAATAAAGGAAACTACTATTCGCCAGCTCCGACGGGCGGTCGCGCAACGGTTGGCATGCGAATAACTTCAACTTGGCTAGACTCCTTGAAAGTGTCCAGTACACTGCAAAATACATGCATTTAAGACGGGTACCTCATACCGCTATCAACTTCCATACCTTTGACTAAAGGAAAGCGGAGTCAGGAAAATAAACTGCCGACCGGAATTAACTGCAGCATCAATAAGCCGAAGCATCGCATAATCTCTGTTGAGCATATCCTAAAATATACTTCTCGTGTAATCACCGAAGCGTGATGACCGTACGGTCCGTACCACCCGACCACGTACCATGAAAACATCGAATTCATCCAATACTCGAAAAGGAATCTCAATTAACTGCCACAACGCCAGTAGAAACGAGACCATAGTGAAGGAGCGTTCACCACCGGACAGAGATTTCACATTAGATTCCACACACTGAGATTCCGGGTGCGGTTTAACCAGAAATTTCAGGTTTCTTGCTTCGTGATCGAGTTCAATGTCCCCTTCAAAACCGCGTTCGCTCATTATTTTCGCAAAAAGCTCTTTGATGACTCCACTGGCTTTGTGCCTTGCGAGAACATAGTTCTTCTGACGCTGTGTGGCATTTTTCATCATCAACTAGTGGAACAAACACACCGTGATAACTCAAATGCGGGTGCAGAAATCTTTTTTTATAACAAAGCGCCACTCACAATAACGGCTTTAGTGGCAGTACGCAACTGATGGTCTACAATTTCTTTACTGTCATTCAACTCCTTCAGTTTCTGAGCACAATAATCGTAGGAATTTTCGACGTTAGAGTCCACATTGCGCAGCAGTTGTTCCAGATTGGCCAGTTCCCCTTCCAATTCTTCTTCACTGGACACTTGTTTGCTTAAGTACCGTTCATGAATGCCAAACTCCAGAGTTTCCCGTTTCTTATCCTGCAGACAAAAACTCACTATTCGACAGATTTTGCCACATGCTTAGCGTTGGTCGCAGGGAAAGCAGAGCGAAAAACTGAAATAACAATTACAACATGCATTGAAGTAGAACAGCAATACCTCTTGAAGCTGCAGAGCAGCAGCAACTTGTTGCTTTTTCTCTTCAATTATCTTTTCCAAGCTGGCTGATTGTCTTTGAGAAGTTCTGATATCCGATTCCATGCCTTCAATCTTTCGCTCTAACCTCTCATACTTTCCCTACGAGTATATACAGTGAACATGACCTTTACCGCAACAAAATCCTGTCTCGAGAGATTACAGCTTATGCCTAAAAACAGTTTCTTACCACAATTTCATCAAGTTCTTTAACTTCTTCTTCCGCCGTATTTTTCATTTCTCGAAATCGCTCGGAGGCCTTGTTCTCCCTGGCTTTGGCCGTTTCCAGCTCGACTTCGAGCTGTGTCACACGTGTTTCGGCTTCTTCAGCAGCGAGTTTCAGTTCCTCCACTTCATCCAACATCACTTGGATATCCGTAGGCTGAGCGATTTTGACCGCTTCCAATTCGACGCTGTTACAAAAACCCCATGACGCTAAAAACCGGTGGTTTTGTTGGTGAGAACGCTTACGTCAACGCTGTTAAACGGTTCTGGTTTCGTGCATCGTTGTCATCATATTCCTTCAGTTGACGCGTCTTATTCATTAATTCCCGCTCACGCTTTTTCACTTCTGCGCTCAATTCGGCCTGTCTGCGCTTCCTTTCCTCCAGTTCTGCACTTTTCTGATTTCGCAGCATAGTTTTTGAACTATCCATCAAATCAACACTGTCACTAAGAGGTGCCAACGGTAAAATATCCACATTCTTACTCAATTTCGGTACCAACATCCTTGCAGAGCAGTCGATTTTCGTAATCCGAACTGGGAACAAACATGTATCCATCTTGATCGCTGTGCTGATTGGCCTGGAGATCGTAAACCTGAAAGCGAAATTTTACCGCCTTGCGATGATCTCATTTGTGTAGTTATTATTTTTTAATCCAAACTTACCATTCTACATCCCGCCACACGCGGGCCACTGCGGTAATACTGACGAGCCAGCTCGGTGGTGGGCATTACCAGAATCTGATGCAATCCTAACGCGTCAAGGATAACGTTTCTAACGTGAGGATGCTTGAAAGAAACGACATCCGCTACGGTTGGATGCGCAGAACGGCAAGCCTGAAAGAAAACATTTCGATAAGAGCCCATAAACTTAACCCCAAAATAAAGACGCCACAAGCTCTACTCTAGATTTACGCTGCTGAAATTCAACCAAACAAAAATAAAAGGTAATTTATTCATTATTCCAACAGGAACTTACGTCGTCGAAAGGCATCTCTGAAGTCTGCAAACGGAAAACATGTACAGACAAGATTAAAATCGGAAACCACATGCCGTAACCGGAATTCTCACCATAAATGCGCCGCCAACGCAGTCCAGCGGCGGCGCCGGTAAACGCACTTTTCGGAATTCCTCAGTGATACGCTGCCGATCTCTTTCGTCTTCAATTAAGTATGTACGAAAATAAGGTCCTACGACCTTCTCCACCACTTTGCCATATATATCGTCCTTTAGATTCAATTCCAGCACTGGGGAGAATTCATGGTAATACAATTAACACCAACTAAAAATTTACAGAAGATACAGAAGTACTGCATCGCTTACGTACCACACGGCCCGATTATTTTTCCCTTCAACACCCCAGGCTGCTTCATAAGGCCGTCCATCAACTGCTTCTGTTTTGTAGCAAAATCATTCCGTGGATCCATTCTCTTCAGAATTCCCCAGCTGTCATTAGCGGTGGTGGTGAAACTTTGTATTTCACGGTCCAACTCGCTAACGTGCCGTTGCAGCGCTGTCAGTGCTGACCTAAAACGTGACATTGTAAAACTTCAGATTTCATTCCAATTTCAAACTTTGTTACGACTTACGTATTTTCATCCAGCGCATTTTTTGCTCTTCCCACTTCGGTATTAATCGCGATTCGTTCATCGAAAATCGTTTTCCGCTCAGATTGTCCTTGTCCTAAGTTATCATTCAACTGTTTGATTTCGGATTCCAGGTCCGCCTTCTTTTGATCAAAATCGTCCAGATCTTGTCTAAACATAGATGCAATCGAAATCAAGCCCGGCAGAAAACCAAAAACGTAAGCAGTTTGCAAACACGAATACAACGCACCGCTGTTTAGATCGCTGAAGCTCAGTCTCAAAAGTACGCAAATTACGCTTCTTTTCCGCCAGTTCAGCCTTTGCATCTTCCAGTTTAGTCTGGCAATAAATACTGAAGTTAAGCACATACATCAAACTGCCAAAAGCCACAAAGAGAAACGAAAAAAAGGGCTTTGTGGAAATTAAAAAAGAATTACCTTTGCGGTCTGCGTTGTTTCTTTCAGCTGCTTCATTTGCGGTTTATTGGTATCCAAAATCTGCTGTGACTCCTGCATAGCGGGCGTTAACTCTTCCCGACGAGTTTTCAATTCTTCCAGTTGGTTTTTGAATTCCGGAATTCTATCCCGGGATTTTTGCAAAGAAGCTTCGTGAGTTTGTAAGTTCGACTGAGCAGTGGCCAGTAATGATTTCGCACTGGCAGTCTGTTTTTCCAAAATCTGATACTGGCCGATTTTGATTTTCGCCTTCACTTTTTTTATGTTGGTTTGCAGGTCTTCAGGGCGATGGCATTTTGACAACTTTCCCTCCCACTCCGTAATAGCGGCTCGAATCGGCTCCATTTCCTAAAAGAGTCAAATAAAAAAAACATGATCCTGGGCAAAAGCGAATTTAAAGCCACCATCACCTGTTCTTTCTGAGTTACGGTGATTTTTGTTTCACTGGCTTGTCTTTCTACGGTTTGTACGGATTCCTCCATTTCATCCAACAAAGGCGCTTTGTAGAAGAACTAAAAAAATTTTACGTAGTGTTTCACATACAGCAAAAACTGAGCGTGAAAGCCATCGTACCGAATACAATTCTTTCCCGGTTTTGGAATTCAAGAAGCTTCGACAGGTGTCTTGATTCATAAGGAAGACAGGATTGTTCACCTGAAAAAGGTACAAGTTCTCGATCTGGTTTACCTCCACAAAAACGAAATACAACCTGAATGTTGTAATGCTGGAGTATGGCATCCAAATCTGCTCGCTTCTTGGATATCACTTTTCCTACAAATGCGATAAAACACACAGGAATCACGCCGAGTGTCGATAATAACAAACGACTTTCAAGCAACACTACGTGTGAATCCTGAGCCACCTTTCGCAGATATTTATAACAGACTTCTCATGAATACCTGAGGCCGAACATATTTTATACGCTCCACTTTTATCCAAATGAAAGGTTCTTTCGATAATAATAGTATGCCCATAAATGTCTGGTGCGAAGGGCTTCGGTCCGGCTCCAGCATTTTGCAGGTGAATTATTACAGAAGCAGAGCTACAGAAATGTTTAAAAATAAAAAAAACTGGCAGCGAAAGCCCAAGGAAGCAAAAAAGTTCCAGATTGCTCAATCACGAACCGTTGTCCGTGTTTAATCAGATCCCCCAGTTTGGTTCCTCTGGCCGTCGCTCCTGTTTTAAAACACGAACTTAAACAATACATAGGGATATTAAACAACCATAGAAGTATATTAACTTAAGCAGCCGTATATTATCCATGCCGTAGACGGTAAATTATCCTTCGAAAATTAAATCGTTAATTCGAAGGTGATAATTTTCGTTAGGGAAGTAGACATCTGACTGTCTACGGCATTCTGAATTTTTAACTAGCAAAGAAAATGTTGATAAATTCTATGCCAAAATTTTCTTTAAAATACTTTATTATAAAAAAAGAATAATGTGCAATGCGTTTATAAAACATAATAAACAAACTGACAACACGTAAATACTAAGTAACTGAAATCCGCAGAGCTCCAACTAACCTGCGCGCGCTCCGAAACCAGCGACGATTCCAGCGAGAACCGCACTCTTCCCGCTGCCATTATGCCCCGTGACAAACGACACTTGTGATCCAAAATCAACAGTAAGCTCCGAGTGGCACATAAAATTAATCAGCTTCACACGTTTGATGCTTCCGGCACACAGGTTGGTGTTTTCCGACATTTTTGCAGATGTCCCTCAGCGACTGAGCAGAACCACAGTTTTCAGCAATCTCTGTTGACACTTGACACTTGACAGGTATGACCGTATGTGCAACACTACGCCAGAAGCCACCCCACAACCAAGAACGACTCTGCTTGGAGGTACTTCCATACATGTACATATAACAAAGAAAACATAAAATACTTAGGAAAATCACCTGAGTCAAACTGCAGCCACAAGTGACAACTGCATGTTTCGACAAGTGCGAGTGCTGTTTGCAAATTTATACCGTACGTCCATACACCTACTGCAGAATTTTTTGTGTCCGTTCTGGCGGGTGTCAGATCATTCGCAGCTGGTTCTTGGCCCGGTCATTTTGCGGCTCGCAAGTTTATAGTTATGTTACGAAGAGGGTTTCTAAAAGGCCAGTTCAGTTATTTTTCTTATTATACGTCCATTGAAGGTTAACATTCGGCGTCCGTAATAATATTTAGAAATAAATTAATCTAGTAATAAAGTAGTTAATGTAAGTTGTATTATTATTATTATCCAAATAAAATCTAAACATTAATAAGTAACAACCGTCGACCGTCGCCTGCAGTTTAGACTTTGTAGCCGACCAATTTTAATACCCGAAGACCAGCCAAACTGTGTCGGTTTTGGACTGTAGCAGCTGTTGTCTGTTCTGGACTCAGCGCTTTGAATTTTAGTCCTGATCACGATCTTGCAACATTTGCAAAAATTTTAAAAATAATTTACATGTTGAACAATCGTTTTTATCGTTTTTTTAAAACGCCATCTGAAATATGGTTTTATGCCAGTCATATTTTCTTTGTTTCTTTTCTCCACGGAGCAGGATATCACTGCATGACGTGATTTGTATTGGTTTATGAGTCGGTTCTCATTTGCATCTGCTGCTTTAGTAATAATTCGATCCCTCTTTTCTCGTTGCACGCAGCATGTCATCAAACTCCGAACGACATATCAATGGAAACAGGTCAGGTTTTATTTTAAACGTTTTTAGTTGTTATAAATCTCATAAGAGTAACTCACAATATAGGCAAAAAAGCAAGATAAATTCGTAATGTCGGCCACGCACTTTTTGTGAGAAATTATTACGGAGTGGCATTAGTCTGTTTTCAAAGTGAACTCTGCATTTCAGGGACTGCGGTAATCTCCGAACAACATTCGCAAAAAATTTGGAAAACAACAACTTGACTCAAGAACCTGTTCGCAGTATTTTACGTCAGGTATGCAGTGCAATGGTGCTTACTGTGTACCACTGTACAGAGCAGTTGCTTTACAGCCTTTACTGTACTACTTGACCAGACTTTTGCTTTCTTTAGTATTTGGTTTCCTGCGAGAACCTTGAGAGTTATCTTACAGGCGGGAAAAGTTCTGAACGTGAGGGGTAAACAGTTTCACAATCTGGTCGACATCAACGTTTCGGATGACGAAGAGGAATCAGTATCTCCGCCTAGATTCTCTGGACGGCCGTCGTCGGTTAGCTTGAAACGTGCATTTGGAATCGAGGAGGTACTTGTTCGCGTGTCTATTCATTTTGTCCACCTATCATTTTGTCCACCATTCATTTTGTCCACCAATCATTTTGTCCACCATTCATTTTGTCCACCATTCATTTTGTCGACCGTACACTTTGTTTACGATACAATTCGAAAAGTACGGTATTTCTATTTTTTCTGTGACAACGCTAGTATGAATTTAATAAACTCGCATATCTATAGTAGTCCGATAAGTATTAGATTGTAGTCGCACGCACAAAAAGGCTTACGATAGACGGTACGATATACGATAGGCTCTTGCACGTCATCACAGCGTACCCTTACCGGACCGTTTGACGATAGGATTGACGGTAAAAGGCTCAGATATCGTCGAGCATACCGTTGTGCTCAGCGATATAGCAACCACTCGCGGTGGCGGTGGCCTCCATAACAACGGCTGCACTTGCCAAAACACGAAAGTTTTGAATTGGTAGAGTAAGCTTTAAGTATTCTTGATTAACCAGCAAAGTAAATCAAAAGAAGGATGAAATTATTTGAAGTTTTTTGATACCAAGTGGGAGCGGTTTATCCAAAAATTCACGATTCTACAGCCATTTGCGTTTACCATGCTAAGCTTACGGAGCAGTTGGAGTACTCTGCGCAAGCTGTTGACTCAGACTCCGTAGACTTCTGTGTTAATTAAAAATGCTCCTAGACACGTTCACTGGCGCTCAAATTTCGATGTTCTGATATCGAAAAATAATCTGGAATTTTAGTTTTAATATGACTTACAGCTGGACGCGGTTTATCTCATACAAAAGTGCCAAGGCTGATTGAAACTTTTCACGTTTCTTTCACGAAAGCATGACTCGGCTGTATGTATCGTACACCGTTTGCGATGAGTGCGACAGCTCTGAAGTGCTAACGATACGGTGTCCCACCGTATCGTTTACCGGACCGTATACCGTGACTGTGTAGCGACTACAATCTATTAAGTACGTACTATGAGAACATTTACAGATATTCATATCTATGGTTTCATTTTATATGGCAGATATTACAATCTTTTATTGCAAAATTCTGCACAATATGGCAGATATTACAATCTTTTATTGCAAAATTCTGCACAATATGGCAGATATTACAATCTTTTATTGCAAAATTCTGCACACTTGCCGCAGCAATATTGAGTGAGGTAATTTGTACGTAATACTGCTGCTATACCTAGTGAAGCGAGCGAAGCGTTTTTAATTTAAAGTGTGTAACGGGGCGAACCGGAGAACCGAGTTCCCGGGGTCCAGGGGCGAAGCCCCTGGCCGGGGTTTGGTGCGGAGCCCCAATAAGCAGGGGGTGCGGGGGGCGCAGCCCCCCGCTGAAGCAATTAAGAAGGTAGTTTAAAATCGTGAACCTAACCGGGTTATAATTGACGGACCCAATGGGGAAATGTCTGTTCGGCCGTAAATTTGGACCCAGTGCAAACGCGTAGACCGGGTCGGGTGGTGGCATTTTGGGGAACCGTAACGTAAACTATAACCGGGTCATTATTGACGAACCCGCCGTAGTAATATACGGGGGTCCGGAAATTTGGACCCGGTCTGGATTTTTTTAGCGGCCCCGGGTGGAGCAGTTTTGGGGAACCGTAACGTAAATTATAACCGGGTCAATTTTGACGAACCCGCCGTAGTAATATACGGGCGGTCCGAAAATTTGGACTCGGTCCGGATTTTTTCAGCGGCCCCGGGTGGTGCAGTTTTGGGGAACCGTAACGTAAATCATAACCGGGTCATTATTGACGAACCCGCCGTAGTAATATACGGGCGGTCCGGAAAATTGAACCCGGTCCGGATTTTTTTTGCGCCCCCGGGTGGAGCTGTTTTGAGAAACCGTAACGTAAATTATAACCCGGTCATTATTGACGAACCCGCCGTAGTAATATACGGGCGGTCCGGAAATTTGGACCCGGTCCGGATTTTTTTTGCGCCCCCGGGTGGAGCTGTTTTGGGGAACCGTAACGTAAATTATGACCGGGTCAATTTTGACGAACCCGCCGTAGAAATATACGGGGGGTCCGGAAATTTGGACCCGGTCCGGATTTTTTTAGCTGCCCGGGGTGGTGCAGTTTTGGGGAACCCGTAAATTATAACCAGGTTATTACTGACGAACCCGCCGTAGTAATATACGGGGGGTCCGGAAATTTGGACCCGGTTTTTTAGCGGCCCCGGGTGGAGCAGTTTTGGGGAACCGTAACGTAAATCATAACCGGGTCATTATTGACGAACCCGCCGTAGTAATATACGGGCGGTCCGGAAATTTGGACCCGGTCCGAATTCTTTTAGGCTAGGAACAGTTTTCGGGAACCGCAACGTTAAATGTAACTGGGTCAGTATTGACGAACCCAGTGATATACTGGTGGTAAAATTTGTACCCGAGAATAATTTTTTTGCGACATTGTTTGGTTGGCGTTTTGGGAACTGACGTTTTAGGAAATATTTTTTCACTTTTCAGGATTCCGCCGTGCAATTGTCTAAGTAGCCCGATTTATGAACCCTGTCCGATCATTTTACCCGGTGTTGGTGGTGGAATTTTTATGTTTGCCCGTAACAGGTTACTTTTATCGTGAAAGTCCCTGCAACCATTTCTAAATACTATCAATAAAATTACCGTACCCGCAATACGTTACTTTAGCAGGGGATTACTGTTACCATAACAAATTACTTTTTAAGCAACGGATGATTATTACTGAATTTCTGTAATAATTAAACCTTAGCGTAACGGGTTACCGTTACCACAAACTGTTCTTTAACGGATTACTATGGCGGGATACTGTTACTGCTACCGTTACCGTAATAGATTACCGTGCGTATTTTGTTCATCGTTTCGGGTCACCGTAACCGTTACTGCTTACTTTTAGCATCGCCAGTTGTCCCAATGGGTTGCTGTTACTTTAATACTTGATTGTTTTGATAAGAAAGATGAGGGCGACGCCAGGCTGCACCGCGAACAACCAAATGATTATTGCTCCAAAAAAAAGATGTAAAAATCTTAAAAAAAGCTTACCTGAATTGGATTTAGAATTACTAACACCGGTTATCCTATTAATCAAGGAGTAACTACGGAAATTCGCGATCACGAAGGTTGTGAGTTATAACTTTATTTGAAGGGGTACGCTTAAAAAGCGCACATTCAAGAATTTGTAAATTTTTAAACAAAATCCAAAGGATTTTGAGGCTTTTGTGCAGTTGTTGGAAATATGTTTTAAAACGTTACCATAGCAAAACATTTCTTTAATAACGTCAGCATTATGCAAGCGCAGTGCAGCATGCGAGCAGCAAGCAAAACGAGTTGATTCTATTGCCATTTTATTCTGTAAAAATTCTTACAGTTCCGCTTGAACTTTTCGTTACCGTGTTGATACGGCAGCGGAAACCGAAGGCGGAGCCAAAGGCGACGCCGAGCTGCGGCGCGAGCAAGCGCAGCGCAGCAAGCGGAGCAGCAAGTAAAACAAGAAAATTCTATTGCTCTTTTATTCTAAAGAAATTCTTACAGTTCCGTTTGAACTTTTCGTTAACGTGTTGATACGGTAGCGGAAACCGAAGGCGGAGCCAAAGCCGACGCCAAGCTGCGGAGCAAGCGAGCGCAGCGCAGCAAGTAAAACAAGGGTATTCTATTGCTCTTTTGTTCTAAAGAAACTCTTACAGTTCCGCTTAAACTTTTCGTTACGGTGTTGATACGGCAGCGGAAACCGAAGGCGGAGCCAAACGCGACGCCGAGCTGCGGTGCGAGCAAGCGCAGCGCAGCGAGCGGAGCAGCAGGCAAAACGAGAGGATTCTATTGTCCTATTATTCTCAAAAGATTTTTCTTACAGTTCCGCTTGAACTTGATTTTGAAACGACTTTTAACAAAATTCTTAAAATTTTTAAAACTTTTAAATTTTCTTCTTACAGTTCCGCTTGAACTTTTCGTTATTGTGATGATACTGCAGCGTGCTATCAAGTAGAACGAAACATTTACTTTTTTCACTTCAAACCTTTTTCAATAAATATTACAAAATCTTAATAAATTCTGCATGAAATTTCAGATATCAGTTTTGCAAATGAAAAAGAAATTATTTGATTGCTGGAAAAAAGTTTCTCGCCCTGGGCTGCAACTCCCTATTTCAAACTTAAAAACAGGCTCATTTCTGAAGGTTTATATAAATCTGAAAACAAAAGAACAAAAACAATGAACCTCAGCGTTTAACGTTCATGTTTTTTTGCGGAGAAAAAGAAAGGAGTTCTACCTCAAAGGTCTTTACAATTACATACACCACTGTTCACAGAAATTTAATCACGTGGCCTTGCCCTCACGAGCATTGCGTATATTGGACAAGGTTCAACGAAGTAAGTAAAATGGTGAAATTTCCTGATTCTGAAACAACTTTTAACAAAATTCTTAAATTTTTAAAGACTTTCAAAGAAAATGTTGTAGAAATTTTTTGAAGATAATCACGCGATCCATGAACTTTATTATAAACCGAAGATTCTTAGTCAAATCAATACCAAAACACTAAAACTTTTTCGCGCCAGGTCAAGTTGAGTTAGTACGATGAGACCAAAAACGACCGTGGATTACCAGCCATAGTCATGTGCGGGAAACGGGCACTTGGTGTTCAAAACCATGGTAAGTATGAGTTACTCGACTGCTGTTTTGCTTTAGAATAAATTCAACCGAATAAAACTAAAAACCATGGAAAAACATGGTATCCTTTACCCAAAAAAGTTATCCATTTAGTAACCGCTACTGCGTTATTGTTACGTTGCCGCTGCCAACAGACATCGAATAAGGTGTTGAACCGATAAATCGTTTGCGCAATAAATTAAGCCAAACCACGCTTTGCGAAAACATTGATCTCTTAAACAGAAATGTGTGCCGGCGCTTCTCGGATCCTGTGTGATTAAATCGGCATACGCGATTTGTATAAGTCAATGTGTTAATTCATCTGCAGCAAAACAATCTTTCCGTGAATTTGTAAATACTAGGATTTAAATGGCTAAAATTTCTATGCTTCTAGCAACCAAATGAAAAAATTAAAACAAAGAGTTTTTTGGGTTGTTGACTACCGGCGGAGAATCGTTAATTCAGTTCAGAAACAGAAGGCGAGAAGTTGCGGAATAGTGACTGCATAGTCAGATATTTGCGCTAAAACGGGCTTTTCTGCCAATAGACGAAACGATGCGGCAGCTTTCCAGGTAAGCAATGCAATCGAGTTCTGGCCAACTGCCAATCTAGCAAAAATTTAAAAATCTGAAGTGGAACATATTTTCTGCTTTTCCATGGACCACCAGCACGAAAAGTAATATTTCTAAGTTTACCACCAAAATTTACCAACAAAAATTGGTTTGATAGACCGTCACGAACTGTTAGAGTATTTTGCAGAGAATCACTGATTTACGGTTAGTCATCGACTGCGGTGCAGCGTGAATGGCGAATCAAGGCCGCCAGAAGTGTAGTGACGTGGACCATGTTTAGTACAGCCGTCTGTTTAGTGAATTTTGCTGCCAAACGGTTTTGCATAGTTCGCTCTTAATTGCGGTTGCGTTGGGAAATCTCTTCAATTAGCAGGTTATGTTTCGTTTTTTCTCTGCAAGCGGTAGTTTTGGAAATTCAGCCTGTGCAAACGATTGTACTTGACGGGTAACGGCCTGGGTTGCGCTTGTTGAACAGGCTCTAAGTCCTTCGGTCCAATATAAGCGTAAAAGTTGAACGTACCCATTAAATCGGCTCGAGCGTAACCGCAAAAAATATTTCGGCCAACACACAAATCTGAAATGCCTTTGGCTTGGTTAGCTCAATCGTCTCAACCTCCCCCCCCCTCCTGCGTAGTGCCCAAAAAATTTAAATTTTTAATTTTTAGAATTAAGTTTTACGAGAAAAGTTAATTAGAAGAAATTTACGCGTTATAAAAATACATCTTTTATCTTTTTACACGCAATTTTCAGCCAACCAGAAACCATTTCATCTTACGAAATTCGGAATTTAGTTTCTTGGAACGCATGCATCAGTACGAAGCTCAAAGAATATTATATTTTTTTAACGGAATCAAAAATGAAAAAAATTCAAAAATAACATATTGTATTGGCATAATTCCGCAAACGGCATAAAAATAATGATATCATATCGGCATCGTAGCGGTGGCAAAAACTGATATCTGAGCAGCTCTGGTGATAAGCCTTCCACAGCATATGCAACAGCTACAAAAAACGAGTAAACTCAACTACTCCTGTTTCAGTGACGCAGTCTTACCCAACCGAGTTTTTTACAACAAGAAAAATTTACACGCTTGCTCGCTTGCACTAAGGGCGGTTACGACCTTTATACTAGTTCTGCGCAGCTGTATGCGTTACAACTAATAAGCAAACGGTAAACAAGCAATACGGATGAGTTAGATTTATGCACATAATACAGCGCGCATCTACCTGCTTCCATCTTACGCCCAGACCGTGTCTACTGCGTGTTTTTTTTATTTTAACTACCGTACTTAATATTAAATTAAGGTCACTGCTATGCGCCAGGAAAATTCCTGGCGCATAGCACTTTCGTTAAATTAATATTAAATTAAGCGGTAATATTGTATTTATAGTATATTGAATTAAGTATCGTAGACCAAATGAATGGTGGACAAAATGATTGGTGGACAAAATGATTGGTGGACAAAATGAATGTGCGACAAAATGAACGGTGGACAAAATGAATGGTGGACAAAATAATAGGACGCCCCTGTTCGTACTCGTTCATTGGGAAAGAATTATGTTTTTAATATTATACATTATTGAACATTGTGGTGTTAAAGGTATAGAAGTAAAAATATTTGTAATTCTATCTTTAATTTTCCGGTATATTTCCGGCATTTACATTATTAGAAAATAAATTAAGTACGTACTGTAAATTAAGTACGTAAATAATTAAGTTAATTAAATAAATTAAGTATGTTAATTAGATAATTAATTAGGTAATTAAATAAACCTGTCCGGCATTTACATTGTTAGAAAATAAATTAGATACGAACACTTGCCAAATTTATTGGGTTCCTACGAGTATATGCCGCATATCTTGCATTTCATTTGCACTTTTACGGCTTTTCCGTTTCCTTGTATTTCCCAGTTATGTTTTCTGCGTATAGTGTTTGACCGAGATTGGTGCTTCTAGCCCCGGAAAAGTGGTCAAACACTTATGGATTTTTTCGATGACCGGTGGTTGGAATTCTACGCTACCAACGGGAACGAAAAATCGCAGAAAGGATGCCCTAGCGTTTCGGTTAAGGATTCGAGAAAGGGCCAGAATTTGCAACCTGTTTTGTCAAAGCCGGTGTCTGAGTTACGGCGGCCATGGTTCGCTGTGTACTGTGACGAGATGTACGATCCACCTGATCCATGCAAACCAGACAACGAATGCTCGTCACCACTTGACCCTGATCCTTCCAGATTTTCGTGCGGCTTCTAATTTTCTTCAGAACAGTTTATGTGCTGTGGTTGGTGCCTGCAGCAGCTGTTTGGTAGCACACCTTTCCGATTTTAAAAGTGTATTCCATGGTTTGACAAATATTGCCAAAGATGCTGTTTGTTACAATATTTTTTTCGCATTTAGCTGAAATCGTTAAAATTAATGGCAAAAATAATTTGGTTGAAAAATATAGAAAAGGTGCCGACCACATCCTGTTTAGAACAACTCAGGAACGATCATAACGTTCATTATCACCGAATTCATCTGGGTATTAACATAGGAGACCGTCATTCGCGAACAACAAAATAAATGCGACAGATCTTAATTCTCCAGGTGTAAGTTATCATTGTGTTTTATTTATGCATCAAGTTCTAAAACAGTTTTTCTACCTCTTAACAAAATTCTCCAAATATATTTTGTTAACAATCAGAAGATATGTCCATATTCTTCTGCAGACTGTGATTGGGCCATGGCAATCTGAAGACACTGCATCCACTGTTCAGCATTGCTAGGATCTTTGGCTTTGAGCAGGAAAACTTTATTATCGTTGGTAAATAGTTCAAACACAGTGGGGATGGACCTAATCCCGCGAGCATTGATGGGTTTCACACTGCGAATTCTTCGCATATCAATAGGAACAACTTTGTCGGTGCTCTAAACGTAAAAAGCAAGTCCGTCAACAACAAAAGAAGAAGCAGGAAACTATCAATAATGTTCTGTACAATACATCAGTACTAGATCTTTATTATACCGAAGTGTAAAAGAATGGTGATATTTACAGATTTATAAGACAGAAATGGTCCGGAGAGTGTAAAATATCTTGAGCGCCAGCGTCTCAAAAATGTCCACCGACCCTTCTTTTCCTTTAGAACGCCCTAAAAGCAAACTTTATGAGACTATAATTATAATCATTACATACATTATAATCATTAATGTACTTAATTATAATCACTACATACATTTCCTTTATGAGTAGCAACGATACAAATAGACGGCCAACTTAAAAAACTGTGAAGTACGAAACAGACACATCCTTTATAATAAAAGATTAAGAGGGGGCGTGACCAGTGTGTCTGGCAAATCCCCCAGAATCGGAGGATGGATCAATATTCAACGTTTACGGATCATTCGATAGCGCTGAATTCGAAGATGAGCCCGCAGCTTTCGGATTTCAAAAAACAAACATCCTTCGAGAGAAAACTTTAAAAAACCCTATCATACAAAGTCTACGGAACCCCAACACAACCAATCAGTGAAGACTTAAAGTAACTGCCTTGCTGCAGAGCTTGCGCGGGTTATATGGTTATATCGTGAAACAAAATTTGAAAAATTTTGTTTGTTGTGATGTTTTCGGTCTGCAATGGTTTTAAGAAATCTTTTTTTAATAGATTATTAAAGATCATAAAAATTTAGACTCAAGAAAGGTTTAAGTCATTTTGACAACCGAACTCACAAACGACCCAGGGAAGTGTCCCAAGTGAGGGGGGAAGTGTTCAAGTGTCCCAAGTGAGAGCTGCATGTGTCGCGAATCTTCAAGCTTCAATCTTGCTGGCAGCCTGGCAGTACCAATTATCAAGTAGCTGCGGGATAACGGTGGTTGCTTGATACTTGTTTAGGTAAAAGGTATGTTTTGCGGTAGTTTTAAATTAACACTTTCTCCCATGTCACTGTTTCAATAGTTTCTTATTATACCGATGAAAAACGGTATTTTTAAAATTAGTAATAAAAAACGGATATTTACAGAAGGCGAAGCGGAGCTGGTGCGCGAGCGGAGCTCGCTAAAAACAGGAGGAGCAGCAATCAAGTGAGACATCGTTTGTGAGTTTTTTTCTTACAGTTTATCAGCCAGCTCTGCAAGACTGCAATAATTGACCCTTTTAAAGATAGTTAAGTATTAAATAGTTAGTTGGTGTGGGATTGCCACTTGCCGCTGGAAAAAATAACTTAATTCGGTAATAACTTAGTTTTGTTAAGGTTACCCCTATTTTGGCTTTTACCGTTCGCAAATAGAGAGATACAGCGGTAATGACTTAGAACTTCGACTTTACCGCTGTAAAGTGTTTTTCAGTTAAAATCATGAAAAATTCAACCTCCGTAACCGACATCGTGAGTTCAGTTATAAACTTTAAAATGCAACATTCGGTAATTCCGCTTAAAAATTAACTAGTCTGAGTAGATTGAACTGAAATTTTTCGTTACAGGCCTATAAAATGTAAAACGCGATTTTCCAGCACCTTGCGAGAGCTTTTTTGAGAAAAGTCCATTTTAAAGTAAGTAGCAACTTGCAAAAAACACTTCTTCGGTTGCTTGATTCGGCAATAACTTGAGCAAAATCAACTTTTTTCGAAATCGCCCTCGCAATTAGACTTTTACGATATCTTTACATCCACTGTCAAAACTTCAAAATTCTTCTCTATTCCGTTAGTGACTAGTTAATTTTCAAAGCCTATTAACCGGATTTTTAGCTGTAGGATTCGAAAGTTCATGCAGGGATAAATCTCATTTGAAGATGTTGGCAGTCTCAGTTCACCACATATACCACGTCGGAATAGCCCGAAAGACCAACCAGACAGCCGATTGTGCGCTGCCCAGCTACACTCATGTGTGATCAAAGTCTTTTGTCTTCAGAGTTTGCATCCATTTTGCTACGGTTTTATGACCCAGTAAAACAAAAGATACCAATCGCAAACAGGTGTTCCCCATTCATTAGACTGCATGTCCAAATCTGATCGCTTGCATATACGCAGACATGCAGAATGGTAAGCCGGGCCGGTCATTAATTACAGTACTTGCTGCTCTGGGTCGAGCACTTTAAAAATTCATATCTCGCCTCCCGGTTACTATATTTCTATACACTTTTCCCCATCAGATAGAGCACACTTCAGTTGGTGGGACTGCAAGTTTTGAGAAACTGGCCTTTTTGAGAAAAGCCAAAATAGGGGTAACCTTAACGAAGTTAACTCTATTAGTAAATGCGGTAATTTTTATTTTAATTTTATTTATCTTTAGGCAGCAGCCGATTTCTTCTGCGCACTTTGCGCGGTGTCAGCCATACTACCCTAGAAGCATAGGTAATTAATTTTTATCAGGACACTTGCAAGTTGCAACACGTAATCGAAATTAAAATACAGAATTTGTAATTGTGATCCGTATTCTTCTTATCAGAATCTCTATCATAATTTGAGCCTTACCGGTTAGCAGCCTGCAAATAACGTAAATTATTTACAGCTGATTTGTTCCGCGCAGTTTGCGCGGGGTCTACTAGTTTACAATTAAAACATCTGGTGAAGTGAAATCATAAAGTTCATCTTTTGCACGCGCCGCAGCAGAAAATATTAAAAACGCGAGAGCATTTTCAGCGACATATTGCAAACTCAATTTAAAACGTAATATAAAATTCCGCTATATTATTCCGCTATTAGTTGTCCTCTAGCAATGATTTTTCTAGTGACTCTTCTTCACGAGGCACTATCCACACACAGAATATTAAAAATAAAGAAATAAACCGCCAAAGCAACAAACCGATGCCAACAGGACTGACTAACACTTCTTCTCTAATGTAACGAAGATGCTTAGCGTTTTTCAGGAAACTTTGTTTGTTTGGTTTCACCGACTCAGTAAATTCTAAAGGACGAGAATACATACTCTTATAATATTTACTGCCGTAATTCATCTGTACGTACTTCCATCATGGGAGTGCCGTTCGCAAATAGCGTCGTGACCTTCTCCGGGTAATTACAAAGGAAGCATCCCCATTGATTAATTGTAGCGTTGTATTCGAAAACATCAAAATATCTGGACGAAGATAGCTCTTTTAATAAGTCCTCCTGTTCTCGTGAAGAAGGAAAAGCGGAAGTAACAAGTGTTGAAAAGTCTCGTCCTTTATCCAAGTGGTCCCAACACAATTTCTAAGTGCAAAATTATCGTCTAATGCTGCAGGAACACAACGAACAAATCTAACCGGAAAAAAAGTCGAAGCTCTCTTACTAGTGCATGAACGGCAGAATCTTGTTGGTTTAGAGCTCCTGCTGCTCGTGCCTACAAAAACAAACCAAAGAATATATAGTCGCAGTCACCAAAACGAATAAAAAGTCTCTAACCGTAAAACCATGTCAACATTGCATGCACTGTTCTGCTATGAAAATATTCGCACATGTGCAATAAATAAAGTAGGTAATTGTCTTCAAAGGTCGGAACACTAGGGTAGTGAAATAAGACTAAATATTTCACGAACCAGCGTTACACTCAAGAGAGCACGAAAAGAACAAATTCATTCCCTTACCTGGATGGCCAGGAACATCAGATGAATCCAGACCTTTGGTATTTTTGTGCGGAACGAAAAGTATCGGGATGCATACAAACACTGATCACCTTTGCACTGGCAGGAGAAGTATAATTTGCAATATTTGTGCGACTTATGTTCTAAAAATTAAACCCAGATAAAGTATAAGTACTCGCGCGAACGTATCATATTGCTGGAAAAAACAGCTGCAATATTACGTTCAACGGAGCAGCGAGCCGGAAGTGGAAACTTGACGAAAACGCTGGCCATGTATTTGCGAATCTTCTCCAGATTCCGATCGCAGAACTGATACACAGCGTCATGAATGGGAACAACCTGAATCACTTGCGGCTGATCGGTAGTCTCCAGGATGCGGCTTCGCGGACGTGGTGCCAGCGAGTGACGGCTATTGCGACGCGCTCGCACGTTGATCGCTTCCGCTGACTTTGAAAGTACCGGATTTTCTACGGTAAATGTAGACAAAGAGTAGGATGGAAGGGTGTTTGGGTCAGATTCCGTCTGCATTTGGTCCTCAGGGCGAGAATATATTGGAGAAAGAGCACTGTAAAAGTAATGGTTAAACTAAAGTGTTTAAATTTCTGAAGTGAAAATGCTGATTCATTTTATCATAAAAACTTCCCCACGCCCAATTCACCTACTCTACCAAAAATCAAGAGGTGTTAAAACGCCGCGATCCGTAATGCGAATCAAAAGCACCAATCACCTACTTTCATTTCCGTTCTGACGTATGAAATGATCATACGATACTAACAAAAACCGAATTTGTGCTGCACAAATAGCACTGCAGTACACCAGCATGAGACATAAGTTACATTTTCACAAAACTACCTTTACGCTTAAACGTACGGTAAATGAGATTTGGATAACAACTCCGGCTTGGATCGGTTGGCAGTAACAGATTGTCTGCTTCCTTTCTGATTAGTCATGGATATCAATCCCGAAGACGCTAGAAAAAACTGCACGTTCACAACGTTTCACATCGTACTGTAGTTAAACAGTAAAATCAGTAGATTACCAAGGGAATGGCGACTGTTTCCCTTCGACGCCAAAGACTGGTGACTGTTTCGAGCCGCCGCATTTGCCACCACAGATCCGCGGCTACCGTTTAGACTTTTTATGGGGTTGTCAAATGATAACCTGTAACAGCAGTAACTAAGCACAGATCGTACTCCACATATTCTTTGACTTAGTCGTACTTGGCCGGTATACTACTGGCCGATATGTTGCCATTCGGAGGGAATTTCATGCCAGCAGTAGAGATTTGGCGCACATCGACAGCCGTTTTACCCATACCATAAAGATGTGGACTATAAAGCGACTGCTGTGAAACAAGTGATTTTTGTGCTGATAATCCATAATCTGTAGCATGATACGGTGGAAGTGGGTCGTCGGAATCGTAATTGTGATGGCTAAAAAACGGAAAGATGGAGTATCCAATAAGAAAGTATCACGTATACATACTTATTGTCCGAGTAGGATAAACTGCTGAAGGAAGCAGCACCACCAGGAAAGTTCTTGGATAAAAATCCATCTGTCTCCGACGCCAAATTCGGGTAGAGTTCAAGTATGTCCTTAATTTCTTTGGCTAAATATGAAAGACTTGTGTGATCCGCTCCACCGGATCGCGAAATTAAAAACTGTAGACAATCTCTAGCGACATTCTGCAAAAAAAAGCACATAATAAGGAAAAACTGGTAATAAAGTTTTATTCGACTTGGTACAGAGTAGCTTTACAAAAGTGTAATTTTCACAAAGTGATCACAATTACAAACCTACTCTGGTCAATTTTGATTTTAATTGATTTGTTGCATACCTCGCCCAGTCTAGAAATGGCACCAAAAATCGTTATCGCGGCAGGAAATAAGCTACGATCAGCATCGACGGCTTTTTTCAATTTGATCAAATTGGTCAGGAATGGAATAGGATTCTTCTTAGCGATCTGCGTGAACAGTCGAAAAGTCGATGCCATAAACTTTCCATCATTTAGAAGTGCTGCAATATCGCTCACAGCGGACCACAAGGCCTGCAAAATGTGATAAAATACGTACCACAAACGAAAACGGAAACAACAGAGGCAAACTAATTTAAACAATTGTGCACCTGTGGATGTTCTCTAGCCACCAGAGCAAATAAACTTAACAGACTATCCTTTTCCGGATTACCACCGAGAGGAAGTAATTTCGCCAGTTGCTCAACATTTTCCAACACCGGTTTGGAATTCACCGTATACAACTGGGGAAGAATTCTGATCAACTGCGAGTATCCTAAAAAAAATTCTTCATAAAGTTACTTACAGGCTGCTCCAATATACAGATGCAAGTGTATAAACGTATGTATTGCCGCCGACGCTGCATATGGTTATAAAGTTTATGAGAAAAGCTCTAATGAAACAACCGCTAATACAAAAGACAAATTTTGACAAACCTGCCAAAGCACCGTGAATGAAATCGCCCACGTATGGATAAATCAGAAATGGCTGCTGTATGGCAATTAGTGAAAGATAGCACGATACATTGCGTGCCAGTTCAGGACTAGAACACACCAGGAAACGGATTCCGATCGGAAGCGCTTGCTTCATCACATCGGGCTTCATGTAACCCTGGATAAAATATGTCTCATAATCGCCTGTTGCTTCTTTTGAAAGCATGCCGACCGCAATGCAACAATCATACCATCATAGGGTGTGAAGTCCGTAAATTAATATTTACATTAAAATTTTTTTTATTATAGTTTTACCCCGTCAGTAACCATTCGAATAGCTATTTCAGAGGCGTTAAAAAATTCCGCCGAAAATTTTTAAGACAAAGCTTATGCAATTCCCATAAAAAATATTATTGTCAATAAATATTATTTTCCTTGACTTACCATAAAAACACAATTGATCAAATCCGACGCAATTTTGGCATACGGAGAGCTGACTCCCGTTGCACCGGATGCGAGATCTTTTTGAAAGCATTTCTGCAGGAGATCCAGAAGAGCCGGAGCAAAGCGGCTGAGTGAGTCAGTTTCGCGCACGGCTGCCGTGGCTCGCGTTACGCAGATCTCAACGACATTCTGATGGTTGATATTCGTGGCGTACGATGCATTATCAATAATGACTTCAACTTCTGCCAACACCTGTAAGAAATAATTAATGCACAGCAGCACAATTCAGAAAGTTTCGATAATCTCTCGATCTATTACGGTCGTAATATCAGTATAAACTGTAATAAACAAAGCAAAACAACCGAGCACCTGTTGCACCAATTTATTAGGACCAACGTCACCAGATTTCACATTACAATGATTAAGCAAACAGCAAACTAGAACAGAGCTATATTTAAACTACTCTCAAAAAGCCTAAACTGACTATTTAATAATTTGTTTGTCATTGAGCCAGTCACGAATCTAAATTAGCCTTACGACAGCAACGATACCTCATTCAAACTACTCAAAACTTCGTCATTCGGAATGGAAAACAAATCGCCAGCAACCGATAAATCGGAGAATTGTAGAACTCTTGCAAATAAAGGATTCATAATAAAGTTTGTTCAGTGATGAACCGTCTCCAAATGATGTAATCGACCCAGACTCAGGTTTTTTGTACTTTTGTTGGTAGAAACGGCGAAAAAGCAGAATTTAACGGGCTGAAGTTCTAATGGTAAGCTAACTCCCTGATGGTAAGCTAACTCCCTGATGGTAAATGTACAACCAAACCACTCGACACAGGGCCACTAATAACACTACCAAATCCCAACTCCAAGAAAAACGTAAAAGATGTAGTACAAGCATCTCTATATTCTACAAATAAATCATAATAATTACACAATAATGTTTTTTTAATCCTAATAAGCACACAATAATGAATTATAAATGGCAACAACAGCCAACAGGAACAGAAGTTAGATAATTTTGGAAACTTTTTGTTGTATCCGGTAGCACTTTACAGTACGAACAGATGCGTACGACGGACGGCAGCGCGCTAGTCCACTGGCCACCTGTAGCTGACGCAGTTTTGGAAGATGACAAGATTCCATTTCATTTTCCCTGGAATCACTTCTGTTCATCATTCTTATCCTGAAGACTTTCTAATGATAAGATTGTAACGTTGCTCCGTAGTCCGTACTTCTCAAATTTTACGAGGCTTTGTATTAATGGCTTTTTCGATGCTCGCAGAAAGCCACCAACTCGTTGTTAAATAAAGTCACATTATAATAATTTTCTGATGTTTTGTAGAACTAGAGTTTATATTTTTTAAATAATTAAGCTTTAAGCATTTTGAGTGCTTATGAGAGGTATGGTAACGCTGTATCGCGCCCTTTAAACGGCATACGTTACCGGCTACCCTACTTTCCTTCGACTGCAAAGCTCAAGCATTTTTCAATACAAACATACAATAAAGTATGATTATCGAGTTTTTTATTAACTGTAGGTATAAAACTTTACAATATTCCGGCATTAATAACATTATAACATTAGCTAATTGAATCGGTAGTCGGTAACGTTCGGTGGAATTAGGTTAGAAGTAGTACAAATATTGGAATCAACAATTCACATTGAGCAGCTGATTGGTCAGGTTCATAATTCACGTGCTGCACAGAGCTGGCACAAGTACTTACAAATACTTGGAATGAATCTTTGATACCGTGCCAATTTTATATACCCCACCACGTCATGTATAGGCTACGTTTCACTTGTCAAAAGTTTTTCTGACCCAGCTGCAGTTTGCAGTAGTCTTGTGGTGTAATGTAAAGTTTTAGGTCTTTTTCTGAAACAGAACTATTGCAGGCAGTCGCTTAGATCTTGCTTTTATCACACCTAACGCTTCTGTTTTTGGAAATGCCGTCTTCCCGCTCATTACCCGCCGAAACCGATAAGGCTATTTTGAGCACTTATCTCTCTTTGCCACAAGGAGACAAAGTTACTGCATGTTACATATGGATTGACGGGACCCATGAAAATCTGCGGTGTAAATCCAGGACGCTGGACTCAGAGCCGAAAAGCCCAGAAGGTAGTGTAATAAAGTTGACAGTAGAATGGAAAATTGAAATTGTGAAAGGTCGTTGAAGATGGTTCAAACACAGAACAGTTTGAAAGTAGCAAGGTTTAAAATTGGACCAACTGCAGTGCATGTGTACGAAACTGCCGTTTGGCTGCATGTGATACAAACAGCTGATCGATGGTTATTCGGTTAATTTTACACCATATATAAATATATATCATATTTATACCATCAGAGCAAAATCAACATTTGTTTTTCTGCTGGTTGAATAATCGAAATTCCATTCACATACTATATCAATTACAAGTTTGATGTAGCGATAGTGATCATAGTTTTTAAAAAGAATACTTAAAAGGAATATTCAAGTATGCGCGTACATGTAAGGTAAGGTAGTAAGGTTACTAAGGTATGATGTACGTAATTATGGATTTCGATTTTTGCGTGCTTTTTCTGTAAAAAAATGTCATTAGAACATACGGCATATCACAGCCGTTTCGGCGAGGTTTTTCGGAATTTGCAGAAATGAGTTTTGTGGTTTCTGAAAATTTGACTGGTTCTGGTGCATTTTCCGGAAAGCAGTACAGGAAGTGTAATATATTCTATATAAGAAGTTCATTATTCTGCAGAAGGATTTTCAAGTACACTACGTAACACTAGGGTAGAGAAGATAAGGTAAATGCTGGCATGCAACTAATGGATGTTTGCGGGAAATGCCTGTGATTCTCACTCCAAATAAATTATTGTCTGCATTTAGTAGCCCTTGTGATTCAGCAATGCTATTGATTAATCTCATACCGAACAGTGTACATTGCCTTTTGCTTTATTTAACAGTAAATCACATATTTTGCCCTTCTTCAAGTGTTGTTGAATGGTTGTAACCGCATCGTTAAGTACCTAATTAATGGTTGCATGCAGCTTTTGTAAAAAATTAGAGAACCCGTGTGAACGTGCAAAACTGGGCATCAGTTTTAGATAGGTATTTTATATGCTCGTTATTACAGCTAAATGTGCACTGTGCAGCTACCCTGGTGAGCTCGTGCCGGTGCGGTGTTTTAGGGGACTTTTATGGCCGTCTGTCACATGTTGTAATCTTACGTTTAGATCTTCCCATCTGGAACTACGATGGTTCAAGTACTTACCAGGCCGAAGGAAGCAACAGCGACGTCTATTTACACCCTGTAGCATTGTACCCGGATCCATTCACCGGTGGCAAGAACAAGCTCGTGCTGTGCGAAACGTACAAATACAACAAAAAGCCAACAGGTAAACTTTAGACGTTGGACCCAGGAGAGCCATTTGCGCTAAAGAATAAAATATTGTGTGTAATGAAAATACCTGCAGGATGTTAAACAGAGTCAAAGCGGCTTTGTTTGGCTAACGATAATTGTGTAATTGCCGGTATTGCTTCTTGTAAGTAAACTGAATTGGCGCATGTGTTGTATTTTGTTATGATAAGCCTAGAGACTGGACTTAGATCTTCCAGTGCGCAAATGTTTATACGTACTGCAGTAGTTAGTACTACATACTTGATCGTAAAACTGTTACAAACAATTAGTTAGCTGGAAATTATAAGCTTATTATTTTTACAGAAAGTAATAAGCGCCGAGCATGTGCCGAAGTGATGACTCAGGCTAAAGATTTTGAGCCATGGTTTGGCATTGAGCAGGAATACTCGCTTCTGGACGTTGACGGTCGTCCGTTCGGTTGGCCCAAAAATGGATTTCCGGGACCACAAGGTATACTTTACCAACCGGACAACGTCTTCGCGATCTGTTTAAACAATTCAAGAGCAGTACTTACTGCAACAGGTGCTATGAGTATGCGCACCAATTAAATTTTGAAGATTTTTAGGTCCGTACTACTGCGCAGTTGGAACGGATAAAGTCTACGGCCGTGACATCATGGAAGCCCATTACCGGGCTTGTTTATACGCTGGAATCAAAATTGCAGGCACCAACGCTGAGGTAATGCCGGCTCAGTGGGAATTCCAAATTGGACCTTGTGAAGGTATTTCGGCGGTAAGTTTTTCGGTGTCCAAGACACAAAAGTTTCGATAGTTTCGATAGAAGTTTCAATCCAGCTGTTGTATTTAGGGAGATGAATTGTGGATGTCACGATACATCTTGCACCGTGTGGCGGAAGATTTCGGAGTTGTAGTGTCCTTCGACCCGAAACCGGTGCCGGGCGACTGGAATGGTGCTGGTGCTCACACGAATTTCAGCACGAAAGCCATGCGAACTCCAGGAAAAGGCTTGCAGGCCATTGAAGATGCCATTGAAAAGATGGGCAAAGTCCACGCTAATCACATTCGTAATTATGACCCAAAAGGAGGCCAAGACAATCAGCGTCGCTTGACTGGACGTCATGAAACGTCCAGCATCCATGACTTTTCCGCGGGTGTAGCCAACAGAGGATGCAGGTACGGTATTGTTAGATACTGGATAGTTGGGCCACGAAATTTATGGATTAACTCAACAAGTTTCCATTGCATAAAGCATTTAAAACGAGATTTTTCATTACAGTATATTTGCATTTATTTTCTTTGCAATTGATTGAGTGGTATTTAAACTGGCAAAAATTCTTGGTGATTTACCGGTGTCTTTTTTAGCATCCGAATTCCGCGTCAGGTTGCCGAAGATGGGCACGGTTATCTGGAAGATCGTCGACCGGCATCCAACTGTGACCCTTACTCTGTAACGGAAATTATCGTTCGCACTACTTGCCTGGATCAGACTGTGGAATAGAAATCAGCAGGTCAACTTGGAACCAGGGCATGCCTCTTAGCGATTTTGATAACATGACATATTTTATTTCTGTTGTCTGATAGATTAGTCAGTTTTCTGATAGCAATGTTTATGTGTCGTTTTGCAGCATTGCCGAACCGAATCTTTTACCGCTTTTATTTTAAAAGATTTGCAATCCATCCATTTTTCAGTTTTAGCGTAGACTTGAAGTATACATTTTATTTTGGAAGATGTTTTAATGGGGAATTACGCTGTTTCCTATTCCTTGCCATAAGCCATGTCAGTTGCACGACTTCGTCTTGCAATACCTGAAATGAAGTTTTGCCAGTTTTCTCAATGGTGTTATCCTTACACATTGTGGGCTATGTTATCAGTGTGTACAGTCCTAAGGTAATAATTATTAATAATAACTCACGTTTTACTGGGACAGTGCAAAGATCAGAAGGTCGCAGAGGGGATTATTTCCACGCGAGTATGCCATGCATGCTTACATAATAAGCAATTATTCTTGAAATGACACAATGTATCCAATTTGCTGCGGGCTATGGTAACATTGTTTCACCTAGTATTCTAGGTGCTTAATTGTTCGCGGTCGTGAATCTTGCTGTTTAACCGATTACAAAGCAAGTTACAGACCTCTCAAACTCAAACAGAAGATAGCATAAACAGCGTTCTACAATGCACACAAGTACATTCTGCCGGGGCCTGAGTATCCACTATCCACCGTAGAATTAAAATATACTTCTCTCCTGATGCTTACTTTAATTCTTGTCGAAAATGCATGAAATGTGTAAGTAAAGTCTGAGGCGACGTTTTACCAGCAACACACTGGTACTGCAGGTCCAAAACAAAACATGATTGTGTATTCATCCAAAACAAAACGGGTTTATGTACTCCGCACAGAACGGTGCAAAATGATGTGTGTCACTACAAATTGAAACTCTGCATGTTCACTGTTGCGAACCTACCCATCCACAGAGCCCCATTTAAATAAAGCGATGAGATCATCGAATAAGACACCTTCTCTGGATTACGACTGTCCCACCGCTTTCGATCCAGGTCCTGTCGTCGGTCCCTGCTGCTGTGTTCGTCCTGTACCACCAAAACTGGAAATCGCGGACAACCCTTTCCCCGTGAAAGCAGAGGCAAAAATAGTGCGCGTATCTTCCGAATTGTACGTCACTGGCATGGCGGACTTCCCGGCTACACAAAATATTAAAACAGTCGATAGACGAAATTATTCAATGCAGCCCAGCGACTACAGTAGGATACCCTTCGACAATAAGTAAACATAATTAGAACACTGTGCATAATACACCAAATGCGAAATTCGGTTTACAGTTTTTTCATTATCGTTTTCACCTGTTTTCGTCTCTTCCGCTCTATTTTGCTCCACGTGATCAATCAAGGAAGACACAATTTTGTTCAGCTGCTGTATCTGCTTGTCAGCCTTTTGAGCAATCTCCGTATTTCCGGGAGGAACTTTGTTGAAGGCCAAATCAAAACGCTCCTCCAATCCAGGATCGAGCCGCGTTCGGAGGTACGTCGGAACATTCTCATGATTTACACTGGTTATTCTGCCCTCCGTCAATTTCTGCAAAAACATGAGAATAATCGGAGAAATTAAAATTTCACAAGATTTCGGATACTTCAACGGAAATTGTTAAAAATGTGCAAATTAAACTCGTTCCACAAAAAACCACAGCCTACTCGAAATCATCAAAACCGGAAAAATGATAAAAACAAATTACAAATTCTAAAGAATTAAGAAAGGAACATAAAAAAGTAATCTGCAAAATAAATAATGAGACGAAGGTATAAGAACACAAAATCCGAAGACGAAACTTCAAAATTTACAAAAGTATTTCTGAACTTTCCTAGTCGTATTTCACGATATTAAGGGAGAATTTCCAGACTTCGAAAAGGATTTGCTTACTTCAACATTTGCATCGGACTCTTGTGTGACGAAATTAGGAACCACGACAGCTTTACGCAGATCAGGACTCTTCTCATTCTTCATCGTTTTGGCCAGATTAGCCATCTGACTGGAGATCAGACTGAATCGGTCCATGATGCTCGGCCTAGTTAAAGAGCAAACCCACTACGTTTCGTGTTGTGCTGGCACGATCAAATGACTATCGCAGACTTCACATTCCATACCAAGACAAGTAATCCGTCTGGGTTTCGATGTGCAGGAGAAGACCCGAAATGTTGCTGCGAATGTCCTGGATGTGATTCAGTACCATATCGATTCCCGGATCAGGGGGAGGCGGCAGCGGTGGCCTGATGGCCGAGGTTGATGGCAGAAATGTCCCGTTGAGTGTGGGTCCAGTTGTGGCTGTGGCGGGGACGACAGGCGTCGCGGAAGGATTCGCGCTGGGTGCGATGGGTACCGGAGGCCGCTGCATTCCCAGAGCTGAGAACACTTAAATATTCCGTGAAATTTAAAAGGCAACAGTGTGATGAACTGAGTGCTTATTCTTTCCCGATCCTAGATTAGATTACAAATAAATCCTTTGCAGATGTTCGCTCTTCGATCGAAAAATTAAAAATACAAATTGACCAATCTGTATTTAAGCGTTGGTCTTTGTAGCTCCTACCACCTAGCCGCCACCCACACGGTGTGTGCCGAGCACCGGGACACTCGCGTATTTAAAATTTTTGCTTTGGACTTCGAACTTAAGAGTAGAATAATGACAAAGAACAACTTAAAAGATCACTTTTTTACGTGAAAAAAAGCGTGCAACCAAAATTTTGAAAAAAATCATAATTCTATAGTATAAGCAATATGTAAGTTTAATAATCCAGTGGACCGGACAGACTGGCTAATGAGTTGTTATAACACCATATTCTCACTATATTGTGCCAACAACCAAGCAGTGCGTTAATTTTTTGAAACTTTCAAAACTTAAAGTATTACAACTGTTTACCTGGTTTAACCAATGCAGAACTAACTTTCTGTGGAAGAATCTTACTGTACCGGTTCAGTAACGCGGTTTCTAATTTGTACTTTAGCAGTTCAATGTCATTTCATTAGACTGCAGCCAAGAGATCGCTAGGGTAGACACAACAGCAAAGTGACCTTTGAAAAAGGTATACAGTCGATGATTTTTAATCCGTTTAAAAAAATAAAAAGACGCCAGATAATAAAGCTACGAGTTTCATTCCCATTTTAACTTTGGCTCAGCTTCCGAAGTCACAATGTCGAACGGCGCTGCTGATATATAAGCTTGTCTAGCTTGACGAGAGCAGAATTTCGAAGTTAACCATAGTAGCGACCGTATCCTCCATATCCATATCCGCGGTTGCCTCCGTAGCCATAACCACCATAACCGCCGTAGTATCCACGATTGTATCCTCCGTAGCCACCATAACCGCTGCTATATCCGCCATATCGGCGACCACCGTAACCTCCATAACTGCGTCCATAACCACCATAGCGGCCATATGAGCGCTTTGGACGGCTCACTGTCAGTTCAGCGGGTTTTGCAATGGAAGGCGTCTCTGCCGTTGGAACAACCGAGGACACTGTCTCCAGTCCTAAACAAGTAGCGTTAGAGCACAAAAAAATTTTTCTCCAAACGATTTTCTGTTTCGGTAAACGTTTGGGTTGTTATATACCAGACTGAGGAAGAGGCATGGGCGCACTAGCGTCACTAGAGCCGGATACCGGGACCATGCCCGAGCCGAATGCATTCTTCAGAAAATCCCTGGCATGCCCATTTTTCAGCGCATCAATAGCGGCACCCAGTTCCTGGGCGGCCATCATGATTTGGTCCGAACGGTCATCCAACAGCTGGTAAAGTTGCAGCACGTCAGGAGTTTGATCCTGTCCAAAAGCAAGCGGTACTTGACCTTTGACGGCCACCAGGCAGGCGAGGGAAATGTAGGCGACAATCTGAAAAACAATGTTATGATTATATACACCGTGAAATTTAAATAATGTGAGTGTTGATATTAAGACTTACCATTCTTGTTGCAGTATTAACTAGGACGACAAGTTTTGTATGAGTGGCTTATTAGTTATTATTAGAGTGTTGAGTGCGAAAATGGTTAAATGAATGAAGAGGACAAGATGGCAGGTCGCTTTTATAGTTCAGCCGACTACCGCTTTCCACATCTTAATTTGGTAAATCAGCACCGGTAAAGGAATTCCGCAAACACGGAATAAAATGGTAAACAAACTATCGAGTGTCGTGTATTAAGTATAAAATGCGATTGGTCAGTTAATTTGTATGACAGTATAATTCTATAACTTGCAGATTGTCGTAACCCGTGTGCCAACATCTGCTAAATGTCGCGCACAAACAAGATGCACCACAGTGGTTTGGCATCAGCATTTTTCCACTGTGCAAGATAACTGTTCGAATACAAGTTATTTGTATAGATGGCTGACACTTTTGCCCACTACTCATGCATTGTACACAAGTTATGCAAAAAGAGCGGTGCAGTGCATTATTGCTGACGTTCTGCTTATAATTACGACTCTTGAGTTAAGTCAATCGGATTAAGCGGATTACTTAAATTCATAATAACACCATAACGAGTAGTGTGAAATTAGATTTCAACTCGCAGCTGCTTTATTATAAGAGAAGCATGTTTCACTGTGCGTACAGATTGTACAGATTTAGCACGAAGAATTCTTTGTTTCCGGTCGGGAAAGGATATCACATGCACTCTGCCATACTGATGTAAAAACATCATGTAAAAACATGTAAAAGATGTATCATGTAGAAACTGGTAAAGCAGAGTGATAATTTGAACCCAGCTCTACAGCCTTTACTATCGCCTGTTTTCAAAAAGACAACGTTTCTTGTAGACCTTTAATTTGCAACAATGACTAATGACCTATTTGAAATACTTACTTGACAACAAGACATTCAGGATCAGTAACGGAACCGTACTCTGTACATTTGTATACACGAAAATACACGAAAAAGAATTCGTAGGAAAGAAAAACAGCATCGTGACAATAATTAATAATTTAGCCTATTGCTAAATGGGGAAGGTTGCGGAGATTTTGCTGCAGTTGGTCAGATCTCCAACGAGCTATGGCGAGTTTACCAGCATTGTCTGCGTGGCTATTTTCCGGATTTGAATTTCCGAAAACGGATCTTTGGCGTGTCAAAAAATCACTGGGATTTTCTTCGAAATTTCCAAATGCATGTATGCGGGCTGTGCCGGACCTGTCAACAGATCCGATTCCGCCTCCAATGGGCGATATTGGGACTGCAAAAATTCGAAGGCTTGAAGAATCGCTCGCTGTTAAAGTTCAAATCTAATAAGCCGCAACATTTGCTCACAATTATGGCAATTAAAGTTTGACTTGCTTGCTTTTGACGATAAAAAGCGGAAGCATGGCATGAACAAAATGCAGTTTTTAAAACTCCATAAATTATTCGGTAGGTAAAGCACTGCATATATCTCTAGTAATGACAATGATACAGTACAACAGTATGTACGGTATTACTGGCGAGATTCCGCGAGAACAATGTGGCCATTTATTATTATTATATGCAGAGTCTTATTTATTACAGACTGTATTTTGACAACCATTATTATTGTTTGCCTTTTTGTGAATATTAATGACTAAATACTCGTTAGGCAGGAGATGGCGTACCTAATGGATTAGGTGTGGTAAATGAGATGACCGGCGTGGCCGTTGCCGGAACTCCCTGTATAATTGTGGCAGTACCAGTTCCCAGCGTTCCCGTAGTGGAAATGGGAATGCCGGTTATGATGGTTCCGCTAGGAATGCCGGTGCCGGACGACGTACTGATCGTACCGTACTGCGGAATTGTCTGCATTCTGATAAGAGAAAATCAAATCGTTAAGTTAACCGCAATAACAGAAAAGTCATAAAATTAATTGAAGGCTAGTGACCTTTACACAATGCCGCTTTTTTTGTATTTTAAGTGTTTAAATGATGTCGTACCCGTAGGTGCCGGTGGTGCTGCCGTACGTTCCGGTACCCGTGCTCGGGTACTGGCTGATACCAACACTGCTGCCGTAGGATCCGCTCGGATAACTTGAGCTTCCCATTCCGTACGTGGACATCCCAGCACCATAGCCGCCTAGGCTGGTTCCGCCCATTCCCAGGGGACTTCCATACGACCCGAGACCCGCTGTTGGGAAACTATAATTGACAACACTAATCTTTTCTGCTGAGTACTGGATTATGAGGACTAGCGCCTCGATAGCTTACCCGCCTAAACCAAGACCTCCCAGGCCGCCAAGTCCGCCCAGACCACCAAGACCTTTAAGAAATCATGATTATAATAAATACATCAACCGTAATATTTCATCACATCATTATAATAAACACATAATGAACACATATATGTAATACGAAAAAGTTATTACCTAGGGTTCCGAGGCCACCAAGACCGCCAAGGCCACCGAGACCGCCCAGACCCAGTCCGCCCAATCCAAGCGACCCGATGCCACCAAGTCCACCCAGTCCGCCCAAACCTAAAGCCAAATTGCAATAAAAAAATCCACTAAATTCGAAACCGACCAGCAAAACGTTACGATATTAACAATGTATGATAATTTTTTAATTTATACCTAGTAGCCCGAGGCTTCCGATGCCGCCTAGACCACCTAATCCGCCTAGACCTCCCAGTCCCAAACCGCCTAGGCCCAACCCGCCCAAACCACCGAGACCGCCCAGTCCACCCAATCCGCCCAGACCACCGAAGCCCATTCCAAGACCGCCTCCAAAATTGCCACCGCCGCCGTAGTTACCGCCTCCACCACCACCGCCATAATTGCCGCCGCCACCATTATTACCGCCGCCATAGTTACCACCGCCACCGCCGTTGTTTCCATAATTGCCGCCTCCTCCACTGTTTCCGTAGTTACCGCCGCCGCCGCCCCCGCTGTTTCCATAGTTACCGCCTCCTCCACCTCCACTGTTACCATAATTACCGCCACCGCCGCTATTCCCGTAATTCCCTCCACCGCCGCTGTTACCGTAGTTGCCACCGCCGCTGTTTCCATAGCCTCCGCCGCCACCTCCCCCGCTATTACCGTAGTTATTGTTTCCACCTCCCCCATAATTCCCACCCCCGGAATGGCCATACATACTCGCCGCATTTCCGCTGTTATAATTTCCACCGCCGCTGCCACTTCCACCGCCAGTACCACTAGCGTAGTTGCCACTGGTGCCGGTACCACTTCCGCTTCCGTAGCTACTCCCGCCGCTACCACTTCCGCCGCCATAGTTTCCCGAGTTACTTCCGCTGTTACTGCTGCCCATATTGCCGTATCCGGAATTACCGCCACTGTGCCCGTAATTGGCGGCGTTCGTACCGGTACCACTTCCGCTACCACTGTACGTCGACCCAGTAATGCCATAACTAGCGCCGCCTCCGTAGCTTCCGCTGCCGCTGTTGCCGCTGTTACCGCTGTTATAATTGCTCCCTTGGTTGCTACCATAATTATTATTGCTGGAAGATCCATACCCTGTTTAATGCAAGTGCAAGTCTTCATCCGAGCTTCAGTAAAAGTTATTGCTAAAGATATTAATTTTATACCACAATTCTCAAAATTAGCCAGAGGAAAGCAATTTTAAAAATAGCTTACGCCCAATGCCGACCATTCCTGTCGGTAGATTGGTTTGTGCTGCCGCCAGCAATCCGTTATTAAAATTGTTTCCAGGGATGCCGGTATGCACAATGTTAGTGAGTAATCCGTTTCTGTATAATACAACAGTTGATGTTAGTTGTTAGACTCGTAACTGACTTCATCACTTGAAACTTTCGCTTACGCTCCCGCATTTTGGCCAGCGGAATAGGTAGCGCCAAGTTGTTGCTGCTGAGGGTTAATGCTGATGGATCCAAAGGGAATCCCCACGATACCGGTGGTATGGGGTGCCACGTACTGTGCGTTACTGGACGCTTGTTGCAATAAACCCTGAACGTTGCCAGCCAGTAAAGGGGCATTGCTGTTTGTCTGCTGAGCATTGTTGAGCCTAAAATTATCAATATTTCATAAAAAACCAAAGAAAAATAGTCAAAAAGTATTCTTGTAGGACTGTCTTATGATCAACATACCTAGAACCTACTATGAAGTATAACGCAGGAAATTCGCTTATTAGGATAGACAAATCTTCAAATAAACGAATAGTAAGGGCGTAAATACAGAAATGACTTATTACAGCAACAGACTGTTCGTCATGTCAGAAGTATAAACCGCAGAATTCTGACTGACACAAACGATTTGACTGCATTTATGCTCGTATGAGAATTTATGCTGGTGCACCGCAGCATCCAAAATGTGGAAAATGTATATAAAATAACAAAGTTCTGAAGTATAGCCGTTCACTCTTTGTACTTCTTAAAAACTGATCTTGCAGACTAGTCTGTATTGCGACAGCCTCATAATAGCGATACCGTTTTTGCATAGCAGAGCTAATTTAACCGGCGCGTCATTAAAAGTGCATCGATTATTTGTTGTAGTAAGTTATTGTTGGGCAGCTGGATCAATTTGTTTTATTTTTGCGGTGCAAGCAGTAAGGAAGCAAGCCGGGAAAATAGTATTTGTATGGCCATTGTTAAATTTTTTGTTGCCATTTCCGAAATTATTACCGTTGTCTGTTTTTATTCAGTAAAGAAAGTAGACAATTTCTGTTAAGCTATAATATGATCTCCAGCGTTAGGACTAGAAATTTTTCCAAATTCAGAGCACCCCATTTATGTAGAAAAAGCGTTGGATGTGTAATTACGTAGTACAATTAAAGGCTGGTCAAGGACACTTCCACTCATTGATCGTGAAGTTTAAGGTCTTTTTCGCTACTCGAGCCATGACACTTACCGCACAGAAAAGCGTTCGTTTTGTGAAGACATAATTAAAATGTTTACCAAATTACCATGGCGGCACATAACCGGTAAAGAACAAATAAATTATCAAAATAACTGCAATTATCTAAAATAGTAACTCAGTGGTATGTATGTATTTGTATCATATGTAGTCATTCCAGTTCACAGGTACAGAGTAATAGCGTATGCATCTTCCCAGAGAGTATTTGTAATTACCCGCCAACGTTATTGAATGCCGACACCGCTGGCTGCACTGGAATGACGAACTGGCGCGTGTCACCCGATTTCGGGCTGTTTTCAGCATTGTTATTAATTTCTCCATTAATCCAGGAACTGCGGTTCATAATCGGCTGCACGGCCGTTCCATTGCCGCTGGCATTAAACAGCGAGCGTCGCCGCCGGGAAAACACCGGTCCCATGCGTCGCAGTGCTTTGCGGCTGGATTTCGCGCCGAAATCGATGGGCTGACTAGGCTGACCGGATGGGTCAATGGTTGCCGGTTCGGATAAGGTTGGTGCCGGGCTCAGGGAGCTTAATGTGGTGTTGGCATTAGCCTCCATTTCGCCGGTAACATTCTGTCCTACAGTTGTCGTCAGCATGGGGGTCACCGGTGACACGGTGGTGGTGGCATTGTCATCGGTGCTGTTTTCCAGGAGCAATGGAGAAAATTCAATGGTAGCGTTGCCGGTGGAATTTGAAGAGTGGGCGGCAATAATTTCCACATTGTGTGACGGTTCCGAAAGGATCTCAGATCGTCCGGCGGCTCCCATGTTGACTTCGGGGCTGTTTGGGCTGTTAACGAAATCTGGAGAACCTGTATGAAATTGTAGCTCAGTAAGAAGGGCGGAACTTACCACATTATTAAGAATTAAGAATTTCGTATAAATTTTATGTGCGGGCATACAGAAAATACTGTGCTAAATTTTTGTACTGTGCTAAAATATTTTTGTACAGATATTAAGCTTAAACTACAGAGTACTAGAAATTATTAACCTTTTGACTAAACATTTCAGATATACGGTCGACGGGCTAACGCTGGACTAGTAACTATGCTAAATACAATAACTGGCACCTGTATTTATTTGCCGAAGGCTATTACTGCGTATATTACCAGCTACTCCAGTAGCAATATCGACCACGCTCAGTAAATCTGTATATCAGCGTTTGGTTTATAACCGTAGAAAACAGCATGAATTTAGCACCTCCAATTTTATAGTAAAATAATGATTTTTTAATGATGATTAACGATTCAGTTTTTATTTACAATTGCATTAGTATTCGTAATCATTTTTGGTTTGCCGGTACGCAGCGTTTCCTTCTTTCAGCACATCTGCATTTACAAAATTTAGTGCTTTAAGTTTCGTTTAAATAGTAAGACAGATTTAACAGTTTTACGCAGTAAGATACTGGTTCAAATAAAAAACAAAGACAAAAATACTACAGTAAGTAAATCGTTTTCTGATAAGGTCCGGCATAGCAAATCTCAGAGCATAATGCGTCCGTCTTAAGCGCAGATGAGAACCAGGAAAGTGCAGTTTTGTAACTTATTTTCGGATTAGTTAAAACCAGTTTCTCTATTCATGAGAGTCTCGTCACGAGTATAAGTATGAATTTTTTTACTGTTTCTTTACTTGTAAAACTTCTGTAAATGTGCGACGGTGTTGTCAAAATACAAAATTTAATAAACGTTTAGACGCTTTACACGACAAGAAATAACCCAGCCTTTTTTTACAGCAATAAATTTAACGAAAATATGTAATAGCTTTCGACAGGTTATAACGGTTTGGCCATTTAAAAGGTATTAAGCTTCGAAAGCTTGATTTTGCAGAAGTTAAGATTGGCAAATCAGAATTCAAATAAAACTTGAGGCGCATTTTTATCCGTAAATCAAAAGTTTGCGCTTGTCGTTTACTAATTCATTGCTTAAGGAAACTGCATTTTCCTAATCAGTCAGTGACGGACGTTTACAGGTGGCCGGTAAACGCTGCATGCAGAGGTTTACAAAAATAGCTTCTATCCGCTGGAAGTTTTTATGATTCTTGAATCTATTCTACAAAAGGAGAAGATTGCAAGTTTGCAGTTACTGTATTACTGGTTTCAAAACGGATTTATACAACATACTGTTTAGTATCCAGATCATTTCATCAAGGTGTATTTTCCCTATTCTGATACGTTACTATTAAAAGTTAATAATTTAAAGTTTGATTTGCGTTAGCTTACCAGGATTCTCCCTTGCGGGCAGAGCTTTTAGATCCATTACTTTATCAACTAACAACGCATTGCCCAGGGCGTTGCCCATTAATCCACCGCCTCCGCTTCCGGAACTCGAGGCAGCCGCCAGCCGCTGAGAGGACGCCGGGGCGTGCCCACCGGCGTGATTACAGCCAGCGGATCGCATGAGCTGTGCCATCATGAAATAATCATCCGAATCCATAAATAGTTCTCCTGAAACATATGTCGCTTCCCGCAGCATCACGGCCAGGAAGGATATCACAGCTGGCGATATAAGCCATAGCGAATTCATTGTAACAGCAAAAGATTTCCGTCACTGCTCACAAGTGCTGCATAGATAGCGATATAACAGCATCGACGGTCTTGTGGTCTCAGAGTAAATTCAAAATACGGAAGAATGTCAACTGCCAAAGCTGCGTATGGAATATGGTACGGAAAAATTCGATTTAAATATATTTGTTAGACGACACAGCGAATGAACGAATGTTGGCGCTGTGCATGCACGCAACTGTTGTCGGTTTCGGGGCTCCGTGATCGGACTGCTAGGATAAAACGGATTACAACAGTTGGACAGCTCACTTAAGAGTTAATTGTTACAGCCATTGTCAGACATCGTTCGGGTGGAGTCCTTCAGATTTCGCCGCTTAATTAGACATCCTTCCAATGTTGTTCAGCTCGTTGGTATCCTCTGCAATATGTTAACAACATTTGCTGGTCAGTCTGCTGACATTTTGTACAAACGTAACCGACCGTGAGTCATGCGACGATTCAAAATGATTCACGGACACCGGTGTGTCGCAGTTTGAACAGCGACTATGCAATAAGTACAGAAGCTGGTGCGAATAACTACAGTAAAACAACAATAATTTTACAAATTATATTTATATAAATGTACAGTACTTCTTTTAGCTTCCTAGGTTGCAAGGCGAAAAAATCTATTGCAAAACAAATTAACAGAAGCGCCAAAAATCGTGAACCAAATACCAACACCAATGCACTAATGCGGATTACCAGATAAAGGTTACTCTTTGCATAGTGTCGAAACTGTCGATGGTTCTTCTTACCGGGTACCTTTGACAGAACTAATTTTATATACAAACTGTACATTAGATTGTGTTGTATAATTATAATTACCGAGCCGCAAATAGTCTTGCCGTTAGAACAAAAAAATAATATCTATTCGCCCTAGGTAAGCATGTATTGTTTGTATCACAAAATTTAAGTTATGCATGCAGTACAGTTTAAAATTAAAATTTCTTATATTTTCCCGCGTTATATTAGCTACGGTAGTTGTGCTTACATCTTGGTTCTTATTTTCAGAGTTAGTTATTTGCTGAGTTTAAAACGGCTTCACATTTTTCTCAATTTTTGCGGTTTCCCACGTCATTCATTTGTCGCGCATGGCTTAAATTGCTGCTACTTATAGAACATCAGATAAGACAAGTTATGAAACTTTACACTTATAAGATAAGTTTCGAAAAATTAGCCAGCGAAACATGAACCTTGCGGTTTTGCAAAAATATCAACAAATACAAGATATTTTAAAGTTTGTGTTTTGACCAAAAGTGACCGTACAGAAACTCTAGTAAATGCAGATACCTATCTATACAAAGTATACAGATCTTTTTTATCAGTTACCGTAAAATATTTTGGTGGGTAACGTTATACATTCTGGTACTATTCGTAGACTTTAACCTGCTAGTTTGGCTTGTAGATATTTTGGAAAATATTGTACTTACATGCACAAGCGAACATTCTACTCTAATCGCTAGCTCGATGCGGAATTCTGTCGGGCCAGTGAATTGTGAAACAGCTTCGCGATCAAAGTTAACGAACGGTATGACTTCCGGTTTCCTTCCTGATGACACCTGTTGCTGTCGGATGTATCCTGGAGATCAGAATCTATTTTATTGTCAATCCACTTGAAACTATAACAGGATCACTGCGTATCTCAAGTAGACAAATATCGTCGACCTGTACATTGTTCTGATAAGGCTCGAGTTGGGCAAAAAAATCATCTCATCTACAAACGCGCTTAATGGCCAAGGATACGTTTCCTGTTTGATGTTACTTAAACAGTCACACAAAGAGTTGTTTTATGGCGCCTTGTAATGACACAGATAGTGTTAACAAATATACACGCTTTTATGTGCCTCGTACTTATAAAAGATGTGCACTCTTTATGCTTATTTTTGCATTGTGTTTCTTTGTCGCTAGTGTACGTATGGTCAACTGTAGCTTACAATTTTATGACAGATTCAGAATATAGGTAGCCTTCAACATCATGCTTGGTGCCCTTTTTTGTTCATTATTATTTGTATAAACAGTATTATGTACAGATATGCTGCCAGTGTTTTACATTCGGGCTTCAAAATATAAAAATCGCAGTAGTTTCTAACCAACCATATAGATACTTTTACAAATCTACCGCGCATGATTATGTGATATAATGGTATTATTGTGACAGTAAACGAAAAAATAATGGCAGTACTGTTATCACTACACCCATACTCAGACTATTTATTATAAGTAATGCATTTTTTTATATATCTTCTTTTATCTGTTCCGGAACTAAGCCTTTCGATTTCGCCGTTCAGTTGATGTACTCGTAGGTTGAGGACCAACGTACTGTACAATTGTACAGATATCATTCTATGTGTTATTGTCCATACTCGTAAGTCGTCCTCTATCTGATGCTCGCCCAGGTACTTACAAACCGAATAAGTCCAAGTATCAGCCGAATAAGTCATGGTCAGCATGATTTGCATCCAACTTTACCGTAAAGAGGAAAGCTAAAAACAATAACCGGACCTATGCACATTTATAATGCTTTATTAATACTTTAAGGAGCGGTTTGTCTCGTTAAAATTCTTTCAAATTAAGTTAAAAAATAAGCAGGGGCCAATTGCGTACAACCTTGTTTTGTTTTTGCATGTACAGGCTGTTAGGCAGGTATTCTCCGAAGAACAGTTCGCTTTTTTCTTGCAGTACCGGCGTTATTTGGTGGCACTCGCTGTCCAGCGTCCGTAGTGGATGGAGGTGGTCCGTAGCCTGGTTCACTACTGGCTGCGGTATCGCTGCCAGCCACTGTTGTATTACCGCCACCATGTGAACTACCAGCCAATTTGGAGGTCTCGTATAGCCACTGCCTCAAGCGAGACACCGGTCCATAACCCGGCTCAAACTGCTCTTCCTCCGCTGCCTTAACTCTCTGCGGTCGCCTCCTTGGTCCGGAACGAAAAGTATCCCTAATTGGGAAGCGCCGATTGAAGTCGCTGGGCGGCACAGCCGGTTCCAGCACCCGCAACGGTTGTCCAGGTCGTCGCGCGAAACCGCCACCGTGTCGGGGTGGAAAGCGCGGCCGCTGCATCGGCGGTTGGAATGGAAACTGGTTGGATGGATCAAATGGCGGGCCATCCATTTCATTCGGAAAATTATTAGGTGGTGGTGGCTGTGGAGGAGCATAAAACTGTTCTTCATAGTCCATGCGACGCGGTGGTGGTGGTGACCACGGCTGCATTTGACTGTTTTCCCGCATAAAACCGGTTCCATCGTACGGCGTGCCGACCGGATCAAACATGTTGGACATTGCGAAACGTGGCGGCTGGCTGGGGACCATGACTTGGTCATTCGGAGCGTCGTTAAAATTATTCATATTATTATTGTTATTATTGTTATCGTTCATCGGGGAGTAATACATTTTATTGGTGGGATAAGCTCTCCATCCACCGTTTAACCGCTGTCCCATATTGACGACATAATCGCGTATACTTGACTGCTGTTCTGGGTTAAATTCGTGGGTCGAAACAAAACCAGGATGACCTTCGCGGCCCGTGCTGATACGACGCCGCTTGTTGATAGACATAACCCGATCGGCGATTTCACTGTCCGGCGCACGGCTTTTCCCATACTGCAGGTCGTTGCTGAGAAAAGGAAGCGGATATTCGTGTGCCGGTGGTTGTCGCTGTCTGTATGTTGATCCATCCGCGATTAAATCATGATCACTGGACCAAGCAAAATTCTTCTTAGTGCTTTTCGCACTTTCTGGAATAGAATCGGTCAGTATAGCCCCGCCGGCAATACTGGGGATGTATCTCGAGCGCATTTTCGCATAATGTGGTACGACCGTGCTGGCTGCACTGGCGTCAATTTGTATATCCAGACCCGGTGCTTCATCTTCGCCATCATAGCTACCGGTTGACGGGACGGTGTTGGTTTTATACTGAAATGTAATTACCGGGTCCGGTGCAGAATGTGCGGGAGTAAAAGATTTTCTGCGGATTACCATAGCTGGTTGGTAGAAATTGTCCAGCTCGTCGGTATCGTCTTGCTGGTAGGCTGGGCGGAAGAATGGCGGCATCGGCATCCATGGCTGAGCATGGCACTCTTTCCGGATGTGTATGATGATAGATATTACAGCAAAGGTTATTGAGACACAAAGTACCTAAACAAAAAAATATAGATATGAATTAATTTAAGGACAGCTGGTTAACAGTAGCATAATATAGCGGTATATTGCATTCATCATGATTAGCAACGTTGTAGTTAAATCTTGAATCTTACCATCTCGGCTGTAACATTTGAGCTAAATTAGTGAACTACTTTACCTTACAATTTAACAACTAAATGGTAGCGTGTGCTTGGAAATGATTTACTGTAAGGTTGATTGGGTAATTTGTTACGTATGCGTTAATCAGAGCAAATTTCTGGGTCTACAGTATAGAACGGTGTGTAAGAACATTGCAAGTCAAAAACTCTAGACACCTACTTTCACTTTTAACTGTGTCGATCGTTAAGAAAACGTGTACCGTAGGGTGAGTAAATTTTGCACCATAATACTGCATTTATATATCACACACTGTATAATGCATAAAATTGCTCCACATTGGCGTTCATTTGATGAATCATGGCACGTAAAAAATTGTTAAAAGAACAAAGTGTTTTATTATATTGCAGTAAATATCCAACAAAGTTTTGTTAAAAGCAGCATTTACTTTGTATTAATACCGACATAATCGCTGTGGCATTATTTGTCCCAAATTTGCCGGCATATTTTAAACATGCTACTACTAATTTCTTATTATACTGAATGATACGTTTGACGTGTACACTGCACACCTGTTATAATTATGCCCTAATTGTTCTTAGACTTGGACCATGCACAAAGTTTACCAAATACTACTTTTCGAGAATATTTATATAATGCACACACCTCCTTTTCGTGCAGGGGAGCTGGTTGTAGAAACTATTTTTGCGCCATGTGCATTAAAGCTTATTACATTATTTACCTACTTACTGTGCAACACCTATAGTCTGCAAGTATACCGTATCACATTTACTACACCATCGGTACAAAATGGAACACAGGCTCACACAGCCTCGGCGATAACGTGGACTTTACCACAAGAGAAATTATGCGTTATGTATTTATAGGCGATAGATATGTTTGCATCGAGTATTAAACTTGCCGAATATTAAACTCCGAATGACTGCCTCAATATGAAAGCGCATAAAGAAACGCAGGTGTGGAACACAGTCACCAACAGTACACATGCCCCAAAAATCGCACATGTATGGTGCAAACGATTAGAAATTAGAATTCCGATGTGAAAAATGGTACGACCTACGCGCAAAAATTATCCTTTCAGCTATGAATCTGCACTTATTGTACGAGAGCAATTGCTTGACTTCTGGAAAAACAATGCGCATTAATCCAATAAAATTTGTGTTCGAGTTTATTAATGATTTGAAGAACTTCCGGGATTTGTCGCAGCCGTCACCCGCAGAATGGAAGTGCGCCGCAACCTGTTGGGCTTCCTTGTCTTTCTTTGGGTAGCGGGATTAATTATTGCTTTGTCTATCGGTCTGGGACTGCGCTTTGGATTATTTGGTTGGCGACGGCATATCTTCATTCCCGGTGAGGAAGTGGTGTTGTTCACTGGGCAACACGATGGTGTCTTCTGTGAGACTGTCATGCTACAATCATCCGGTTACGTTACCGGTCAGAATATTTTCGTACGGGACTGGAAACACTTCCAGAAATCCGAGACCAAAGTGGACCACTTGGACGTGAGGTTGTCGGATGTGCATTACTTTTTCCGTAAATATCGCCTTTATACCAAAGATTATGTCGACGTGCGGGTGTGCTCCGAATATGGACTGACAGTTTTATTGCGACATCTCTGGACGCATTTACCCTGTTAACCGAACACATTAACCGTGGCACACCGTGTACGAATACCCCATCGGCAACGGATGAGATCTGCGGAAAAGTTATTCACACGTATGTCGTACAGAGTATGGGCCACTGTGATTGGTCAGCGCAGAAGACATCCCAAGATCACTGGATTCGGGCATTATTCGTGGCGTATCATCCGACCGATGTGTTTGTGGTATTTGCCAGCGATCCGCAGCGAAATCGCCGACGAAATTTGGCGGAAATCATCGAAGTGGGCAAGACATACAGGAGCACGGCAACGGATATCATATCGGAGTGTATTCAGCAGCACATGTGTATGATGCAGTTTGATTTCGGTGCCAGTCAGGCAGTAGTGGTGCAGATTGGTTCGGTGGATGAAGATCCCACGGTTAATGTGGAGATCTGGACATACTGTCAGGCCAGGGATTGGTTTTTTGTTCTGCTGTTCTGTGTTTGTCCGATCATTATTTTAAGCATTGTTAGTTTTATTGTGGTGAGAAAGTTTTCTCCAAAACATAATTTAAGATACGGGTGACACAGTATTTCCCGGTGTCCTACTGGTTTTAAGCTTGTATACTGTTTTATAACTAGGAATACAGCACCGTATTAATTATTGCATATCAATTAAAAGATGCAACATCGTCGTCACATTTTTAAAAGTATGTGAATCAAAATTATAAGACATATTTGCAGCTTAAGATAATTTTATAGCGTACGAGAATTGATAATGCATAACAGAAATTCGCATGTACATGCTGTCCGGTACAAGGTTACAAACTGCCGTACACAACGTATATTGCATAGCTAGAGGCAGTATTAATACAGTACTTCTAAGTTCTAATACTATTTCAGTTTTGAAAGAAATGATTGGACAATTTTATCGTGAGCGGCTTTAATTTGGACGCTCGTTTGTTCTGCCAAAGTTTTCAAGATCATATTCATTTGCAAACAAATAATAAACATATGATTCTAGAAGCGTTCATAAACATATAATTCTGAATCAGACTTCATAAACAGATTCTCATAAACATATGATTCTGATTCAGACTTCTCTGCTTGGCTTATCTAATCGTACCGGGCGTAATCATAACAATCATTTATATCTATATACGGTATAGCAGTTCTCCGGCGGCTATAATGAAATTAATATTAATAAGTGCGCATACACAGTTTTTTTTAAATTTTGCTTTTTAATTTACTGTAACGTACTTGTACTAATCTACGTGCAACAGGAAAGTTGGCTTAACTTTAAAGTAAATTAAAATGTCATTAGGTACAGTAGCAAACACAGTAATGCGGAAGCGCTTCATCGGCGTACGAACCGGCATAATATATGCACGGTGTAGGTCTCTTGTCTTGTGATTGCTAATTGCAGGGTTAAGAGGAAAAAACGACCACGCGTTTGCAAAGCCGATTTAAAAGCCGCCCATGATACTGTAAACCATTAGAATATCAAGTGGTCAGTTGCCGACAAACGCCATAATAATTAAGGTATCAGTACTGTGCGTGTAGGTAGCCGACCGGTAACATTCGGTTCACGGCTGGATTTCGTGTGCTGAATTTATTTTTTAATGAAAAGTAGCGAGATTTGGTATTTCCAGTTAGTCTTGCTCGTATTATACACTAATTATCTGCGGAGCAAAGTCATCATCTTGCGTTAGTTGGATGTGAGCTCGGACCACTGCACTGCGGGAAAGGGCAAAGTTTTAGCAATTATCATGGATAAAAGTGGGGGATTTGTGCTGTCCGCGATACTATGCAATCGACAGCTCTGGATTCTTGCCACATGATATCAATAACGGTTATCCAGATCTGGATGAAGTTAATTATCTGCATTTATATATCCGCGACTTTTATGCCTGTAGACTTCGACGATCACCTGCACGATGATCGGTGCAAATAGCGATGTTCTGGGCGGTACGCTGCAAATAATGTTTTTTTCAGGCACTAGCTAATCATATTATCTGTACATATAGTGAATATTATTCATTTCTTCCAAAAAATCTGCTTGTTATAATAACGTTTGGTAGCATAGCACTTCACTTGCATGTTGTGACAAATGTAGCATTCCGCGCCTTTTTTTCTCACTTAGTCTGAAATCGTAGCCTTTCGTTTGCGGCTATAGTTGTTACAACTGATAACTGAAAGAACATCATAAATTTTACACTTTTTAGATGATCGTTCATTGAGGTAGATCACCTATAAAAGGGTAATAATTTTGCTGACTCATTTTGTTGTAGCCTTTGTACTGGCTAATAATATGGACTTCCACTTGGGACGATAAAGTACTGCTGAATCTAATGCTGGACGCCGATCAAATCGCCGAAAGCAAAAATAACGACAACAAAGTGCCCTTCTCTATCGATGGTAATTTCCCAGTGAATAATAATATGCGAACGCAACGACCATATTCCCGCGACACAAGCGTGCCGCCACCGTTGGATATCTCGTTCCGTCCCAATGCCGACATTAATGGTAACAACGACCCCGCGCTGAATAATTTCTACTCGGTTACACAAATGAACGGCTACACGCCGTACATGCAACCCCCATCCGATGTGACCACTCAAGCGCCTACCGCGCGGACACCGCTAATGCCATACCGCACGCGGGCGCCCATTCCGCCAGTCTTCCGTCCCGCCGCACCAGAATCTCCATTTTGGGATACTGATCTCTACCCACCATTTTTCAGTCCAACCACCGATAAGCCATTTATACAGATCCCCGATAGAGCTGATTTAATGGCTCCGCCCAGTTCCTACGTTGATATTGGAGCGGAAGTATTGGAGCCGGTTCGAGATAATAGTCAACCGCCACCCGGATCATCGTCGGTCAGCTTCAATCGCTTTGCACTGGATGAAGTCCAGAACCCACCGCCTGCAAAGGAAAAGACGGAACAGCACTCACTGGAAGAGCTTTCCCAACGCAACAGCAATTTGGAGCGGAATATTCAAAATAGCCAAACCCGATTACAACAATTTCGCAACACGGTGCAGCAGTCGGGCGGCTATACTGACCATAGGCCACGTGACTACACTACTGGTGACCTTAATTTACCATACACGTCGGATTCCGGCCGTTGGCAAAACGCGGATCAGCGATACTATGCAAACCAATTTCCAGTACGCGGCGATCCATCAAACCGATTTCCGTTGGTCAATTTCGAACCTGAAAACAACAATCGTGACGCCGGTGGTCCATCGCAGAGTGGTATAAATGTTTCACCGCAGAACGATGGATTTCCCCCAGATGGCGGTGAGCCGGAGTACGATGGCAATACTTCCCAGGAAAATTACCAATCTGTTCCATTTTATCCTCAGAGAAGCAGAGTCGATCGCTTAGATCCAAACTGTATTGCCAATAACCCGCGAATTCCTCGCCTTCTGAACCGGTTAAACGAATCTTCGCCAGTAGCTGAAAATCCAAAAAATATTTCTTCGGTTTAATTTCTGCAGAGACATTTTTCAAGTTTAATTTAATGCAAACGAATTTACAATATTAGAAGCACGAATGATAGCTTAAATTCACGGATGGATTTTTGCTCGTTGGATAATCGGTACAGACCGTACAGTTATCGCTTTTAGATCTATACGAAGCGATAACTACGAATGTCGCACATATATACTGCATCCATAAAGTTTTGATTATGTTTTGAACTGTGCAAAACGGTTTGAACGCTAATGCGGAGGAAATCGCAGCATGAAAGTTAATAATAGGTGATATTTACGAAAAACTGATTGTAAAATTAATGATCATATCAGTAACCATTTCTTGGACGAGATTCTTATTATTAAAAATAAGACAAACGGATGCTCCTCGCTTTAGAAACTGGCACCAAATAGTTAATTAATTATTTTTTGGCTATTTCGACTGCTTTGTGTTACCAAAGTTTTGTCTTCTCCGGGTTCTACGTCCTGTTTGTTTGGATGTCAGAGGAAGACACTACAGTTAGTATGTTATTTTAGCATGTACTTATGTAACTTATTCGTTGACCTTTATAATTCAGTCGTTTTCGGTAGGCATTTCATATTTTTCATCCGTTGCGCCGCTGCTGCTCGCTTGGTTGGTTAAATGTACTTACTACATACATACTACATCCATATCTAAATATCTAGATTAGAATAGGATCAAAGATCTAGATCGATGGATGAAAGATTCTGCCGATGAAAACAATAATTATTGTATTAAAGGACGAAGATCAATATTAAGTTTTATTAATCGTGGTAGCCGACCACCTTGCGGAAGGCGGTTTGTGCTTACGCTGCAGAATTAAATAATGTGCTTACGCGGCGGCATGTGCTTACGCTTTGATATTTAAATAATTTGATTTTGCTGTTCGATTTGGATTTATCATTCGCTAAAGATTTTCAGGTTTTTGTTATCTTGTATTTGGCATCTGCCATCTGTAGTTTATACTGTTTACTCAGTATTTATGTATGAAGTATTTTGTTTATGTACTACAGCTATTTGTGCCCGTAAAACTTTAGACTTCGCAGTTCGAACTGCTCTGGTTAGTGAAAAAAAAATTCATTCCTTGTAATTTGGTCGCGAAGTTACTGTAGTAACTGTCGCATGGAGTAAGCGGAGATCGATTTTCGCCATCTGGAGAGCAAACTCTCAACTGCATTGCTCATTTGCTGGGAATTGCAAGGAATCTGGTTTCCCTTCTTATTGCAGAATGTTCCTTGTTTCAAAGCTGACAACTCGGGTAAGGCCTCGTGGTTTCACATGGTTCCCTGGTGACTGTACGTGGTTTTCTGGGCAGGTATCATGGCGAACCAAACAGGTGTTGCGAACGTACCACGCTTCCGTCCTCCGCAGCGCACCTCTCGTTCCCATTGTAATAGAGCAGACAGGACGTGGCGAGCGTGCATACGATATTTATTCCCGTCTGCTTAAGGAACGCATAATTTGCTTAATGGGTCCGGTGAGTGATACTTATAATTTTCACGTCCTGTGGACAGCTGTTAAAAATAAGAATAACTGAAACTCCGCTCAAATGGAAGTGATGAACGTTCAGGGCCGAAATCGCGCCAATCATTTATTGCCTTCGCGTCATTTCAAATTTGTACATGAATATTTATGATAACAATTTTTTGTACTTACCAATACCATCGTTTACTTCTTTATTTTTTCATTTTGAATGGTTCTGTTTTGTGCTGTAGGCTGCTATTGATAGTCATACTACATTAAATTTTGATTTTCTTTCACAACAAACAGCTTATTATTTGTATCAGCTTAATTTCTCACCGTAGTTTTTATTTTTGATAAGGAACTTACTGCTATTAAAACTGCAGAATAATATGAAAAACTCTTCGTCTGAGCGTATTAAGCTCAACACTAAATATTTAGCTTTTGTTACAACTGTTATTCGCAAATGCTAATAATGCCTTATAGCTTTGAATTTTCTCCGGCAACAAGTGTTGTTTTTAGAATCATGGGTGCAAAAGTTAGCGATTGTAATTTGTAAAAATTTTGGAGCATCTTGTTTGGCAAAATGGCGAAATTGATGAAGTGTGTGTGCTATTTTTTTAATGTTTGAATTCATATACAGTACATTATTTGTTCTACAGGTAACCGATGATCTTTCAAGTCTCGTTGTTGCTCAGTTGCTCTTCCTGCAGTCGGAGAGTGCCAAGAAGCCCATCCACATGTACATTAACAGTCCCGGTGGATCTGTGACGGCCGGCCTGGGCATCTACGACACCATGCAGTATATTCAGTCGCCGGTGGCCACGTGGTGCGTCGGCCAGGCGTCCAGTATGGGCAGCCTTCTACTGGCCGCAGGGGCACCGGGAATGCGGCATTCTTTGCCCAACGCTCGTATTATGATCCATCAGCCATCCGGCGGGGCACAGGTATGTCCTGGCGCTCGACAGACAGCGGCTGTTTCGATATGACTGGGTGTCGGAGATATTTGTTGGGCAGTGTGGATCTTTCGTCCCTATTAAAAATTTAAGCGCACTGAAGTTTCCGTACTGTCATTTGATGTGCCTAAAATTTAACCTTAAGTAGTATGTAGTGTAAATAAATCAGGAGTCTGAATTAACAAAAAAATATACATTAATCAAGTATGTTTTGGGTTTGCACGTTTTTTTTGTTGGCAGTGGTATACAACCAGTTCTTGTTACAAATATTTTTTTCCAGGGCCAAGCCACGGACATCATGATCCACGCGGAAGAAATAATTAAAATAAAGCGACAACTTATAAATATTTATGTCAAGCATACTGGACAGCCTTATAAAAAACTAGGTAAGAATTCAAAGCATCGAGAGAACTAAGTTAATGCTGCGTTACTTTGTACGACACTTTTGTGATTTTGTTTGCCAGCAGTTTTTAAGTTAGTATTTGTATTTGTTTCGAAATTTTTTTCAGGTATTACGGAAAAACATTCGAAACAAATACAAATTCAATCGCACACTATAATTGTAGCGATGTAGGATTTGATCCAGTATTCATTCATATTGCGGCATTTTGTAGAAGATGCTATGGAAAGAGATAGGTTTCTCAGCCCGAAAGACGCCTTAGAATTCGGTTTAATCGATAAAATTCTTGAACACCCACCACCACCCGTTGCGAAAGAGGATTGTCCGCCCGAAGCCCGAAACGATTATCCCGTTGAATCTGTAGATAAACCCGAGAAACCCAAGATATTGACTCCGTGAGCAGTCGATATATTCTTCTTGCAGTGCGATCCGGGAATTCAGTAAAGCCGACGCTGCCGCTGTGCGAGATTGTTGAACATTAATGCAGTGTCTGCTATTTCGCAAAATCTGGACCGGTGCATGCACTTTTGCATGCAGTCAATAGGAAACTCCCGGTAATTGGCGTACATTTGTCATACGCCTGAATAAGTATTTGGGCACATCAAGTAAAAAGATATTTTTTTCTTTTTCGGGTCTTATCTACATCGGTTAAGATAATTGTGCGCATTTTGGACATTTTAGATGATCTTTCTGATTTGACAGTGACTCTGAATTTCAGTAGCGTTCACGCGCTCGATGAATACATACCTGTTGAGAGCACTGTTATGATCGGAAACGAATAAATATGGAAAAAGGGATCAAAATACACAATGCGTTTTTCTCATTTTGTTTGCCTCTAAACACCCATGGTAATTTTAATTTTTTTACAAGTGTTTTGTTTTGGGACATCAGCAACAACCATCAGCAACAACCATGCAGTGGTTGTTATGTGAACTAAGCTGTAATACCTGGTGAGAAATTTGATCAAATATGTGGGAAGTTATGAAACGAAAAATGTGTGGCTTCTCAGTTTTCTGCATTTCGAAGTCAGTTTACTTCTTAATTTCAAGTGCGAGAATAACATTGTCATATGGTTGAATTTGGTCGTTTGCAAGCTGCGGGCACTCATCGTATGCCATCTTCCACGGATCGTCAGACCTGTTCTGAAGCACGCACAGATAAATGAAATTGTTTGCCAAATACTTTGCATGACCACGTAGGAGATGCAGTCGATCCCGGCTTGTGCGCCGTAAAACACTTGAAAATGTCTGGCAGATGGAAACATGAACGAGGTTATTTGATATCCATTTATTGTTATGCGCAACCGTATATATCTATGCCGACCCCAGTGGACAACACGCGTCAGCTGTTTTGTTCGTGCATATCTGCTGACTTCTTTCCGTTTGAGCTGGTTTTCAATATGCAGGAAATATTACAACTACAATTTCATTAATAACTGTAACACAACTACCCACCGTACGTATCACGCAGATTGCGCATATAAATGGTGGCAAACATTAATATCTATATTACGAGTATATACCGTGTATGGTGGAACAATGGCGGAACAAGGGTATTAATGTCGGCCGGCTCATATTCACACAGCTGATAGTCAACCTCCAAATAATGGTTATAGTTTTTAAATACCTACGAAACAGAAATGCAGCAAAAGACGAAGGTATATAATCCAACCGGTGGAAATGTCCTGTGTATCGATTATTCGTGCATCTTCCATATGAATAAATTTGCTAATGTGTACGTGCACTATCAAGTCTATAGTCCAACAAAAATTTCAGTGTTTTCTTTTCCAAAGCAATTCAAATTTTTAAAACAGTTTCATGGCTACGAAAATATCGGTACTTCGGTAGCGACTACCGGTATATGGGCTTATTAGGTACACGTGTCGTAGACAAAATGTATTATTATTAGGTACAGGTGTCGTAGACAAACTGACGTACAACGTTGGACAAAATTTTACACAATACTGAAGTGTTACATTTTCTATACATTTTGTAGGACCAAATACAATGCTTTGACAATAAACTGTTTACCGCGGCGCTTTCGATAATATCCTCGCGAAATTTTATAAAATTAATAAAAAGTTTTAATAAAATTTTGCTTTCCTGCAGTTTACTGTGCACCAGGTTTTTCGATTAAAGTACTGCTGCATGGCCCTTCGCTCGAAAGGTCAGACCATAACATGTGGAACAACATAACGGTTTGGCAATAATTTGAAATTAATGATCAACCTCTTCAACCATACGCCTGAAGACTTTCTACAGTGTGAATGTATTAATTTCTGTTCAATTACCGCAAGATGGATCCGGCACTAGAGTTCAATGAGAGGAACTGTCAGGCTTTTCATATCATAATCGAGAAACCGGAAGAGCAGCCGTAGTTCGTCAAGAGTTTAGCTGAGTGTAGGTGCTTCAATTTTATAAGAACCTACTTGCCACTACGGCGATATGAGTGACAAATCCCCATATTTGTTGTATATTGCCATTTGGTAAATAAAGCGCTTGTTAACAAGAAGTGCCTCAATTCAATACGGTGTTAATGGTTTTCCACTATATTCGCAAAAGCAAAGATGGAATGTGTCTGCGCGCGCGACCGGCGACCGGACAAAAATAATGAATAAAAGCCGTTTAGATGGAATATTATCTCGTAAAACATCGATTTTCAACAGCACAGTGAAGGAGAGAATACAGCAGCGGAAGCTTACAGATAGTAGTTTGGATCGTTGTACAAACTGCCGGCACACGCACATGTATATATCTGGCGAACCGCAACGATCCGTGACACGGTGAAACGGAAGTCAAGCCGGAAATGTGCTCTGGCGTGTTTGACAATGCGCCAACAAGCATTTATGATGGGGTAATATTTTCGCAGCTGAATAGAGTGACATTAACAGGCTCGGAACATTTTATTCATTTTGTAAATACATATTTTGCAGCTGGCCGCAGCAGCGCAGTGGGAAATGCACTGTGTATTGATCGCTCCACAGGGAGTTGTGGGGCGTCAAAGTGCTAACACGTTATGTGCAAAAGTGTGATTTACCTAAATAGACTTGATCATTATACAGTCATATATGTGCATATGAATATAAAACATGAACAGTTCCCCAGGCTGACTGGTAACTGGCCGACCAAAATGACTGCATTGCGTGACCTCTAATACCACTTTAACACGCTAATGGATTAATAGTAATTATTTCGAGAAAGAAGATTATTTGATATTGTTGCTCGATTTCAATGTGCTATTGTTATAACATGTACGTACATGCAAAGATATAAATAATTTGTTGATGGTTTGAGCCCATACTAGCCGTTGCTGCAACATTGTTTAAAGTCGGATTTGCTAAAAATTAATATACGTCAGATCGACTTTCAATTACCTTGCTTAACATCAGCAAGATTACTACTGTTTGCCGGCGGCGCTAACTATTAATGATGAGTACACAGGTTAGGTACACCATTTTCCAAAGACAGATAAGCTGTTTTCTGTGCAGACGCGGTCTAAATGGAAGGGACATCCATAAATGGGCTAACTAACCTCCCCGTGTGTTGTTTCTTTGTTTTTCGGCTTTATATCGGAAGTTAAGTGTTTGCATTCACATTGGACGCTGTATGTGTCGACATCTAATATGCTTGTATGACCAACCGAATTATTATCGTCATTTACTTAGACATGGATAAGCAATTACGTCCGCCTAATTCTTCATTTATTTTTCTAATTGACTCCATGCGATAATCTACAACCATATTAATTGTCACTCTGATCCGCACTCAATTAGCCAGATTCTGTTAAGCTAACACATCATATATAGTAATATTGTGCCGGTGACGCGGCGCTGTCCTTCATGTTAATGAAGTACAGTATCACGACATGCACAGGAATAATCTCTTGTATTTATTAATTTATGCTTTCGATGAAGTCCAGAATATTTCATTGTGTAGCTCAAGGTTAACGTGATAAACGTGCTCAAATTATTTATGTATGCCATTTTATTATTTAGCATTTCTGTGTTTGGGTGTCACACAAGTTCGTGTTTTGCATTTTTACATTCCCAAGGATGATGAAAGTATACAGAATTGAAATTTTACCTCACCAGTTTGCGACTGTAACTATGTCTTGTTCCTCCAACTGGCCTGAGAACTGCTTACTGATACGGATTTCAAGTGGTCAGCACTTGGAGTTTGTTTTACTTCCCCATATCTTATTATGGGGGAAACAAAATTTGCAGTCTGCAGTGCGCTGTGCGAATATGACTGTATTGCATTCTGTTATTTAAGTACAATTTTTAGTTCAAAGTTTTGCCAGGCGTATGTGCGTATAAATAAATTATTTAACCAAGACAACCATTTTTAAAAGTTCATGGTTAAAAAGCAGGCCTAAATGGATAGGAAAGCATAAAGCATTGACATTTGCAGACGTCCGGGATTCTGTATCGTATTAATAAATGTGCATGCAAATCGGCTATCGATCCTTTTGATTATATTAACCAATTGCCGCTACAGAGCGGTGTATTGTCTCTTTTCATCCGTCGCACGGTGGTAGCAATTCAAAAACACGTGCTCGGAAATCGTCAGATTTATTCCGGCAATCGTCGTCAAGGGTCATCGAACAGTGAATCCATGCAGGAGAAGCTGTGTAACAGAAAGGTCATACCATGTTGTTGATAGAATGCAAAGAGGTTCAGTAATTCTTGGATCGCCTGCACTTCATCTGCGCGCCAGCGCAATTCGTACATGCGCTTGTATATGCGCGGACAATATTATCGTATTTTCCGCGCAATTGAACAGTGTACAAGATCGTTAATGGTTGTCGGTTATCATATTACTGGAATTTATGACGATAGTGAAACCACACTAAGCAGATTTGGCAATAATGCCACTGTGACCGAAAGTATTTAGACTTGTAGAGGATGTTCATTAATTTGTCGTTACAAATTGCATGCGTTTATTATACTACGTTATTTTTGAAAACAGTGTTTATGTGGCTGAAAGAACTACTTGCACGGTATAAAAGGCCAATAATTATTTGAATGTGTCACTTAATGTTGGCGAACATTAACTTATTTCGAACTCATATATATGCATAGCGAACATCTCAGAACCTCTAACTGCAACATTTAAATTTAATAAGCTCCTTATACGAGTACTATAGTTTTCTCGCGTCATCTTGAATTAGAAATTTGCATTTGGTTTAAGTGTCAGCATCCAACAGCAAGATGTGTAAATTACCCAAAGATGTTTGCATTTCTTATCATTATATCCCATCGTTGAGAAGGATCAACTGTTTGATTACATCGATAAGTGCCTCCACAGATTAATCTGACCCGCAAATATTGCCTGCATGCGCCTTTGTGTGAAACATTTACGAGAATTTCAAATCGTCTTTAAAGCTTTAAAATCAGTATATTAATGCTGGAAATTGTTCTTGGATACGATGTAGAGATTAGCTGGTCGAACAACAAGATAAGCCAAAGAAGATTGCGAATCAGGCAAGATTATCTCACCTCATTCGAGGTTTAAAGAATATAAGGCGCAAAATATTTAACAATTTTGGAATACTTCAGTATCAAGAGGTCAATTAAAGTTTATCGTCCACCAGCTACCCGAGAAAACGCTTAACTACTGAGCATGAATTTTTTCTGCCCCTTTTTTGCAACTCGTAATCGGTTACAATAAGCTACATGTGACAATAAAGTTAATCTCAGTCAATCAAAATGTAGAATTCAAAAGCATTGGCAGAATCTCAAATAGTCATTAAATATATGCGCTTTGACAAATTTGAAATTAATGATGGCTTTAGTCCTGACATCGACGAGAATGGAAGCCATCCATGTTTCAAAATGTCACAATTAATACAGATGGCTACAGCAATACTTTGTGAGACCTCCTACGTGAGAAACTGCCAAAGCGTACGTGTTTTCTTTTCAAATTTAAAAATCTCACTATATATGGAAAAGTGACGATCACTTTGTACCACGTACCGCAGTGTGCAAAATAGAGAAATTACTACGTAGAAAAACTTAATTGATAATGTGCGAATACAGAGTGCATAATATGCACGTAAAGCTGCTGTCCGCGTCGCGTATAATTGATAAAAAACTTTTTTTAGTTTTGGTGTAACGGTGAATTGGAGAATCGGAATCGAAACTGGTAGAAAAATATTTTTTCCCATGGTTACATATGAACACTCTGATTTAACCGAGTAAATTGACCAAAGAATATAGATATAAAACAACATTGATTGCACTTTAACAGCTAAGTCAGTACATGCATGCCCTGCCCATACTGGACGTGGACTACGCTACTCGCTGACATCCACAACAAATGAGAGTAATACATGTAACACATTAATCAAACGTACTTTTATCCAGTAACCCTACACAACCGCGCTAATGGATTACTATTTGGTTGGATAATCCGCTTATTTTTTGTCCAGTTGACTCAAGGGCACATGCACGCTTATTCCGAAGGTAGACGAATACTGGCACCGAATTTGTATGTATAAGGTACAACATGAACAGCAACGGCCAACGCCCGGCATTTATGACCATTGCGGCCAAGGTCGTTGCTGGTTAGCACCCGGATGCGGCATGGATAAATGGGTGAAATTGGATGAATTGCTCATTTGCATGGCCATATTACTGAGATGGTGCGACTGGGGGAAGGGATTCATGCAGGGATTGGCAAAACCGTTAAGGGAAGATGGTATATGCTGCGACATGCCCTGCAATACTGAATTGGCCGCGGCAGCGGCGGCTGCGCCGGATGCATTCATTGGTGTGACATATCCGCTCATTTGGCTGCCGGGTCCCATACAGGTATTACTGCTGTAGAATCCACCGGCACCGGCTGCACTGTTGGCCATGGCTTGTAGACCCGCAGCGGCGTTAGCGGCCGCTGCCGCTGCTAATGGATCGTGATGCATCATGTGGTGCATACCCGTGGGGGATTTCATTAGGCAGGAATTTCCAGTTGATGACGGTGCGCAGGGCTTTCCATCGCGTACCAATACTGGGACGGCAACGCGCTTTGGTGAATATGTGTGGTTTACGTCCATTTTATGAGATCGCTTAGTCTTGTAACGATGGTTCTGGAACCATATTTTCACCTAATGGAACAGGAAATAATTGTTATTATTTACTCTGTCGGTTATTTAATTAATAATATTAGTAAATAAAAGTAAAAGTATCACATTATTAAATAACTAAGCAATATTATAAAAACTCCTTAGGATAGAATTTATGTATTTACTATCGTACATGGAGCAGCTAAAGGTTAAGTACAAATTATCCATCATACGTGGGCATATAGCTATATTATCAGTGCCTGGTTAAAGTAAAAATTTGTGTTTTGTGACCATTAAAATGAAAGCTTTGAAAATGTTTGTTTGTCTTCGCAGAAATGTTTCTGTTCGCAACTTTCGGTACTAGTACAGTACAGCCTGTACATGTGCTCGTGCCTTATTTTTGTTAGGTGGATGCTTAATTTTAATAATGCCTGAGCCGTTGCGAAGTTGTAATTCATTGGCACGAGTTGGTTTAAATTTATTTACACGCTGCGCACATTTAATCAAAGGCACAAACAGTCATGCGTTATCACATACTTGAGTCGGGGTCAGACGAATAATGCTCGCAAGGTGTTCTCTTTCCGGAGCGGACAGATATCGCTGTTGACGAAAACGTCTTTCCAGTTCCATGGTCTGTGTTTTGGTAAACAGTACCCGGCGTTTGCGCTTTTTGGGCGGATCCCCGTTCTCCTTTTTCCCATCGGCATCGGATTTGTCGTCGCCCTTCTTGGAATCCGTATCGGAATCCCCATCCTCATCACCGCTCTCACCGCCCTTATCATCCAGAATATCATCATTGGAATCATCGGACAGATCGTTAGGAACTTCATGCGTGGATGCACTAGAGCGCGGCGATGTAAAGGGCGCCTCATCCAGGAGGCCGTGCTTACTGTCGACGCTGTTAATGTGTACTATATTGGGCGTTGTGGATTCCTTACACACAGACACCGGACTGGCGCTAACGTACGGCGGTGCCGGCACATTAGTGGATGGGGAATGTATGAGCGCGGGATTAACGGGAGCAGCGGGTGCTGTTGATTCGGGAATCGTGTGGTGAACGTCAAGGGATAATTGAGCGAGACCGGAGTTGGCTGTGTTGATGGATTGCATATAACCTGCATTTAATAGTCAGCACTATAGGCTCGGCGCGCGCACACATCATGTACATTTCTATCAAAAGGGTCACGCCAATGTTGACACGTTCGGCGTTCGTGTCCCTATCGTTAAAACTGCAACTAGCAATTATCCTTTATCGGAAAGTGTGCGGCCAGCTAATTTCTTGATTCAACTTCCGATTACATGGATTACATTAAGTGACGACAGCTTACTTTGTAATAGTCAATACTTAATTTAGCTTATGCACAAACACGCGCCGGCAAGTGCGTAATCTTACTTATTACTTGTCCTTTTAAAGGACACGCTAATACCGTGGCACAGCTGTCGTATTTCTCTTATCAGCATTCTTTTATGTGAATTATTAAGGTGTAGCTTCCAAAAAACAATTCTATGCAGCTTTTAAAAAATTGCTGCCTGTTGGTAATAAGAGCCCTTTTTAATAATGCAATTATGGCACATTGCTGACTTATCTTTTAATTTCCATGCAACACTGGTTTGATACTTTAAGAAGAGAGAGCGCTTCATTGCGCTCATCATAAGCTACTTTGCGTCACTTTTCAGATTGCCAGTTGGCAAAGTAGAAGCTTAAACACTATGCAAAAAATGTTTCCTTAATCTTTAATTATATGTACTTGCATGTTGTTATATTTTTAAAGTATGTCGACTACTGCTATACGATGAGGTAACAAAAATAAGTAAAAGAAATCAACACTTACCGGAATAATAAGGGTCATGATGCATCCATCGGGTGTACGGGTTATCCATACCCGATTGATCTATATAGTATGAATAGGGCATCGTGGAAGACATGAAGGACACTTGGTCCATGGTAAGATTGCCGGTAGCGAAATGCGGAAAGGAATGATCCAGTGCGGCAAATGAAGACGGTGGTTGTGGTGATTGTTGTTGACCGGTTGCTCGACTATGGTTATTTGCGCCCACTGACTGTATAACACTGGTATGAATAGCCGAGGCGGCTGCATGAGCGGCTGCTGCAGTTGCCCCTGCTGCAGCCGCCGCTGCCGTAGCCCCACCGCCACTGGCCGGAACTGCCACACCAGTCGTTGTCGTATTAACATTACCATCGCCATATCCTCCTCCGCCATTAAGTTTACTTTCGGGTAATTGGAGAATATCCTTCACATGGAAGCTACTTGACGACTTGGAGACAGTAGCGTTAAGGTTGTGCAGTGTCATCGCTGAACCAGCGTCCAATGATCTGTAATACAACATTTTTCTTCCCTATATGTACTTGCCAGTAGTGATCATATAATAATCCACGCAGAAATGCAAGATTTCACATATTCAGCAGACTACAATGCCAATCCCGATAAACTGCGCGCATAGAGAATTACGACAGTTAGTCGGAGTAAAACATGCGCGAGAAAAAAAACTGTCATCCTTTGCGCATTTAGAAGCAGAATACTAAAGAAAACGTGGTCACGGATCACCGCGATGAATACCGCTACGCTGATGTCTTACTGAAATTTCTCGACAACTAGAAAATCCACACGGTGATAATCACGCTGCAGGCGACATTATGTCTTTGACCAATAATAACCATTAGCCGTATATAATCCACCACATAGAAAGCGCCATTGAAGCAACTGGCTAAAGCTGTGTACTGACAACCAGCAGCCGGTTTTAAACGTTAGTGTGCACGATAGCAGATATATCCAGACTGGATACTGCGCCTGTCAGTTTTAGTAAGCAACATTCACTATACAGTTCATTATGAAAAACCTTAAAAAGAAATAGGTATTTGAAGTTACAGTGGAACAAGTGAATTTTAACACCTATACCTAAAAGATCTTAGAGTACAAGCATAGATACACTTGTCAGCTGCTGCATGTTGCGTTGATTTTCGCTAGCCACTTGTATCCTTTGTGATTTTATCTTTTTATCCTCCCACTGCAATCCCACTTGATTGCACTGGATTGTACTAGATGAGATCGGGATGAGGGGGAACACTCAGAATGATACTCGTACGTCAAGAGATATCTCGGCACTTTGTGATAGGTTCATCTGTGGATGCACAACAGCCGCATACTCAAAACGTTTTGAGCCCAGGATAATTTTCCTCTTCACATATATCGCGCGCCGGGTCTCTATACGCGCGCGCGCCTGCACTGGCAGCCGCATCCACTGTGAAAATTGCATTCTTCTGGATGAAGTAGCGTCATCTCCAAGCAGTACATATGTACAATATGCATGCCCTCCAATCAATAATGTAATGGATTTTGAATAAATGTCAAATGTTTATTTAACTGTGAATAACCCCGCCTTTCAATAACGGCACGCTGCGAATGTTTTGCCAAACGATCAACGATTGCGCACAGTAGTCAACACACATACACCACAGCGGACCAACACAGCGCAATTCTCTCCCGTGGTTAAGCGGTTCTGTAGTGCCACTCTCGTTCTGTCAGCTTTAAACGATTGCAATTGAAAATATCAACTACTTATAAATAACTTAATGATTTTTCAAACTTTTAATAGGCTTGTTGAAATCTCAAGTTGATACGAAGCCGGTGCAACTTGCGATCGTTTTCGCACTTATTATTCATTCGGCGAACGTTTAGTCTGCAGACGTCCGCATCTACCTTGTGCGAATGTCAAATAACAAAAGCTCAATAAAATTTCACAAATGACAACTGCAAATGGCAAATGGCTGGGTAATCGAAAGGTCACAGGCTGAAAAACAATTATTATTTAGTAAATGTGCATAAACGGCTCAGTATTTCTGTAGTACTCCACAGATTTTATTATCCGTAAAAGTTTAACAAAGTATTTGACGCTAGAAACAAAATTTCGGTAAGAAATGTAAAGAAGTTAAATAAAACAGAAAATTTAACCTTCACTGTGCGAACGTGAATTCGGAACGCAGCAACAAAAGTTTAAGACATGCGTATCTGCAACCATACGGTCATTATTTTAATTCGATTGCGGATTATCGGTTTGATAGACATTCATATCATACATAGAATACTGCATACCCGTAGCACAGTTGATGTGACGTTTGTACAGGGTGTTAAGTTAACTTGTTTGCATCTCAAATAGGCTTAAAGTTATTCAAAGGTTGTCATATTGCATTTGATTATTTCATCTAATGGTGTCACACATAAACCCTTAAATATTGTTCACGCTGTTATTGAATTCATTGACTGTGATCGATACGGTGTCCATTAGGCCACCCAAAGGCAAAATCATATATAAACTGTCCGCAAAGTCAGTAGCTAAACGCCGCAGATTATGCTGTCATCGTGGGAAAAGCAGCTACTTTATAAAGTCTTACGAGGTAATTTAAATATGATTAGGGCTGCCTTTCACATGCTCAGTAAACGTTTGGTTTTGTCATGGACACTTTTTCAGCAACCTTGCAAGACACTAATCGGGTAAATAAATTGCTAAGATGCGAGGCGAGCAGAGTTTTGTAACGAAATTTAATTAATGTAATATTATTGTGTGCTTATAGAGTTGTTCCACTGGTATAACGCAGCGGTGAAATTTATTCAGTAAATGAAGTCTCATCCGACCTATTTGGCGTGCGCCTCCGTAGATAAATCCCATTGTATACCGTCGTCGTATTCAAATGAATTCTGCGGTCGAAATTGCATTATGTTAATTAATTATTCAGATTTCTGTTTACATTTAATTCATCGTATCGGCATAACAAGTCTCATATTAAAGACCGGGCAGGTGACCTGCCGGTAAAAGGTGCAAGGGACAAAAGTTGGTGTTAACTGAACCGTAATGGGGCTTTGGAAAACGCATCACTTTACACAGCTTCCGATCGATACGGCAGTGCTAGCCTCATTTGGCGTCAGGCCACTCGACAAGCGATTGTTCATAGCGCGAGTACGCCAGTCTGCACCTTCACGGATGGAAAATGAGCTATCATTTAAAAATTAAACGAGCAGCCGCCGCACTGAATATGGCGGCAGACGCTCCAGTTCTTAAATTTTATTTAATCAACCTGATGAGAATATGAAACGTCGGAGCAATACTGCAGACGGGACAGTGGGTAATACAGTACTGTATTGTTTACCTTACGATAAAGGCGTATAACATTGACTTACCGCCATGCCATAGAGAACACGGTCAGACAATCTTGCGCTACCATATAACGCATTATATCCTTTAATTATTCCAAAGAAAAAATTTTACCAAGAGGAGTTTTATCCAGTTATAGTTTTGTAGACATATCAGAAAATACTGACAGAATATCGAATTGGCGAGAAATCGACCGGTGTGGTGCGATATTATCCGTTTACAGCTTAAACCACAGTCAAGCGTCAAATTTGACACAATATCGCCCAGCAAGATGCCCGCCGGTGCACGTGCATCATTTAATTCATTGTTGGATAAACTGCTTTATTTCTATAGAGGCCATTCTTGGACATAGTTAATCGGAAATAGTTGCTGGCTGATGCCCTTTATATCAAGTCCCAATAAAGCAGCACTCCCACGGCACACTAACTGGAACTGTTGTAAATTCTCAGACAGCGTCAATCATACGACGAATGACGGTGTGTATTTATCATGCTAATGAAGTACAATACAACCAAGGCTTAAGGATGTTCACAGCTTGTGCAATATAAGCAACAAGACACCAATGTGTACTTTTAAGTTTTTGTTAAAAAAACTATTTTAAAATAATTGTTAATTGGTAGTGCAGTGAATATATAAATGTATTTAGTTGAATCTTATTGTCACTTAATGGCCCAGTGCTACACGTGGTTGTATTAGTGACCGTTGCATATATTCGGTTCAGGCAATTGAAGCGTAAAGTCGGACTGAAGAAAGCGTCTTCTGAGCAAAAAATCATTTCCAGAGAGCCACACTTGAAATGTGGTGTAATCCAATTTCCAGCACAGACTCTTAATTAACCGGCCTACCTTGACCGGTCGGGTGTAAATTAATGAAAATACTTAAGGCGTTGGTATACTCTTACAATGACCAGCTGAAACCTGAAGATAATGCTGCGAGCAAAATGTTGATTTAGGCGCAAATTTAAGGGTTTGATAATCGATTCCCTTTGTACAGCTGTATGCACAGCACCGTCATACAGCTCCCCTGATCGCATTTCTCAAAAGCGGCCGTAGATTTAACTTGTGAGATGATGACGGTACATCCATATAGTTAATCTTTACTCTGAAGGCAATTGCCGTATGATAAATACAAATTTCCCCTAATTGACATCCTTGCTTTTTGTCTACCAGTAGACGAATTACCTGTCTGATCTTCTGTTTACCAAGCAGATTACTGGTAGCGCTCAAAGAAACTTCGCTAACCTCAATCGATCGATTTTGTCTGAGAACTACAAGTTCATTTCAGGAAGCGCAAGGGACAATTTTGCGACTCCGCTGCGAAGTGGAGAGACTTTGGTTTTGTTGCTAGTTTTTAGAACGTATCCTGGTGCAAGTATTGATTACTGCGACCATGCAAGTAGACACAATGAAACGCATCATAAACAACATAATGTTTTAAATATTGCTGTAGCATTATTAACTGCAAAGTGCCGATTGTTATACTGATAAAAAAACTGATACGCTTTAAGCAAATTTGCAAATTTCATATTTATGCTAATTAATGAGCACGTCAGATAACGTGCCAAAAAAGTATTTAAAGCTTATAAGTTGGTTAGAAAGTATTTAAAGTTTGTGGCGATGTGCGTGTGTAGTATTTCTATCTATTACAACCGTGCATTCCGCTTAAATAACCCCTTATTCGACGCTATGCTACAGTTTTGCTACTTTCCTAAAATTGCTTCTTTGTCTGCCATCTTGTGCTTTATTATTACTATCCTATTTAGGTTACAATTTTTTCGTCTAACTCATTGCCTTGATTAAGTTAATTCTATTAAATTTTATTGCTGACAAATGTCCCGTTGACAAGGTTTGGTAATTATATAGTGATCATAAAAAGGAGGTTTCCGCCGTCCGGTAAGTGGCGCACAGTAGTTGTTTTCCTAACCTTCCAAGCGGGATATATGTGCTAGAGTAGGCCTGCTGGCTGACAGTAACTCACAGCACAAACCGTAATAAGGTTTTACGCAGCAAACTGTAAACCTATTTGAAAACGCACAAATAAAAGAAACATGATTAAAACAAATGTTTTTTTTTAATTTTACATAGGACTAGCTAATAAAAATTGATAGACACAGTTGGAGTTGCTAAAGCAAATAATTTTATATTGTGCGCTCAGACTGAAATGTAATGTTCTCAAGTGTGTTTTGAAGAAAACGGTATAAATAAATTATCTCAACATTCGGTATCAACGTTTGCAGTTCAAATTAACTGCAACAATGCGGTGCTGTAATTCATTTGCACGTTAACCGCAGCCACTTATTGCACTGTACAGATTTCTAACCTAAATAATGTAAATCTTATAACTTTTAGTGAATACAGTTTTGCTTGCTCACAAACACTTGAACAAAGGTACTTTGTATAAGTATAACTATTCACCCGAGCTCACAGCCTACTGTACGTGACTTTGTCATTTTGTTAGCAAAATTTGCACAACAACATTTGATTGTATCTATAATACTCGTATATCCCGGTAGGCAACTGGAAAGTCAAAATAATGTGGATATACACATATTCTGTACTGCTAGCGCAAAATGCATGAAGCCGCTGAATATATTAATCAAAAATTTATCAGATGCTGGTTCACAAAAGTAATACTACCTAATTATTCTGTAACTACTCATTTTTTCAGTCGTCTCACCCTAATTTGAGCGTTATGCATACTGGCAGTAAGCTTTTAAGACTAGGTTAGACTTTATATATTTAAGTTAGACTTTATATATAGCAATTAAGATGGAGTACAGACATAAGCTCGAGCATCAAGGAAAAAGTTTTGTTAAAGCAAACGTTTCATCTATTACGCTAGCACCGGGTTTTTTCGCTTAAGTTTTATCAGTTTCTCTCCAAAAAGGTTTTTTCCAACTAATGCCGCCAGTTTTTAAATGGTGTGCTAGTTTTTAAATGGCAGACATGATGCTACTTTTTGCAAAATATTATCCATATATCATTGAATGTTATAAATAACTTGTAAGTACAAGTCATTTCTTAACGTTCGCAATTTTTGTTGTGAAACTTCCGATTGCCAATTCCAAAATTATGCCTTTAGTAGTGCTAGTACAGGTCAAGTTTTAAGCATGTATCGGTAATCGTACCTTCCACACAGTAGTTCCTGATTAGCCAGATTGGCTGTCTGTAATTCCACATAGTCATTTCCGTGGCTCAAGTGCATTGGGATGGGATAACCCGTCCCCGTGACCGCTCCTGGGTCTTGCATAGAATGCGCCAGATTCGATGAATAATTAACCCAGTCGAAATTCGTCAACGGAATACTTTCACCGGTATCATCGCCCTCATCAACAGGTTGTCCGAGAAGAGCGTCGGCGTACATGCCACTTCCGTTTCCCAGGCGGGATAAATTAGCGCTGCTGTCCAGAATATCCGGTGGCGAATTCTGCGTCTGCGCCATTCAACCTGACAGTTGTATCGGTAAACAGCAATTTCCTTATTTGTTAACAATCAGGAAAAGATGTATTTGGATAAGTGAAAAAATGTTAAGTCGTCATGGAAAAAATTTCAGTCAGTCCCCATCCGCGGTTTGGTTAAAAATGCTGGTTTAGCATATCGAAATGGATTATTACGTATGACAGCGATGATGGCTCACTGTGTGGTGATTGGTGGCGGTACAGTGTCCGCGGCTGCTTTCCTACGCCGTTATACCGTGCTGGAAAAAATTGCGTGCATGTTTTGGTAGTTGGAAATCGGCGGCGGAGCTGTGGGACTTTGTGATGTGGTCAGCGGGTTTGAAGCCAGTTCAGCAGCATGAGTAGGCGACACGAAAACGAGTTTCTGCGGATCGCTGGCAACGAACTGTACAGCGCATAATGTGAGCAGGATCAACAAGTAAGCGCATCTCTGTATCACACTATGGTAATTTTTGCTAATGTGTTGTATTATTTTAGCAAATAGAAACTGTTTCAGATTCCTACGTACTCGGTGCGGTTTGATGTTTGCGAAATTCTGGAGTAAGAATACAGCGATCGGCAGTACGAAGATCTGTCCAGAAACCACACAATGAAAAATCTGTTTTTGCTGCCTGTGACTGATTATAACAAACGTTACCGAAAATCATTTACAAAGTACTTCTTGAATACTGAAAATGCATACACTGGTCAAGTTACTTTCTTGGTTGTATGCATAATATTAATTTTATAGATAGCTAAATTTCGCGCAAATAGCGTAGTTAGATATTAAATTGCACTCATCAATGTTGGTGACCTTTGAAATCATTTGAAATAGCTGTGTTATAACAAGTTGGAAAGTCAACCCGGGCGTGATGTAAGTACAAAAACGCGCAATTCAATAGTATGTTGCTGATTATTACAACAAAAGCTTAAAACTTTTTTAACTATAACATCTTTAACTGTAAATAAGTTCACCCAAGCAAAAAGATACATTCGGAAGAAAAAAGTATGTTTTGTGACTCGTTAACTGCTAGCTTGGCATACCGGTGCTAGCCGTTACGTCTGTACTGTATCGCATTACGTTTAGCCGCAACGCGTGGCGGTAATCCAAAAGCTCAAGAGCGACTTACGCCATCTGAACAGTCGAATTTGGCAGAAATTTGTCCGAAAACACAAATTTTTGCATAAGTAATTATCATTGAATTGTGTTTACTTTCTGATCACGTAAGTTTTTACCCTTAAGATCTGCCGATTTGTGTACAAAGTGGTGAAATCTGATCCGTTTTACTTACGGCGTTGGGATTGGCAGTCTTGCGGCGTAGCGTTGTAAGTTACCGCAGCGAGGCTACGAACAGCAAGGATTCACCTTGATGCTTTGACCGCGCATGCAACACGAAACCTGCATGTGTTTGAACGAACAAGGTAAAAATGGATTTTTCGAGAATTAAGTTACGGTTAGAAACTTCGCGCTGCACCATGTGGTATTTCAGTTGTGCGGATATGATTATGGATCGTCTAACTCGGCCGTTAGGTGCGCTAACCATATTGTCATACAGTATATGCCGGATTATAATCCTTGTGCATCTTTGTTACTTTCTGTCCATTGATTACCACTTTTGAGCTCGATTGTGCATTCACGCATTTTTAGGCTTATTAATTGCTTAATTTACGGTCACGTAGTACATCAGCAGTGTGCCACATCACATCAGTAGTGTGTCTTAGATACTGACCTTTCTTAAAATCTGACAATAGATGTAAAGTCAAATAGCGTGTGGATAAGCTAAATTGTATAAATCACAATTGTTTTTCCCGCCATCGTAAATTTTATTCAAGTGATGTGGAGCGACAAATTTAAAATCGGCAAACATAAATACCCATTAAAGTTAAACAGAAAATGGTGGCAATGTACTGCCATACATACTTTACTAGCAACCACAATGCAAAATACGCCAATATTACCAGCGGCAGTTGGTACTTAATTATTGTAAGCAGAGAACTTAGACTGGAACAGTGGAAATTACTTGTTAATTTTACAATCTTGCATATTAATTGTATTAATATTTACATCAGCAACTACTACAATCTGAATACTGACACGCTAAACGCTAGCAACCGAGTATACCTGATTATTAGATTTACTGTGATTTGAACAGAATGTTATTTCTTTTGCACCTGGCGAGATTTTACTTGGATTTTTGTTATTTTAAGAAAACGGTACTCCTCCAATACCCCAAACGTATTTGACAAAACAGTACTCTCTTCGTCCATTGATGTACCAAAATTCATCCATCGTGCGTCCGTCGATTACGAATTCTGGTGAAATCAAGCATTCCAGTGGTTTTGCTTTGCAAAAATAATTATTGAATGCAAATTAGCAAGGCATAAAAAAACAATTTATGTGCCGAAACCAGGAAAACTGGTAACGTTCGCTGGAAAACCATGACAAAAGAATTCATAATTGTGACAGCCGTGCAAGGCCAATTTTATAACCATGCAGACGCATCCCTCCTAGTTATTTTAAGGATGAAATAAGTATACACAGCAGCGCTTAGAGCCATGTCGACGATTTATGGCTTAAACGTACACATACGCTTTTTTCGGTAACAAAAAAATTCAGAGTAAGTGCAAAGCAACATTGGCTTGTAACGCAACCTTTTGTAAACCTTTCAGAACAAATAACGCAAAAGCCAGCATGCGTAAATTAGGTTTATCAAATAGAAAATGATCACGCGATGGAATGTACCTATTAAATTACTAAATTTTCCGGTATCATGCACTTTTTTCCATTCAGATCAAAATATAAACGAAAGAGCTGTACATATCTAAAAAAGCGAAACGAAGCCCTAATAAAAACATAAAAGTTTTAATCACAACAAAGCGCAAATTAAACGCGAGTACCACCGGAGTTGGCGTTGTATTCCTGGTGAGAAAATGCGGGATTAGAAAAACCGACTTTTATCACCGAGCGTTCCACATCAGCCAGATCGTCACTCACTGTTCGGGCTCGCCCCGGTTTCTTCAGTGCGATTTCCGTGGTCATGTCGGAAATATTGTTCAGACCGTTGTGGTGGTTTATGGGTGGACGCTGGCCCCGTCGGCTTTTGTTGCTTTTAAAGGAAGATGATTTACTAAGGTAATCGCTTTCCGTCGATAGCTGTTTGGCTATCGCCGACTGGGATGAGATGCTCGATTCATGGGAAAGTCGGCGCAGCTTCAAAAAATTCCAAACCATACTGCCTTGATGGGACTAAAAATTAATGGTTTTTATAGTATTAAAATCAGACTGCCTTCACCATTCAACTATGATGTACAAAATACGAGTACATCTAACATACGTGAGCTCTGTAATACGGTTTTACTGCATTGATTAACACTTGGTTTTGAAATTAATAGTTATCTTTTATAGGGAATAGCAGATTTTCTGCGTCACTTTCGCGCTTAAGTAATAAAATATTAGCGCTTCAGCGGAAAAATTTAATTGTTTTGCTTGCTAAACAAGTGACTTTATAAACAACAAAACGATGCGTTATGCCGGTTGTGCTTACTTGAGAGCTGCTTTCTTTTCCGGATGATGATTTAGAAGATTTCGGTGTTCCGATACAATCTTTGCACCATTGTGGACACCATGAACAACGCCGGATATATCTTTGCACCGTGCCAAAAACCTTCTCGTTCATCACACAGTGAAAAACGAAAATGAAAAACCCCTGTAAAAACGCACATACAAATATTTTAAGAAATGCGCAAAATACGTTTCATCAACATAACCATTGATATGCGTGACAGGACAGTATAGTTCTCATTACGCGAAAAGATTGGTTTGAGTGGATAGTTCACACAATTTTTAACTAGCCTAACTGAGCAGTTGGATTAGGACAGTTTGCAGGATTTGTCCGTTTACCTGGAGACTGTTGCATATAGTGAACAAATAAGCAAAAACTAAGGTTGAAGCGTGACTGATGTATAAAAATCCAAATAACCATGTTGTTCCCAACAAGCAGAGCAACATGACCGATCCTCGCAACCATCCTCTGGAAACATAACAAGGTTTGTTAAATCAAGACACTTTTAGAACCAACGAATCTGAATACTTGTGGTTCCTTACTTCATTTTTTCAAGATTGTTCTGTTTTCGCACTGGATTCCGCACACGGAAAACCGTAAGCAACGCAATGACTAGGAAAACCGTATTCACGCAAACTATTGCCAGCACAGGACCGGCAAAACTCCACACGAACCCGTCATTCGGCAGCAACCAGCAGCTTAAAAAAAAACAATTCAGGCTGGACGTAAACTGGTTATCGCTTCCTAATTAATTGTCGCTAATAAAATGGAAAATTTAAACATGAAATAAAAAGCAGAAGAATTAATTTTAAGAAAACGAAGACTGCGTTTACTATTTATCCGTTCCATAGTGATCCGGTCGAATGCCGGCCGCAACAGAAACAATAATTCCTGGAAGTCCATAACCGAACGCATAATACCAGACTTTTCGGGATTCTTCCGCCTCGAAAACTTGCACAAGCATCATGTACAGCTGCAGCCCTTCCAACAACATCCACGCAAATGCCGCCAACAGTGTGTAATGCAAAATCCCAGCGGTGATGGCACACCCAATCTGAAATAAAAGGTCAGCTGTGCGTTTGTCTCAACTGTCAAATTTACGCATGGTCGCATGGTCGATATTCGCATGGTTTGTTTGAAATTTAATTTACGCGGTTACGAGTAACTGTATATTGCACTAAATTCCAATGGTGAAAAATTGCTAGATTTTTGTTAAATATTTTTGTTTGCAGTTGTGCAGTACCTGATTGTGAACCCGATCCACGCCCAGAACAAAAACAAACTGTGCGATCAGTAAGCAGAACGTTAAATTACGGTGTATGGTCACACGATCACACCACAATGACCTGAAAAGAACCGCATCATTGTTGAGAAAATCCATTTACAGCAGTCCGTGTTGTTACAAGAAGTAAGCACTTTCCACATCATGCGACCTCCTATAAACACGTTTATACGCAGAACATACCGGAAAAACGTGAAGATAATGAGGCAGAGAATAAGACAGACAATGGAGATAATGCATCCAATATAGGAAATGATGTTCAGTGCCAGACGATCCTTTTTTCCAAGTGTCGCCAAGGCTCCATTAATGTCCATTAATACTAACAATTATAATTCGTTAGGCAATTTATTCAGTATTTGCAATATATGTAGGCGAATGGGCAAGGAGCTTAAACAGTGACGTACCTGCAAAATTTGTCAGATGAGAGCATCGGCAAACGGTGTGCGTGGAATTGGACAAATGGTCGACTAATGAACATCCGGTGACATCCCAGAAGGAGTTGGTTGGATCACGCATATTCCAAAATACGCAGGTTGCAGCGGAACCATTCGTAAATGTGTTTTTAAATGTCAGAGTTACGGTTTCTTCATCCAGACTGACCGACTGCCGTTGATTGTTGCTGTCCAGCACAGTTGCTGATAAAACTTTGGAGTTGACAATTAATTGTCCGGTTGTGGAGTTTGTCGCACTGCAACAACCGGTGAAATTAATCTACGTTACCAAACGTAGACAAAAAGTTTTGCAACAAAAAAAACAAAATTGTATCTGATTCATTCCGGAAGAGCAATCTCTTCCATTTATTAAAATAAAATAATTTTCTGATGTAAATTAAAATCTATGACCGCCAGGTTTATGCATAGAGAGAATAAACATACGCCGCTTCGCTTTGCTCCGCTCTCATACAGAGCGGAGCAAAGCGAAGCGGCGTATGTTTATTCTCTCTATGGTTTATGTTACTTTCAAAGTCTTAGTTGCGAATGTTTTTTCATTTAATTTACCATTTCTGTAAATTTTACCTGGTTTTATAATGTACGGTCGTACGCTTCTTTTTTCTTGGTGTTATTAATCGATTTTAGGATTTTTAAATAAAATGCGTAACTATTCTATCAAATTTACGCCGTCTAGTGCATCTAAAGCTGATTAATTGTTAATTGACCTGTGTATTTCTCTGCGCAGCTTAAACAAATAAAAATACGGCTTACTTAAGAGTATTGTTTTGTGGAGCGAGTAGGGCAGACAGTGTCAGACTGTACTGTATGAAGGAAACTCGAACATTTCCTTGTTTGTCACTGAAGTTTTTAATCGACGGAGGAAGTTCTATAACGTCGAACAATGCGTCACTTTGGTCGGAAATCTCGTTAGACGAATTTGGATCCGCGGAAACAGAGGTAAAGGTCATCGGAGCATCTATAGTTTGGGCTGGTAGCACAACCACCTGAATGTCTGTAAATTGCATACATAACGTTATATTGTTTCGGTTTGACAATACCGTTTTTAACACACAGTAATTATAGGTTGTATGTATGCTGCGTTTGTTCGGCTGTTACAATGCAATTGCACCAAAATATGCCAAGGTCGCATACCAATATTTTCATACTGTAAGCGCTTTTGAAAGCTTGATGTATTCCGAATTTGTTCTGGGCTAATATTAGCTAAAAGAAATGTGGAATCCTCCGCGGCCTTCATAAGGCTGGTCGCAGCGTCCGATCTTTGGTCTGTGCAAGCAAAACTGGTAAATAAAAATCTTGATAAACCATGCCTACTTTTTGAATTATACCGTCGTCTAATTCAATCCAACCACGTTTATGGTTATCTGCCAGCATATTGCTGACACTCTGTGAGACGACGTTGACGAATTCCTCCGTTGTAGCGAACGTTTGATCAAAATCCATAGTGCGCGCTGCCGCTTTGCTCTGGCGTTGCTTTTCTGATAAGAGTCCTTGGAGAAAATTACACGCTTCGAGTATTTCAGAACCGTTCATACTGCCGGATGATGTGTAATTGGCAAACTGCTGTGCTGTTGCCTTTAGCACCGCCACCGGCTCGTCGGTTGTCGTCATTAATGTTGTTACTGTAATCGCAGGTGTAGCTGCTGCCGTGCAAAGGTCATCAACAGGACCGCTTTCTGGATAGTATCGCGGTTTCGACTCGTTATCTTTTTTCGTGCACATCCAAAATGAAAAACCTTTTCAAGAAGGTGGACAGTTTCAGTTTATGGACAGTTTTCACAGCGTGTTATACGAAAATAATTTCAGATTAGTATGTAATTGTGTAAAAATAAAACCAGTACAATTACGCACTTTTTAGCTTAAATATTATTTGCTATTTATGGTTTTTTAAAGCCACCAAACTAAAAAAAATTACAATACGACTTTTACCGCCATTTAACGCATAACTTGATACCAGAGTTTTTATTAATTTACGAAAGGATGGCTGACAGAATTCCTTACCGTAAGGATAATTTTCGACGTTCTTGTCAAATTGGCTCGACTGATCGGATGCGTACATTTGCACAACGTGTCGGACGTTTTCAATCAAAGATATACTTATTCGACTGGAAGGTTTCGGGTCGCTGCAGGGCTGGATAACGAACCCCGGCTCGGTTTTCCCCCAGACATGATCTTTAATTAATCGCGATTCACACATACTGCTGTCGGGGACCGGCGCCGGTGTGGTCGCAAACTGTAACCCGGTCTCTTCCTGACCATTGTTGACCACCGTGAACGCGGTAATCCGGTCACTGGGCGGATGCATGGTGGGAAACGTCAACACATTGGTAAACCAAGGGATTTGCGGAATAGGCGTTATGGTGGGAAACGTCAGATTCAACGGTGGAACCACGGTACTCATAAAATTCCCCGGAAATGCCGATTTTGGATAATTTGTTTGCGCCACGGAGCGCGAATGCACCGACACATTCTCACCGGTAAGTGGTATGCTTTCCGCCAGTGAGAATGTGGGAAATTTACAAATCCATCCCAGCTTCCGGTTGCAGTTGACAGAACTCCACGCCACCTCGCTTTTCTCCAGCGAGCGGCCCAGCTTGACATTATAAGCCGCACACTTATCCCGTGAGCGGTCGGTGTATTTCCCCAGAGATTGATTATTTACCGCCTCTGACAAGTTACCCAGCTGATCGGCTGACTCGCCGGCTTCGCGGTAAATCAGCCACAGATTCACTCTCTTCTCCCCATTGAAACGTGATTTCTGTCCGTATCCGGTACGATCCGTGACCACCGCTTCCCGCATTATGCCTTCCGCCTCGGCGGCAGTCACCACCGGCAACTGCCCACCGTACACCTGACAGTACGAGCGTGCTTCATTCCACGTGGCTTTATTATTCGTATTGTATACTTCGTAGCAGGCATTGTTCACGTAAAACTGATTGGCACCACAACTGTGCGTTTTGTCCACACAGCGATACCGGTACTGTAGCTGTTTGGGTGTGGCCGGGCAGGGATCTACACGGAAATCCGCTGCCGACATTTTGACAATGCAATCCTTGCGGCCTTGACAGTTTTCTCGTAAATATTTAACGGCCGGCAGGGAACACTGGGGATCGAACACGGCCATTTCGCCGGTGCTGTGCGCTGTACACACCGCACGCTGATTAACAATGACACCGTACATGGCGTACTCGATCTCAATGCGCAGATCCTGCGGCTCCGAGGGACAGGAGAGGGCCGCCACGTCGTCAGCACATTTTAAACCGTAGCCATAGCTCACCACTGCAATGCAGTATCATTTTAATGTAATGTTATTTTACGCAGACATATTTGTATCACATAATGCACGTGTGCTTCACACCCTACGTACACGTAATCAACCAGGAACTGATCTGCCAAAAATGATGAATAACATGGGTCGTATTTATCTAACACACAACTTACCACCGGTGTCGAGTTTCTTTTCACACTCCAGCCCTTCAAATTCTAGACCACATTGGCATTGATGGGGGAAAGTGCCCAAGAGGTCTGTAATGCAAACAATCACAGCCCCAATAAAATACTTAGCAGTTTTTAACAGAAGAATTAATTAATTATTATGTACCATTTTATGTACTAAAATATGCAAGTAAAGGAAATGCCGGCATACGCATCATACGTTTGAAATTATTCCGTTGTTGGTTTCCGTATAGCAACCGATGCAGAAAAAGAAGTTCATTTTTTAAAAGCATGGGATGATTATTTAAGTAAGTATTAGATTTATTATATTTATACCAGCAAACCGTTGCGATGGTTATTTTTTGAAAATAATGGAACGATGTATTTAATTTATCGCAAGCAGCTCGCTATAGTCACTAATGCTTGTTATATGTATATAGTCATTAATGCGTGGGACGAACTACTACTGTAGTAGTTACCTGCCGCGTATGACACATAAATGATACAAATGTTTATTTTGGCAGACCACTTCGGACCAACTGCTTAGTGAGTCAGTTTTCAAGAACATTAATTTCGGCAACACAGACGTTACGTTTTCAATAAAGATGTTTTTGCATCTTTGCTGACTGATTCGGTTAACCGGTTAAGGTTACCCCTATTTTGGCTTTTACCGTTCGCGAATGTGGAGATCCTGCGATATCGACTCAAAACTCAGTTTTGACCATTCTAAAGTGTTTCTTAGTTAAAATGATGAAAAATTCAACCCCTGTAACCAGTGTCATAAGTTCAATAGTAAACTTTAAAATTCAACATTAAATCTCGGAGCACGATGGATGGATGGGCTGGTTGAGATTTCTTTAATTTAAATTACTTTGAGCACCACCGCATCCACTGTAAAGCCGGCTTTTGATGGCTGGCGTTACGGTTGGGTTCGGTGGCGGTGTTATATACCCTTGAAAATGGGAATGAATGAGCGTTTGAGGAAATTGACTTCCCATTCATTTCTTTTGTTGAATGGAAGATGCTGTCAGATGCCAATGATCCCCCATTTACGTTTCGCAGCTATTTTAAAAAACCAATTTACGCCAATGAGTTAATGATTTATTGCTGTGCCTTTGACATTTTATTGCTGCCGCCGAGCAATTTTAAGAAACAGGCAATTAATATGATCCCGAAGAAAAGTTCCTGTCAGTTAATTATCGACTTTATATGTTAGAAAATCCGCCATGAATTGACAGTAATAACATACCTGGCCAGCGCTCGGCTTTTCGTCGGCAGATAAATGGGAAATTAGCCTCAGTACACGACGTCATGATCCAGGATGTATAATTGGCGCTTCCGTCAAGTGCCAAGCACAATATACGTTGGTCACGGGCTGGTAGAAGGCTGCTTTTTATCCTTCTCGTCATGTTCCCCGGTGTGAAGGTTTGGCGGGGATACCGTGTCATTTTCATGTCAAATATCGTTAAATTCACATGTTCACCGCTATCAGCCCAAATAAATACGGCACTTTGATTGGCAATGCCACCACTCCAGACATGCGGTCGTCCTGTAATTATCCAACCAAAAATAATTCATCGCTACGTGCTGCAGTCTCGAATCAATGGCGATAGCGTCGTTATAACTTATAAGTGTTCAAAAAATAAAATTTCTGTAGCTCAAAAAATATTAAGCAGCCCATGTAAAAATCAAACACGGGAGCTGTAATTATAATTGCATTACTGCAAAAAATTAATTTCCGGAAGTTAGTATTGATCTTCCTGTTTTCTTTCTGTGTACCTGACCTTTTGGGGGATTTGGCTTAGGTTTTCTACAAAACATACCTGGGAGGTCTTGCCCTCGGGCGAAGTTTTCCAAAAACAGTCTTTCGGTGATATCATGCGCGGTGACCAGCGATTCGTTAGACCGTGCACAATAGTCGGCGGCTTGTGACCAATTCTTTTTTTCACGATGTACTTTATAGCATCCATGCGCAAAAAGAATGGATCCATCGGGACAGTATTCAGGCATCGCGCTGCTGTCGTCGTTAGTGCCATAACATATGCCGCCATTTTGACAGAAGTTTGTAGGACAGGAAAAGTTTGAACTACCACCGGAAACTAATTGTCCTACAATACAGGACGTCGTTGATTTAATAAATAGCGCTTGTAATTTGACATACGTCTAATGTCACTACAACATGTATTACTTTTAAGTAAAAAGCGCTACGACTTTGAATACTTCTGCTTTTGCAGAAGCTGCTGCCTTTGTCTGCTAAAATAAAACCATATTTAGTGTAGCTCGGCTCGCTAAACTGCGCTTAATAGCAAACTGATATAAAAACTGCTGTTTTAAGCCGTGAATCTATAATTTTAACCTCATTTATAATATTCACACAAAATTGTGCTGGAACAGCGCTGGTGGCTTGCTAGGCTAATATGCCAAGCTACGAACGTACCCATACAAAATTTGTATTTCTTACTACTTCGACATTAAAATTAAGGTTTATGTGCATAACGTACCGGAGGTTGCAACATTGACGATGCTTAGCGTAGTAAACAATGTCCAAAGGATAATCCTCATCGCTGGTTTATTTAGAAAAAATCCGATGCTCAGCATAATAAAAATAAGAATTTTTGATTTTCAAAATTGCAAAAAACCACTTTCAACGGAAGTTATTCAATTGATCCGGTAACTTCCGTGTGCGCAATGAGTTGAGCATTTAACGCGTACGGTAACAACAAAATCTGCGACGTAGTACATTTCGCGATCGCTGATACACATTGCTACAGATCGCTCCTCCAGACCTTTTTTAGATTCAAAGTGAAATAACCCGGAAGGAATAAAAAAATCAACAATTGATTCGGAATGAATTACACTTGCAGATAGCATAACCGATTTCCATCGTGGTGCACTATCCAGGCGATATGTTCACAGGCATCGGCAAGACATATACAACGCGGCACACTTTCGACAATGACAAGGGTTCCATAAGCGCCAAAATCGTACTGGAACCAAAGACGGAAGTGATGCTGAGGAAAATGCACTGCAGAAAATTCATGGAATCATGTTTTCGATAAAGTAGTTGATCGATTCTACTCTCGCTTTTCAATGCTGTAACGCTGTTTTCTCAAAGGTGGTCGCATGAAAGCGCACGTCGCCAGTTTAAGGAAGTGCGAAACGTTAATGCACTCTAGTCATAAATAAGTACATGCACATAATTCCACTCATCGTCATCGTCGCGTTTTTTTTAATACGAAACAGATCAAACTCTCACACCGGACAATACCGGACCGGTGCGTGTAATTCGTCTAGATCGTGCTGCAGATTTATCTTTATTGTAACAGCACCTACAGTATCACCTGTACCGGCTGTACGAGCATTACCTATAGCTTTAATATTTATATAAGGAAGGTTTACGCAAGCAGAGGCGGGCTGAATACCGACCTAACAGGAGGTTTGGGAGGGGCTAACTCCATCTACATATTTCACAGGAGCGACACAACAACGCAGTGCATTATTGCAATAATTACTGAAGATTGTTACTACTTTAAAATCCTGACACTAATGTTTTCCATTAGTCTTGTCGCTTTGTAGCGGGTTAGAACTGGAGCTTGCACAACTGTTGACGATTCACTAATTTGAGCCGGATTTGGATTGTTCATTTCCGGTTTGGTACAGCCAGAGCCATGATGAATCGTACGATATTTGTAGCTAACGGTAAAGAGACAGTGGTCTCTTAAAGCATAATTACCCTATAAGTTGTGTGTGTGTGTTTGCGTATGGTCTTTGTACGACACCACGTGGCTCGCGGTATAATAATATAGTTCTCATAGTCTTGTGCTACAAAAAACTTGGATCTGATTCACAAATTTACAAAGTACTGACTTTTTCTTACGGTTAGGCACACCTTAAATTAATGGCTGTGCTACTGTAATGGATTATGATTACCGTGCGGTTTTTACTTTTCAGTAGATACCGGTCGTTGTCTGTCTGGCAAAATATAGGAATTAATAATTTTTTCTAGTTTTTGTTGTTAACGTACAGAAATATCCGCGCCAAATTTCAACATATTGAAGCAACGTATAGTTAATAAGTAAATTTAAAGGCTCTTCGCCCACTGCTCTAGAGTAGTCTTTGGAGTTTGTTCGATCAGCACTAGAGAATGTCAACAAAACTGCGTGACCTTGGATATTTATTAGCAACTGCGAAAATATAAATACTTAATATACGATCATAGAGAGCGTGGCGGGTTCGCAGGATGCTTCCATTCGTTCCGAATGGGTTTTGGAAGCTTGAATGAAAATATCCACGAGCTAAACAGCGTACTGTAGTACAAAATGAATCTCTCTCTATCCAGAAATGCCCAGACGGGATTCCCTAATACAGCTGACGTCTGCAGGAACAGATATATATACAATTATACAGTATACATACACTATACACTTAGAGTGCCAATACTAAGTTGTACATTCGGCATCCATCACATAGGCTAGAAGTATAAAGCGGTATAAACCAATAGCGATGAAGTCGGATAAATAAAAGTTTTATTTATCCGATTTATCTTAATTTATTAACCAGTGCACTGGTTAATAAATTAAGATTCATTTAACTTCTACATGACTTTAACATTTAACTTTAACATTTAACTTCGCGCCAAGTTGGTGGTTTCCCTTAAAGCTTCATAAAATTTCTTGTAACCACGTGGTTACAGGAAATTTTATGAAGCTTTAAGGGAAACCACCAACTTGGCGCGACCAGTGTGTATTTCGATGGTGCAGGTCATGCGAAATAATGGTTGTTGTATAGAGTTACAGAATCTACAGACAGAATACTCGTATAAGTTGTATGCTAGTATACAGTATCTAGTTTCTATAATTATTCACTACAGAATGCATCACGGAAAACAATAAACAAATTGAAACTTCGCGGTGCGCTAAGTCAGCATACATGCTGTCTGAGGAAATAAAACAACTGCTTTAAATTTATAATAAAAAAATTTATAATAAATAAATTTATAATAAATTTATTATAAAACTAGATTTATTATTTATCTAGTTTTTAGTTTGTTTTTATTATTATTATCTAGTTTTATTATAAAACTAGATTTTCGGTACTCCACACCATATATTGCTACTATGGCCTTATCGCGACAACATCGCGACGACACGATGTCAACACCCATTTGCGCGAGCGGGCGCAGCGGACATCCGTGTACAGGCTGAACAGGATAAGGTGACCAGATGTGAGAATACCGCCCAGGGCTATCATTTTTATCCATTGGGATCCGAAACTGTTCGAACATTCGGCCCGGGAGCTGCTCCGCTAATCACGGAAACAGAAAGAAGAAACCGACAAGAAACCGGCGAGGCAAAAGCTAAACGTACGGATTACGGAATATCTTGGTCAGCGGATCAGCATCAATCAACCCTAGAAGTGGCCTCGCTCCGTTCAGGGAACAGCTCCACCGGATAAAAATTTAAAGCAGTTGTTTTATTTCCTCAGACAGCATGTATGCTGACTTAGCGCACCGCGAAGTTTCAATTTGTTTATTGTTTTCCGTGATGCATTCTGTAGTGAATAATTATAGAAACTAGATACTGTATACTAGTATACAACTTATACGAGTATTCTGTCTGTAGATTCTGAAACTCTATACAACAACCATTATTTCGCGTGACCTGCACCATCGAAATACACACTGGTCGCGCCAAGTTGGTGGTTTCCCTTAAAGCTTCATAAAATTTCCTGTAACCACGTGGTTACAAGAAATTTTATGAAGCTTTAAGGGAAACCACCAACTTGGCGCGAAGTTAAATGTTAAAGTTAAATGTTAAAGTCATGTAGAAGTTAAATGAATCTTAATTTATTAACCAGTGCACTGGTTAATAAATTAAGATTCATTTAATTCTACGGGATCACGCAATCTATCCAACATCTTTTGCACTTTTTGAACTTTATCTTTTGCAAAGTTTAAGAGTGTTACAAATGGCAGAAAAATTTGAACTGGAGCAGACGTCTCTAAAAACGCGCTGCAAGTGCAGCTACAGTCTACCTACAGAGTATCTCTAATACTAACAATTCGTTTTAAATCTTGATATATGACGTAGTCCAACGTCCCAGTGGTCCTTTGGGACCGACTTCACCCCTTCTGATTTGAAGCCACTTCTGCGTCGGGGCAGCGGTCTGACTTTGGGCGTGGTCAAAATGCAGGACGACATCCTTTGGGGGGTCGCCGTAGAATAGGAAGTCCTCTGTGACCAAGCGCGATAAAATACGACCCAAAAAGTATTGAGCTTTAAATTTTTTACCACCATCCGCAACCTAAGCGCACGGCGATCCATATCCCATGCAGTCTGCATTGGCCACCCGCCCACCATCACCTTTTATAACCCGCGCTGCGGTTGGAAAGCGAAACGTTGTGTTAGTCAAGGCCTTTGCACCTTTGCTTCAGCCGTTGACTTACCGTTTTTTTTCCACGAAACATTCTCTTACTTCTCTTCACAATGGCCTCTATTCCAGGCGCGCCTGAAGTCAATCCCGAATTAAGTTTTGCAATCAGCGTCACAGCCGCTCGCTCAATGCTTTCGCTTCGGAAAGTGTCTATCGCGGTATCGTAACGAAAACTCTGTTGCAATTATTCTCGTAAATGCGAACAGAAAACTGCACTGAAAACTTTAAAAAGATCGGGAACACATGCACGACGCCAGTCGCGCCACGATCCGGCAGAAAACCACAATGCCGCCCCGCCAACTAGGCTCGAGTCCCAGGGTGTACTTATTTGAAGTTATTTTCGGTCGAATGCGAGTGCGCTATGGCAGTCTTCTCGAGACGACAGCTACTTACACGCTCCATGCACGATGCTGTTGCTCGTAAATCGGTAAATGCTATACGAGTATTTTGAACTTAATTTTTATCTCATTTTTTGTTCGTCGCTTCGCGAGATTTATCAGTGAATTCGTGTGAATTATGCGATTATAACAAGTATGGCTAACAAACACGGATCCGCATATCCAGCACATGGGCGAAAAGAGCCAGTCCCTTTCGAAGTTGATGTTGACGGTAAGCAGACTAAGACCGTAAGCTCCTTTACGACTTTCATACTTTGCAGCAAAACTTACAATACAGATAACAGATCTGATACATATTTCACTAACGGTTCCCCATCTTTCGTTGCAGTGGCCGTTCCGGAATTGCTGTGCGAATTTTTTGAAATCGCCATCCACGCCATCCTGTATCATCGGGAGTTGTACCCATCGGGGATTTTCGAGCGAAAGAAGAAGTATGAAGTGCCTGTTTGGGTGAGAGCTTTGATTGTTTTGGCTGGGCGAACTTCAGATCACACATGAAAATTCTTGTGATTTTTGTTTTTCATTTTCAAAAATAAAATACCGCGTGAAGCTTGTAGTAAATTAATTATTAACATTACAATTTATAGTGTCAGGCCTACAGACTCTGTCACGATTGTACGAAAAATGTTGCAGCACTTATTTAATAATTTACAAATTAATTTATTATTTTCCTTTTCGGTGCGTTAAGCCATCATTTATCGTCAAACGTGGATGTCATTTACTTTAAAAGATAACAGCGATTTCTTTTGCAGATTGCCTCTCATCCCGCCGTGCAGGAATACGTTGCCAATTGTGTTTCTGGGATTAAACCGTTCATAAATAATGGCAGCGTGCGAAGACTGATGATTGCCATTTTTTCGCCTCACAGTCGAGTTCCGCTGGAGCGATTTGTCTTCCATCTGGCTCCGGACGATAAGAAGTTTTCGGCCAATCTAATGGCAGATAAACCGTCAGACTCCCGGTAAGTGTCGTACAGTAATCGTCCTGCAAGCATGTGTAAATTTTGGCTACCATATGTATTAAGTGCGCATTGTTGTGCTTGTGGTCCATCGATTTTTGCACAGATTGTCATAGTTCTATGAAAACTACGCGGTTTGTTGAATTTTTTTTTTGGCTTGCAGGAAATTCTACTTTGAATTTGGAGAAGCTCTGAAAGCGTTTATGTTGAAAATCGCGGCATGCAAGTCATATTTGAAGCCACTACCGCCAGGTAGGTTCCGTTGTTAAATTCAAATTTGGTAACAATATGCCTTGAACCATACCGCTGAGGTCGATTTTGCACATGCCTGTTGCGAATTTTTGGAAATAATGAGCTGCTGAGTGTAACCTGTGCGTTCAAGATCGATTCAGAGATTCTGAACCGGCGTGTGATGACATCGTGCATCAAAACTATTGCGTTCGCAATTTGCGTATCGACTGTATGTTATGTTCATAAATTTTCATTCATTTTAATTTAGCGAAACGATATTCTAGAAGTCGAACTAGTGAAACATTAGTGTGGTTTCAGGTTGCACTTGCGCTCTCCAGATTGTTACGGATGTCCAGACGCAGCTGGAAATCAGCGAACAAGAAAGTGCAGCGGTAAACCTGTCTTCAAATTCTTCATCGATTATCGGCTAATTAACAGCGCATAATAAATCTGTGAAACATGACTGCTAAAAATTATTTGAGATACCACAACCCGTACACTTTAACTGGTCCCTAAAGTCCATATTTTTTGTGGAGATTTTTATGAAAATTCATAACTTCATCGTAGGCTACCGAGTAGCTGAGTTTTTCCACTTTTTGACGTTGCTTTTGGTGCGTACAAATTGTACAATGAACGAAGCCTTTCGAACCCTTTTCTGCAGCGATTGAGCCTGTTTTAGAATATTCACTGAATCAGTCACAATTCGGCAGTGTACGGCAGTTCGCGTAATTCTCTTTTCGCCGAGTTCAGTTGTTCCTTGATTGTGATCTGCTTGCTAGAACTTTATATGACGTCTGGAAGGTTACCGTGTTCAATTATGTGAATCTTTTAGTGTTTCCCATGGATCGTGGTGGATGATCGCGAACGCAGCATGAAAGAGGGAGGCAATTTGCACCTTCTTCGGGGTCCAGTTGAGGGTGTTTGCCCGGTACCGCTGTCTGTTGTTTTGTTAAATCAAAAATTCGGCTGACTGACTTAATTTTACAGGTAGAAATGTATGTAGAAGAAGCCAAAAATAAACTGAACGCTGTCGTCAAGTCGAAGATTTCCGAGGAAACGATTTGAGTACGGCCGTCGCCGATTTTCATCGATCTTGAAGGTTTGACAATTTCGAAATAGTTTTTACAGCTTTGTCATTGATAACTGTTCTTATAACTGTTTAACTACGTCAAGAATTTATATTACTTATGTGTTCAGTTGCGGTCTGAAAGCATGAATGTGATTTTCGTTTAAAAGTTTGGAACAATTTTCATAACCACTCTGAAAGACAACGAATATGTTTTTTTCAAAATTTTCATTGGCTTGAAGAGATGTATTTTCAAGTTCAAGTAATCGTTTTTCTTAAGTTCTTTTTTTCATCGTGCCATTACATCACACTGGAATAGCAGGTTGTTACATGGCTGCAGTGTGCCAGAGTGTTCTGCGCGAAGGCAAAAAAGTGACCACGAAATGTTATAGGTTGAGAAGGTTTTTTTTCTATTGATGATCGTCTCGATATTTTGTTCAAAGGTTTTATTAAGAGCGGAAGGAGTCATACGAATTTGGTCGTTTTGTTGTCGGCCAAACGGTGTATTATGCTACATTTCTATCAGCGTAGCCTTTGTAGAGCGCGTAATAAATACACGTGAAAAGATATCAGATTTGTAGGAATTGCTGAAATTACTGATCTTTGATTACGTAGTGAGATGTTGTTTTCCGTCTGCTGATACGATGTCGATGGCCATTCTGATTAAAGGATTTTGCTCCTGCAAAAAGGGTAGTAGATGACGATAACGTTTTTGTTACAGGATGCCAGCTAGTCATTACGTCCACATCGTCCAGACAACATTTTGATGGAGATAACTTTTTAGTCGGCGTTTTACCATGGTATCCAAATGTTAATGACGGTAAGTTTCTTGAAATTGTGTACGTACTTCGTGGTGCACGTGGGGTTGAATGTTTAAAATATCATGACTTGCGAATACGTATCTTTTGAAATTGCATAAAACCAGAGAACAGAGAATTTTGGTCTGCAATTCCGAAACTGAAATTCACTTTCAGATAACTTTCCCGTTTAAATTTAAAACAGTACTTCGAGTACGAGTAGTGTTCTTTTGTGCCAAAAATTGAATAAACATGATGAAATGAAGTACAACGAAGTTTCTGTCTTAAATTACGAAGGGATTGCAACAGCAAGTACTGTTAATAATAAGGTCACGAAAATTGCGTATTGTAAGTTAGTTAGTTTTCTATCAATGAAATGGTCAAATGGGACCTATACTCTCAGTCTCAGACAAGGCTCAGGTATAAGGTTGTTAACGTGTAATTGCTGGTACAGTACTTCCTGTCCGAATGCAGGCAGATTGGATTAATGGGTTTTTTTGTTTTCTTACCGGATGCGACGGAGCAATTTTCGTGCTAGTCATAAAATCATCCGGAAAACAATTTGGCCTTTGTTTGACTCCAAGTAATGCGGTTCTGGATCCATGCCTCCTGCACTTTTTTTGCCTTTCACGTTCTTGGAAGTTGTAAATTTGGCTGTGTTTGTGGGCTTTGATTGCCAGATTAGTTTTGATCAGCCGTAAATCGATCTAATTAGACAGCCATTACAGATCAGTCCCCCGAAAACAAGCTTCCTGAAAACACCCGTTTGCAGTGAAATACATAATTTGGCGATGCATGAGTTTTTAAAAACAATGCGTGTTGGCGCAGGGCGTGTGACAGTGTGACAAAATATTCCATTAGGAGACAAGCCGGCTTGTGAACATTTCAATAAACTGATGATAACTTTTTCGAAGTTAACTTCAGGCTAAGGACAAGAGAAAATTATGCTTCATATGTTTTTAAAATTGTGATATTTCTTGTACATGAGTTTTAAAAATGCCGAACCCAGCGAGTAGCTCCATACGGATACTTGTCAGTCAGTTTCAGTTGAAGAGTACTTCAATGCATGTAGGACTAAGTTATCCATTAAATGTTCTTCCGGGATGCAGCAAGTATGTAATATGAGCGATGTTGGTGCAAGTGTCTTATGGGATGGAATTTAAGGCAACATGGATAATCTCAAGGGATGCTATACCATCTCTTTTCCGTGGTGATTGCCAAATGGCTGTCAGGAACGGCCTCTCCCTGGATGCTTAAGTGGGCCTGTGTTTTGTGGCACCAGGGTAATCGTGTGACGGGATCGTTAGCTACTATTTAAGCGGTTTTTAGCCCGAATGCCTGACATGGGGAAAAGGGAATTTGTTGCGTTTAACCGGGGCTTTTTTAAACGGTTTTGACTATACCCTCAAGACGATCCCTTGGTCGATGGACCTGTAAACACAAACATTGTCATGCCAAAATCGATGCTAAGTTGTGGCTCACGCTTGTTAATTTTCTGGCACGAGAGGCCGGTTCAATGGGAATCTTTGTAAAATACGGTTGGGAATCCGCCTAGGTTTGGTACAGTATTTTCCGCAGTTTTGTAAAATTAAATTGCCACTTGCTGTTTTAGCGCGTTAAAATTTTCTTATCAAACTTATGACGCCGGTTGTGGGAAAGCGGCTTGATAACGCGGACTTTGCAGCACATCTACTGGGTAGATCGTGCTGTCCGACTGTTTATAGATTCTTTTGGTGCGAAATAATGGCATCGTAATAATGTTTTGTCTTGAGAAATTTTTTTAACTACGGTTTTTTGTAATTTTGTGTGATTGAGTTTAGCTCTAACTTCTGTTTTGTTGATTATAGTCGCGGTGGAATGAAAGCATAGGGTCACGTGTTGCGCTAGAGCCACAACACTAAGCATAGTAAATTTGATACCAGCATTTCCGGTAATTTTGGCTTAGCGTTTTAGCCGAACATGAGCAAAAACTCCACCTTATCCTAAATAGCCGCGGGGTGGTTGTGTCACTTGTATGTATCGACATGGGTGGCTATTATACGTTAACAGTTATATCAATTTCACCGACTTTTTTCCTTATGATGCAATGATGGTGAAAATGTTTATACGCTTGGCATATTTTGGATAGCCCATGCATCGAAGGATGAAAATAGCTGCTTCAGTTGAAAATTTATGGGTTGTATGATCCGCATTCTTTTGTTATCACGCATTTAGTAACAAATTTACGATAAGAACCACATACACAAAATCTTAATGACACAAATGTAACCACAATAGGATGTATCCAATAATGTATAATTTCTCATGCATGCATGCGGTGAAAGTCTAAAAATAAGTTTTATTATGCATAAGTTGGCTTTTTTCAGCGACTTGATCATAAACGATTGATACCATATAAGTGAGGAGAGCGGAAGAGAATTCATGGATGATTGCACTATGGCTTAGCTTGTCAATCGGCGGAATCAATGGTGAATTTTTCAGCGATTTACTGGCTAGAACGAAATTATGTTCTAAAATTAACGGCTTGGATGAATAAACACCACCTGGTGCATGCGCAGTTTTATCGACCCGGTTGGCAAAAATATAGGTGTCTTGTGTACAACAAAAATGTTTGATAAGATAGTTTGTACAACATTTAGAAAGAGGAGTTTACAGTGTATAACATTATCAGCTTCTGACATCGATGGATCGAAACTGCCATCTAGGCCATCTTGTTGTCACGCCGGCACAGGTCAAAGAAAATTTGTTAAAAATTCAACTTAGGCATTGTTTGTCTATATTTACCTGTTTCAAACAAACGCGCTATATTTTTAGCGATGATGTTGATATTGTATGAAGTCATTAAACACGAGTACATTTTGGATATCTTAAAATGGTCTGTTAATATTTTCGGTATAGCCTGGTCAACGTGATAACCGAAAGAGCATTTAATTGTTTTGTTTGCAGATTGTTCACAATTGCGGTATGGAGCCTTTTGAGAACGCTATAAAATGGGTTTTTGTTTAACTTGATCATGTTAATGTTTTGATGATATGTCATCGCATCACTTTCTGCGATATAAAAATATATTTCAAAGGTAATGTAGATGTGTGATAAACAAGTGTCTAGTGCAGTTGATGCACTCAGTAAATGTGAATTCTGTTTTAAACCGTATCAATTTTGTAATCAAAACGGTTACCCACTGATGTCGCATTGATTTTTCGCGGAGTTCTCAGATTATTTGAATTCAGAAACGGTATTATTTTTCCCGGGTTGTACAGCAAATTCTGTAATCTACGGTATACACGATTTCTTTGGCACAATCCACGGTCGCTCGGCTGTGGCAGTCGTCTTCTTATAACACAGCTGGATATGTCGCTCATTTTTCCAATCATTAACCACGTTTGTTCATGGACGCTCACATTCCAGAACATTGAACTAAAAATCATTACATCTGTCTTACAACATTAATTATCGCTTCCTTTCTGTCAAATCGCCAACACGCGTTGACGTCATAGCATATAGTGACACACACTGCGCTTCGTAGTTCGTATGCTACACGGTCACCGATAAACAAAATCTCATGTTTAGTTTGTATTATTGGAAGGTTGCCATATCTTTCCTTTTCAGTTTAAATAGGAAATTCAGCGAACGTGTACTACACGTACAGGAAATGCTTTGCAACCATAGTTACTACTCAGTGATAACATCCCAACAAAAGTATTTTGTTATTCGTTTTGCGGTAACGGATAGTTATTACGAGTAATTTTTCGCGTGGTTCTTTCTTTTCATGGTGGTGTGCATGATGCATTTAAACGAAAAACAAATAGCTTTACCGAATTCTGATTAAGTCTACAGAGCAAACGATTTTTAGAGTACACTTCGCATTAATTTCATACAAAAATTGATGACTTTACTTTTTTATGAAGACTTAATAGTTATAGTAAATCGAGATTCCTCAGATAATTTACCGGAGATTGCTTTTTATATCCTTTTTTTTCTTGCTTTTTATATTTTTATATATATTGCCAACATAAATCCATTTGCAGTTAAATCGTAGAGGGAACTATGGAACCTCTATGGTTCAATCGATAGTTTTCTGTTATGTACGCGATGCAGGAGTGCTTATCCATGTTGTTTTGTTCGAAAAAGGGTTTTCTCGTTCTCGCGTGGTAGATTAGCGCTTAGCGGAGCGGTCATTTTGTCGGCAAAATCTTGCAATTATGGACTACCATAAAATGTGACACCAGCATGATAGGTAGTGGCTTGCCTCATTAACTAGACGTATCTAATATCCATTTCAGCTGTGGAGCGAATAAAATGATGCTAGAGACCATGCCACATAAATTAATTCAATATCATTAAGAATTCCCAAATGAGCAATAGCGACGTCCGGCCTTGTAATATGGTTAAATACGACACGCCGGCGCAAATTTATACCACGCTACGTACACCGTATGATGATGCCGCATTTAGGTGGCGCACTACTGTAATAGAATTCCTTTGTTCTGACCGCGTACCTTCTCGCTGCGGGGTATTTTTAGCGGTAATTTGGCCATTGTAACATGCGTGTTTTGTATGTTTTCATATCTGATACGCCTTTGCTATCAACTCTGCGATTACTTATTTGTACAGATTAGCGATAAAATACATTAAATATCCCGAAAAAATTCTGAAAGTACTATTATGTATATATATATATATATATATATATATATATATATATATATATCCCGCACTATTATATATATTTTACATTTATTTATCTCTTCGGTGTCTCTGGTGCGGTGGGATGTTTTACGCATGCGTGTTTCAATAAGTAAACATAACCTGTAAATACTTGAATTTAACACATATTTGGAATGTGAAATACAAGTATTTAACAAAAAAGAGCGGAACAAGACATTTGGGATGATGCGTTAAGAGAACGGTACCGGTGTGAGCTGGGTGGAATTGATTTTTGGTGCGAATATCGAATACTTTATTTTTGTTTGCACTATGCTTCCACAGTAGACAGATAATATTTCGTGCGATCGCACTGATAACGCTTATGCGACTGTCCTTATACTTAAATAAAAGGGAATATTAGAATAATTTTGTCTGCTTGCCCATTATATCCTAGTGTGTTTCAGGGCACTGACGTTTGTGTATTTCTGTATGCAGGGATTCCGCGCAAAAGAGCAGCGAGCGCCGAACGGTATGGGAATAGGACAATAAGCCCGAATAGGATACCGAATGTATTTGTTGACTTCCTTGTCCAGGAAACGCATAAATCTTATTTGCCAACAATTAATTTAATGACGTGGAACCTGAGATGCCACCCAGTGATGTGGCGATACATCTGTGGCTAGTTTCCGCTTTTCTATTCCTCTCGGTCGGTGTGAGAATATAACTAGGTTTAGGGCACAGAGCGCGAGGGATCACACACGCGACAAAAGATCTGCCTATGTATAGCAACAGCGGCATATATGTGTATAGGCTGATTTGGGTAAATTACTAGGATTTCAATGAGGCACTGATTCCAGATTAACCCTTCGGTGTGATATCGTCAGAGTAACACGCGACTGCTAATTGCTCTTTATATTAGCGTCGTCATCGCGAAAGAGAGTAAAAGGTCTTCCGCCTATTGTAAGGAAATGTATACTCTGAATTGTCAATAGATTGTTTTCCGTGTTTTGCTTTATCTGCACAGCCAATTTAAGCCATATATGGGTAGTTATATACACAATGCGGACCTAGATTTGTCTTTATTTTTGTGGGAATTAATTAATTCTATACTTTCGGTACCTTCAACTAACAACTGTGAATTGGTGCACGTTGTGTAAGACATTTTGGCTCTAGTGGTTTTGACTGCTAGCAGTAGCAACTGCTGAATTGTGATGTTTACTGTATCTCCAGATGATGCAGCGATGAACTTTATCTGCAAAGTATGAGTAACATAGTGACTCGCCGCTTGATTACACCATGCGGGTGTAGATTGTATCTGCCGGCTGCCGTAATTACTGTTTGTAATTTACGCGGGATTATAAAAGCAAGCAATGTTAGACCACTCGCATTAAATATGTACATAATACAACTACTCACTTTTTTATATTGCTGGAATTGGTTGCGACAGAAATTATCAGTAAAGCAAATTGTTTGTGACAAGAGTTTTTCTTCTTAGATAATATGCTTAAGTGCCATCTTATGGCGCAGGCAGCTGGATCATTCGAGTCCAGTTTGATGTTTTAAACTGTCCGTGAAACTATGTCAAGCCATTTTTCACTGGCTAAAAATCGTAATGATGCATGCATTGGCCGTGGGAGTAGAAAAGATTGGTGGAACTGTGAGCGCAGTGGCGCAGTTGCCGATTGCCGCTGAAGCAAAGTAGAGAGAACTATCAGAAGAAGATTACTAGATTAAAAAGATTTACACAGTATACAAGCACATCACTTTTCTGATTAGTGATTTTTAAGTGTATACTGGGAAAACGGTTTCGAGACGGGAACGCAGTGTGTCTGTACAGATATGTGTGTTGTAGCCGCCATTGATTCTTCCGCGCGTACTTCGCTTTGAATTCTTGCGATACCCGCGGTCCATAACAGTATATGCATCAGCGTATCTGCGTATGTAAATATGTACAGATAGAATATTTCACTGTGTTTGTTATTCTTACGTAATTTTTATTGGTTAGTCGATTAGCTAGCGACAATACCAGTCATTCGCGGTTAACCGTACATGTGAATATGTATGCTTACCTTTTTCTTAGCTAGTAGGCATTTCCCCAGAATTTCGGTAACGGATTTCATCGTTATTCCATATTCAGCAAAAATGTATTTGCTTTTTTGTAGGCGTATTGCATGTACGTTAAGTGTTCGCTGACTTAAACTTGATTATGCTGGTTTTACGTTATTCGGTTACCCGAGGCAAAATCAACATATATGCATACTTAATGCCATGCATGCTTGCGAAATGCACTTTCTATTTGCCTAACTCATTAATTGACAGAGAAATACACCTGGGACTGGTGCGCAACTGCTTGAATATTTTATGAAAATAAAATGCTTATTTTTCAGCTGTCATTGGTCATGTATGTTATTCCATAAAAAAAGTTTGAAGTACTGCTCTTTGTTTCCTTTGAGTGCAAAAGTTAATGTCAATTGTAATTACCCTTTTGCTTGTCGATGGGTTTTCTGGAGAAGCTGCGGATTCATTTTTCTAATCAATCCTGTAATCTCATACGCTTTTTCTACAAGTGAGTAACTCGGAGCGGACGAAAAACATTCTCTCTAGAGGTCACATGTGATTTACAACATAGCATGTTTTGCTCACGCGATTCCGCAGTTAGCCGGTAACATCGCGATCCGGCTTTCTCCCAAATTAGAAAAGTTACGACCGATCGATAGCGTTTGTAAAGCCCCTGTGCGGTGTATCTTCGTAACCTTATGAATATGACATTGCATGATTCGTTTATGCTAGAACTAGGGCACACAGGATTCCTAGTAAAAAACATTTTACGATACACTTGCGATCGGCATTGCTTTCGATAGCGCATATATTTTTGTGTATGTGCAGTATGGAAAGCCATCGGAGCATATCTCAATAATTGCAGGCTAGGCTATCAATACCACATGAAAAGTAATTACGCAGTACTAAACTATGAACTACGAGATTAATGTGGAACTAAAATATACTACTAAATATTTTTCATCCGTACGATGGTATGTGTGTGTAAATCATTGATGAGCGGAATTGCCCAGTGCCCACATTGTGTTGTTCTGCCGTATAAAGTCGGTAATACCTGTAATTAAATTCAGCGGTACCAGCTGCTTGCAAATCAGGATGTGCAATAACTATTACATAAGCCAAGAGAGAAAAGCCGGTGTGCATCACAAAAGTAGAGTATTCATATACGCTTACACCTAGTATTTTGCAAAACTGGAGAGTGAGTGTTAATAGTTTAACGGCTTTCTTGTGCAACCTTTCATACTTTTACACCAGCGGTGAGCCGATAGTAAGTATGTTTAGACATGACTGGAGCCAAGAAGAAAGTAGAGAAAAAATAGCCCACACGGTTCGGGCAAATCAGCTGTGTAGTGTTTGGATATTGTCAAAATATTTATGGATCCATTACAAAAGAATAAGAGCAACAAAGAGCACGTAGTGTGAAAACGTGGTTTGCTGTGTATGCTCATTTTACTCAAAATACCACCCCTATGTGCATATATCAATCAAGCGGAAATTGAAGAACGACTGATATATGTTTTTTCCTTGTTGACGAAATGGTCCACAAAGCGAAAAGAGAGACCGAACGCCCAATATAACTCGACAACTGTACGCACGTACAGTGGCGCTGTGCATGAATAATCAAGCAGTCGGAAAAACCTGCTTACCACCCAGAAAAAAACTGCAGCCAGCTGATAGTAGTCTTAATGATCAGTATTGGTGTATATTCCAAGTGGCATGTCAACTGCGTAATCGCAAAAAATGGATACATGTTTTTCTTTGTGTGTGTGTGTATGTGTGTTTGTAGCCAACCGATACGGTAAGACTGACTCGTGCGGAGAAAGCGCAACATATTTATACACACAGGACGTAAAGCGCATGCGTATGTTTGCGAAGAAATAAACAGCGCGTTCCCATGAATATGACGCCCATATTTCCTACTCTTTGGACCCCGCGGTAACCAGCGGGAATACCAGACGCACAAGTTTTACCGCGAATTGCGCGTGGGGTGATTGAATGCAGTCAAGCAGGACTCAGAGAGGTTTCAGCAAAAAAATCAAATGCGGCATACACACACAGTAATAATAACACTGTCATGTGTAGTCAAGGAAGAAAAAAGTGGCACAGCGCGTCAGGAGGAAGAGATGATCAGTGGTCGGGAAAAAAAGCAGTATGTATGTTTGGCGCTCAACTTGCTCCATAAAATTAGCGATTACGCGGTTGTGTAATACTTGTGTGTACTGTGTATGTTACCCAGAAAACAGCTGTGCGCACTTAGCATTGTGCACACATATTGCTTTGATTTAGTTACACATCATAACTCTTTCTCATTCTCCTTGTCAAAAATGCCCGCAAAAAATATGACTTCCTGCTAGTTTACAGTTTTATCATGCTGTCACGCAGCATTGTAATCGATAGAGGATAGCGCAGTATACACACTGTACTGATGCGGGCTGCCGATGGAGGTGCACAGCCACACACACATGTATCGTGTAGGACATTTTCTGTTTGTGTTTCAACGAATTACCGTTCCTGATAATGCTGACTCGTTTTGCTGTTTAATGCCGGGCCTGGCATAGTGGCAGCTGGTAATAACAAATAATGACCCGAATTACGATGCTTACTCATACATATTCCCGCTGCAACCCGCATCCGATTAGTGTAGAGTGAAATGTGTAAACCTGGTATATAAATTACTTGATTGCCGATGAATAAGAACGCTGACCGCCAACAAAGAGAACATTTTCTCAACGCTACCTTAACGATATCATCGATAGCCGGAAGCTTGCGGCACAGAGTGAGAGCCTGCGGCATAGTAACTGTTACAGTGCACAATAAACGTGTTTGCTGCGGTATGTTGTTAAGTTGGAACATAGCGTTTTTGTGACCATGTAAATTAATGGTAGCTTCTTTCCAACGCTTATGTCACTGACATAGCTGTGCATAATCATAAGTAGAAAATATTTTACTGCAACGACGTCTGTGCATTTGGCACAGGCATCTTTTCTCCACGTAAGAGATTGTTCTACCTCATGTGTCAATATGAACTGTAAACGTCATGGGCTTTTTGATTATTGATCGCTGCATAGTTTACATTTGATGATATAATACAACGTGTCCTGAAAATAATTCTGCTTGGTTTTTAAAGTCATAAAAGTCTACACTATACCTGGCGTGTCCTTTATTGCTTGCGGTCAAATGTAACAAAACGGTATTTTTAGGTTGAATAGTGGAAAATCGTGCGGAAATGAAAAGTATATTTAGTGTAAGCACTCTTAATTTAACTACCTGGAACGGACGAAAATGTGACTTGTTTACGAAGCATTTCACCCGCGTGCGCAGTTTAGAATTGATTCGGACAGGAAACTGTGTGTTTGGAACGCATATTGATACGGTTTCCGAACCAATAGTTTGCAATGGATGACCCTACCCATTTTCGGTAACGATACGATCATAAGAACCTTAGTGCAGTCGTAATATACTTTCATGATCGTCGTTCTATACAAAGGAATTGATAGCAGCGTCAATGCCTTTCCGGTACTTTAATTCCCCTTCTCAATAATCTGACTTTCTCGGCAACACACTCGGCATTTAACCGGTCCTTGTGTGGCAGTGCTAGCTGCCAAAAATCGTTAGAGAGGCACCTTCAAACTTAAGTAATAGCTGCTCGTGCATTATCAGCCGACCAGTGGCACATATACACAAGAGATATATTCATGTAGCATTAGAAGTTTAGAACGTATGTGTATACACAATTATTACATATCTGCATTTTTCGCTGGGTAAACTTGTTTTCGTTACAGAGCTGGATGTACATCACTTCACTGTGCATTATGCAACAGTAAAACGCCAAAATGTTCTGTTTTTCCGGCCCAGGTGACTCAAGTTGCTCAAAAGACATGGAGTAATCGTAATAAAAATTTGTGCATACAGATTTGTTCTAATTTTGTTTACTTTGTGGGGAATAAATTGCACACTATCAGCGCTTTTAGGGTGGTGCGCATTTCTGTCGCGGCTAAATTTCGTTTATGACCCCTCGATCTTGCGTTTGCAGTAGTGTGTGTAGGGCTGTGTGTAATACTGACATGCTCAGCGGCGAAGAAAATCAATAAACGGAAGGCCAATCATTTTCATTTACATAATATCGATGCATCCATAAAAAATCAGACATATAACCATAAAATAATACATAGGCATTTGGATTGAGAGAGACAGACAATACTCAAGTATCAAATTTCATCATCAAATTTGATAACAAATAAATCTATGGGCTAATATTAAAAGTGAACTAAACGCATAGAAAAAACAAAAAATTAATAATTATTATGCGCCAGTAAAGAATAAACGCGAACTCAATTATTATCGGCAGAATTCTCGCAAAACATGTGCAGATACAAAAAAATGAGAATAAATCCCAAAAAACGCATCCTTGATCATCGAAGCCATCAACAGTTGCGCCTGTCCGCGGCAGAGGAGCAGCAATGTAACGACGCCGGAAAAAACCCATGCACCACGCACACACACTGAGCAACAGAAACAACAGGGAAATGTCCTCCAATATAAAAACATTGCGTTTCCTGTTGGCGCCATAACACGTGAAAGATCATTTTTAGTCCTCAAGGTCCAGAATGTTAATGCATGACAGCGCTACAGTCCATGGTCCCGGAACATCACCGCATTCCTCCGTGACACTGCCCAATCCATCAATACCGGACACTGCAACCAACAATTTAAACGTAATACAACAAACTTCTCACATACACCACGCTAACAAGAAACGGAATCGAAAGCTACAGCGGAAATTTATGTGCCTTTTGGGAAATGAGACGATTATGCATTCGCAAATTGTATTATCCAACAGCCACCGCCGATTTATTTCGTAATAACATCGCCTAGTAAAACCACAACCATGGCCGGATGCTACTGATGTCATCAGCGGAAAAAAATGATATGCAATGTGCCCGGCAGCCACGGCATTATACAACGCAAAGTTGTAGAATTTCTCAGCTAACATTTCCCGAATAATTACTAGTTGTCAATTTTATTATTAATTATCGCCCTTGGCCGAGCAACAAAACGAAAATAATTATAAATTCACTCTTGGTTTATGGATACCTGTAACACGCTAAATTGCAATTGACAACAAAGAAACCAGCCAACTTTTGCTCGTCATAAAAACTGGAACGCCTCGCCTCAAAAATTTTGCACCATTTCTGAGCCCGGCTGTATTCGATGATCATATAGTAAAGCTGTCAACATCGGCTATCTACAATTTCGCATCACTCATGCGTTGCAAATACCAGAACACCAAATTGACATCAAGCTGTGCTAAAAAGTTATGTTGATGTGCATTACATTATACAGCATAATTGCCTTATTCCTATTAAATTTTCATGTACACAAAATAAGGACTGCCAGCATTTTTTCTCCCAAAATTGGTTAATAAAATTCTTCGGACTAGCTGCATAATAATCATTTTCTTGAAACTACCATTATAACCGAAAGCCCAACGTACAAATGTTGTTTACCCACTGCACTATTGAGTCAGAATTATAAACTTTGTCCCAAGCCATAAAATTATTATCTGAATATCAGCACACAGCTTTCGACACTGCGTTGAACTAGACAAAAAGTCCAAAGTTAACATAAAACTCGACAGACAAACTGGCACTGCGCTACTACACAATCATCCAATCGTAACCTGCTTTTTCGCAACACACTGTTCAAATCTAACTCAAATCTGTCCACGCAGGTCCAGACAAAACAGACAATCCAAAAAACTGATGTAGTTATCAAAAAATATTCTGTAATAACCTAGATCGAACGGCTAGGACGTTCACGAGAACACGACAACCATGTCATTATCTCACTGAAAACGAAGACGCATTAAAGCGGAAAGCGGCGCGAAAACCGTATCTGATGATCAAATTAAAGTTTCAACTCATTATGCAATAAATAAACTGCAATCGATTTGGCACAGATTGCCGTAGCGTTTCTTCTGCGTATAGCTGATCTCACTGAAATGTTTTTATTACTAACTTTTAATAAGCCATAAGGAAGGAAACTAAATTTAAATTCAAACAAATTTTAAGGGTTATTTAAAATAATAAGAATCTAGAAAATAGCAATTACTATTCAAGAAGTACCGCTATTTGCGAATGCATAATCCACACTACGTAATACATTTCCAGAAAGAGAAAATTACTCGCACATAAAACGAGGATACTCACATGATCCAAGAGGAAAATCTTGATGAGCCGTGAACCACGAATGGCAGTGTCCATCGACACCCGGCGACAGAGATAGCGGAGTGGACGGGAATGATCCCGAGGAGATGCTCGTCGTTCGGCTATCCGAGCAGCTACCCAGTTCAGCATGGTGGTCGGCAATAAAGCCGTTTGCAATTGGAATCGGATGTGAAAACGCACTTAGCGAAACAGCCCGTGGTCGTCCGGCGCCTGCAGCCTGCTGCAGTGCCAATGCGGCTGCTGCGGGATTGTGAACGAACTTCGATCCAGGCGGCTGAGAAATGATGGCATTTCCGCTGGCAGCCGGCGCAGTCAGCGGAACGCTTGGGTAATCATGGTGGGAAGACGACGACGACGACAACTGGCCGTGCGGCTCAAGATGGATGAAATGGCAGCGCTGGCCATAGCTACAGCTACCTGTCGTATGGAAGGAGCGGCATTTTTCCGTGCGATACTTGGGATGACGCGCAATACTGCGCAGTTCATCCAGTCCATGGGCAAACTGGCATTTTTCACCGTAGCGGCATTTCCCGTTTTCCACGAAGGTATTACACAGCTCGGTTTTGTAGCGGCTCGCTTGGATGGTGCCGGACTGCGGCACCGGCGACTGCAGAGCGACCGGCGCGATGGGATCACTACGGGAGCGGCCAATTTTGCGGTGGATGGTCGGCGAGGCGGTGGAATTGCTGCTGGTGTCGGTGTCGTCCAGATCCACAAAGACGGCATCGTAATTGTTCCTGCTGTACAGTTTATGCGACGACAGCACCGGACTTCCGGCTGATGCGGTCACTGAGTGCCGGCGGGACTGTTGCTGTAGCAAATGGCTATCGCGCTGACCGGTGCCGGGCATCGGCTTCGCTGGCGCGTATAGATCGAAATAGGGCACCGCATTTGTCGGCGCTTTCTATAAAAAGGAACAAAGACAGCCCGTTAAGCCATTGATCAGCTGACAAGTAGTTGCATAAAAGACAGCGCCCGGCACTGCGCTGCCTGGCTATAGCAACCGAGCGCTGGCACTGGCTATCGGTATGATCATTAGGATTTGCCAGAAAACAGGTCACAAACATGGCACGTCATCCTGTTCGTTGCTTCTTCTCGCACATATAACCGAAGGAACATTTATTGCTGTTTGCCAGAGCGCGTGCCTAATCGACGTGCCGTGTTATAGGCGAGAAAAAAACTATCATGTCTTTTCATATTTTGGACCTTTTGGTCGAGGGTGATTTTTGCTCACTGGCAATCTGGCCGCATAGTATTTCCGTTCTGACCGTATTTTTATTAGCTTACCAGGCCACTTATTTGAACAGCTAAGGAAGGTTTTGAATACCATCTCCATACAAAAGTGCTTAAAACCGTAAAGGACAAAAGGGTTTACGCTAAAAATAAGCTGCTTTTGTGTTTCACGTTACTCAACTTTGCTATTAACGTCACAATGGCAGAGATGTTTCGCCTGCGTTTTGTGAACTTCTGCGCAACGATGACTCATAGCAACGCATACATACCCACGACAACTGCAGCCAGTGTAGCGGCGCATTTACTTATCGGAATATGTAATCTGAAAATCGAATCGAAAACACAACCGAGAAACAAATCTATCCTCAGAAATCGTCCCTACGCGGCTCACATGACATGATTAAAGCGAAGGGCACATTAAATTTTCAACGAATGTTCGCTGCTAACTGGTCAGAATGTACAATTAGATGCGCTACGAGTGTGTGTTTGTGTGTGTGCGGTTACCAGTGTAACGACGTAACAGCGGCACTTACGGTCGGTGATGCGGGTACACTGTTAGGCAACCAGAAACGGGATTGTTCGTCAACAAGCGATCCATTGCTGGATGTCGAAGGAAACTGCCGGCTTGGATTGCCCATTTGTGAGCTGCTCGGATGGTCTTTTACAACTGATAACAACCAGATTAGGGAAACAGATGAATATATATGCAATCCCAGCGCAAAATTAATCCGCGTTACACAAAACAGTTGGTCAATTTATTATGAAGCGCGCTGTACGAATGCAACCGGCAACGGCAATACAAATTTAGACCGGTTCCATAGAGGCTTCAATCAGCACCGGCAAACGGATTTGCTTTGCAACACGGCAAAGGGAAAAGTAGATCAAATGAGGCTCAAACAGTCAACGCATAAGGTTATAACTGCAACCAACAAACAGCAAGGGTATTTTATCGTATGTAACAAATAATAACACTTTTCGTCAAAGTTATCAAACATAAAAATGGAAGAAGTCCAAACAGGAGAACTGGTTACGCTTTTTAGCAATGCCCGGCTTCGTGAAATAACACGCGCGCTTTTGTACCTCGGATAGTAGCGAAGCATTACACCACTGTTGGCCGGCCCATTTTTGGGTGGGCAGATAACTGGCAACGTTGCGATTGGATAACGTTTGCACGCCTGCTGCTGTGGCGAGTCACATGTGACACAATACATGGAAAGCCACACGGGCAAGTGGATGGTAATGCCAAAATTTGGATTTAATTCTTAACTTTAATTTGTGAACTTCCGAAACGAAAATAGAGTACTTAAGTAAGGAAGGACAGAAAGCCAGAAAATATTGAACAAATGCAAAAAAAAGGTTAAGTCTTTCTGTTATGGTAGTGTAAATGAATATCCCATTATTTGTGGCAATCATTTTATGGTTAAAATATCTTATACTTTTGGACTTTTGGTTAGTTGGTGCCGGTCACCGGATCAATTCCCAGCTTATGTAGATAAAGCGTTTACTTTAAGTATTTCTATATAGCTATAACTGCGGAAAACCATGCGAACATAATAATATTATAATAACATCATGAATTTCAATCGAAATACTGTTTTATCAAAAATTACAGAGCCTTACAATTATTGCGCAGACCACAAAAAAACAACTGAAAAACTGGCTCATAACACCAGAGAATGACGCAAGGGTAAGTAATGTCCCGGAAATTTTTATTATGTTGAAATTTTCAATATCTTTTGAACGAAATAGATTAAAAAGTCTACAGAGCAGCTGCTTGCAAACTGGAAATTTATTTTGGAAGTTGATGTGAATGCCGACTTACAAATACAACACTGAATGTGTAGTTTTTCTTTCGCCTTAGACACCTGCCGGTAAGTTTATGTAACTAAACTGATCACATTTCTTGATGTTTCCAAAGTGGAATTGTGTAAATGTCGGTAATCAGCTGAGTTGTGGCTAAAAAATGCTACGCATTTAAACAGCGCATCGGATGTGCCCAGCATAACCAACGATTTCCATTTTTGCTGTACGATGTAGTAATTATTTAAAATGCAACCTTTTGCTTTCGTCAGCACTGCTGTAAAAAGAATGCACTCATTAGCACTTACACACAAGAAGGTAGTTTTCTTTTCAGTCAAGATGATTCACAAATTTACAACGGGTCAGCCGCTGTTATTAGTTGTTAACAATAATGATGAAACCTCGCGATTCATGACATTCGTGCATACCGTGATGTACTTGTAAAAAGGCCAAAAGGCTAAAACGGCGATATAAAGATATATAAATTCCATATTTCTTGTAATACTGATTCGGTGTTTACTTGTATGCCGTGAAACTATCAGTAATTTGTACTGGTAATTTTTATTACAGTGATTATATTATTATAGCACTTTCACAAATGAGACACGAGCAATATATATACATAAATGGTAGTTTAGTTTAAACTTTTGTAAAAATATACCGCATATATACTAACTAAATAATTATAGCTGTTCCGTTATAATTTGTTTTATTTTTTCATGTCATCTACAAAATTCGCTTTAATCTTAATGTACAATACGCCCTACACATTATAAGAGCATTGAATTTAACTGTACAGAGTAGTGGCGCATCAGTCCGCAACCCCAGCTAGAAAAATTAAGAATCCATTGTTCACGATTTCAGGCTAATTCTTCACGTCATTATTATTAATTCTCCGCATATTGAAATTAAGATTAAACGGTTATTTAAGATCATCAACTCGGTCAATAAACGATAACGATAATGGATAAAATTCGGAGGGCAGTGTTTCTGAATTTATTGATACTGTTTGTAACCACTTACTGACGGTAACAACTAACAGGTAACAACCTTGATAATTTGTAACAATGCGTAAACGAACTTCCCGAACCGATAGACATTAGACAGCCCGGTGCCGGATGACCGTAGACTTCATTGTCACATAAACTTGTTAAATTTATTTCGGTACTGAAATAACGATAAATAGCTACATGCTCGTATTGTAGCATCATAATATGTACGAGTGTGACAAAATAATATGTATGTAACATCATGATAATCTTAATATGCTCGTATGCAACCTCAAACTTAACATTGAATAATTATATCTCTGTATTTGTATAGGTACTGTATGTACCACACTGCTTTTTTATTGTTTCGTCTGAAAGACTACAGTATTTAAACCTGGGGTTCACCGGATGCGAAGCAGCATATACTAGGAATAAGTGTAATTTTGAGAACTAAAAGATCTGCGATAAGTACTTTATTTTTTTCCGTAGCAAATTAAACACCATATACGATTTCAGGTAAAACAGAAAAACAGCAAACAGAATTTTAATAGGACTCATGGGAATTACATAATTTTGCCTGTAGGAAGAATATTAAGCACCTGCGCTAGTGTTGGATACGTTGCTGCATCATTGCTATTAAGAAATTGTAGTATCTTGTCAGTTTGCGATACCGCAGAATGGTACAACTTGGGTGATGGCCGGAATTTTTTGAATAATAACGCGAAAAAGCGAGTATGATGCATATGACACTGCACCTCTAGACTCATAGTCTTTTGTGGTAGCTTATAACTTTACACGTAGCTGTTGATTGCTTGTAGTTGTAGGGGTTTCATAATAATTTATGAAGTAACAATTTCGCAATAGCAGTACGCTTTAAAAGCCAAAACGCCGGCGTGGAGCATGAATCAGTTGCATAAAATGTATTTATTATTGCACAATAACACGATCACGCTGTACCTTTAACAAGAGTAATTAACGAATTTGCGGTTTCAAAGTGGAAGCACGTAAAAGACCACAAAGAACTGGTGCTTTTCAAATGAGTTAGGATTTCAGGATTTTTAATGAATAACTAGCCATGGCCAAGCTGTATTTAACGTTTTCAATCTGATTATGCCATTCTATACCAAAGTTGACCTATGCATGCTTTAGGCAACCTGCAAAATTGCTCATCACTTCCCGGCAGAATCCAGCAGAAAATTATGTACGCATTTGAAACTACGATTATGTGCGACGTCAGAGAAACTATGTAGTGTGCGCAGGCCGCACTCGCCACGACATTGGTAACCACTAAAAACTTAATTTTTATACACCGTTCTACGGTATTAATATGGTTTGACGGTAACCAGTACCGGCCGACTGCCATCGTTGACTTGCGCTCCATACGGCGATTGCGTGAGACCCACTGCGTCACGTCGATGCAATCGCTGAACCAAATGCTGTGCACGCCAATACAATGCACAAACTATCCCGAATCATTTTCATTGCCCTTTAATTTTAATTAACTTTTCTATTACGTACAAAAAAACACTGCGAAACTGCGGCTGTTAAACTAGATTCCGACGCAACTCTCGGGCAGGTCTGGCGTCACGATAAAAGCTATAACCAGGCTGGTCCAGGCACAAGAACAGACTCATACAACTCGTCATCAGCACCGCAAAACAAAAGTGTTCCCAAAATTGCTATTCCAGTTAGTTAGTTGACGCACACCTCTTAACGATGAAGGTCAACATTTCACGGTCATTTCAGCGGAAGTTTTCTTGGCTTGTCCGCGTTTTGTTTATCATCAAACGCATCTCGATATCCTTACAGAGAGAATCGAACCAGCCGGAAAACTCGGATGAATCCACAGGGGATTTGGCAAGAGATATGGCTTCCGTACGGGCCTCGGCTATAGCGTCGTACAGTTGCTCAAACATCCGCACTTCCGCTGGTCCATTGCCGGAGCCAGGGCCGGCGGCACCGCGCCGCAGCAGGTGCATTTCCTGCCTGGCCTGGGTCAATTCTCTGGCGACACTCTGATATCGCGACTGGAGTTCTAAATTGGCACGGCGCAGATTGCAGTAATCCTGTAGAAGTAACCAAACAAAACAACATACAAAAGCCAACGAATTCCTGTTTCGCTAACGCTTACACTATAACATTATAACCAATCACATGCACAAATTCTCAGTTTATCGGAATCCAAAACCTTTTCCTTGTTAACTAAGAAATACAAATAAGTACAAAAGCATAGCATAGAGACAAAAGTGAATTTCTAAAGAAAAATACTAAAAAATAAATTCCATAATTTACTACAATAAAAACCGCTTCGAGGATAATCAAAAAACACAGATGAGCACAAAAGCAACGCAAAAATAATCTTAGAAGAAATAAATATTTTTTTATCGTTAGTCACCTGCGTCGCATCTACACTGGGCTTTTTTTGGAGATCATCCGCTGTCAGTGCGAGTTCCCGTACAATGTGCTGCAGTGTATGTAATTCACTGGCATTTTCCCCAAAACTTTCCTTGACGCTGCGGTGATCATTATGCAGTTCTCTAGTAACCAATTTCAGATCATGCACAGCCTCGGCGTACTGTTTCAAGAGATTCCTTAATTTCACATTTTCCTGCGCTGTCCCGTCCCCCTGGCTGCTGGCATTATCCAGAATCCGCCTCTTGGATTCGGAAGGTTGATTACTGGGATTCACTGCCTGGCGATTCCGCTCCAGACGCGCCTCCAGATCTTTCCCATACAGCCGCTCCTTTTCCAGCTCCCTCAACAAGACCGCATTCTGTTTCTTCTCCGCTTCCAGCTGACCGTTCAACTGCTTCAGTAAATCTAGTGTATTGTCGAAATCCGTCTTGTTAACACTGATCGTATCGGCGCTGGACTCCGATTCGGAATACACATTGGATTGGTTAAAATTTTCTGATCGGCGCGAATTACTCCGGGTCCAGGATTGCGAACGCTGCAACGGGCGCGATCGCATCGGGACAGGCAGCGCAACAGGCGAATGGTTGCGGTACTGCATCGGATGGACGCGGTGCGCACGACTGGACACCGTGGAACGAGCCAAATTCTTGGACATGGGCATCACGGCATGAATTTATCCAGACATCGAGTCGAATCGGACTCCGCAGACATGTGATCACGTTTAAAATAAAAAGATGTGATTGATACGCGGTATTTTAGCTCTGGCTGCGCGAAGTAATTCACTAAAAATCGAGTTTCAGCACTCAGCAGACCATGCTCTGCTGTGTACAGGGTACTGTAGACCCGCTGTTTGAATTTGTACCTGGAACAACGGAGAAATTTTTAAAAAATCTTGCTGAATTATAATAAAAACAGAAACGGTGAAATACATAAGTTATCAAAGTATGCTTACAGTGAACACAGTCTGATTTTATTGATACATCTCGAAGCTCTGTGTCAGTCATAAGCGGACATCTTCGGGATCATCAATGGCCGGACATATGGGAGATAAGAGTTCCAGTTTTCATTTCGTTGCGGGAACATAGGAGTACTTATATGTCTGGTCCCTTTGCCAGCACGGCAAGGTAACTGAAGGGACAAAGGCGTGCACACTTTCAAGTTAACGCGAAGTGGCTAGCAACTCGGTCCTTCTGCGGAAACGGGCATACCGTCGACGCGTTACACTTTTAGGCAAAACCGTAGCATATGACACATACAGAAATGATTTTTGTACTTTAAAATGGGTTCAGTAATAGTACCGCATTTGTTGTTACTGAGAAATCAGCTTTTAAAGTGAAAAATTGAAAGTCGATTTTTACAGAGTAGAGATATGAAAAAAAATATTCTGAAACGGTAATTTTGTAGAGTGAAGTATTAGAAGCTTATTATACGGACAGAATTTTGATTGATAAAAAACAGAAAAAGAAAAAAAATCGGGGGTGCCAAAGAAGTGCTTGGGGCACCCTACCCCTGGATATTTCTGACCATATCTGCCGAACAAAACCCTAAACAGAGATTCTGTCCGTATAATAAGCTCAGGCTGCGGTACTTTATTTATTGCGATTTTATTCGTAATTTTTGGCAAACAAGTGTATTCACAGCTGATTTTCAAAGTTTTTTTACGTTTTGTTCACTGTTAGCTTGCAAAAGTATACCTCTTTCACGGCTTTGGTGCCGGTACCGAGAGGTGCTGGCTGCCGCACCCAAAAGCACATGCACATGTGGAGCAACGCAGAACAGGCAGGCAGCCATATAACATTCATGCAGACTGATGCAGTCATAGACACTAAAACAAAAGACCGCAATCAGACGGCAGATTTGCTTTTATGGCGTCTTTTGTTTCTCTTTCTTGCCAACAAGCTCAACAAAGCTGGATGGGGCAGTTGCAGATTTTGATCGCACCTGATTGCGATTACTTCAGTGCCAACCAGTGATGTCGGTGGCGATTGAAGGAATATGCCATCACTCACAATAAGCGCGGCGCAACCCATTATTTTGCGGTTCACCTTATGTGCCCCCCTCTACCACTCGTACAACTTTAATTTTTTGCTTGTTAACGAAAAAAGGTATACTCACTCCAATTATCGCTTTATGTAGTATAAAAAGCGCTCTGTAAGATGAGCAAAGGTAATTTTTGAGAATTATTTTGAAAATTCGCTAGCCACTTCGCGTTAAGTCACTAACCATGACGAACACGTGGAAGCTTCAAGATAGCGATGCATCGTTAATCAACAGTAAAATGTTCAACGTTCAAGACAATGAAGGCATCGACATAAAAATGATAAATCAATACATTTTAATGTTCTTTTTAGTTTTATAAAGCGATTTGTCCTTTAGCCTTTATTCCATAGAAGTTAGCAACGGCAAAAGTGCAAAACCTCAACTAAACAAAACAGCGAAAAACCAAACGGAGCCGCGGACATCGACGCCGTGAACCGCCGTGAATTGCCACTCCCGAAGGCGGTCGGCTTAAATCGTCTTTTTTTCGGTTCTGTGTGTTTTTCCTTTTATATACTTACTTTAATACTTTAACTACGTTTTCTTTATTTCCTGTTGCTGTCTCAAGCTAAAAATTACAATAAATAAGCATAAAACTGCCGATTTTAAATTCTTCTTGGCGAATGCCTAAAGACTCTAAACCAATGGGGGAATAGTTTCTTATGAAATTTTAGGTTTGTTTTTTGACGAGGCTAGACCTACCACAATACGTAACAAATAACTCCTTTTTTTTAATATTTATAATTATTAGATCTTGTTTTGGCATCTGCGAACGGAAGAAGAAATTTTTTCGTCTCAGCTGACACACGGTTATGATGCAAGAATACCCATTTTATTCGAAAAAGAGAAGCGTTCAGAGCGACAATCGGGAACCGGAATAAAATGTTGACACGCGACTGACTTCCCAGTTTTAGTTTGAACGAACTACAATCCGGAAATAACCAATAAACAGTTAAAACAGCAAGAACCGGCTATCAAACTGGACAGATAACATATCCATGTCGTGGTTTTCTTTGTTTTAAAATGTAAATCCAAGCACAATCAAGGACGCACCACGCGATACGACAACAACTTTAATAATATTGCGAAAAACACGAACTAGCACCGTATTCCCGTGCCGATGGCCATGAAAGTGCCAAAAGTGCCTCCGCCTTGTAACATGGTTTTCCCCACGTGCTGAATTAGTTCGCGACCACGAAATCCCGCTCTGAAAAGTAGACACACCAGTTAGAAGGCTGAAGAATAGCTAGGGCATGTTCTTACTGTACGAAGCACATGGCAGGTAAAACATGATGCAATATCTTGAAGAATCACAGCTGCGGCTAAGATAAGACCGTCAGTAATATTTACCTTAGCGCTCCGAAACCACCAAACAAAGCTCCGGATGCCATTCCTACGCAGAAACCTATCCCGAATCCCAGTTTCATCCGATCGAAACAACTGGGCTGCTGCATTCCCTGCCTTGCCTGGGGGACTGCTGAGACTGGCATTTTCTTTCGAAGAAGATTAAACTGATTAACTCAGAATCAAATCAAGAGACAAACAATAATCCAGCACGTCCGCGATAACTCAGATCTGGAAGCTGCTAGTGAATATCAATACAGTTCCAAAACACTCACAGCGCAATTTAAAAACCTCGTGCTAATAGTTGTATTAAGATGGTCCAAACTTTCTGACAAATCAATCAGAAAAATTCTGACAAGTCACGAAAACCAAACAGAAGACCGAAATAACGAAATTCCGAAAGACACCTTTTCCACTTTTTTACCTTTTACGGTTTTACCAGACGTGAACCATTGGCTTATTCCAACCGCCATCGGTGGCTGGTCAGCTAATTTCCACGTTCCGGTGGTTCCAGCATCCTGCAGGTTCCTGCAGGTTTCTGTTACATTACTAGCACACGTGCACCGAAAGAGCGATCGAAGGTCGGAAACCAAAGCGTTACTGTCATTACGCGATTTCTTCAGAATCTGGCTACGGTAATTTAAACGGAGTATCAATAAATAATTTGATTAATAGCCATAAGCTGTACAAGGGGAACGCGGATTACAGGGGTGAGGGGTCACTGAGGGGTGATTTAATTTTAGAATGTAGACTGTTGAGCGGATGGATAAAGTAAAGTTACGTAGCCGACCGGCGGCTTTGGTTGTCTTTAAAGTTTAAACCCGCTTGCAAAATTTGTCAACACGGCACGGCTTTCGGGACTTCTGCTCTGTCGTTGAATCTGGACAAAATTTTAAAATGGTGGCGTTAATTTTCCTGCTGATACAATAAATGCTACGGTCTGTAGATTTCAGTATATGATCAATTTACGTTACAGCATCCAATTAAGTACAATTTCCAACTACAGTATTTTATCCCAACTAGAAATAGCCAGAAGAAAATTTAACTCGTGCAGCTGATAATTTGATGTGACATTCGCTTCTTGGGCTTTGAAAGCACTTTCATTGCAGATACTAGCAACTTCGACAAATAACTGACCACTTTCCATTTTCATGGACATGAAATCGTACTCCACAACAAAAAGTAGTCAGAACAAGTCAAGATAATTTAAATCTCAAATCACTGCACAAGCAAAAACCAGAGCAGAAATTATGGATACTCAACCGAAATGACATACGCATTCCATAACTCTTTAATGCCAAGAGGTGTGCGCGCTCAAGAAAGCACGAAAAAACAACTCCTAAAAAAGCTTACAGAATAATCGTATCCGTAAGCGAGCAAGAAAACATGAAAATATATTACATTCTGAGCGTTAAGAACCAAATAAATTCCGATAAACACAATAGTATCTATCTTTTATCTCAAAGGGACGCAAAACGACAAGAAGCCATCATCCTATACATAAATAACATAAATACAGACGAATGTCCAACAGCAGTTATTTGCGGGCGTGCAAAATCACCAAACAAAATCCCGGCTTTCAGTTCAGATTCGGTCAATTCTCGGTCCCCAGTGACCAGAAATAACACCCCGACAACCCAAATAAATCAAACGAAAACAATGAAATACCGAGGCAGACCGAGACACCAGAACACAGAAATACACAAAACATGCAGCTTAATCCATCTTCCTGTGGCTATTCATCGCAAAACCTGGATCTTGCCAACTCACTGTCCCCGCGACAGCCAACGCAACGGAAATCACATGCCATATGGCCATAATACTGTCTCCGTTCCCCAAACGAAAACTTTATCCATCGATGCAGTTTTGTCGGCTTACAAACGAGAAAGGGAACAACAGATCAAAATAAAAGCACAAAACGCCGGATTATTCCATTTCGTTTCCAATCCTTTACGGCCATGGGACATATCCATTGCTTACTGTCTCTTTTACAAAATGCGGAGGACTAAGTAACCGCGTTGTAGGGATAATCGGGGACGATTGGCCACTGCTAACCGGAGACCGATTATCGAATTCATTATCCAAGAATTTGGACCGCACGTCCTCATTCCCATCGGGCGGCTGTGTCGCATCCACGAACAATTTGCCCGCACTGCGCCCGTGTACGGGGGAGCTCATCTCAATATCCCCCGAGACTTCAGCGGTCATACCACTGGTGTCATGTAGGGTTGACGGATGCGAGACATACCCCGTACCGCCCGTGTTATTGCCCGTACTGGATCCACTGGACGCGTTAGCCTGCAGGCTGGACGGAGGGACATAACCAAAGGTAGCGGGATCTTCGCTCGCTCCCGACAGACCGGAATCCACCGGCGCATGTGTTGACTCCGTCTCGGATATCACGCGCACCAACGAGGAAGGTCGACGTGGTGGTTTTTTGAGATTTAGTTTTAAATGCGACAACGACTCCAACTTGAACGGTCTGTTTGCATAGCCGTAACTGGAGCGGCCAAGGCTGACAGTCTCAGCGGCATCGTTATCACGTTGCAGGGCCGTACGTGCACTGCTCAGATCAACATGCGATAAACGATGACGATGCTTTTTCGGCATGGTACTGGCAGGCCGGTGAACGCCGGCCAACTGACTAGGCTCACGTTTGTCAACCACGATCAAATGGGCATCATCCGCGGTGGTCGTGCCGGAAGACTGCGCCAAAATAAACAATCATGTTAAAAAACACTTAACGGGCTTCCCTATTTATTATAGGGCAGGAATATTTTGCACATTTCTCAACTAACCAATTCGTAACACAAAAAGCTTAAAGGAGACTACACAGCACTCTGTAAACATCTAATGCAATCAGCAGAACAGATTTTTTAACAAGCCAACAAGAGGTTTAATGATCACGATGCAGCCAAAAAATTCTGATGCAGAGTAATTCGATATTAGCAGCGCATACCTTGACCGTGAACTCTGAAGATAAACTTCCATGACCGGAGCTGCTCCCACTATTGTCACTAAGCTGACGTGAATAGGACTTTTTCTTTTCTCCATAATCAATCTTGCTGTAATAAGCGATACCCTGTTCATCGAATTCATCCTCATCCTTGCCAATTTTCGAAGCCGGTATGATTATTTTTCGACTTTCTCGTTGAATTTCCTTGAAATCTTTCTGCATGCTATTTCAACCCAACCAAAAATAATTAGCAAAACACTGACACGCTATACGATTCTATGCTGCCAACAATTACGCAAAGTTATCACGTTGGAGTGAATTACGACATTGTTTTCGTACCGTCTGATTCCTCGCCATAGTGCAACTGCCAGGATCGTCAGCAAAACAGCCGTACCGAGAGCGATACCAACACCAGTTGCAACAGGAAATTCGTGATCTAAACCAGATACAAACATCCAGTTACATAAAATGATTTAACATCTGCGTACGAATCACGTGCAACCGCAAAATCCATTTATATCTGAAGAACACTATGTCGCTTACCAATAGCGGTTGTCCTTACGCACTGCTGGGCTGGATCGAAGTCAATACCAGTACTGGAGTTATTAACGTCCACAAAAAAGCAATAGCGAGAACTTTCTTTCAGTCCGCTCAAAATAACGGAAGTCGAGTTGGTCTTTTGAATCTGGTCGGCAACTGCAAACAGACAAAACATTCATTTCCAATATCTTCTATGCACTAAAAAATTAGTCCATCACGATTACGAAAATCACTTACCACAAATTCGACTGTCACATGGGGAATAACTGACTTGATACTCCGGAGGTATTGGCATAAATCTCTGTTCGCACGGTTCGGTCCATTGCACCAAAACCGTGGCGTTGGGCAAAGCAGTCACGTTCAGACCATCCAAACGTCCATGTTCTAAAATTAGTTTTAACATTAGAACGAAAACCAAAAGATCATTCCACATCAAAAGCAAAAGGAAACTGTCACAATCAGGGATTAACCCGATGACCACAGTTTTTACAATTGAACTTTTATTCTAAATTACAAGAGGGATATCAACAGTTGAAGCATTTTTACGCACTCTCAAGTGGATTGCATGTCCGTAATGCCCAGTTCATGCCGCTGTACATTACACGATCCGACACATTTTCTCTTGCCGCCAATGCAAAACGATAGTGTTTTCCATGTTGTGGTGTAAAATTATAGGCAAACGTATGGCCAGAGAGGCTTTCGTGGTGCATATTTTCGGTACACCAAGCAAAATGTGGTTCCAGGAATGTTGGACAGTAAAACAAATCGAAGGCACGCGTTTCAGGACTAGAACTCCCCGAAACATTCCATGACAGTTCCAGGTATGAAGTAAAATTCACAACTCGGATATCCTTCACAACCACTAAACAAAAAAAACGATTTGTAGCAGTGATACTGACCAACAAAACACTGCCATGGGTGGACGTACAAAAGGCAATCCAATTAGCGTAACACCGCACTTAAGCTTCGCTAACCGGAAGTTGTGTACAAAATCACCACTAGCAGTGATTTACAACACCGCCTACCTTGTATCACTTAGGAGATTTTATTTCTTTTTTCGTGCATAATATGTTTATCTACAAAAAACTAACCCAACCAAACTCAGGGTGACACCGACCAGCACTTACATGAATTCTCTTGAACAGCCGGTATGCGCACAATCTCAGCTTCACCATTCCCTTCATCGTTCTTCGGAATAATCTCTACATTAACAGCCTCATTGGAAGGCAGATCCCTTATTTCAATGTTTGCGTATCTGTGACTGTAAGTCTTCTGATGAATTGGGTAATCCTTTGTTCCATCGGTCCACGTGGACACTTCGTAGCGGAAATTTTCACCATTCCTTTTACTTTCCGGAATACCCTGCAGATATCCCAATAAATATAATGCAAATAATTGTTACATAAAAAATTCGTCCTTCTAATATTTCAAGAACTGAAACACCTTCTACGTACCTGCCAGTACAAAATGACCTTTCTCTGACCCTTAGGTCCATTTACAGTCTGATCGAAGGCTCCCTGAACCGCACCCGGCTTGCCGGCCGGTTTAGCAGCTGGCGTTGTACAGTGCGTCTGGCTATATTCGCTCCAGAACATGTTATTATTCATCCGCAATCGAACTTGGATCTCATACGTCGCATAGGCATCCAAATCGTCCAATTCGACACGCTGTTCGCGGGGTTCAACTGCCGCATGCTGTTAAACAGATCTCCGTTTAAAGCTTGGATCAGTTCACGAATTATGACGCTTCGGTTAGTCACGAATTACTTAAAGAATCCACATGGTACCGATAGCGACACTGACCAGTGACGACCAGCGTTCACATTACAAAGACAACCAATACCGAAGTATTTAATGTCGATGGCCCATGTCTTCCACAAACTCACCTTCCAGTCATGATGGCCACCAAGTTTCCGATACTGAATTTCGCTTACAACACCCAGCTCAGTTACGATATGCGAAGTCTGTAACTCAGGCGTCAGTTTCCATTCAACCGCACACCGATGGCTATCCAGTGAGGTAGCATTTAATTCCTTGGGTTTCGACAGCAGAACTAGCAAACATAACTGAAATTCAGGAAACCTTTGTAAAAAAATTAAAAATTCGCACAACGTACTGCTTTGACTAGGATCCACAATTTCCGTCCAAGTATCCGTTCCCATCGAATTCGTTCCTTTTATCGTAAAGATGTATTTATACTGATTCATGAAAGCTGGTCGACAGGTTTCGTTTTTCGGGCACGACTCGCGTACTCCAATAAAGCATGAATAGGAGGATTTTCCCCTCTCAGGTCGGCTAAAGTTTGAGCAGTTACGTTCAGCGAACAGTGTTGTATTCCTGAAAAACAGCGAAATGATCGACAAATTCAACATATCAGTCAAATAATAAATAATCCTGCTTTTATTTCGAGGCTGGCACGGCAAATAAAAAACTTAACACGACTTACGCATGTTCATCCAGTGCAACTCGATACGTGACGTCAAACTTCGTCACGGACTGCCCATAGTATGCATCATCTCTCCTGAATGTGCATGTAAGATTTTATGATCCATCGATCGGCATTCGAAGTCCTTATATCGCTTTGGAGGACCTTTAAATAGGAAACAACAGCATTTGATTACCATATTCTCGTTGTATGACAAGCCAAAAATTAAATCGATATGTTCAGCCAAAATCACCTCCGACGGTAACTGTAACACTGCACACCATCCGCTGCGGTTCATCTATCGATTCGTTGACCAAACATCTGTAATGGCTACTGTCCTTGAGGGTGGTATTGGACAAAATCATTTTTGCTGTAGTCTCATTGATTATTTCATTCTGGAACCGTTTATCATTCATCAAGGCCGTAAGGTCTTCATGGATATAGTCGCCGTTGTTATTATCGCGTGAGTGCTGCCAAAAAATGGATTTGGCGTTCACGTCAATAGAGTTGTTTTTGGTTCGTTTTATATAGTCTTCCGACAAGGAACAAAACAGTTCTAGTGTCGAAGTTTCCTCAACCTCTACGGCCTCATCCGGTTGCATATCTACCAGGCATAATCAAAACATAACTCGTTTGAAAACGGGCAAGGTAGGACTAGTGAATCCGAAATCTGCATAATCACTTACGACCAATTTGCGATGCGGCATCGAGAAATGCATTGCACTTTCCGGAACAAAAACCAGTTTTAATAACGGATAGGACTAATACCGCACCAAGAATCTTTAAATTCGACATTCCAACTGCTTCGCGGAGCGCTTTGGTACCTACAACAAGACACGCCTTATTAATGTCTTCGAAAACGAGCACCCACATCGCTACTGGAATTCTAAAGAGTAAAGGAACTTTAAAATCACAAATTTCCTAACAGTATCGAACATTGACGGGATCGAGGCTACCTGATCAAAAATTTTCCCGGGTAGATCGCATAGCGCCCGCCGCGCACTCCATGGTCAATTACGTGGAGTGACTGGAGTCATAAAACGGCTAAACCTACCTGTTAGATTTTAACGCTAACCATAAGTACTACCCTATAAAATAAGGGCTACTCCCTAGTATTCCCCTTAAAACTGCCAATGGGAATAAAACTGCAAACTCAATCAGTTCTTGCAGTGACCTCAATCTGTTCAATCGTTTGCTATGGCACACATTTCTTTGGCATCTAATTATTACGAATGACGTTGACGACCTCAAATAGTAAATACATATATCGATGAACACCATTGCGAATCAAGGTTTCGCACCACACAGATCTCTCGTGTAATGGGGCTACCCATTCAAATAAGTATTATGTACTACGGGTACAAGCCTACCACCACCACCTAACACCGCTCATACGAAATCTCTCATTACTCTGACCTGGTTTTGTAATGCAAACGAAATTATCATCATGAACCGGGATGATGCTGATTAGTGATCCCTTATGACGTGCGACGTCTATCTCCACTGTATTCTGGCTTTGATAAGAACTAACTCGCCATGCTAACCGTACTTCATTTTGTATATATCCAAAAATGATATTCTAATTGTAAAATTTTCAGAAAAGAGCAACCCTTTCCTTGATACTGAACATAATTGCACGTGATTATTAAAACCACAGTAGTAGTACGCAGAACGTAATCAACGTACTAGCTGTCTAAACTCTAATTACAAGTACTACAGCTTACTTGCTAATTAAATCATAACTCAAAGGTCGCTTAAAATCGTTGTCCAAAATCCAAATCTACTGCGTGGAGATGTTTTCTGGCGCTAATCAATGTTGTGTGATTCGTAAAAAGATAAAAATGTAGCGCACCCAAGCGGTACAAAAATTTCACGTCAAGCCCACAATTATACTGGTTCCATAACTTTTTATAAACGGTACAGGAAAACTGTTATACAGCGAAAGGTATCTATAAAACTCACATCACGCGATCTGAAAACTCCTAAATTAATCAGTCAAGAATCTATAAAAACTGTTGAAGAAACTCGAATTACGGGATAGGATATTATAATTTAATAAACATAAGATAGCAAAGGTAATCGCACGGCATTATATTTCAATCAACAAAGAATTTCTATGATAAAACGCTTATCAAAAAGTGATTAATGGTGGTAACAATTGACAAAATCTTTCGATCCGCTTCCATCTTGATTCCGCAGTTCAGTAAAAATTTTCAAAAATTATTAATTAAATATTTTCCCGCAATCTCACTGCCCATTGCCCATTGGCACACGGAGTTATGGGCTGTAAATCATACAACATTCAGTGATTTATTTCACACAAGCACATGCGTAATGCGCCATCTATTAAAAACAAACTGCATAAACTGATGAAAGCATACGGCTTCGAAAGAATCAACACAACAATTTGCCCGCGGACAAAAAATAATGTCCTTGGAAGGTCGTACGCGATTATACGTACGCGCCAAAATCGTTTCAAGCAGAAGAATCCAAATTTATTTTCGATTTTCGGTCTATAATTTTACTTCGTACATAATTAACAGAGTCAGCTTTTATTTTTGTTTAAGTCAGGATTCGTGAAGTGGATTTTTGTAATTTCCAGCACATCACAAAAGCTGACAAGATTAAAACAAAACAGCTGCACTTTCTGACAACTGGCTTTCGTTAAACAAATTCCGTACAACAAAATTCCGTACAACTGCAATACCGCCGGAATAAATCGGAAGCCACTACAGAGATAAGTCTGTTACGCGCACCATTGCAATTTTCCTGCGTGTGTGTAGACCCAAGTGCAGAGTGCAGCCTGATTATTGGGTTTTCCCACACAATTACAACAACCAAATGTACACACTCTGTAGCCCTCCAATAGATCGTGAACACAAACCGTGCCCGCATCATACTGGACTGCTATGGCTTAAAAGGCATGGCAAAATTCAAGGACAAATTCAGGCTTCAATAACATTCTGCCCGTATAATGCGCATTATTATGATTAAAAGTAAAAACGGTTAAAACTCAAAATGTCTGTGCTACAGCTGCTACAAACAAATCATTCAGTAAAATACATGCATTTTCCAGGGTCAAAACTAATCACAATTTTAAAATTTAAGAGATATTTTTTCACACACAGAAATTTCTCGGCTAATGCTAATGCTTCATGGGGCTGTAGTTGTACATCTGTTTACCAAAAGCGAGTGGGTATTACCTGGATTCATAGCTCCAAGTTCGCGATGATTTGTTGCTGAAATCGCGTAGCTCCCGTATCCAAATGAAAGACTCCCAAATTTGACTAATGCAGTCTTCGTGTAGATTATTCACAATTATTATAATAAGTATTTCATTCTTCCACGGTTACGGTTCCCTACTGAAACACCACTTCACCGCGCATATAGGGGTTTATCCGTAACGATTTCAAGTGCAGCAGTGAGAAGCACGACTGATCACGATCGGGATTCAGGAATGCTCCACAGACAAGCCAATTCCCATCTCCTCTTCATATGGTATCCGTCAGACGCTGACGTTAATCAAATAAGCTTCATAGGTATACTGGCGGACTACAAAATCAATAATTTGTTAAGACTAAACAGTAAACAGGCAGCAGCATTAAGATATCAACGGAACAGAAAATTCTAACAACTATTACACTTTACACTGTTAACGAATCCAACACCGTTAAAATCAGATACACTGCGACGCGCACCAGTGTTGCAATGCCGTTTACGTCGCTCGTACGACTCTGCGTAATCAGAGTCAGCGACAACTACAGCTGATGCGCCATCTGTAAGCCGAATGAGCACCAAAAACGCCTAAAATGAAAATCTTCCTGTTTAAAATTTGGGAAAAATGGGATAAAGCAGCACAAAGAGTTTGGGGAATTTTAAATCATTTTGTTTTTATGAAATTTTAAAATTAGTATGGCAGGACATAAAAAAATTGAGATCTCGTCTATTCTACTAATTATACGCACGCGCGAATTCGTACCAATTTTCCTCGACCGTTAGATTGCGTCATTGCGGCCATAATAATTTTAAAGGTATGTGCTCAACTAGTTTTACACATCTTATTATTAATATTAAAATAACAGTATTCCAGCAAACACAATAAATTTACGATTAAAAGCAAAATAGCCCACAAGCGAAAACATGACTGCCCAAACTCTGAAATCTGCGCCAGCCGGTGCAAATGTGCGGCGTATGACAAATGCGTCATGAGAAGGCGGATGGCAGCTTCTGTCTGTCGCTTTGTGCTTTATGGTTTATAGTCCGCCTGTACATACGGAACGTACTGTACTGTATGTACTACTGTAGTCTGTACTCCATAGTCATGCACTACAGCACTCTTTGAGTTTATTTTTAGAATAAAAAACTATCTCTGGACGCTAAAATTCAGAATAGTTCGTTCGTACTTCCGAGTTCCGAGCGCGTGTTACTGTTTAAAGTACTCGTATTTTAATTTTCGACACCCTGTGTGACGGCATCGAGAGATAACAACGACTTTTGAAGGAGCCGCACGTACGTTCTACTTGGGCGTATGGTAATAGGCAGAATTACTGGCAGAAGGCGCTGGCTGGTGTGGAAGCACGGTATCTTGGTTTTGTAATTCCTACCTCCGTCTTCCCGTTTGTCATCTGGGAGGAGGTTCAAATTTGTTCGACTGGATCTAGGCACTGTGATTTAAGAGCAAAAGTAAGTGCGTCAATCTGCAAGAATTCAAGTTTACGCAGCCAAAAACTGACAGCCCTGAGGCCTGTTTTCGTCATAAATGCGAAAAGACAACAACTTTTGACTACAGTTTACACCCAGTAAAGAGTTTTCCTTATCGTAAGACGAGTTTCTTTACGGATATAGAAAAATTAGGTGGTCAATAGCATTAATGATTAGTATCTTCTTACTCTGCGTTAAAATTTATAAGCCTGAAATAGTAAAATTACTTCAACAGTTTAATCTGAATATTTAGTCTGAAACAGTTGCTGTGGGTGCTGAATTCGCGGCAGTGTATTTCGCCAGTATCTGGTCCATGCCTAACCAATCTTACTTCCCAATGTTTCAGGATTTTAGTCAGTAAGCTATCAAGATGTATCCACCAGCTGTTCGTGGTCGTGCGGTTCTAAACCTGGCCGGGCGCTTCGGAGCCATGACGGTCCGGAAACGCGCCATCTCGGCTGCGGACGGTGCACGACGATGCTTCAGCACTGATTTAAAAGCAGACAACTTTCTCTCGGGATCTAGCTCGGTTTATGTGGAGGACATGTACCAACAATGGAAGAAGAACCCAAACAGTGTTCATCCGGTCAGTCGTGAATTCAGAATTAAATCATAAATTTTCTGAAAATATTTCAAAAGGGATCACAAAAGTATTTGTAACAAAAATCTCCCGTGCATGGTTTTTACAACAGCTGTTGATTGTGGAATTACCTGAGTTGATGATTTGGTAATTTATTGTGACTTGTTTAAAGAATTTTAATATTAACGCAAATTTTGGGCGGTTGTTTAGCGCTGCATGTCTTCATTGTGTTTTGTTCGATAGTCATGGGATTCCTACTTCAGCAGCGTCTCAAAAGGCTTTGAAGCCCAGTCAGGCCTATCAGTCTCCGCCATCTCTCAGTGGAGCACAACCCGCTGTTCAACCCAGACAATACGGTGCTGCACTGGATCTGGCAGCCGTTCCGGAAAATCTGGAGAAAACTGTTCGTGATCATCTCGCAGTGCAGGCAGTTATCCGCGCTTACCAGGTACGTCTTCGCGCACTATTCTATGTACTTCTAAAAGGACCTATAAGCTATACAGTACCTATAACCTCATACCTGTTATACTCGTACAGATGAGAACGTGTCATTGTTTAGGTGCGCGGACATCATATTGCGGATTTGGATCCGTTGCGTCTGGAATCGATGCGCTATGATTTCATGCCTCCTGAATTGCAGTTATCGACTTACAATCTTGGTATATGCATAATTATCGGAATTCCATAATTTAGAAAAAAATGTATCAGGCTTTTAAATATTTGCGCAGGCGAAGCGGATATGGATCGAGTGTTCGTTCTACCCGAAACAACATACATCGGCGGCGGAAAGCATGCGCTACCACTCCGCGAAATTATTCAGCGCCTCCAGACGGCTTATTGTGGCGTCATCGGTGTCGAATACATGTTCATCAACAACAAAGATCAACAGGAATGGTTGCGGCAGCAGTTTGAGGTGCCCGGTGTTACTAAACTTGATGCAGATGAGAAGAAAACCCTCTTGAAGCGTTTAATTCGTTCTGCCGGGTAATTTATGCCTGCATAATATATTTAAATGATGTTTGGAGGAATATTTTATCTTTCAGTCTTGAAGATTTCTTCGCTAAAAAGTGGCCGTCGGAGAAGCGTTTTGGTCTGGAGGGTTGCGAGGTGTTGGTCCCGGCGTTGAAGGCGGTTATCGACATATCCAGTGCCCGCGGTGTGGACAGCATCGTCATCGGTATGCCCCATCGTGGCCGGCTGAACGTTCTGGCCAACGTTTGTCGCAAGCCGTTAGAGACCATCTTAACACAATTTAAGAGTCTGGAAGCAGCGGATGAGGGTTCGGGTGACGTAAAGTATCATCTCGGCTTGTCACACGAGCGGATCAATCGCGTCACTAATAAACCGATGCGCTTGGCTCTGTGCGCTAATCCTTCCCATTTGGAAACTGTGGATCCGATTGTGCAAGGAAAGGTACGGGCGGAACAGTTTTATCGCGGAGACGTGGAAGGAGACAAAGTTATGAGCATAATTATGCATGGTGATGCCGCGTTTTCTGGTCAAGGAGTTGTGTATGAAACGTTCCATTTATCGGAGCTACCGGATTACACCACACATGGCACGATCCATGTGGTTGTCAACAATCAGGTCAGGCAGCCTTTTGATTCGATTACCATGAATTTTTAAATATTTTGTCGGTAAAAACCTTGCCGGTATCATAATTATTTCTTACTGTGGCCTTGGTAATCGCTTTGTAAAACTTGCGTTATTTCCATTTTTAGGCATTAAAAATTCGATATCGTGCGCTTGAGAACCGGTTTCCTAGCTGATGTTACTATCTGTACAAATTTTGTAGGTTGGATTTACAACCGATCCTCGATTTTCTCGTTCGTCACCGTATTGTACCGATGTGGCTCGTGTCGTGAACGCGCCGATTTTCCATGTGAATGCTGATCATCCGGAAGCTGTGCAGCATGTTTGCGCCGTGGCTGCTGAATGGCGCGCGAAATTCCATAAGGATGTTGTTATCGACTTGGTAATTTGAGCTTTGTTATTTCCTTTTTGTATAAATAATCAAAGTGCGCAATTATTATACAAATCATGCCCAATTGGAGTGACCGATTTTATGGCAGGTGTGTTATCGTCGCAGCGGTCACAATGAAATCGACGAGCCCATGTTTACACAGCCGATAATGTACAAGAAAATTCGCCAGACCAAACCCGTTGTAGAGAAGTACGCCGCTCAGCTGATGATAGAGGGAGTTGTGGATGAACATTACTTTAAGGTTAATTCAAATATTTTTTTCAACTACAAACACACGAGTTAAACCTTTTTGTTTTTATAGCAAGAAATTGGAAGTTATTTGAGCATCTGCGAAGATGCATTCAAAACAGCTTCTCAAGCCACGCACGTTAAATTCTCGGACTGGCTTGACTCTCCATGGGAAGGGTTTTTTCAGTACTCGCAACAAGAAAGTAATCGAGCCAACGGGGGTGGACGAATCAGTCCTTCATCATATTGCCACTGTTTTCAGTAACGCGCCACCAGACCTGGATATTCATAAAGGTAATGACTATTTGCGTGATGATGCCTGGAAAATCGATAATTCTGTTACTGATGTAATGCGCAAACAGGAATTAAGAAAATCCTAACGACGCGAAAAGAGCTGACTGAAAAGCGCATGGCTGACTGGGCGATGGGAGAAGCCCTCGCATGGGGATCGTTATTGAAAGAAGGCATTCATGTCAGATTATCTGGACAGGATGTCGAAAGAGGCACTTTCAGGTAAAAACCCTCTGCTGTTGCGAAATCATGGTGGAATAAATACGGTGATAAACTGAAACAAGATCAAATAAATAGCATTATGTAAGGATATTTGCACGTGAGAATGTACCGCTTATAGAGGCAGAAAACTGCAATTTGGGCTAAAATTGTTGTTTTCAGTCATCGCCATCATGTACTGCACGACCAGAGTGTCGATAAAAAAACATACCGACCATTGAATCACCTATGGCCTGATCAGGCACCCTACACGGTGTGCAACAGTTCCTTGTCAGAATATGGAGTCTTGGGCTTCGAATTAGGGTTTTCGATGACCAATCCCCATGCGCTGATCATGTGGGAAGCACAGTTTGGCGATTTCTTTAACACCGCACAATGTATCGTGGATCAGTGCATCTCCAGCGGTCAAGCGAAATGGATCCGTCAAAGCGGTCTGGTTATGTTGTTGCCGCACGGCATGGAAGGAATGGTAAAACATGCACTATTTCAGAATTGTTTTAAATTGAAATCTGAGAAATGCCTTAGTCTTATTTTATTTTGATATTTTATATTGTTGTAGGGTCCTGAGCATTCTAGCGCACGACCAGAGCGCTTCCTGCAGTTATCCAGCGACAACCCGGATTCGTTCTCGACCGAATCCAGCCCGACATACGTTGTTGATCAGCTGCGTGACACTAACTGGCAAGTAATGAACATCTCAACACCGGCCAATTATTTCCATGCAATGCGGCGTCAAATTAAGACCCCGTTCCGTAAGCCACTCATTTTAATGACACCGAAAAGTCTCCTCCGTTTACCGGAAGCCCGCTCCAGTTTCGATGAAATGCTACCTGATCGGGAATTCCAGCGCATCTATTCTGACCAGGGCAAAGCAGAAGAAAAGCCGGATAGTGTCAAGCGACTGATTTTCTGCAGTGGGAAGATCTATTATGAATTGGCTAAAGAACGAACTGGGAAAAATCTGGATAACGATATCGCCATCGTTCGAGTTGAACAGGTACGATATGAAAATAATGGTAGGAATGATTTCAGTTCGATTATAAATTTGGAGGAGGAGTAGATATAAAATGAATGTGTGGAGGCCGGCATACCAGGAATCGCTGAGCATATTTGCATAATGTATCGATTTAGCATGCTTTGTTATTAATCAAGTGATGCTTTAGTTCAAAATTCCATGGAAAATTTCTTGACTTTCGGTGCTTAGATTCCCCTTTTTCAACACTAAATCCTTAAATCTCACTTAACCTTTCTTGCCTACGTATGTCCGTATGACACAACAGGTATAATTTGAAATGCGGCTTTAAATTAAAAGATCCATTTCCAGATTTGTCCGTTCCCGTATGACCTAGTCCGTCAGCAAATGGAGCTGTATCCGAATGCGGTAATTACATGGGTACAGGAAGAACATAAGAATGCCGGCGCATGGATGTATGTTCAACCACGCATTGATAACATCTTGCGTCACCACATCAAGGAAAGGCGCCGCATTAAGTAAGCTTGATTACCTCATGCCGTAGTTGCATCTTGTTTTGATGTAAATTCCGCTCCATGGTTATACAAAATTAACTTCGTTTCTATGCACCATTTATCCCGTGCGTACATTGCTCTGGTTACTCCTGATCAGATACGTTATTTTGACGTTAGTGTATCGTATTTTTACTTTGTTTGGTTTGGAGATGCGGATTTCCCAGTAATGCGGTTGTAATTCATAGGTATGTGGGACGAATTGCGGCAGCATCACCCGCGACGGGCAACAAGAGTCAGCATTTGGTAAGACCGTAAGGGCGTGGGAAGCAAAGGAGTTTGTGGCTTCTTCTCAAGATACGTTGCATTTGGTCCATTAATAACTTCGTTTCAAAATCTTTTGCAGATTGAGCAAGCAAAAGTCATTTCGGATGCTATGCATATTGATGCTTGATTGATCCTTGCTTTCTGTGTTCGGGATCGTCCTTTGGATGCTACGGCTGCGATTTCAGATGTCTATTTTTCCTTCTAGTTTTTTCCCTTTACTGCGTGTGTATGTGTGTATGTGGAAAAAGTTGGCGGTTCTTAGTATATGCAAATTCTGTTAAGAGTTTAGAGATAAAATCTCTGGTCACGTACGAGAGGCTAGTTTTTAAAAGGGTAGCAGCTCATTAGGATGTATAAAAACAAGATTTATGTTTGTCCATTCAATTTATTGATCTTTGAGCTTCTGAAAGTCTGTAAGCTGTAGTCCGTGGCGCACCTTTGTCAACCGAATAAAACTGCATATATGCTGCTGTGCCAGTTACACTAATCGATTTCCTCCTTACTTTTCTGGAAGCACTTACGATTAATTTTGTATTTCCGAGGTAGCAGCTATTTAGGATGTATAGATGTGTGCGCGTAACAAGATTTATATAAATCCATTTAATTTATGCACAAGTACTGAATCTTTGAGCTTTAATTGCGCGCTGGCTCTAATTGCTCTGAGTTTGAAATCCGTTGACCCCAGTAGGACCATAATCAAATTGTGCAAGTTAATTAACTTGCCGGTGGTATTTTTTTGTGATGATTGTTTGTGGATTTCGCTGGTTCTGACGAACCTTAAAATACTTAAGCTGGTAGCTTCAGCAGATCGAATATTCAGTACAACCAGATTCAGTACAACATCATTCTTCAGTACAACCCGATCCTCAAGTATCTGAATGAATTGTTCTTTTTTACGTACAGAATACAAACAAAGTTTAAAAGCTGGCGAGTTCCTGTAAATAATTTCAGTAACAAAAACACGTCAGAACATTCAACAGCGCAAGGTAAAGCATTGAACGCCATTTAAAAAAATCTGGCAGCAGCATTTTAAAAGACACCGTAATGCGTAGCGTAAGTAATTGAGAACTACCCAGACCCACAATTTTCACCGTAGGGGAAACAAGGTAACTTTCGTTGGTCCAGTCACATTCAAATGTAGCAAAGCGATAAGTGCAGCAAATAAAATAAATTAAAAATAATCCAACATTAGATTACTAAACAAGTATACCAGCGAAACTATTCCCGGAAGATAATAGCATCGCGATGCTTGCCCACCCCTATCCATCGCACCGGGACACCCACGACCTTTTCCACCAGGGATATATACTCTTGAGCTTCTGGTGGCAACTCCTCAAACTTTCGCGCCCCACTAATATCCTTTTTCCAGCCCTTCATCTTCACATATTCCACCTCCACCTTCTCCAACAAATCCAATTCCGCCGGAAAGGAATCCAGCGGCTTGCCGTTATACTTATACGTCACCCCCACAAACAGCTCATCCAACACATCCAAAATATCCAGTTTCGTCAGCGCCAGTGCTGCATACCCGTTCAGCATGTGCGTGTATTTCACCACCACTAAATCCAGCCAGCCACAACGGCGCGGTCGTTTCGTGGTAACCCCAAACTCCGCACCCCGCTGCTGTATCATGGAGCCCAGTTCTTCTTTTAATTCTGTGGGGAAGGGCCCGTCACCGACGCGGGTAGTGTACGCTTTCACCACGCCATATACGTCACCCAGGGCGTTGGCGGGAATGCCCAGACCCGTCAGAACCCCACCCACGGTGCAGTTCGAGGATGTCACGTACGGATACGTACCGAAATCAATGTCCAGCATGGCCGCATTGGCGCCTTCGACGATGATAAACTTGGACTGGGGATTGGTGATCAGCTGGTTCATAACAAACACCGTGTCTTTCACCAAGGGACGTATCTCTTCGGCAAAGTGCCGATAACGGGCGATCTCGGCGTCCACATCCACCTCCAAGGACGGGAAGGCTTGTTTATGCAGGCGTACAACATTTTGAAATCTGAAAAAGAATAAAATGTTAACCACAAACCAACTTTACCGAATTTTTCCAAATATTATAACTGTCTCAATTTGCCGGGCCTTCGTTTTTTATCTTCACAGTTAAAACTTAAAGTACCGTTTCTATAGCCTGCACCCTTGTACAGTGGCATGAGTTTGTTAGCAAAATCGATAAATCGAATTTTAAAAATAAGGTTGTCCAGAGACTCCAGACAGATTACACCAAAAGCACGTCAGTAGTTTTTCTTATAAAAAGCCCTACGTCACAGCATTCCTTGTCTATTAATACATCAGCACTTTCAAACGGGTTTCTACCTTTCGTAGTCTGCACTGACTCTACACAACTTTACGCAACACCCTCTCACAACCGTACAAGAACAGTGCGAATGTTTGCCAGTGTAGTAAAAACGCCGTCACCACATAAACCGCTTCGAAATACTCGCCAAAATGAATGAGCGGCATGCGAAATCACAGCCAAGATTTACTAACGTGACACACCCGCCGTATAGTTAACTACATGCGTACATTCGGGTTTCACCAGCTGATTTTACCAAACTAAATTGCATTGTGCACACTCACTTTTCGCTGAAACGATCAAAGTCACCGATTAGATCGGAAATGCGAATCCCATGACGGCTGGCTTTGGATGCGTAGGTCGGACCGATGCCTTTTTTCGTCGTACCCAACTGTTGCCTGAAATTGGAATTTTTCGATATTTTTACTTTGAGTCAAAAACGGCATACTCACTTTTTCAATCCTTTCTCGCTCTCCTGTAAACCATCCACCGACTGGTGCAGATCGAAAACGATATGGGCTCGATCGGAAACGTATAAACGATCGCGAATTCCGTTCAACCCTTTAGCTTCGTTTTTAGAGATTTCCTCGAATAAACCGGGCAAATGCACTACCACACCATTTCCTGAATAAGGAAAATCAATTTTTGTTACAGAAGTTAGCTTAGCAAAACACAATCCGAAACATAAAGATACGCATTCATCTGCGCTGGGAAAAGTTTTCCAATAACATTAACAATTTTAAGCCATTACTGCTGTACCTCATTCCGAAAGCCACGACGGTTTTTTTTCTACACTGACAGACTAGAATAACTCATTTCATTTGCGGAAGTATCTTGCTAACTGGCGACAAGATTTTACAGATATCAGATTGTCATTTATGTAAACAATATTTAGCTTTATATGTAGTTTTTCAATCAAGAATTCATTAAATTGTGATAAATTTTCATCAGCGCGACTATTCCAAAAGATGGCACAAAGCTGTAAGGCTGCACGGAAAATTCTTAGTTACCAATAACGAAGAACGGTACTTCATATTAATCTTAATAAAGACCCGGCGGGTTTTGTCATTCCGTAATAATTCGTTACTTAATTGCTGATAACGATAGCCTTCCGTCAGCGATTAGAACTTTTGCTTTGCATATGCGCATCAGAAATACTCGATACCTTTCTATTTGTGAACAAATTTGCCCGGCACTATACTTTTTCAAATACAGAAGAAAAAGTCAGCACTTAAATTATCCAGGAATAATATACTACGATTACCTTTCCCGTGCCTTAATGCAGTCTCATGGACCCTTACCTATTATTGAAGTGCATTTCGGGTTAATAATTCCCGAAGGCAGCAAATGGAAATCGTATTCCGTTGTCCCCGCCACAACCGTATGACCGGCATTGTTGCCGCCCTACAAACAGCTTTGTGGTTTACCCGATCATCTCAACGACGCAACGCGAATCGTTTGAGTCCGCTCTTCCGAAAGCGAACAGAAATCGAGGGACCCGAATATCACTGGCCAAATTGGCAATCCACTGACTTACCGCACAACGGCATACAGCGTCGGCTTTGACAGCGAGAAGGTCCACGATCTTTCCCTTTCCTTCGTCGCCCCACTGGGCCCCAACGATAACGACAGCGCGATTTCGCTGCTTGTTCTGAAGACCATTTACTTGGGTGGACGCCATGGAGTTTCTCAGCCCGGATCAGCGTATTTCAAATGCCGTGACTAGTATACGCTATCCCGTTTTTATTAATAGTAAAAGCAGTTAACTGTGCTAGAGTTTCCGCAAACAGCGTAACGAAATTACAGCTTGTTCAGGATGACAAGTTGAAACTCTACGGATGTCGCGCAACCCAAACGAAGAGGAAATTTTTTAACTGTACACTGGGGAAATGCAATACGGGTAACGGGAACCGGTTGAAAGCTGGAAGTAGCGGCAATGCGCAAGAATAATGACTCATTGACGTATGCCGATATTGCTCCGCCCAAGTCTCACTACTACTGTCTACGAGTAGTGTGTCTACTACAGTAGACTTTCCGTGCAGACGGTGTGATGGTGATACCAGACAAATGCGACTACTGGAATTGGAACTTGCGCTGGCACCCGGGAGAAAATTTAGAAAATATTGCTTAAAGTCAAGAAACAAAATTAGCCTTATAGCCAGCTGATAACCAAAGGTCACCACATTATTCTCGTAACAACTGAAGCAACAAAGGCCTTAACAGAAGACCTTACTGTTAGTTTTGACATTAATTTTGATTATTACGAAAATCACCGGAAGCTGACAAGCCTGCATTGATTGTTCGCAATTACCGTCTCGACAATGCTAAAGTGGAAATGGCCGATACGAGTCCACGGTCCACCAGACTGGCAGCCGGATTTGGTGCGAAGTAATTCGTGCGTAAAAGTATATTCTGGAAGTTTATTTGACAAACGTATGACCGAAAATGTGTATTTAAGCAAAGTCAAACCGCGAAAGTTTTCTGAATGACAATGATGCTGGGTTATTTATGATGGCGTGTTTTCATATATGCATGCATCCATCAGTTATAATTCCTTGCTGAACAACTGGGATATCTTTGTTACAGTTTGAAACCAATAAAAAATGTACGGTGAGCTGGTCAGTTCTCTGCTATACAATAGTGCGGCGAGGTGGTTTTATTATGAATCCTGTTTCCTTATTCTACGAGCAACAAAATGCTGTTACATTGATTATCAGCCCTAGCCCTGGAACGTTAATATATGTATAACAGACTATACTCACTTATACCGTAGACCGTCAAAATCGCTCATATCTATATGTAGAAGTAATATTTACGCACATACGATGCCTAAAGTAGCGTGTATCCATTCAGTGCTACTAGTACTTATTGATGTCCCTGTCTCTGGCCACGCTGACCACAAACTGCAACGGCATAATAATGAAATGTTAAGTTCGGATCCATGACAAACAATTTACACTCTTCCCAAAATCAATAAACTTTATTAAATTTGGCGCTATTTTGGTGAAAGTTTGGGTCAAACCGTCTTTGGGCTAGTTAAGCTTCCAGCGATCCTTTCTAATAGCCGCATAAAGACTTGTTGGTCATCTACTTCTCGCATAAAATAGAAATTAATTTCGGTTCTATCAGGGAATATTCACTGTAACTCTGTGCAATGGAAGTGTAAGGGATTATCAGTAAAGAGAATCAGAATAAGTGGGATCTGATGCAACCAATCCGGTTGATGATTAAGACGATGGTCAATGCTCCGTCTGCATGAATTGGATTGCAAAATATATTTAACTTGTAACTCCAAGAGTGACTTCGGCGCTATACAGTTTGATTGAAAATTCACTTTCTACTATATGAATCAAATATTTTTAATTTCGTTCAGCATGAAGTACAGGTAGGTGTATATAATATACTCTTGTGGATGACCTTTACAAATAACATTTTTCACAGTTTAAACTTTTGTGTATAAATGTTCTCGCAAGAATCGAAACTGACGAGTTTTTTATCTGTCAATATTTTGGAATGGAGTATATTTGCAGTATATCTGTTTGCAGTTAGTTCACCCTTTCAGCTTTACATTCAGGTAAGTAAGGACGGCTTTATTTGATGCTTTATGCCAATTATTAATTATGCCAATATCGAGATCCTTCAGTCTATACCAAGGTGTAGTGATACAGCATAATATTATGTTAGTAACGATAAGGTATAGAGTAGGATGTGAGAATTTTACGTCGTGCCTACTTACAAAAAATTCTGTCGCAGTTAAATGCCTACGTACTAACGTTTGCACTACAACAGTTTGTCTGGACATCGAGTATGCAAGGCGCGGTTTACACTTTAACTGGAAATTAACATCAGTATAAGGACCAGAATTTAAATAATGATAGAAGTGCAATAATCGTATATTCAGCTTAAAGAACCCGCTGCGCTAAGAGTAGTCTAAAGCGCATCTATGAACAGTACTTCAAGCCACATTCATAAAAAATTATTCAACCGGACACATACAAAATAAGTGACAAAGTAGGGAGGGCTGCTAATTGACCATACGCTATTTGCATCTGATAAACAAAACGAAGTTTAAGTTTTTATGTGGCGTTTCAGAACGTTGTCGGAAGAAGCCAAATTTATATGCTTTTCTGTCAAATCCGCATCCCTGATCATTAAGAAGCAACCCCTTCCATAATTCCTTTCTTGTATTACTGGTAATCCTAGAAGACATCTGCTCCCAAAACAGTAATCAGAGTAAAAGGAAAACAAAAGCTTTGCCGACAATTTGCACCGGTCCATTAAGATTCTATCAATTCTGACAAGAAAATTTCGAACTGATAAGCCTTTACAACTTGATCCTTATCGGAATGGCCTTGGCTGACCGTTCCAAAGGTTGTCTGAGGATACTGCTCGCTGTTAAACAACTGCAGTAGGTTTAGCGTGCAAAATAATAAGTCCATCAAATGATCTGCCATTTGCATATAAGTAATTAAGGAACAACAAAGAAAAATACTATCAGTTGTGTTCTACGCACGAAATTTTTAGAAATTACCATCTAGTTAAACCTCTTGATCGTTCGATTTTTAAATTCCTATAAATATATATATTTACCATCAACTATCATTATGTATGCGAAAATAAACGGTCTGAAAATATAGTATAAGATCCAGGCCTCCAGAACAATATTTTTCATACTGAAGTACTTCGTTCAGTTTCGGAAATAATGCTTTTTGGGTACGTATTGGTATGCGTACGAGTCGTACTGGCGCTTATTACCGAACTGTATTATATTTAAACTGAACTGTGTTCTGTATGAACATATTTTCACTACCTACCGTTAGTTCTCACATAAACTGAGCAGTGATTAATGTAAGAACAGCGAGTATAAAGAAGGTGGAGTACGGTGTAATACAAGTGAGCCGATGTCCAGCCGGGCAGACAACGGCGCCATCTTCACGCTTCTTGAAGAAGTGTGAGAAATTTTTCAATTTGGATCTCGTGGTCTATAAAGGTAACAGATCCGGGCAATTAAAGAGCAAGTGGGTGCTTCAAAGCTAAGAGCTTTTAGAATTGATACTCCTTCAGCACAAATTAAAATGAACAGCGCTGTAGTTCAAGCACAGCCATTTTTAAATGATTCCGTAGTATTAGGTCAAGAAGATCACACATGCGATGTCATAACCATCTTGAACTTTATACATACAGTTGAGGAGGATTGTGGTATGCTAATGAGGATGATTAATGCGAAGTAGTTCAGTCACAGCCTCCTTTCCAAATGTTTTGTTGGTTTCTTAATTACATGTACTGTCTTCAATTTCGGGCCGGTTTCGACCCTTTTTTCAGTAGTCTTCTCAGAAAAATCTTATTGTTGCCATAACTGTGCGATTTGCCTCACATATTGATTCTAGTTTTACTTTTAAATATCAGCTATTTGTCAGTATTTGACAACATTATTTCTGAATACAGCACTGGCTAGTTGCGTTATTGTTGCGCTGCGATAATTCGGGATAAAAATCCGATATACGAGTACTATAACTTTTATTTGGCAAGCAACAGAATTCAATACTGACATGGAGTGTGTGTCTTCACTGTCTTGTAATGCTCCTTATCAGATCATGATGGCAGAAGATTAATTACTGGCACTGCCATAATCATTTTTCTTGGTTTTTGGAATTAACATCGTTTTTGTAAGTCTGTAACTTTCATATTCAACTAATTGCGCCACAGAGCTATTAATTTTCACAAGTAACAATAACCAGAAGGATATTAGCGCAAATGTTTAACGAGATACGAGTAGCATGCAGCCTGCAAATAGATAAGTACTGTATGTAATATTATAATTTACAAAACAGAAATATGCGATGCAGCATTACTACCCCACAACCCCTCTTTTTACCCCACAACATGATGGTAATTTTAATTCAAGTAATGTTGCGGTTGATTGCAAAAGTAAGTATATAAAGTATTTGTTCAGCCTAAGTATTGCTATTGTATGCCCGATCGGGCAATCTGGCACCGTTTTTAGCAGATCAATTAAATGACTCGTGATGCAATAAATGACACGAACGTTAATAAATGCATTTATTGTATCAAAACAAAATTATCAGTATACGAGTACTTAGTACAAATATAATGCAAATATATATAGTACATATAAAGGTGGCAGGCTAGAGAATGTTTCCCTGTGATAAGTAAACCTCGGTATAACTGCGTCGTACATCACTAAAATCCTCGATTCTTTTCAATTTTGTTAGTTTTTTCTGTTTTGTTCCAACTCAAAACTCCAGTGAATCAGTAGTGAAGTGGTGCACATTGGCAGAAAAATGCATCAATTGTTCTTGGGAACGTGCCGGTGAGATCAATCCTTTACCAAACTCGACAGGCTTTGATGGTTGCACGCAAGAAATAAGCCATGCGTTAGAGCATAGTCTTCAAATAAGGCTATGATTATATGGCCTATTTCCAGCAGGAAGAATGCCCTTTCGAACAGAATGCGATACCTGTAATGGATAATTTGACTTTGTCACGAATCATGATTTTTATTATACGACGGGATCACGCTTTGACCTCAGATAAACTGCGCCCCATGCATTGTCGGAATACCAAGTTTCCAGCTAACTAAAAGGTGTTCTAAGCATGCAAAATTTTCGGCTTGACTTGCTGGGCACGATGGACACATGGGATGATGATGAGTATGAACAGAACGGAAGGAATGAAAAAGTGTCACTTTATATGGTGGTTGAACAATTTGAATTTACAAGAAATGTGCAATATAATTGCATATCAATGGAAGGAGGAACAGTGGGAGCCCCTGTATCAGACGGGTGGATTGTTAACCAACAACAGTTGTTCCCCGCTAGCAGACAGATATAACTCTTTTGTGTTGTTAGCGGCAAATTACTAAACGCCAACATTGCAATATTGGGTATGAATACACCAAGCAGTATCTGTGATATTATACAGCAGGTGCTGAATAAATCCAGCTGCAAATTAAAAATGCAACGGCAAACGCGTAAATATTTATTATATATCAACTAAACAAAAATGTTACGATGTAATCTTAAAATCTCTCAAGCTTTACATGTACTTACTCCCGATACTATCGTTAACTAATCTATTTGCGCCGATCCAGCAATAAATTTGAAATAGTAAAATACATATTGCTCACCAGGAAACCTATCAACACAAGCGAAAAAATTCATTAATTTTGTAAAACGCCTTTTCTTTGAGAGCACATTGTGGTTTAGCGTTCTAGGTTAATGTGCAATTTAACCGTCAAATTGCTGTGTGTTGTATCATCACAGGGTAATACGAAGTTGCATCCAAAAATAAATGGGACAAGCCTTTAGACTTCCTGCCCTGTACAGCGGTGACTGCTCTACATTTAAATAATCATTTATTTAGCTGCAAAAGGACGGCTATTCAGCTCCGAGAGCAATCCGGAGATGGATAATTATCGTTTTTGGCTGGCAATCGACACTGACCATTTAGAGATTTTGTGTATACTCCATATATCCATACAATTTTCGGATCTATAAGCTATATATCTGTACTGCTTGCATCCAGCAGAAGATTTTGGCTCTACCTTCATTATCAGATTATCTAGGCTGCGGTTAAATGTGCGAAACGATCTGCGTTAAATAACGCAACACAATGATTGTGCAGTACTGAATTATGTCTATTCAGTGAAAAAAAATGAATAATAAGTTTTTCCTCACTTTTAAAAAAATCTGAACGTGCATGTCAAGTTATCTGTACTGACTACACGAGCTATCCAACGGGTAGTTTTTCCAGGTAAATATTATGATTTTCCCAGCTACCGGTATACCGGTAGTCGGTAGCGTTGATAAAATTAATAAGCACGTATAAAACTCAGAATTCTTATGATGGCTGATTTATTCGGAGAAAATTACGTGCATATATTATAGAAGTATTCTAAATTATTTGCCGTAGACGGCGATGAACGCTCTATGTGTACTTCAACCCCAGCATATTGTACAATATGTCGAAATGCAGCTTTGCAGATGTGCATGTTCCGGTTCACGACAGGGCATTTATGCTGTCCTGCTAAGATGCTGGAAGAGTAGATAGATTGGTATGCGTGGCTTTTTTGCCAAAAGGGCAACGGAAGAAGCACCTGTCATACACTGTGCGAAGCACTCAAAACTAATTACTTGCTTGATTATTTATCACTTGCAGGACGTGTGTTGGAAGCGATCTAGAAGTCCCACGTGTATGGAGCATTTGGTACATGGTAAATTGACAACCTGCTCCTGAAACCCCCCATAAAAAATTGCAAATGGGTTCGCTTCATCAGGTTATGCAGGCAGTCAAGGGAATGTCCCTGTCAGTAACAATGATTCAATGGCCGATGCGGAACATATAGTGCATCATTTGCACTTGATGATCGCGACGTCGTCATCGAGCAGTTCCGATACGCAAAATTGCTTCTGAATTTTATATGCATGCTTCGGCGGGGGCATTTCATTGACAAATAAACTGGCAACACACGACAGGATTTTGATGAATAAGATTTAACCCAACTGGATCACCTTGGTTGATTTTGCATGATTGATTATTCAATACCACAAAGACAAGCTTGTGCAACACACTCGTGACCGCTCTTTTTAAATGTTGCCAGTCATTGTGCTTAATGTTGGCCTGCCGTGTCTGAAAACGGCGATTATTAATATGCCCTTATTTAAGTACCAATCGTTTTTGGGAATTTCGGGAATCTTACGCAGATTGCTTTGACGACTGCAGTGACGAATCGGTAGCTATAGCCGTCCATCCGGCCTAAAATACTTAATTCTTTTCTGTGTACTTTTATTGTATTTCAGTTTGCAAGAAAACCACGCTGCACCGGCATTTTTTAACTTTTCCTTGGAAGAGTACTTCATTCTGTTTATGCTTGATTTTGCGTAAACTGTACTCACAAGAAAGAGTTATGCTATACAGCGCTCAAAGTTCAGTGTTTCATTTCTCGACTTAATAAACGCTCTTGTTATTCATTTTCCAGTCTGAAAAAAATCAAAAATTTTGACAATACTGACAACCGCATAACGGCAAAGATCTGCAGCGAAGTCGGTGATCCGGTTTAGTTGCAAGAACTACAAATCAAGAGAGCATTTCAGGTGCTTTATACGTGCACGTAAAATGAAATTTCCGGTACTAACAGGACCGAGCAATATAATCGTATCCGCATGCGGATGCCATTTCACATTTGCGCTTTATGGTGAAATTTACATAATAATTCCGAGTGCGTATAGACAAATATTGTTGCAGATATGAGAAGATGGTTCTCTTACTAGCAGGTGAACTATGTGCACGTTCAGTAGGCACTCGTTTATTTTTATGCCATATACGAATTTTAATGTGGTTAAAAGTAGGATATTGACTGTTTTCTACCGTAGATACTGCTGTGTATATTTTCAATGTACAGTCTTCAGAGCCGAAGCCACAGTACGTTTCACTATGTGTGTATATGCCTGTTGTTGCTCCAGAATGGTTAACGCCCAGATCTGTGCGCATCACAGTATTCCCTTCATAGTCCGCCTTCTCACTTGCACCCATAGGACACAATCAATTTGTATTTCCGTTTTTGAGTACTGATTCCCAAATTTCTCATGAATTGTGCACATTGTGTCTCTTAGTTAGTTTCCAGGGCAAGAAACATCGATGAGCTTGCTGCACTGTCAACAGTGTGTATATGTATGTGTGCCCAAATGTGAAAACTTGCTTTGCGCTTTTAATTTGATGTACGTATATAAAAGTGTTGTTTTCTTTTAAGTTTTCTATAGCACCGCTGCTCCCCTTCCCCTGCCGTTTTGATGAGAATATCCAGTATCCTTAAAATTCCCGGTTCGTGTGAGAAGCATTTAGCATGTCGTTTATGAACGGACGCGTTGTATACGGCAATCTGATAATCACAACTGCCAAGCGTATTCCCAAACGCCTCGTCTAAACTCGTTATTGTTACCATTTTTCACAAGATGTTCTCGATAACGTCTCTATGGCGTAATTGGCTAGAGTAATAATTCAAACCACGGGTGGTTTGGCACATAGCGGCACGGAGTGCAGTCAACTGTATGTACGCGTGTACATGTGTTGTTAAGACGCTTTTATCAAGGAGGCAGAGTTTTTTTCCGGCGTTGTTTTTTCTCGCTTGACCGATGGTAAAGTGTGTGCGCATAATCCGTGCTAAGCCATTGGTAAAACATTATTCAGTGGCGCGACGTTGTGCAGGTAGCTTATCAGTTAAATATAAAATGCAAACGTGTGTTAACAATGCGATAAAGTCTGCACGGTGTTAAACGATATGTTGTGCAAAACAAACAGTCACCAGCTGATTACTTCTGGATTTACTTTGCAGATCTACCTGCGTTAATTCTACAATAAAATTCGGGGGTAAGCGCTGATAGCTCCGCCGATCAACATACTCATCAACGAAGAATTATACATGTGTAGAAATCATACTCGTATATATGTGTACATATCGACCCAGCTGTAATAAACTGAGGAACATTGGCGGATCTTCGATCAGAATGCTCTAGATTGCACTTCACATTCTCATCCCACGTCTTGGCTTTTCCAATCTTTTGTACTGCAGAATTGATGAGTGTGCCGGGTAAGTGAGAATCTACTTATATCATCCATTTGTTATGACTAAATTAAAAGTCCTTGCAAATTATAAAAACTGCAAGGCATCGACTTCACTAGAAGCTAAATTGATTTAAAAGATCTACAAAGGAGCGTTATAACTTGGTTACATTTTTATTACGATCGAATTGCGTGTCACAAATCTGAAGTTTGGGTTTATGATAAGTTATGACTTCCGGTGCCGGCAAAATTGTGAACTTCACGGTAAGCGTCTGAGCAGTGGTTAATGTGATACCGCTCTACCGGAAGCATAGGTTTCATTGCTCAGATTTTTAACATTTCTTTCGTTTTGGCAATATGAACCTTTCTGCATTTTGCGAAAACGTTTTGCGACATGCAACTAAATCGAAAATTTCGTTTTGAAAACTGAAAATTTACGAAACCGGTGTTCCGTAGTTGCCCGATAAAGTAGACAATTCGTTGGTTTAATTTAATTTGCTGCTGACTATCAAACGACCTAATTGTTATCAGAAACTGAAACTACTTGATACTTACTTTTACTTGTAAGGCTAGGTAAACAATGAATAACTTGTATGAATCACCTCCGAGTCTTATTTACAAACGTACGTACGCGTGATTTTAGTAACCTTTCATTTTGGAATGTTGTTTTTAATTTTGCACTAATTATTTGTGACCACCAAACCAGCTACAGTAATTATGTGTTTCTAAATCGGGTAATATTAGTATCAGTTTTAGATACAACGGCTTTTCTGAATTTGCTATAACAAAATAAATATTGATAAGTATTCAGTGTCGTATAATATGGAAAGAAAACGATTGATCTGATGGGCTGATGAATTTCCCACAACACGCTTGGCGAACATCGCTATTATTGAATCTGTCTATGGGTGAAATAAACGGATGTTATATGTATTAAAGATATGCTAATCAAATTTCGCGCTACCGTGATTTTACGAGTTAACAAATTTGCGAAGCAGTAAAAGTGCGGCTGAGCCAATTGCTCCATGAAATGATGTGGGGATACATCTGAAAAGGAAACGAGCTGGTTAAAGCGATGATTGCCATAGCAGTCAAAAGAAATAAAAGGCTCTGGCAGTGTGTGCACTGTATAGTGCCAGGGATGATGTATTTGTATCCACCGAAACAGAATCACATCAGGTTATCATGTTTCACTGGATCGCTCCGGCGCTCGCACGGAGCCGATCATCGACGTGGCGGACGTTTCCTCCTGTCGAGGAAAACTAGCACACAGAGTATCATCGCCGTCCCATGCCGGGCTGGAAGCGTAAAGGGGAAAACGTCGCGATATCATTTGCCGTATATACAAAACATATAGGTTGCAATGTAGTATATGCACATCTCCCGGACGCGCAAATATGAATGCGGCTAAATTATTTGTTTCTGCATTTCTGACTTTTATTCTAATATATGATGCGTGCATGATTGCAGCTTTGGCTGGCAAATCCATGCATTGCTAATTATGTATCCCATTGCTAATCCCATTCGGTTGGGTTGAGGGATAATTTTATACACGCTATTCCCCAAACGATAATGGAATGGACAGGGCTTTTAAAGTGAAGGCCGCTAGCTGGAAAAATATCCAAAACACAAAGTTTGTGGTCAGAGCCATTAAAATAAATGACTGTCGCGCAACTAATACCGAAGCAGTTGGTGGTAGCACTTAGTGTGATTAGCGTATTCTTTTCATTTTGCTCACATATATGTATCGCCAGGCGCGCTTAAAATGGTTGTCCATTTGGAATTTAAAGGCTAGCTATGGTGCTCGGTGTATGGTATTCTTATCGATTTTTACACGCTGCACCGGTTATTTCGTGGATGATTCTGACAACCCTCATGTTAATGCATAACATGGCTGTGGCACTATGTTAGTTCTTCCACTTTTCCTACAAAAGAGGACTAATTTCTTTTACGAATGCCCATTGGCCATAATAAATACGGACACAATAGCGCAAGCCGATAGGAATTTAGATCCGAAACCCTTACAGCCATACATTTCTCATTGGGAAATTTTACAGTACACACACTATTGAATAAATGTTGAACCAGCCACTTGTAACGGCGTTTTGCTTGTTAAATGAAGTATTATGCGAGTCCCAGTTATATATTGCGCATAATTTCAATCTGATTTCCACTTCTCTCTACGGATATTCGAAATACGCCCAGTGGTAGAGCGTGTGCTGGTGTAAATACCAGTTGGATGCCGAGCAGCTGTTACAGCTCAGGCAGCTTAATTAAAGGCTAAACACCACAACTCAAGTTTATTTGGAGGACGGATCTGCTCAATCAACAACCATTCCATCCCAAAGTGCTAGTGCTGCACTCACCCCGCGCTGCAGCAAAAACGATAATCCCCCTCTTGAAGGTCAACAAAAGATGGGAATTTTCAAGTGTCTGAGCCGGACCAATCAAAGAACAATTTATTTGCCAACTCTGACCTTAGATTTCCTCGTTTCCCCGACCGTACATGTACATCGCGACATGCCGGTATAACCTATACTTAAGGTTAAATTGGTCGTTAATTTAACGAATATGCAAAACAGGAAATCGGCTACAAATCTGTTAGTCGGCACTCGGTGGAAGAGAATTTCTTGGCGGTGCGCCGGATACGGCATATGTGTGCGCGCCAGCGCCCATCTTAGCATTAGTACGCTTACTTATTCCGATCCCATTTTAAGGTGCATACTGATCACTAGACAGATTTGACTCTCATTTGGTTATTGTCTACTGCCTCCCTACCGCTACTGCGCATGCCGCTGTCTCCATCACGTTCCGCTTGCTTTCACATTTAATTTGCTAAGAACCAACTGGCTACCATTTGCAAATCCACATCCAGCTGGTACAGAAAATCTTCAAAATGATATTGCCGCTGATATCGTTGTTCTCAGAAGTCAAATGCTATCAAATTCTATCAGTAGTAGTTGTAGCAAAACCCGCTCATAAAAATTTTCTTTAACTCAAAGTTCGATATGAAAGTTTAAAAATGTTAATTTTCAAAAGCAATTTAAAAAAAATAATTAAACATTTGTTAAAAATGGCGGCTTGTGCTACACTTGTTTGCGGAGTTTACCATAACGTCGCGTTGACGCCGAATATTTAATCAGGCGGTTTATTTGAAATAAATATTCTGCCGAAATTGGCTGGTGTATTCGGTGTTTCAGGCTGTTCATTCTTCTAAAATAGATCTTTAGTGTCCTCAAATGAATTCGCTGATGATCAATTTATACGACCCGAACAGCTTGTGTATCTTTGCGGCTTTGCTTTGTGGTGATATAAATGCAAATGACCAGACAGGAATGAGAGTGTAAATGCTCTTTTAAAACGAAATACGACTGGATCTCAGTGATTCTTTGTCGCTTCAATTTATAAACACCAGAACCGTAGACCCAGATCCGCCTACATAAATTTTTATGACATTTGTACAGCCTTTGTAAACTTTTGATACTCAAAAAATCATTAACGTTGTGCACGTACATTTTTTTGCCAGCTACCGTAACTTTATGTATCCGTAGAAGTGTATATTTATCCATAGAGATATGCGTAACCAAAGTCCAGAATGCACAGCTTTCAGTGTGTTATTTATTCTGATGCAATTTGACATGCTTTAGGCACGTCGAAAAATAATTATTGTTCGATGAAGAATTTACTACCAAAAACAGTTACGTATATTCGAGGTTAATCTTTTCTTTCGTTGACATCAACGCTGATCGCAACGTGGTAAAGATAACGAATGGTTCGGCGGCTTTATTGTGCCTAAATTTTCGACAAGTTTATTGCGAGGATGTATGAATAAATTTTTCCATTCCTAATTGAGATTAATGACCACATTAGTGTAAAAAAATTGTTGTTGGATTGGTAAAACCGAATCGGCACGTTTTGGTCATGACCAAAAATGGCGAAACCAGCGATAAATCAAATATGTCTCTGCATATATACAGCCTAAGCACAGTAAATATCATTGTATTTCATGGACTGCAGGCCGCGTCTAATTATGTCAAAACATTTTCGTCTCATGTTCAACGTTGTGATGGACACAGCCGTAGCATCCTAGATCAAAGTAATATGATCCGCATTAAATTTAGTACGGTTTGCACGCGGTAGTTAAATTAACCGAAAATTCGTCAGTAAACGAACGTCGGGGAGACACTGCCACCCAAGTAACAGCGGACATTCTAGTGCCAATCCTGACACTTCATTACGAGACTGCTCATTAGGGGCACTTTCAACAACAAAACAAATTTTCTAGATCACGAACGGATATTTGAATCGCACACAAGAGGCTGAATTGTAATAGCATTTCTAAGACGTTCAAAGGAAAATTTGTGTCTTATGTCGTATCATCCATACGGCGTAGAAAGGGAGGAATTTAAACACAAGAGGGAGACTCGCGCGCGGATCAAATTTGAAAATCCATCCGGCGCGCTGCCCACTAGACAGCCTGTCGGGTCAATACAAACTGTCCCTTTTCTCAAGTAGTAACGCGTGATCCGCACATCTCACACCACCACTGCGTGGTTTTGTGTTATGTCCAGCCAGCGAGAGACAACTTGCGCCGCGGCTGCGCTGGGGGCTTGCAAATCTCCTCCTCGTTGCGCCGCGGATAGATGATTGTGCTTTGCATTTTAAAATCTTCTTATGACTGTCATACAGACACTCATAACCATCAGTTATCCTTGACGAAATCCCTTTGGGCGCTTTATATTGCTTTGGTACATTGGAAACACTTCAATATTTGCCAGTGGAACATAACTGACAAAAGGTGCATAGAGAAAGCCTGCATCGGAAAGAAACTGGACAAATGCATACATCCGCGCAAGATAGACGAGAGAGAGTGAAGCACTCACGGCAGGACTCGAATGATGCATTCTCTTTTCGGTTGTTCGAATCATCCGATCAAATCTTGTCTAACAGCTTTGTGAAGATGTGTTGTCCAGCTCAAATGCAATTGAGATTACTGTTTTATTGATGTATGTCTGCTTAATATGCGGA